CGGTGCCGTCCCGAACCGACTTGTACAACTTCTCAAACACGGGCTTGTTGGCGGCCTCAAAAATAGGCGCCCAGTCGAGCGCGCCGCGGCGAGCGGTGGTCGAGCAGGCGTTGTACATGTAGTCCATGCCGTACTGGCCGATGAGGGGGAAGAGGGACTGGGTCGCCTCCTCGACCGTCTCGTTGAAGGCTTCGGACGGGCTGTGGCCGTTCTCGCGGAGGACCTTGTACTGGGCGAGGAACATGCCCTCTGTCGAGCGGAAACGTCGGCGGAGGAGGAGGCGAAGGCGGAGGCGAACGGGCGAGAGGAGGAGGCGGAGGTCGAAGGCGAGGGCAACGGGCGAAAGACAGCGGCGAGCGAGGGAACATGCACAACGCAAACATCAGCCACCACTCAAAGGTGCAGGCAGAGAGACTTTGCGCGCACGGATGCCACCCATCAAGACACCACGCTCTCCGTAAAGGTCCGAGTAGACCTCCTTCTCAAAGGTCGTCTCGTAGGCGTAACCCGTTCCGACGGCAACCGCAAGGGCGCGAGCCTTCTCCATCGCCTTGCCGGTGACGTCCTGCCAGACGGCGATCGAGGCGTTGATGCCGCGGCCCTCCTTGAAGAGCGTGCGGACGGTGCGGCCGGAACCCTTGGGCGCGCAGAGGATGACGTCGACGTTCGAGGGGGCCTCGACGCCCGTGTCCTTCGAGTAGACGAGCGAGAAGCCGTGCGAGAAGTAGAGCGTCTTGCCCTCGGTCTGCGCGGCGACGTCAAAGTCAGCCGGGAGGTTCCTGGTGGGAAGGGGAAAAGGCCCGCGCGCGACATGACACGCACGATGAGAGGCTTGATGTCCTTCCACGTCTGAGACTGGGCAGCATCACTGAGCAAGTTCATGATGATGCTGCCCTTCTTGATAGCCTCATCAATCGGGAACAGGTTCTTGCCAGGGACCTGCGCGCCACGTCCCCACTCATCAGCCACACCGACACTCACTCGGAGAGCGCGCGCCACGCACCCATCCGTCCTCCTGGGCCTGCTTCCACGACTCTCCGCCCTCACGGACACCAACGATCACGTTCAATCCGTTGTCGCGGGCGTTGAGGCCCTGTCCGTGTCCCTGCGAGCCGTAGCCGATGAGGGCGAGCGTGTCGTTCTTGAAGTACTCCTGGAGCTTTGGGAGGGGCCAGTCTGCGAGTCGAGAGCGAGGAGGAGGGAAGAGTCAGCTCGGGCTTCTTGAGCGAGTTCCGGTGGGTTGGTCGGGAGCTCGTCGACGTCCGCAGTAGTATGAGAACCCTGTAGGGCCCACACGCAAGCCAGCCGCCGAGTGATACGCCCGCGGCTGAACACGGATAGCCCAGTCTCCCCCGCTCCCTCCTCGGCGCCCTCAACGCCCGATCCAGCCGCTCGATGCACGCAGCGATACCTCCAAGCGTTCAAGCATCCCTCAGGCCATCGAGGGAGCCTATCAGCGCATGTCAAGTGGGCGTCCCAAAAATTTCCCCCCGTCGTCGACGCGATTGACTCCCCGGTGTGCGAGTGAGAGACTGACCGGCGCGCTCGTAGACGGTCTCCTTGGTTCCAGCAAAGTCGAGAGTCTTGACACCGCGGGTGGCCTGTCTCTCGGATCGTCAGCGCGCTTGCATCTCGGGTGGGTGCGAGTTGACGGACCTTGGGTGCGGCGGGGAGGGCGCGGCGGGCTGCGACGAGCGAGTAGGCGCGCGCGGCCTTGGGTGCAGCCTGGCGGGCGGCGAGGTTGATAGCACGAGCAGCAGAGCGGGCAGACATGGCTTAGAGGGAGAGTGAGGACGAGAGGGAAGAAGGAGGAGCACGAGCGAGGCGAGCGCCGGGTGCCGAGAACCCGCTGCAATCTCCGGATCACCTCCTTCGACTCTTTCTTGTTGTAATCTGTCACTCTCACTTGACTCGCACTCTCTGGCTCACTGGGGAAGTCCGCCTCGACCGCACTCGCTCGCTCACTCTCCGCCCTCTATCCCCGGACTCGCTCGCTCATCCCGCCCAACTGCTCGAACGGGCTGCGAGTGCACGTCGATAAGAGTGTCTGTTGCACAGCACAGCAAATACGCAGTCGAGATTATAGAAGACCGGACGAGTCGAGGAGAACGAAGGGAAGGCGCTTTCGAAACGAGCGAGCGAGGACACGACCCGCGCATCCTAGTCGTCAAAGCTGAGGAACGAAGCCGACATCGCCATCGACTCGGCGTGCTGCGGCTGGGGTTGCGGGTGCTGGAGAGGCGGGAACGTGGGTTGGGTTGCGGTGGGAGGCGCACCTGTCGAGATAGAGGTTGAGGGTGAGGCGTACGGGTCGAACCAGGACTGTCGAAGCGACAGTGTCGAGTTCGTTAGCGCGCTTGACCTGTGAAAGAGCGAACCGAACCGGACGCACCTCCTGCTGCACTCTCATCCCGCTCATCCCCTCCCCTCCTCCCGCATAGCTCGACCGCGCCGACGACGCCGACAGCGACGAGACGCGGCTATCGATGCTCCGCAAGCTTCGCTGGTCCGCCGAGTCGTCCGAGTCGAGAGGAGGTTTCGGCAGTCCTGCGAGGCGGGCGTTTGCGCGGCTACCATCGCGCCACCAGCTCGTTAGTATGGAGCAAAACGGGGACGAAGAGTGGAAGAAAGGGAGCGAACGCACATTCTCGACTCGACAGTCTGCGCATCCAGCTGCACCTGACACAACCTCTTCAACGGATCGACTCTCAACACCTGCGCACGGGCTTTACACCCCGTCACATGTTGACGAATCACACTCGGTCGCTTGCCTTCGAAGCGGAAGGTGCACCCTTCGACGCAGGTTTGGCCACGGAGCCATTCGTTGACTCGGTGCTTGGTGTCGGAGGGGAGGACGTCGAGGTCGTCGACTGTGACTTTGCAGTCTGCGCGCCACTGAATCGTCAGCTCGAATCCGTCACTCTGAGAGGAGAAAGCGCAACGCACAGCTCCCAGCGGGAAAGACGATCACCTCTCCCTCCACGACCTCCTCGCCGGGCAAGACGCGACTCAACTGCGCCCTCTCGACGCTCCAGACATACGTCTCCGTCTCCCTATTGAGCGGCCTCAACGCGCGTCTCCCCTTGCCCTTCTTGCGCAACTCGGGCGGGATAGCCGTCCCGGGTTCTTCCTCAAAGTCGAGGTAATCGTCGTCCCCGTCCCCATCCGCATACTCCGACTCACCCTCGGACCGCACCTCCGAATCCCTCCTCACGCTTCTCGGTCGCACGTGGCCCGCGAACTCGTGGAGGGACGAAGCGGACAAATGAGCCGTCTGCAACTCCCTCGGCGGCGGACGCTGGTGTGGGTAAGGCGACGAAGTTTGGCGGAGGTTGTGAGAGCGTCGACGGGCGGAGAACGAGTCTCGCTCGGAGGTTGAGCGGAAGGAGGGGGCGCGGGTGGGGCTGAGAGAGCGCAGGGAGGAGGGGCGGGAGGAGGTCGAGAGGGTGCGGTGCAGCGAGAGAGGGCGCTGGTAGGATGAAGGAGTGTAGGAGACGTAGTCTGATGGAGCGCAGAATTGCGCGGGGGGAGTAGGCAGCGGAAGAGCGGGACTGCCGTAAGGTGTCGTCGAGACGCTCGCTCTCCCGCCGGGCTGGTTGAACCCCTCGTGCTGCTGGCCGAACAGACCCGCTGTCGGCGCCGTCTGCGCAAGATCGTAGCTCGCCGGCTCGGTCGTCAAGCCCGAGACGAGCGCAGGCTGGACATAGGGATGAGGCGGGTCGGGCGGAGGGGCGAAGGAGAACTCGTGGAGGCCATCGCCGAGGCTGGTAATAGCCGTCGAGGGACGTGGAGCCGCTTGGAGGCCAGGAGCTGAAGCGAGGCGGGCTGAGAGGAGCGTGCGGTCAGGTCATTGATCGGAAGAGGGAGGGAAGGGAGCGGGCGCACCTCGCAGATAGGCGGCGGTCTGGGCGACGATGTGTTCGGGGTGTAGGGTCGACGTCGTGTTTGCTTGAGGACAGACGGGGTAAGTTACTTCAGCGAGCGAGAGCGAGACGGCGGCACTCACGGTCGAGAAGGAGATCGACGAGCTCCTGCCATCCGACCTCAACCCTCCCCGCAAGTCCCGCGTCGACGACGAACCCTTCTCCCGTACAGCTCGGCACTAACTTTGTCGCGAGCGTCCCCTCGAGCGACGGCCGACCGTGCGCGCTCGTGTTGGGCGAGTCCTGCGGCGTCCAGGTCGAGAAGGCAGACGAGGCGAACGAGTTGACGCTCGATGCGGTCGAGCAGGCTCGGGATCGTGGTGCGCCGTAGGACATCGAATTAGTCGAGTCGAATGCAGGGTAGGAAGCTGGCCCGCTGTCGAAGGGCGAGTCGGCGGGGAGCAAGGCTGCAGGTGGGTCGGCGTCCATCGCTGAGTTCGGTCGTCCGGAGCTAGGAAAGAGGCCGAGCGTCACAGAAGAGCACGGGCGGTTGGTCTAAAAGTCGTTCGTTCGTGAGGCGGTGAGGGTTGGGAAAGGAGTTCGGGGCGAGAGCAGGTTGGCGAGAGGGCGGGAGAATCGAGAGCGGACCAGCGCAGGGCGGAGCAGGGCAATCAGAGCGATCCAGCGCTCGATGCTCAGTTCAATTCAGGCGTGCGAGGGGAGCGAGAGCGAGGAAACCCATCTTGTATCCGAGGGGAGAGGGCTTCGCGAGCGCATCAACCCCGGGCAGCGCGCCGAGAGGAGTCTCGTTGCGGTCGGCGTGCATGACAGGAGACTCGAGCGTCAGAGGCCAGAGCGGGACGAGCACGGAGAGCTGCGCGGGAGCGGAAGAGGAGGCGAGCTGAATACAAACTCGGTTGTATTGAACTGATTACATTTTTCACCAATACAAACGAGACACAGTCAGGGGGAAGCTTGCGCGATGAGACAGGTCGGCAACCTGAGGGACTTCGCCGTTTTCGCGGGCCCCGCTCGTCGTCGCTCTCCCTCCGTCGCCTCACTCGCTCGCAGGACTAGCAGACCATGGCATCCACGTCGAATCAGCCTGACAAGGCGCAGGAGAAGAAGCACGTCATCCTCCCGCTGTCGAGGGCAGCGCCAGACCAGGTCTTGAACCTCCGCCTCATCCTCCACTTCCTCGCGCTCGTACTCCCGCAGATCTGTGAGTGGCACGCCTTGCTCGGCGTCAGAAAGACGCTGACTATACACCCGCGCAGTCATCGTCCTCCCGGCACGCATCTTCGTCACACATGTCCTCCTCCGCTGGCGCTCGCCCATCGTCCGCGTTATCGGCCGTCCCGCCCTCGCAGACTACGTCTCCAAGCTCGCCCAGTTCATCCTCAGTCGATGCCACACCGCCCAGGTTCGCATCGTCTTTGACCGCGTCCGATCATACAAGCTCGTTCAGTCGGGCCCATACTTCAAAGGCTGCCGCGACTGGGTCACAAAGGTCGAGGTCAACGGGACTGCGGGACGTTGGATTGCGCTCCCGGGAACGAGGCGCGAGGAGGACGATGTCGTGCTCTTCTTCGTGCACGGCGGCGGCTTTGTGTGCGTTTCGAGTCTTCTCATCCGCACGCCGCGTCCCTAACCCTGTCTCTCGAGCAGCGTCGACACTGGCTCAAACGCCCAAGACATCCTCTTGCACGTCACCAAGACGCTCAACCTCAAGAAACACACCCAAGCATCGGTTTTCTGCCTCGACTACCGTGAGTTCTCGAGATTCTCTCCGCAGAAGTCGTGTGCTCACCCTCAGCTATCGCAGGCCTCGCTCCCGAGTACAAGTACCCGTCGCAGCTCATCGAGACGCTCGCGGGCTACCACTACCTCGTCAACACGCTCGGCATCAGCGAGGACAAGATCGTCATCGCAGGCGACTCGGCAGGCGGCAACATCGCGACCGCCTTCCTCCTTCACCTCGCTCGCCCCAACCCAGAAATCTACGTCCCGGAAGAACTCGGTCCTACGCCCAAGCGCCCAGCCGGCGCACTCCTCATCTCGCCCTTCATCAACCTCGCCTCTCGCTCGGCCTCGTCCTTCGCCAACCCGGACTATGACTTCATCGACCTGGGCGGTGGATTTCGCGCAGCATGCGACTACGTCGGCGTCTACCCTCCGCCGGGCTTCCGTTTCCCTATGCCGAGCTACCATCCCCGCTGGCACTTCGAGTTCCCGCACCCGCACCCTCCGACGGATGGAAGGGACTTGCACACGCAGTGGGGATGGGCGCACTGCGAGGGGATTGAGAAGTTCAACTCGCCTTATGTCAACCCGATTGTCTGCCAGGATGCGGACTGGTGGAAGGAGGCGTGTCCGGGAGACGGCAAGACCGTCGTTACGTGGGGTGCGTTCGCCCGGCTGTCCTCCCTTCTCTTGCACTTCGAGCTGACGATGCCGCTGGCAGGCGGCAAGGAGATCTTCGCGGACGACGACGAGGCGTTCTTCAAGCAGCTTGAGAAGGTTCGTCCCTTCCCTCCCTCCCTTCCTGCTGAGCGTGGGCTATAGGTGCTTAGCAGAATTGGCGAGACGGAAGTTTGACTGATGAGGTCGCCCGCTGCAGTCTGGCGTCAAGCCGGCCAAGCTTGTCAAGAAGTTCGGCGCGCACGACTGGATCTTGCATGACTGGGTGAGTTTGGCGCTGCATGCTCACATGCCGGCGTCACCTCAAAGCTCACATCTACGATACCTCGCCCGCAGAGCGTCCCGCTCGCATGGAAGACCAAGTCCAAGGGACCCGACAAGGACTTCTACTTCGGCATGAACGCCATCGTCGACCTCCTCTCCCGCATCGCCAAGGACGCCAAAGAGTCGCCTTCTGTCAAGCGCGCGAGTCTCGCCCGCTCTCCGTCGTGGGCCAGTCGACCCGACGTCAAGGCTGTCTCGCCCGAGTCCGTCAAGTCGTCTCCTTCGCGTACGGCTGGTCCGGCACTCGGTCCTGCTCCAACACCTCTCGCGAGCAAGTCCTCGGCATCAGCACCTGCGAAGCCCGCCACGGGAAACGACACCTACGCCGCGACTGCCTCGCACGACTCGCTCATCCCGCCCGACGCGCCCGTGCTCGCCTCCGGCGAAGGCGACATCCTGACGCGCTCAACACTCGGAGACAGCGGTGTTATCGTCGAGAAGGCGGGCGAAAAGGCGAAGGGGCAGGAGAAGCCCAAGCCGAAGAACAGGAGGTAAAGACGCAACTTTCGAGTAGATGGGTCTGTATGTGCTTCGATTAGGTATCTATGCATTGGCGACGTCTGTATCTCGCATGCGGTGCGCGATCGAGCGAGGCGAAGTTATCAGCGGCGTTCCCTCAGTTAAACGGCAAGAAAGCTGGCTTTTCGAGTCTCGTTTCTTCGGTCCGGCGTGGGTGCGAGGCAAGCTTCTGGATGTTGATGGCAAGCAACAATGTACGGCGAAAGAAGAAAAGAGAGCCCATGCAAGCGAGTCAAGCGTCTTCGCTCCCTCAGTCCTCCGCCTCCGCCTTGAAGTAGTCGTCGAGGACCTGCCTTCCGCCCACCATCTCGACCCCGTGCTTCGCCTTGAGATGCCTCTCGACGTCGTACACCCTCTTGAACCAGTACTTGCACGTCCCCTCGTCGTCCTCGTCGCCATCCTCCTCGAGCGCAGGCGAGGCGGGACGCGAGGGCTGGCCGAGGTCCTTGAACGGTAACTCGAGGATGGCGGGGAACGGGCAGCTGTACTTGCGAGGGACGTTGGCGAGACCGCCTTTGCTGGGCGAGCGGGAGAGGGCGGGCCTCGAGCCGGTGGCTTGCGGAGCGGAATAGTTGGCGCCGGTGAGGAGGTCGACGATGTTCTGCGAGGAGTCGGCGGAAGGGTCGGCAAGAAAAGCGGCGGGAGGGACGGGGAGACCTTCGGGGATGTCTTCGAGAGCGGGCGAGTTGGCGAGTCCGGCGAGCGACGGGGGAAGGGGGAGAGCAGGGAAGCCGGCCTACCAACGAACGGATCAGTCGCTGGATAGCGTCAGAGTGATTCGAGGGTACGTACCGCCTCGTGGAAGACCTTGCGCTTCTTCTTGCCGCCGTGGCGGAAATCCTCCCTCATTCGCTCGTCCCGCTCGCTCTCCTGCCTCGCCTCCCAGTCACTCCCCTCCTCAACCTCCTCTCCCTCCTGCTCAGGAGCAGCGACGCCTTCGAGCGCAGCACCCGCCTCGTCCACATCGCTGCTACTGCTCTTTCTCTTCTTGTTCCTCCTCCTCCGCTTCTTCTTCCCATTCTCGTCAAGCACAACCTCGCCCCTCGCCTCCTTCTCGTCACGCTCATGCAGCGAGAGGTGGTTCCTCAGACTGCGCGAGTTGGCGAAGACGCGTCCGTCGCACTCGGGGTGGTGGCAGGCCGGAGGGTGCACCGTCTTGTTGTGGCGCTGGAGGAGCGTCCAGGTGCCGAACTGGCGGGACTCGGCGGGGAGGGAAGCGCAGCTGGGGTGCATGCAGGCGTAGCGAGAGGCTGCGGGAAAGGCGCGTCAATACGGGAGGAAAGCGGAAAAGGCGCGAAGGTACGGACTGTCGTGCGTCTTCTCGTGGCTTTTGAGATGCGTCTTCTGCTTGAAGCTCTTGCCGCATCCAGGATGCTCGCACTCGAACGGCCTGATGTCGGTCGCTTCCGCCGAGTGCTCCTGCAAGACGTGCGAGCGGAGCTGGTGGTGCTTGCGGAAAGTCGAGTCGCACTCGTCGCACTACGTGACGAGAGCGAGTCAGCGACGCCGCCTAGAACAGAGCCGTTCGAACTCACCTTGTACGTCTTGCCGCCGTTGCGGTGGACGACCTCGACGTGCTTGTTGAGATGCTGATTCGTCCAGAATTTCTTCCCGCAGCCTTCCTCGGGACAAGCGCAGGGTTTCTCCGACTCGTCGAGGTGCATGCGCGAGTGAGCTTTGAGGTGCGAGTCGCGCTGGAAGTCGGCGTTGCACACTGAGCAAACGAACGGACGCTGTGACGGGTGGGGGACCGACAAAAGGTCAGCTCGTGTCCGTCGCATCACGGAGACGCTCCGCTCGCCCAGCACAGGTGGTAGCGATGCCTCTGTCACTGTACGAGCGGAAACGAGCGCAACAGAAACGCACCTCGCCCGTGTGAACCCTCTGATGCTCCTCCAGCCTCGTTGGCCTCGCGTAGCACTTGCCGCAGCCCGGCCAGGTGCACATGTACCTCCTGCAGGGTTAGACATGTCAGTACGCTCACAGTCGCCCGCGTAGGAAGCGACCAAACGCACTTGAGGCGTCCGCCAGACATCTCGGTCGTCTCTCCCGGCTGAAGCTTGAGCGACCCAAGCAGCGAACGCGGGTCTACCTCTTCCTCCTGCACCTCGAAAGCAGGCTCCTGCGCGGCCTCGTCCTCATCCTCGTAGTCCGACTGTGCGGGAGCGGTTCGCTGGAACAGGTCGGCGGGGGAGACGAACAGAGCTGCAGAGCTCGCCGCGTCGTGCGGGAAGACGTAGGACGAAGTGGAAGCGACAGCAGAAGCCATTCCGAGCACAGCAAGCCCGCCAGCGCAGCCCAGCGAGCGATGCGGGTGTCGTCGACGAAGCCAACCGCTCATCTCGCACAAGCTCAGGCTCACACCTCTCGCACACCTCGCTCTCGACCACCCGCTGGCTCACCAGTGCTCGTAAGCTGCTCACACAAGCTCGATAGAACTGGCACACGGAGCGAAACAGGCGCGGGAGGATGCGATGCGGGTGCTTGCGGTCGACGCCGATGGGAATCTTGCCGAGCAGCTCGCGCGGCGTGCGACAGGGTGACAAGGTAGCGCGGGTGTCTGGAGGGCTGCTGGGACTGCTACACAGCGTACGAGACCATACCGAATGGTTCCCGTGCTGACGCCACCGACTTGTGCAACAGTCTCGCTTCCTCACCCTCGTCTGAACCTCGTCTCGCTCGACAAACGACTGAAGGCTTGCCATGGCTGCTCCCGTAGCGCACACCCCCAACAGCGACGACATCCTCGGCTCGCACCGCTTCGTCCAGCCCGGCGCATCCACCTCGTCCCCCTACTCCGCCGCCGCGCCTACCGCCTCGTCCATCCTCTCCGGCGCAACCCTCGACCCCGCAGCTCTCCACCCCCTCGCTGGCGTCGTCGACAACAAGGACCTGGACTACCTCCTCCTCGAAGATGACAAGCTGAGTGCGGTTGCTGGAGGAAAGACCGTCTTGCCCAGTCGAGGATGGGGAGACGAGTTGTGCTACGGAACAGGGTCCACCTACCTTGCTGGTTGGTTCATATCTAGGTATTCTCAAGGGATATGTAGGCTCACGGATTTCACGCCCGCAGGTCTTGGTCTCGGCGGCGCATGGGGTTTCTGGGAAGGCCTCCGCCGTCCTCTCGCCGCTCCTCGTGCCACCCCCTCCGTCGCCCCCGCATCCGCCACCGTCGCCGCAACCGCTACCGCACCCACAGCATCAGCAGTCGGCGCGCAAGCGACTGCCTTCGCGAAGGAGGCCGCGCAGCAGGTTACGGAGTCGGCGAAGCAGGCGGCTGGTGCGGCGGGTCAGGCGGCGCAGAGGGTTTCGGCGAGGCTGAGGTGGAACAACATTCTCAACCAGGTCACAAGGCGAGGAACGTCGATGGGCAACTCGGCGGGTGTTTTGGGTGCGTCCGCAGCTCGTCCAGTCGTTTCTATCGCTACGTCTTACTGATGTCTCGTCGCTGCGCACAGCTCTGATCTACAACGGCATCAACTCGACTATTGACGTCTACCGCGGCCATGTCCACGATGTCTACGGCTCAATGACCGCCGCCGCTCTCACTGGCCTCATCTGGCGCTCTACGGGTGCGTTCTGGCCTTCTCGCTCTCTCTCCCGCAACGTACTGACGTGATTCGTCGCCTTTTCACAGCCGGCATCAAGCCCATGGTCATCACCTCAGGTCTCTTGACGGCAGGCGCCGCCGGTTGGTCGTGGGTCAAGGTCCAGCTCTTGTGAGGAGGCGGACGGGAGCAGCGCGTCGTGCGCGTGTACTAGCAGGTCAAAACAGGCAGTTGGACGGAACGGAACGGCAGGTAGTGACACTTGTACTCCTCTTGTGAGCCCCTTGACATTAGAAGCTCCTCTCTCCTCGCATGCGTTTCCGTCGCCGCTCCGAGTTCTGTGAGAGCGCTGGCGACGTCGGCCTCGCGATCTACAGAAGCTCCCGCGCGAGCGCAATGAAGCCAGATTGCGGCAGCGGCGACAGCGGCCCAACTCTCCTCGTCCGGCACGCCCTCGCCCGCGCGACTCCGCCAGCGGTGACGGGTGCGGGCGTGCGGAGTGCGGAGGAAGCAAAGTGTCTGCCCTGGGCACAGAACGGTGCGAGCGAGACAGGGCGCATGATTCCCTGATCCGGCGCAACTCGTCTTTGCCCGCTGTCCTCGCGAGTCTCTTCTCTTTCGCTAGCGCCGTTTAGACTTGATGGACGATTGACGGATCGCCCTGCTCGAACAGAAGCATGGCAGCACTAGCGTCAAAGTCGTGAGCGAGCTGCTGGTCCTCGTCCTCCTCTCCGCTCCTGCCTCCTCTCCGAACCGCTTGCCGTCCGCCGCGCCCTCGTACGGGCGGGCGTGTCTCACGGACGGACGCCGATCCGCGCATTGCGTCGCCCGACTTGCTCCTGCCTTTCCCGCGCGCACACTCGCCGTCGCCGGGCGAACCCCTGCCTGCCCGCCCTCCTCTCGTCACGCTCGACCCTGCGGGAACGCAGGAGCTTGCGCGTACCCTGCCAGAGGAGTGCACCCCTCCTAATTGCCTCGCAAAGGCCGAACGAACAGCAGGGGCGCGAGGGAGGATGACGCTGGGAGGGACCTTCCGTCGTGAGGCACCCTGCCAGGGCCGTGTTCTTCTGCGTTTAGAGCCGTTACTTGGCCTGCCATGCTTTACGGAGCGAGAAATGAGGCGCAGCAATCGACTGTGCGTGCCTGCCGTTCGTGCCGGAGGGTGACCTCGAAATCTCGTCCCGAGGTCCTGCGATGCGTCGTCTCCGCCCGCCCTGCTAATGCCGACCCTGCCTTTGCTCCGCCGCTTTCCTCCTTCCTGCCACTCGTCCGCACGCAACCTGCTGCAGCGCGAGAATCGAAACCCTTGCGAAGCTGCCGTCTGAGCGGACTCTGCGCGTCCTCTTGCCGTGTCTCGACCCTCCTGCGCCGCCTGCCGAGGGATAATCGACACACACAAGTGGCTCGCCTGTCCGCCGCTCCTCTCTGAGCCCGCGAAGGAGGCAGGAGCGCGTACGCAAGGTCAGTTCGGACTTCGAGGCTCCTCTTTGAGCGGGTGCGTTCTTTTCCCGCCTCCTGACGCTCAGGCAATGCAGGGTCCCCGCGCTGACACTCCTTTGCCATTCATCCTGATCGTGCACCGCTTCTTAGCAGCCCACCGGCGACCGATCTGTCCAAAACAGCCGCGCCTCTTCCCTTCTCCCTTTGCTCTCTTTCGTCGCTTCCTCCGCCGCCCTCATGTCGCGCCGTCCTCCCGAAGGCGACGAGGACCCCTCCTCGACGTCTTCAAGACGCCAAACACGCCGCAGCTCGCGCTCTGGCGCGTCTATCTCGGCGGCAGAACCTACCTCCTCTCTCTCGACCGCTCGCACCGGACTTACACAGCCGCATCCGCCGCTTATCTCCTCCAACGACCCCGTCGCCTCTTCTTCGTCGTCGTCGCTCGGCGTCGGTGCCGGCCGCGCACCGAGAGAAGCGACTGCTCGACGGGCATCGAGGAGGGCGTCGCTCGACCCGTACCCGACTGGTCTTGGCGAGTCGCCAGAAGCGGCGAGGGGTACGAGGCGGGCGTCGAGAGCGACAACAGGGGATCAAGAACGTCATGGGCGTGTCGAAGAAGAGCAGGAAGACGTGGGAATGCAGGCAGGAGAGGGCGAAGGACGACGAGCGCCGACGGACACTGCGACAGCTGGTCGACCAAGGTGCGCGGTTGCTCTCGTTCTCTCGCTCCAGTACACATGCACTGACCACTCTCGTTGCAGAACGTACGAGCTCGTCATCATGCAGCAACCTCGAGTCGGAGCTGAAGCGGGCATGGGCAGGAGCACAGTCGGTCGGGTGCGTCTCGTCGCCTCTGTCCTTCGCTCCCGCTCCACACTGATGCATCTGGTCGCCCGCAGCTACCCTTGGTACCCGCGCCCATCGTCGAGGTCATCGTGCGCGACGAGCGAGGGCGACGAACGTGAGTCTTCTTCGACTTTATTCGAGGAGTATTCAGCGCCTGACAGCCCATGCATTCCAGCGACGTCGACTTGCCCTACCTGCTATGCACGGCTCGACTAATGCTAGAGGACGGCCTGACCCGCGCCGAGGTCGCCCAACTCGCTGAGGTGCCGAACGGCGAGGACGCAGAGACGTTCAGCACGCTGGTCGGCTCGCCCTCTGCCAGTCCACGACGCGTCGAAGACCTAGAAGGTCGTCAACGGAACGTCTTTGTCTTCGAGGATCTCGCCGTGAGGGTTGGCGGGACGTACCGGCTTGAGTTCCGCCTGGAGGAAATGTGAGTTTGGACCCGTCGCTTCCCGCTGCTCTCACACGAGCCCTGATCTCGTACAGTCCCAGGCGTCTACCGACTGTCCGACAGCTCGCCAGCACCGTCTCGCAACTCTTCGACGTCGTCGAATGGGCTGACTACCCTGGCATCCCTCCATCCGGTCCGTCCCTTCGTTCCTTGATATTGGCTCAAGCTGACCTCGTCAATCCCGCAGAGGTCGTAACGCAGCTATCAATGCACCTGCACCAGCAAGGCGTCCCAATGTACATCCCGCCGCTCATCCTTCCTCAACCTGACCTCCCCCCTCCGCCCGCCGGCTCGAACCCCTTCCCTCCCGAAGACCCTCGCTCAGGCCGTCCTCATACCGCCTCGAACGGCGATACCCCGCCTCCCGCCAATTCCCCGAGCCCTTGATCCCGCCTACCCTTTCGCCCGCGCCTCGCCTCGAGCCGCCAACAGCCTGTATCCAGCCTGTGTTGTTTCTATCCCCTTGTGATTACGTGATATCCCTTCTCTCCACCTCGCAATCAGCAGACGTAGCTTCCCTGATCTCGCAGTCGTGTCGTTCCTTCGCAATCGCAGCCTCTGCAGCCTCTGCAGCCTCTCGCAACTCTCGCAGGTCATCAGCGCTCATGAGACGATCACGTTAGTCGTAGGCCATACAGGCGCTGTGTGGCGCCAGCTCGAGCTGGGAGAGACTGAGGCTTCCTGCTCTCGCTCGTCCAGGAGATCGGAAAGAAGCTTGCGCAAAGTAGGCTACAAGACCGCATTGCCCAACTGCGCCATCTCCCTCTTCCTGTCGCCCGCATCAGTAGTCGTGATACTCGCCGCAGGAGGCGCATGGCACGTAACGGGGATACCACCCCAAGTCAGTCTTGCCGGCGAGCGCCGCTTTACACGGCGCCATGGCACTGTCCGAAACTGGGACAACTCCGAGATGCGCGTACTTGAGAGACTTGAAGGCGAGGAGTGCGTGAGTGACGGCGTCGATTGGGAAGAGGGCGGAAGTCGCGTCGTCTTTGATCCAGACGGAGTACATAAAGTCGAGATGTGCAAGTTTCGGCGAATGCTCGGCGAAGAGACAGAGGCGTTGAAGCGAAAGCGCGGCGAAACCTCGGAGTTGAAGGTGCTCGAGATTGGGAAGGAGGGTGTAAAAGTCGTGGGGCACGACGAGTGCTGCTCCTCCCGTGCCGTAGCTGTCGCGGCAGTAAGCGTAGTAGGGGAAAGGCGAGCGCCGCATTCGTAGCTTGGTGAGTTGCGGCGCATGGCGGACCATTTCGAGAAGGCGATCCTGCGAGTACGCTCCTACAACGGACAAGTCGACTTCCCGCAGGAACGTCGAGTCCACCGGGAGGTACTGGAGGACATGCGTCAACGACAGATTTCCGCCCTCAATCGAAAGCTTCTGCAGCTTCAGCGGGAGTCGCGGTTTGACATTCGTGCCGGCAACGATGTCGACGCGATGTAGGTCGAGCGTGAGGTCAGACAGCTTGGGTGCAGTCAAAAGACTGGTCAACGCGCGCGGAGGCAGGGCGTCGGAAGCCGAGCTATTGCGAGGGCGCAACGAAAGACTCGTCATGTCGGAGGATGCGAGCGTCCGGAACAGCTTTGGAAGCTGGAGGGCAGACTCGAATGCGACGGAGATCGTCTGCGCGCTCCCGCATGCCACAATCATGCCGAGCAGCCACGAGAACGCCTTTGTCTGTCCGCGCTGGTGGAAGGAGCGGGAGTCGATGAAATCCTCGACAACCGTGAGCGCCATGTAGACATCGGCCAGACTTGCGAGGTCCCTTACGAGGCCGCCCAGGTAATTGTTATCGGCTTGAAGAGACTCGACGAGGCTTACGGCGCGCTGAGCGCGATTGGAAGCTCCGCGACGGAGACTGGGAAGCGGTTGCTTGTAAAGACGGCGGCGGGCGACTGGCAGGAACGAGCGGGAGACGAGGCAGAGGTCGCTGAGTGGCTTGTGCGCTGTGTAGGAGAACATCAGTGAAGGTCAAGGGGCGACATGCCGAGACGCACCTTGGGTGAAGGGCAGCGGGTCCAGGTAGTCGAAAATGAGCTCGAGGACGTCTTGCGGCAGCGTCGCGGCCATCTGCGAGCGTGTGCACCGGTCAGCATGTCGCGCGATGCCTTCGAGGGGGAAGGAGAGAGGGGAGGTCGTCGAGGCGGGGAGAGGGTGCGAAGGCCTGGGGAAGCTCGGACGCACTTCGAAGCTTGTTCCGGCGATCAGAAGAAGCAGCACGAGCGAGCAGAGCGAGAACAGCCGAGAGCAAGTGAGCGGTTCGTGGTCAAGAGGCGCGATGAGGGCGAGCGGGTCGATGTCGACGAGCGAGCTTGAGCGAGCAACCTCTCGCAGGACTTGCTGCCATTCTTTGCCAGCTCTCAGGGATCCGAGCTACTCCATAGCCTCGAGCGAGACAATCATGTGCGATGTGGACACCAGCTTGCGCTTCTCGAGTATACCGGGAGACGGCAGAAGAAGCGAGTCATCCGCGTGGCATCCTTTTGTACATCTCCTCCGCCCTTGAGACCGATCAAGCATCCTCCCCGAGCACCACGCTCCAGCGTCAGAAATGACGGCGACCGCAGTTTGGGCAGACGTCGTCGGCGAATTCGAACGCAAGCTTGGCGCGCATCTTCTTGAACGCCTTCTCGATCGGCTTGACGAGGGTGTTGCTGTAACCGAAGGGAATCGTCCCGATGTGTGCGTACTTGAGGCGCTTGAAAGTCGGGAAGACTTCAGCCAGATCGTTCGTCGGGAAGACTGCCGAGGCGCCTTCGTCGCGAAGCCAAACACAATCTTCAGTGGAAAGGTGTCGGATACGGGGAGAGTGTTTGGCGAGAAGTTGCAGGCGCCAGACAGACAAGGCTGCGAGACCACCGAGTTCGAGGCGGACGATGTTGGGCAGCAGCGCGAAGAATTTGGTCGGAAGGCGCGAACCTTCGACGTCTGTAGCGTATTGCCAAAGGAGATGATTATCCGGGTCGAAGGACGATGACTTGAGGGACAATTTGACGAGCTGCGGCGCGAGCATGACGAGTTTGAGGAGGTCGGGCTCGGAAGCGGCGCAGTATCGCAAGGCGAGATCCGTCAGGCGCGAAGTGTCGATCGGGAAGAACGAGTGAAGCGACAAGAGCGATGCCTCGGGGTCGACGATTGACAATTTCTGCAAATTGAGTGCCACTTGCGGATCTTGCTTTGACAGCGGCTCTCCTCCAGCCCAGTGCCGGTGATCTCGAGGGCAGAGATCTGTGTCAGGATCTGCAAGTTGTTGAGGAGCACGGCTGCGCGGATAGCGTCTCGTCCACTGCTCGAGTCGACGAGCCGGATGCGGCGAAGGTCCGGCAATGAGGTCGACACGATGCGGACGAGCTTTTTCAGCTCGGATTCGGCACTGTACGTCGCAGTCACCTCACGACAGTTCGGGCACGACGAGAAGATGAATAGCTGCCAGGAGAACGCCTTCGAGAACCCACGGAACTGGAGCGACGTCGGGCCGAGGGTTTCTTCCGCCAAGCCGAGCCTTTCGCAGGCAGTGTCTGCGCCTGAGAGACTGGTGACGAGTTTGCCGAGATATCGCTGGTTCGCACGCAGCGTTTCCGCCAGTTGGAACAAGGCCTTGGGGGCGAGGTGCCTGCCGAACAGTGGCTTGCGGTATAGGAAGCGCCTGCCGACATGGCAGAAGACACGCGAGACGAGACACAAACGATGAAAGCTCTGTCGCGCTGCGAGGGCGCTCGAAAGAGGTTAGCATTTACACTTACAGCTGTGGAGGAGCGAAGGGCAACGAACCGGCTTCACGCTTCGACAGCTTCTTTCCACCGCGGCCGATCTGATGAGGGTCCTGCTCGACGTAGCGGAAGACGATCTCGAGCACGTCCTGCGGGAGCGTCGCGGCCATCTGTAGGCGAGAAACCGTCAGCGCAAGTTCTCGAGGTTCGGGAGACATAACTCGACTTGGACGAGTGGGACGCACCTCGCAGCGTGATTCGGCGATCAGAAGAAGGTTCAGACGCAAGCACAGCCAGAACAAGCGAGAGCAAGCACAGCGAGCGAGCGGTTCGAGGACAAGAGAGGAGGGCAAGGTCAGACCGCGACCACATCCCGTCGACAGCTCGAAACGATGGCAGCGGACTCGCAGTCTGATGGTACGCCTGCCCCTGAGGCTCCCAAGGTGCGTCGCGGTCCTTCCCTGCCTGTGGACGAAGCGACGTCGCGTTCACGTCTCGCGAGTTGACCGATGAGCAATTTCGCTGACAACGCCTCCGATGGGCTCGTTTGTTACGTGCAGCCCATCATCAAGAGTGCAGACATGGCTCAGGAGGTGCGTGGGACCGTCACGCTTGATGATGGCGTTGTGGGAGACTTCTCTCTCGGCTCGCTCACCCTGTTCCCCTCACCGCAGATGCAGGATGCGGCTATCAAGGTAGCGACGGACGCCATGCAGGTCGCTGATGCGGAGGAGAAAGACGTGCGTTTCGCTTGGCCCTTTCGATCAACCCTGTCCTCCGCAGCTCTCCCTCCTCGCGCCTTAATTCCGTTGGCTCGCGGGTGTTTTCTCTGTTGCCGACACACACTTTGTTTCCCACAGATTGCAGCGTACATCAAGCGGGAGTTCGACCGGCGGTATGGCCCGACCTGGCACGTCGTTGTCGGAAAGAGTGCGTCCAGCTTGCTCTGTCTGCCGTTTCTGCAGTTAGCCTCCGCTCGACAGCTGATAAAACATTGACACTGCTTTCTCCGGCGCACGCAGACTACGGCAGCTACTGCACGCATGGTGAGCCGCGGTCTCGCTGATCGCAGGAAAGCTTCATTCGTTTCGCTAATTCGCGTTATCCGCCTCGCAGAGACCGGCCACTTCCTCTACTGGTACATGGGCAACATCGCCATTGTGAGCCAGGCTTCTACCATTGCTGATAAAGCTCTTCACTAACTCGCCTTGCAACAGCTTCTCTTCAAGGCCGGCTAAGCGTCCGACTTGCGCCGCTTGCTACGCTACGAGGCATCTTCGCGTCCAGATTCGGACCTCAAGCGCCCCGCTCCGCCTGCCTCTTCGACTTTCACGACCACTTCACCCTCTTTCCCTTCGATACCCTCTGCCCGCCGCCGTTTTCGTGCGGACTCCCTCCTCCGCCAGCCTTCGTTCGTTCACTCTGTTAGCTCAGCACAACCTCTACCTGCATTCGCATCAATCTCAGTCGTTCCGTCAGCCCTGCGTGCCGTCCCTTCCCTGCACCGGCCGCTTGGAGCAGCGGCAACAGCTGGTTCTGCTTCCCTGGCTCACTAGATAGCCTCGATAGCGTCTGAGAAAGATCTCGAGTACTGCAAGCATAGCCTTTGCTTGTTGTGCGCGACTTGGACCTCCTCGAATTGACTCTCTGCCTCAACCACACGCTCTCGCCCTTCCTCATAGCTGCTGCACGATGGCTGGTGTGATCGGAAAGGCTCAAGAGCAGGTTGCTCAGGCCCTCGAGGCCGCGACTGCTGCGGTTTCGCTCGGTGCGCCCGCAGGCAAGTCCCGCTTTCTCTCATCTCTCGAGGAGGACAAGGGGCGACACCGCTCGCTCGCGGCACCTGGCAGGCTGGCTGATTGACTCGTTGTGCCTTCTAACAGACGCTGTGTACGTCGACGAGGCTACCGGAGACGACAAGGACGGAGACGGCTCGCAGGCGAAGCCGTTCAAGACGGTCGCTGGCGCCTACATCGCTCGCACAAGCGACGCGATCAACGTGCATGTTCGCCAGGCGCCTGCCGAGGGACAGACTGAGGGCTCCTGGGCGGCAGCGACCGCGTCGGCAAAGAAGAAGGCAGCGAAGCTCCTCCAGACCCACAAGAACAAGCTCGCGAAGCAGGAGGAGTTGCGCAAGCGTGAGGAGGCCGAGGGCGAGGCTCGCAGGGCTGCAGAGGCGAAGAAGCTCGAGGAGGCAAAGGCGATCGTTCTCGAGGAGCCCACGACCGAGGCAACGAGGATCAAGATCCGCCAGGCGACTGAGCAGCGCGGCAAGCGGGTTCGCGTGTTTGGATGGGTCCATCGGTTGCGGCAGCAGGGCGGTATGACCTTTGTCATCCTCCGTGACGGCAGCGGCTACCTCCAGTGTGTGTTGTCGGGTCGCTTGGTGCGTTTCCAGCGTTTCTTTTCCCCGTTCTTGCGCTAACTCGGTACCGCTACAGTCGCAAACCTACGACGCTCTCACTCTCACCCTCGAGTCGACTATCCAAATCACCGGTGTCATCAACCAGCTCCCGGAGGGCAAGACGGCGCCCGAGAACCACGAATTGACGGCCGACTGGTTCGCCGTCGTCGGCAAGGCTCCCGGCGGTGACGACGCCTTCCTCAACCAGGTCAACGAGGTGAGTATGCAGTTTTTTTGCGGTGAGACGCAAGGCTGACGACGCTTTCTGCAGGACGCCGACCCTTCCCAGCTCGCCGACGCTCGTCACCTCGTCATCCGCGGCGAGAACGCCTCCGCTATCCTCAAAGTCCGCGCCGCCCTCCTCCAGTCCTTCCGCCAGTCCTACGCCAACCTCGGTCTCCTCGAGGTCACCCCTCCCTGCATGGTCCAGACGCAAGTCGAGGGCGGTGCGACACTCTTCGCGTTCGACTACTATGGCGAGCAGGCGTACCTCACGCAGAGCTCGCAGCTGTACCTCGAGACCTGCCTGCCCTCGCTCGGCGACGTCTTCTGCGTCCAGGAGTCTTTCCGTGCCGAGAAGAGTCACACCCGTCGCCACCTTTCCGAGTACACTCACGTCGAGGCCGAGCTCGCCTTCCTCACCTTCAACGACTTGCTTGATCACATCGAGGAGCTGGTGCGGCAGCCGTCCATCCAGACACGCATCAAAGCGGATCGCTGACAGACGCCTCTTCACAGATCTGCCAAACCATCGACCGCGTCCTCGCCGACCCCAAGATCAAGGAGCTGATCGACTTCCTCTGGGCCGGGAAGGGCAAGTTCGAGCCTCCCTCGCGACCCTTCATGCGCATGGACTACCGCGACGCCATCAAGTGGCTCAACGATCACAACATCACTCGCCCGGACGACAACGGCGTTGAGGGCCCGCACGTCGTCGGTGACGACATTGCCGAGGCTGCTGAGCGCAAGATGACCGACACCATCGGCCGGCCCATCTTCCTGATCAACTTCCCCAAGGACATCGTGCGCTCCCTACCGCTGTTCGTCCGATCCCCTTGGGTTGACCTCTCCCCCTCGCACAGAAATCCTTCTACATGAGCCGCGTTCCCGGCGACGAGGAGTACACCGAGTCGGTCGACCTCTTGATGCCGAACGTTGGCGAGATTGTCGGCGGCTCGATGCGTATTAGCGACCTCGACGAGCTCCTCGCAGCGTACAAGCGCGAGGGCATCGACCCTGAGCCCTAGTGCGTACTCGCTTGCCCTCGAATGTGGACAGACAAGCTAACGGGTCTCTCTCCGCAGTTACTGGTTCACCGACCAGCGCAAGTACGGCACCTCGCCGCACGGCGGATACGGTCTCGGCCTCGAGCGTCTCCTTGCCTGGCTGCTCAACCGGTACACCGTCCGCGAGTGCTCGCTCTACCCTCGGTGCATTCCGATGACTACCTCACCTCGACGTCTTGCTGACCTCTTCTTTCGCAGGTGGACCGGCCGCTGCACGCCCTGATCTCGCTTCCCTTCTTAGACTTGGCCGTGTGGGTGCTGTAGAGGCGCAGCAATGTCATTCCTGTCGCATCCTGAGGGAGAACTTGCGGAGTAGCGTCGTTCTGGCTGGTCTCGCCGCACTCCGAGATATTGCGGCCCTCATTGCGCCTCGAGTTCGTCGTGCTGCATCTCGCGGACAGCCCTTGTCAGCTTTCCACACCCCGTCCGCGGTCGGCTTCGACGTTGTCCTCCTTCTCTTCGCTCGCCCACCTCGCTTGGGCCCGCGCTGTCGTCGAGAGCACCCGATAGGCTTGTTTCTGCGTTACGCAACTTGCTCTCCCAGCCCGTTCCCGCCACGATGACCTGTGAGTCCCCTCTCCTCCGACTCCTCCCCACTTGCGTCGAACTGGCTGACCTCGCCCCGCACGCAGTTTCCGTGGCTCTGCTCTGCGTGTCCGACACCGCTGCTGCCGTGCCCTCGTCCGACCGCTCCCTCCCGCTCCTGCACGACATCCTCACTTCGCAGCCGAACGATGCCTACCGAGTCGTTGCGCAAGGCATCGTGCCCGACGAGACGGCCGAGATCGTCGAGAACGTCAGGACATGGGTGCACATGGGCGTCGACCTGATCTTGACGTCTGGCGGGACTGGCATGGGAACTCGCGACCGCACTCCAGAGGTTCGCTCCCTCTTTTCAGCCGCTCCCGCTTCCGTTCTCCTTCTGATAAGTGTCGCTTTACAGGCCATCGCACCTTTGATCGACAAGCCCGCCCCAGGCCTCGTCGTCGCAATGCTCACTTCCTCCCTCGCCATTACCCCTCTTGCCGCCCTCTCTCGCCCCGTCGCTGGAATCGCCCATTCGCCTTCAGGCGACGGGACCGGCTCCATCATTGTCACTCTCCCGGGCAGTCCAAAGGCAGCCAAGGAGAACCTCGAGTGCCTGCTCAAGGTTCTGCCGCATGCGCTGGAATTGGCGGGAGGCGCAAGAAGCCGGACGACCGCGGTTCACGAGCGGTTGCAGAGGGGAGAGGACGGCATGAAGGGTATCCAGGAGGCTGTCGTACAGCACAAGCACCGACACGAGGCGCCCGAACCGGCCGCTCACTCGCATGCGCACCCTCACACCCACTCGCATCACGGCCACTCGCACGAGCACGGCCACCACGGCCACCATGCTCCTCGTCCTCGGACACTCGTGTCTCAAGATCCGTCCTCAGCGAGTGCGTTGCGCCCTTTCTGGAACGCCGCTCCTCCGCCTGACACTCCCTCGCGCAGTCGCATCTCGGCAACGCAAATCACCGTGGCCGCTGATCTCCGTTCGCGACGCCCTCTCGCTCATCTTCCAGCACACGCCCATCTCCCCTGTCCAGACGCTCACGGTCGAGCCGTCTCTCGTCGGCCACGTCCTCGCAGACGACGTCTTCTCCAGCATCAACGTTCCCAATTTGCCGTCGACGAACATCGACGGGTACGCTTGCGCTGCGGCATTGTCCCCGCCAGGCGTCTACAAGGTCGTGACCAGCTTCCCTACCTCGCCGCTACCCGAAGGCACCGTCTACCGGATCAACACCGGCGCGCCCGTCCCGCCCGGTCTCGACGCCTGCATCATGGTCGAAGACACGGAGGTCGTCTCGCGCGACGAATCTGGCGAGGAGAAGGAAGTCAGGTTCCTTGCGCAGGTCGAGAAGGGTGAGAACGTGCGGCGGGAAGGCAGCGATGTCAAGACGGGCGAGAAAGTGCTGAGCAAGGGAGATGTTATCAGCAGCGTTGGCGGAGAGCTGGGAACGCTTGCGTTTGTCTGCAAGCGATCGGTGCGTACCTTCGCCTGAGCACCGTCAGCATCTTGCTGAGCTCATTTCCCGCAGGCTCAAGTTCATCGCCGCCCGACGGTCGCCGTTCTCTCGACCGGCAACGAACTGCGAGACCTGCAGGACACCTCGACGCCTTCCTCGACGTCCGCCGGGTCCGCCAACTTTCACGGCATCCCCGACTCGAACCGCATCTCGCTCATCTCGGTCCTCGAGAACCTGCACTACAACGTCGTCAATCTCGGTATTTGCGGCGACACGATGGAGGAGACGAAGGCTAAGCTGAAGCGTGGAGCGGAGCAGGCGGATGTGATTGTCACGACTGGAGGGACGAGCATGGGTGTCGGAGATTTGCTCAAGCCGTGCATCGAGCGCGAGCTGGGCGGGACTGTGCACTTTGGCAGGGTCGCCATGAAGCCTGGGTGGGTCCACAATGCCCGTTCTGGCCGTCCACTTCGCTAACGCCTCTCCGTCTCGCAGCAAACCCACAACTTTCGCAACCCTCCCTGCGCACCCGATGGCGCCGTCTCGCGACCCGACTCTCGTCTTCGCCCTTCCCGGCAACCCCGCTTCAGCACTCGTCACCTTCTTCCTCTTCGTCCTGCCTTCGTTGCGCAAGATGGAAGGACGGAGGGAGGACGAGTGGGAACTGCCTCGCATTCCCGTCACGGTGCGTTCGCTGCCTCTTCCTTTGCCCGGCTTGTACTGACCGCCCCTCGTCTGTAGCTCACCTCTACCGTCCCGCTCGACCCACGTCCCGAATACCACCGCGTCCAAATCCGCCCTACCTCCTCCGGCCTCAAAGCCTTCTCGACCGGTGGCCAGCGATCGAGTCGGACTGTCAGTCTTGCCGGCGCCAACGGGCTGTTGGAGTTGCCGGCGAGCAAGGAGGGCGATGTGGAGAGGAAGGAGGGAGAGGTGGTGCAGTGCGTGCTGATTGGGGAATTGGGACCGGCGGCGTGAGCAGGTGTAGCAGTAAGCGCGGGAAATGCACAGTTACTCTCTGCGAAAGACGGTCGAGAGAAACTGAAAGACGCGAAACTTTGTCGACAAAGTCTGAACCGCACATCGCGTACTCGCCGTGAAGGCAGGACAAGCGAGCATGCAGGAGGCGCAAGCGTCGAGAGCCTTTCAGAGCGGTGTGTCGCTGCGATCTTGCGCACGAGAGAAGAAAGAGAAATCTCCGTTGCGGCGTGCAGCAAAAGACCTTTTCGGATCCGCTCAAACCCGACAGTCGCCCGCTGACAGACATCCTGATAGCCTACTTCTGACACACTCCCTGCTCGTGACACGACGAAGGGGACTCAACAAACTGTCCTGCGAGGCGAGACCGATGAGCTCGAGCTGGATGAGAGGCAGAGAAGCGTTTGAGCGTACCTCTCAACCGCATCACGCAACTCCCGCCCACGGAACGCTTAGTGGTGGTGGTCGTGCGAGTCCTCCGCTCCCTGGTAGTCGACCTGGTACGCGCAGCCGCACTCGGGGCAGCGGACGGGCTTCGAGTCGGGGACGACCATGTGGACGGTGCTGCAAGATAGAACGCGCGTCAGGGCGGAGTTGGAGAAGATGAAGAGGGAGTAGACGAACTCGTGGCTGTCAGCAGGGATACCAGTGCCTGCGAGAATCGCGACCAGCGTCTCAGCAAATGTTCAAGCAGGCGGGGCCATCTCTCGCCCTCCGCTGCATCGCTCGCAGAAACCATCAGCGACACTCACAGCCAACAATGCGCTCGTGGTCCTGTAGCGCGAATCCAAACGCAAGTCAGCCTCGGTCAACCTCCTCCCGAACAGCAATCCGAACGCACAAGGGAGAAGACCATGACGGGCTCCTTGAGGGTGCCGTAGCGGGACGCGTCGAGAGGCTCCATCGAGAAGGCCTCCTCGCCCTGCAGCTTGTGGAGGAGCTCGAAGCGCTCGAGACCGGTCGCCTGCTGCAAGTCGGTCGGGACCTCGCCAGCCTTTCCGCCCTCGCCTGTGTACGCATGCGTGAATGTCAGCTCACACAAGCAGGCGTTCCCAGCGTTTCCCGCGAGTCGAAGTCCAGCGGGTTGTCGCGAAGGTGAGGGAGAGCCGAGCAGGCGACGGGCGACGCACCCTGGATGATGGGCTCGTGGTGCTCGCTGAGGCGGATGGCCGAGGTGAGGAAGGAGCGGGCGACGGGCGCCTGGACGCGCGGGAGGGCACGGGGTGCGACGGTGCGGAGAGCGGTGCGGAACATGGCTGAGGCTGGTTTGCGACGGTCACGACGAGACGAGGGGAGTCGCGGTGGGTGCAAGCGAGTCAGTTAGAGTCTGCGAGTCTGTCGAGCGTGAACTGCACGCACCTGGAGCGGGTGTCGCCGAGTCGGGACAGATGAGGTCGAGCGGGCGAGGATGGGCAAGTCGGATCGAGTCGCGAGTTGGCGGGGCGGTGAGGCGAGCTGTCGTCAGTGTCTGGACGCTCCGTGTGGTGCTCGCGAGACCAGCAAGCGCACCTGCGAGTTGTGGTGTCCAGGCGACGAGCTGGCCCTCTCTCCCAGCGACGACAACTTCGCGCTCGCTCAACCTCGACAAGCAGCGTCGCAAGGACGATACAGGATCTTTCGCGGCACCGGTGGACTGGATGTCGCCTTTGGAGCGAGGCCTGCGGTCCCGTCGAGGGCATCCTCCCTCTCTCGGCGACAACAGCAAACGAGGAGCGTGACAACTCTGTACAAACAATGGAGACACGCGAAACACACACAGTCATACACAACAACTGAGGGAGAATGGGGAGTGAGCGGGAGCGGTACAGAGTATCGACAAGCGGAGGAAAGAGAGAGACAGTTTTGGGCAGGTTCAGACGCCCTGCTCCTCGAGCAACGCCTCGATAGTGCCCAGGTCAGCCTTGGCGTACCACCCTTCCCCGCTCTTCAGTCCGCCAATGGTCCTGCCATCAGCAGAGGCAGCGAGGGTGTCCATCTCCATCGCCATCGACGCCGTGCTCTTGGCCGAGAAGGCGCCCTCGCCTCGCAAGAGCTCCTCGACGACACTGTCGATCCTGATCGACGCCGATGCCGACGCCGACGTGGCGCTCGAGAAAAGCGGCTCGTGGTCTTCGAGGTTGGGCTCGGTGTAGCAGCCCTCGGCACCTGCGGCGATGAGGAACTTGCAGTCGGGTACGTTGCTCGGTGCCGGGTGCAGCGACGGGTCGACGAGCTTGAGAAGCGCCGGGGGAAGCGTGCGCAAGGGGTTCTCGAGGAGAAACTCGAGCTGCAAAGCCGACATGTCTGCGCACCGCAAACTCCGGTCAGCGCAGTCATGGAGAATTTGGACAGTGCAGACGCACCGCCGAGAGGAGTCTTGTGCGCGCGCAGGACGGCGAGGATCGTCTGCACGTTGCTCTTCATCTCCTCCTGGCCCTGGGGGATTTTCTGGACGAGGAGCATCGCTAGCTTGCGAACGAAGGTGCCTGCGGGCGTGCACGGCGTCAGTCACTGATCAAGAAAGGAACGGCGGAGGGGCTACGCACGTCCAGCGACGGCCCAGCAAAAGTTGATGAACGGCGACAGGCGCGAGACCTCGTACGACGTGCCTGTGGTGCCCGCGCTTTCGTCAGCAATGACGAGCCCTCAGGTGGAAGAAGGAAAACGATCGCACCGATGATGACAAAGATCGTGTTGAGGATCTCATTCGCGCTCGTCAAGCACTTCCTCATCCCCTCGTCCTGATCACTGATCGAGTTGACCCACGGCTCATGCAAGAGGATGGTGGCGTTGTGGCTCATCGCGTGCGTGAGGCAGAGACGCGTTTCGGTCAGGACGTCGGGCGCGACGCCGGGTGTTGGGCGGTGCGTGAACTGGTATTCGCGAGGGATCGAGGCGAGGAAGGTGGCGATCATGGCGTCGATGCGCTTGAAGGCGTCGCTGCGTCCAGTAACAGTCCTCCATCAGCTCTCCCATGTCCAGGCAGCAGGAGGGAACGAGCGCGGCTCACGTCGAGCGAACATCCCTGATCGGGTCATTGAGCGACATGGCCTGCGCGGCCGACCGGAGGACATGCGGTGCGCGCTGGGTGAACTGGACGGCCTTGCCGAGGAGGATGACGGCCTTGAGGAAGAGCTGGAGCGGGCCGACGAGGTGAGGTGGGTGGGCGATCCAGAAGTTTGGGTTGCGAGGCGAGAGGGCGCTCAGCTCGAGAGGGGAGGTCTGCGAGGCCGGGAAAACGTCAGTCACGCATCTCAGATGCTGCGAAAGGTCGCACGCACCGGCTGACGACGCGCAAGCGAAGGGATAGGCGTCGTGTAGTCCTCTGCGCGACTCGACCTCGTCAGTCCCGCCCCTCACGACCTCAGCGAGTCGCGACTCACCCTCATCGATACTCGTAGCCCACCCCGTCGAAGCGGACGAGAACCGGTCCGCCATCAACGCATTGTAAAACACCATCGACCGTTCGTACAGTTCCTCCTGGTCGTCTGTCCCCTGCATGAGGTAGCCTTTGTAGTGCGCCGGCTGGGCGGGCTCGTCCGATGCGGCGCGGAGGTGGTTCAAGCCGAGGGGAGTGCAGATACGGGTGGCGTTGCCGACCATCATCCAGAGGTCGGCCTGCGAGCGCGAGCGTCAGCGAGAGAGGCGAGGAGGTGGGGTGAGGGAGGGACGCAACGAATTTCCCTTCGGTGTAGCAGAAGTAGGTGAGGAGCGCTGAAGCCTGCGCGATGCGGAGGAACTTGGCTCCTTTGCCGACGGCCGAGTCGAGCGCGACCTGGGCGAGCTCACCGTCAGCTCGAGTCCCGACTGAAGCGATACGCGCGAGACGCACCTTTGCTTGAGCGAAATGGTACTCGCTCGGACTACTATACCCAACCCAATACATCTCCTCGCTCGCAAAATAATCGGGCGAGACCATCTTTGCCGCAACGGCGCACATCGCATGGAGCAACGAGAGATGCGGGAACCCAAACGCGGTTGGGGGGAGGAGCATGTCGGCGCGGAACCTGGACGGGTCGATCATGCCTTGACAGATGTGCGGTTTCGAGAAGTAGATTTCGCTGAGGCGGGTCGTGAGGTCGGGTGAGGGGAGGGACTTGGGCCAGCCGGGGTAGAAGAGCTCGTAGAAGAAGGGAGAGGGGGGCGTGAGAGGAGGCGTCGCGTCGTTTATTGAGCTGCTGGTCGTGAAGGGCGGACTGGGCTGTTGAGGCGCCGCCGCCGCCGCTTGTCGCGGGAGAGGGAGGTCCCGCATGCTCGATGACCGGAAGGGAAAGTTGTGCCCCGCCGCCGTCGTCGCGTCGGTGAACGAGTTCATGTCGAGCGTCGGAGGGAGGCTGAAGGCCGGTTGCGACAAGAGCGGGTCGGGGAGCGACGTCACAGCAGCCGAAGTCGTCGGGTACGTCTGCGGCGACGTGAAGCCAAGGTTGGGCAGGGCAAAGTTTGCTGGTGCGATGCTGCCGGACGAGCTGGCTGACGAAGCGGTGTACTGAGGGAAAGGCTGAGGGGCGGGCGACGACTCGGAGCTGCTCTCGCCGTTCTCGGGGTCGATGCCGGCCTTGGCGAGCATCGCCTTCAAGTTGGCTGCGGTGAGAGAACATCCATCAGTCGCTGAGGATGAGGGATCGAGCGCCTTTCGAGCACCCACCGATCGTGTCCTCGAGCGCCGCAACCTTGGATCCAGGCGACGCGCGCTTCTTCTTCGGCGCATTCGGGTCTGCGTACTCGCACGGCTGGACGCGCTCCGGGTCTTCGCCGTGCACGACGGCCGATTTGCGGCACGACCCACAGAGGGGTTTGACGCCGTCGCACTTGAGTTTGCGCTTCCTGCACGTCCCGCAGGCCTGCCCGTACGAATTGTCAGTCACTGTAACGACACTCCCTCGTTGTCCCATCGACCCATCGCGGTTCCCAGGCCGGCACGTGTACTGTCAGCTCGAGTCGGGCGGGACTCACGTTTCCTCGAGCGATGCTGGGAGCGTGTCGTGGCCCGTGAGACGAGAGCGGGAGTCCCAGTCTCTGTGCCTCTGAGAACGAGGTGGTGATGCGGTCTGCGGGCATGGCGATGTGTGCGATGCGATGCCGCGTCGCTTACGAGGTGCTTGGGTGAGCGATCTGAGGGACGGTGGGAGGGGTGGCAGCGAGTCTGGGTGAGTTTCCTTGGGTTGTGCACGGTGTCGCTGGTCGCAGTGAGCGGTATCTGGCAGTCTGGCTGAGTCAGAGCGTCGAGAGGAGCGCGCCCGTCGGAATCGTGGATCGTGAAAGAGGAGGCCGCATGGGAGCGGAAGGTCCGAGGGCCGACAGAGTGATCGAGATTACCTCCTAATCAGCAACCCATTACAACCCATTCCTAATCACCCATTACAAGTAGGTCAAGTTCCGGCTGCCTCGCCCGTGAGAAGGCGAACAGGAGTCGACACTCGATTCGTAGCACAGCAATGAGGGTCGAGCAGGGGTTCCAGCAGACGCCACTCAAGCTCCCACTGCCCTACTCGAGCGACCACGCCTTGCACTCCCTCCTCGAGCGCACCCTGCCCCACTCGATCCACGGCAAGGTCGACGACGAACTCCGACAGTTCGAGAAGCGCATCGCAGGGCGTGAGTGCGCATCCTCGAGACTCACGCTGGAGGTGGAAGCTGACCCGACGACCCCCGACGCAGCCATCCGCGAGCTAGCCGCCATCGCCGACACTCTCCCCTCGTCCGTCGAGCCCTCCGTCACCCAGTTCGACCAATGGGGCCAACGAGTCGACAAGCTGCACACTTCGACGTCGTGGCAGCGACTGAAGGGAATCGCGGCCGAGGAGGGACTCGTCGGGATTGCGTTCGAGCGCGACGAGGCAGAGTTCAGCAGGACGAGGGTGTTTGCAAAGGTGCGCCGGGCGTTCTTGACCTTTCTATTCGACGCTGCTGACGCTGTAACGTCGTGCAGAGCTACCTCTTCGCGCCGGACGGCCTCTGTGCGTCGTCGACCGCTTTCTCCTCGCCTTCCCATTTCCTGATCCTTCTCGCTCTGTACCCGCTCGCAGACGTCGGCTGCCCTCTCTCGATGACCGACGGCTGCGCACGCGTTCTCGAGCTCGTCGGTACCGAGCAGCAGAAGCGCGAGTACATCCCCTTGCTTTGCAGGTGCGTCCCAAACCCTTTTCCTGTCGCTTTCTTCGCTGAACCCCGTCTCGACCAGCCGCGACCCGACGAAGGCATGGACCGCAGGACAATGGATGACCGAGCGTCCAGGCGGGTCGGACGTCTCCCTAACCGAAACGACCGCTCGTCCCCTCTCCCCCAACTCGACCCCCAAACCAGGGGACAAGTTCGTCCTGGACGGCTTCAAGTGGTTCAGTAGCGCGACGGACGGAGATGTGGCGCTTGCGTTGGCGCGGACAGGAGGGAAGGGGAGTAAGGGATTGAGTCTTTTTTTGATTCGGCTGAGGGACGAGCAGGGGAGGACGAACGGGGTCTTCGTGCATCGGTTGAAGAAGAAGTTTGGGACAAAGGTGCGTGGTGCCTCTTCCTGTTCTCCTTCGACGAGGCTGATGAGAATCGGGCGCGCAGGCCCTCCCAACCGCCGAACTGTCCATCGAAGGCGCAATAGGCGAACTCGTCGGTCCCCTCAACAGCGGCGTCAAAACCATCTCTTCAGTCCTAAACATCACGCGTCTCCACTCGTCAATCTCCTGCCTCTCGTCCCTCACGCGCGCGCTGCAGCTCGTCAAGGCTTTCGCGGAGGTGAGGCATATCGCGGGCGATTTGGGCGCGAAGTTGAGCGACAACGCGATGCATACGAGTACGATTGCAGGGTCGGAGATCGTCCATCGTGCGGTTCTGCAGCTATCGTTCGGGACGATCTCGTTGCTGGGAAAGACGGAGACGGACAAGGCGAGTGCGGGCGAGAAGGCGCGACTGAGGTTGCTCACGCCCGTCGTCAAGGCGTTCGCGGCCGATTTGACCACGAGCGAGTTGCCGAGGTTGATGGAGGGACTGGGAGGGCAGGGCTACATGGTTGAGAATCAGTTTGCGAGGTGCGTTTCGCGATGGTCTCTCCTTCATCACGCCCCGGGCCAGGCTGACATTTGTTTGGTCAGGCTCATCGCCGACGCAAATGTCGAGCGTATCTGGGAAGGGTGCGTCGTCGCAAACTTCCGCTCTCGCGCCAAAGCGAAGTCGAGCTGACCTTCGCAATCGACCGAACGCAGAACGACGAGCATCCTCGCGCTCGACGTCGTCCGTGTTGCGGCGCAGACTAAGGGCGGTGCTATCAAGGAGTTCGTTAGCGTGAGTTGCCGCTCCATCCTTCGGTGCAGATTCGCTTCGACTGACTTGCTCGTCCTCCGCAGTGGGCGCACCAAGTCCTCTCCTCCACCTCCTCATCTCTCCCCTCGCTCTCCTCGTCCTTCTCAACCCTCAAATCCCGCCTCGACCTCCTCGCCTCAGCCACCCACTCGCTCCTCACTCCCCCTCTCGACCTCCTTCTCCCGCGCCCGCTCCTCTTCCTAATCGGCTACCTCGCGTCCTCCCTCCACCTGATCGAACAAGCCGCGTGGTCTGCCTCTCGCCAGCGCGAGGAAGCAGCGATGGATGCGTGGGTCGTGGAGAGGTGGGTGGGCGATGGAGGAGCGAGGGAGGTGGAGAGGAGGGTTAGGGAGTGTGTTGGGATGAAGGGCGAGGAGAGGGAGAGGGAGATGACGAGGGAGAGGGAGGTCGTGTATGGCTTTGCGAGGGAGGGGAGGAGCAAGTTGTAGAGTCGAGCTTGCAGGGATCAGTACAATACACTCGTGTTGTAAGGCTTCGTGCGAATGCGGAATGCGGGATGCAAGAAACGATACGGCGGAACTACTCCCTCTGCCAGTTGACCAACTTCTTCGCCTCCTGCCTGACCGCCGGATCCGGGTGCTGGCGCAAAAACACGCTCGCCTCGTACCAACACGTGCTCTCCGGCTCTGCGCGCTCAGGCTCGTCGACGTGTCCCCTCCATCGTCCGTCGATCCGTCGGTCGGTCGTCTCGAGCATCGCTTCGAGTTTGGGTTCGCGGATGAGGAGCGAGCGGAGGAAGGAGAGGGTGCGGAGTTGGGTTGCTGGTGGCCAGTGAAGCGAGGCGGAGAGGAGGCGCTTCGAAAAGGCGAGTGTGCGGACGGGGGAAGGGAGCGAGCGCGGGATGAGGAAGATGGCAGACAGGGCGCGGAAGAGGAGATCGGCTTCGGTCTGGGCGAGCTTGTGCGTCTGCCGATGAGAGAGCGTCATCGCGTTCTGCGCGAGGTATGGCGCCTCTTCCATTGTCGGCGAGAGCGAGAGCGGGAGAATAAGCGAGTAGAGCGCAGAGACAAAGTCGCCGAGGTCGATGACGAGCGCTTCGCCTGAGTGAGGAGACTGTCAGCACACGATCGACGAAGGGGAAAGCGGCGTGCGCACCTTGACCCTGGAGAAGCTCGAACGCGGTAACAATGCAGAGGAGCTTCTCGCGCATGTCGTTGCGCTTGACGTCGATCGAGTCGTCCGCGACCTCGTCAACCTCCTCGTCGATGTCTCCCTCGTCCGTCCCTCGGTACACGAGGCCCTTGAGGACCTCGAGCAAGTCGCGGAAGAAGTCGATGTTGACGAGGTGGGCGAAGCGGGCGAGACCCTCGAGGGCGGCGGGAAGGAGCGGGCTGCGGTAGTCGAGCTTGACGATGCGGAAGTAGAGGGCGAAGAGGAGCTTGAGCGTCTCGGTCTGATTCCGCTCGCGCTCCTCCTGGTTGATGACGCCTTCGGCCTCGCGCATCTCTTTCTCGACCGCCTCCTGCTCCTTGCGCGCCTGCCGAGCCTTCTTCGAGCCCTTCTTCGCCATCGCTTCCTTCGCCTTGCCGCCCTTGCGACCCTTGTGGTTCTTCTCCTTGTTCCACCGCACGACGCCATTCTTTCCTTCCCGCTCGCGGTAGACGGCGTCGGCTGACGCGCGAACGCGACCGCCGCCCAGCTCGTCCTTCAGCCGGAGGTTGAGGAGGGCCGAGATGACTTCAGGTCGGACGGCGAAGGACCGAGCGCGGACGAGGCGAGAGATGAGGCGGACGAGATGGAGGGAGTTGAAGGCGACAGTGGTCGTGTCGTTCTGGAAGAGGTAGATGACGGCGTCGAGGCAGATCTGGTGACCCTCGTCCCAACCCTTGCGGCCGAGTCGCTTAACGATAACGTCCATGATGTTGACGGCAAAGTTGAAGTCGGGCTTCTCGCGAACCAGCGTGCACATGCAGTGCAGCGCGGCGGGCGCGACAGGCGTGTTCTCGGTGACCTCGCCTTCGCAGATCTCGAGGAACTTCTTGTAGGTCGCGACGAGACCGTGCTCCCACTCGCGCTGGCGAGCCACGATCTGGCTCACCTGCACCTCCTTCTCCGCCTCGGAGAGCTCGCGGATGCGGTAGCCGCTGAGTACGGAGATGGTCAGCCTGAGTCGATCAAGCTTGAGTGACCGGAACTCACGGGATGACATCGATGAAGACGGCGAGCAAGCTGACCATGGCCATGATGCGGATCTCGCGGTCGACGTTGATGGGCTTTTCACCAGCGCTTCGAGCAGACGACGAGGACGAGAACTTCTGCCCGCACAGCGAGAGAAGACGCTTGAGGAGGTTGAGCTGCGAGAGCACCGGTTCAGTGACGCTGACATCTGAAGGAAAAGTATCTTGACGCACTCCTCCTTCGCCCTCGCCAGTCCCTGCCGCTTCCCGACCAAGGTCCGCAATCTCCTCCTTCGCACGCTGTATCCGCTCCTTCTTGTTGCGGATCTCGAGCAGCTGCCGGACAGCTGGTCGACCGAACCGCTGTCCAAGCGGGTCGCTCTTGTACTCCTGCACCTTGCGCGGCTTCTTCTCCTCGACCTCTTCCTCCTCGTCCGACTCGGTCGCCTGAGCACCCTCGGGAACCTCGCCTGACCGCACGACCTTGCCGTTCTCGATGATGGGAAGCTTGGTCGGCAACGCCTTCGGCTCCTTCACCTTCTTGAGCGGACGAGACGCCTCATAGCGCGCCTCGAGGTCGTCGGCGTCCTCGGATGCCGCGCGCTTCTTCGCCTTCTTGACGGGTCGCTCGTCAACGTCGGATGCCGAGTCGAATCCGGTGGACGAGTCACCCAATTCGGAGGCGTCGTTGTCTCCGGCGGACTCGTCAGGGTCGCCGCCGAGCTCCTCATTGGAGTCGAACGCGACGTCGCTCCCCTCGCCCGCCTTCTCACCCTCGTCCGTCGACCACAGCCCCTCGTCGTCGTCGTCCTCGCTCCCGAGATCGGAATCGTCCAGCGAGTCGCCTGTGTCGATATCTGGTCCATCGCTCCACTCGTCCATCGTGCTCAAGTCGTCGAGGTCGTCGTCACTGCTGCCGAACGCAAAGTCGTCCGACTCGAGGTCATCGACGAGCTCGCCCTCAGGGTGATCCTTCCCACCCTTGCCCTTCTTCGGGACATCCTCGTCCTCATCCGCGCTGTCAAACACCTCGTCCTCGTCACCACTCGCCGCTTCTCCCGCCTTGATACGCTTCTTGCGCTCGATGTCGCGCTTCTTGGCAGCCTTCAACTCGGACTTGGTCGGGCCTGCGGGCTCGACCTTGATGTGCGAGAAGGCGGATTTGCGAGAAGCGGTAGGGAGAGAGGCTTTGTCTTGGCGGTAGGCTTCGGCGAGCGTAGGTCGAGAGCTGCATGAAGTATTCAGTACACGAAAGGAAGCCCGAAAAAGAGGAGGAGAGGGGACTTACGCCGACATGCCCTTCCTGTCGAGCTTCGTGAGGAAGTCTGCGCCGTCCAGTCCCTCACCGAGCTCCTCGTCGACCATCATTCCTTCGTCGTCGGTCCCAAAGACGTCCTCGTCGTCCTCGTCGCTGCCCTCCTCGCTGTCATCGGCACCCTCTCCTCGTCCGCCCTCCTTCGCGCCATTGGCCGGAATGGGGATGTAAGCGGGTCCCTTGCCCTTCCTGTCCTTCTTGGCAGCCGATTTGGCACTGCGCTCCTTCTTCGGGGCGCCCGTTGCTGCCGTACTCGCCCCCTTCCCTCCCTTCTTCGATGAAGACGACGCGCCGCCCTTCTGTCGCTTCGACGGCGCGGCGGGCTTCGACGAGGCGGGTCGCTTCTTGCCTGGCATAGTAGAGCAAGCACGAGTTGCTCAAGCACACGACCGAGCGAAGCAGTGAGTGTGAGAGAGTGAGCTTGGGCGAGGAGGCGGTGCGTCTCTCTCGAGTGGTCAAGTTGAGGGAAAGAACAAAGTGTTACAGCGAGATGTACAGTCTATGCGACGTCTAAGGGATCTTGAGTACCCGCTCACGCTCGTCCAGCACTTCTGTCGCCCGACCAGCGGTGTACAACGCCTCGACAACCTCCTTCTCGACCCAAGTCCGACTCAACTCGCCACTTTTCAGTGTCGCTTCTGGGTCTGCGTCTTGAAGGTCAACTAGGCCGAGCGAGAGAGCGTCGGAGACGGTCAAAGCCGAGGCAGGCGTAAGGGTATAGGTGAGGGAGAGGGAAGAGTGTGCGCCGCCGTAAGCGCGCGAGATGCCTGCGAGATCACGACGCCGTGATGAGACCGCATAGGGAGTCGTCGAGAAGACGCGAGGGCGCACCTGTGTCGATAAGGAGGATCTTGCCGTCGCAGCGGCTGAGGATACCGTCGAACTGAGGCGTGTGACCCATCTGCCGGCAGTGCGAGCGTCAGCTCATGCTCAAAGCGTCGAAAGCGCCATACTCACCACCATCCTCCTGACATTCAGCACTTCGAGCGCCTTCTCCACCCTCCCGCAGATCTCTTCCTCCTCCTCGAGCGCCCAATCCCGATTCCACATCGGCCCTCGCTCGCTCCAGAACTCCTTTTGCTCGGGACTTGCGCTCCGGGGCAGCCCAAGCGGGACGCCCCCCGGTACGGACAGGAGGGACTCGAGGATGGAGTGGCCGATGCGGTTGATATCGCTGATGGGCGAGTCGGAGGAGAGGGAGGTGAGGTATTCGGGAGTGATGCCGCCATGTACGAACGAGATGGCGCTGCGACGGAGCGGGTCGGAAGCGGCGGAAGACGCAGCAGCGAAAGTCGGGTCCTCGACGAAGCGGCGGTCAGACGATCCGGCCGGAGTTGCGGGAAGAACGGGGGCGTCGAAAGAAGTTGGGTAGTCCTCAACGAGGTAGGGAACGCGTGCCGTAATGCTGTAGTTGGCGCGGAACTCTTGCCCGATCCAGCCGTGCAAGAATGCCTCGCGACGATTCCGCTCGCCGCCGAAGGAGCTGCGGTGGGTGTGCGATGGGTGTTAGCGCTAGATCCCCCTCATCTGTCCTCAGCTCACACGCGCTTTGAAGGCGAACACGCAGAAGCGGCGAAAGAGTGAGCGAGAGAGGAGGAAACGCGCGCAATGTCTTCTTTCGTGACGTAGCGGTAGTCTCCAAGGCAGTTCATCATCTCGTGATTGCCCAGAAGGCTGTAGCGTGCGAAAGAGTGTTAAAGTGAGTCGAGCGAAGGACAAGGCGGGCCGACGTACGAAATGACGGCCCCTCCAGCTCGCTCCGCCTGCGGACGCAAGCTCTGGAAGAAGCGGTACAGCGCAATCGTGTCGGGACCGCGGTCGACAATGTCTGTGAGTGGGAACAGAGTGAAGACGTAGTGCGACGTGAGACGAATTCAGCGACGCACCTCCCGTCTGCACCAGGATTGTGTCCCCTCCGATCCACTGGCCCTTCAGGTCAACCACCTCGGCACGTCTCAGGATCTTCGTCGCCGCCGGCAAGTCCCCATGAATGTCTCCCATCGCGACAATCCGCTGTCGAAGGATCCGCTTCTCCTGGTCGCCCTCCTGCTCCGCAAGCGTATCCGCCCGGTCCACCTGGTTCACGAGAGCATTCTGCTGAGCTGTGCGAGGCTTGGCGAGGACACGGTGAGCCTTGGGTCGGAGGTCTGATGAGGGCGAGCGGGCGAGGTAGAGGAGGGCGCCGAACAACGCGAGCGTGAGGAACAGCAGCGAGCGGTTCGACGAGAGCGGCATGTCAACTGTTCTCGAGCACGTCTAGCACGGCTCCCAGCGAGAGGAGCGTGGTGTGCTCTCTCCAACCTCCTCATCGCGCTCCTTGTCCTCGAACCGCTCGCTCGCTCTCCGTTTCACGCGCTGAAACTGCTCCTGCTTGTGACTGTACCTTCTTCTGATCGCCGGATCGCGCTGCGAAGTGCGTCCCGCCGCCTCCCGCCTGGCCACAGCGCCCTCGTCCTCGCCATCCTGACGAGCGTCTCCCGATCCCGCAGATGTCCGCGACGCTCCCGCAGGACGTCCTTGAGCTTGTCTTCAACTACGTCGAGACATACGATGCGCTGGAAACGGACGAGGACGAGGACGAGACGTCGTGGTTCCAGGCTGGTGAGGCCCGTCATCTTGAGCGTCCGGAGGGACTGCATCGGCTGACAGCAGACTCGTACAGTGCGCCAGAACTTCTGCCGCTTATGTCTCGTCTCGCGCGCCTTCTGTCATGTCGGCCGCCGATTCCTGTACCGCTGTCCCCTCCTCGGCGCGACTCTCACACCGCAAGCCTTGAGCCAGCTGATCGAGTCGCTTCGTGCGAATCAGCGATACCTCGGCAAACTCGTGATGGATCTCTCGCAGGCTATCGAAGGCTACGACGTCCTCTGTCAGGCGGAGACAACCCTCGGTCCGACTTCTTTCCAGTTTCGCGGCTTCTCGAAGGCGTTCTCTTGGCAGTTGGCCATCTTCACGACCTGCACCAATTGTCGGAGGATATCTGCGGGGTATGGTACGGAGTCAGAGCTGAAGAAGCTCCTCCGCATCGTTCTGTCTTCATTGCCGGACCTTCGCCACATCGAGCTCGTCTCCCGCGAATCGTACGCCATCGCGACACCCGACACTCTCAGGAGCTTGCAAGGATTGGCTCAGCTCGCAAGTATCGAGATCGACGGCATCGGGCAGAACAAGCGGTTGAAGAAGGAAGAACCGCAGCTGGGCCTGCGCGTGTCAGAGCTATCCCTCACCGCATCCGATGCGCCACTGTCTTCGTCCTTCGCATTCCTTCCTGAAGACGGGTCCAGACTCACGGAGTTGTCTCTGTGGTTCTCGACCGCCTCTGAAGCCGACCTCGTTCAACTCGTCATCCACACGCCCAACCTCGTCAGTCTGTCCATCGGCTCTACAGCTCTTCACCCGGGGAACTCGACCATCTGGGGATACGGCACACATGTGCAAGGCGCATGCATACCGACACGCTTCTTCGCGCTCCTGCCCAACATCGTCTTCCTCGTCTTGAACGGTTTTGCGGCTCTCTCCCCGCAGCGCCTCCGCGTTTTCTCAAAGCATTCGCCCGAAATTCGACTTCTCTCAGTCTGCCACTCCGTCTGGATCCGCGACGACGGCGCCTCGGCCATCTTCCCAACAGACGACCTGATCGAGATCTTCCCGACCTTCCAGCACCTCGAGTCTGCGCATCTGGGGACCATCCCGCTGCAGAAGAGCAAAGCCATGAAGCCGCTCAAGAAGGTCTTCAAGAAGATGGGCGCCAACCTCGCGTTCGACTGGGCCGAAGACGTCTGCCCGAGCTGCGGCGAGCGACACTGATGCAGGAGCGCGCGGTCGCTGTCGGATAGCGGGAGGCTTAAGGCGCCAAGGAGGATGCGCAGGCTTTGCAACGCAGCACGGATTACGCTTTTGCCGTTGCTTGTTCCCTGCTTGATCCAGTCGAGGAGCCGGTCGATGTCTATACCGCCAGGCCGCGCCTCTCCACCTCCCTGATCTACTGAGACCTCTGCCAGCCACAGAAAGCGAAAGCAAGTCCTGCGAGAGCCCGCCGCCTCCTCGGAACTCCTCAATTCGAGAGTCCGTTCGACTTCGCTTCGACGCGCTCAACTCGACGCGGCTTGAATCGTCTCTTACACGGTCTCGCTGTCACGCTCGCGTTCAAACACCCGCTAGCCCCGTACACTTGCCTTTGTCCGACCCCTTTGAGCCGGTTCCTTTCCGCCGTCATCTCGCTCTCGGCACACACTCACGCGCTTTAGCTGTGAGTCGCGCACTTCAGGAGGAGGCGAAGGACTCTAGAAACGTGGCAGGGTGTTCGAGCAGCCGCACGAGCGCGCGGACGCAACGCGACACACCCTCGGCTTGCTCGAGGCGATGAAAGGATCTGGTGTGTTGGGAGGACACGAGGCGCACGGGGACCTGCGGGGGCACGTGGATGGGCACATACAGAGCAGATGCGCAGACCAGAGGATCGCGCTGACCCCTCGCACCGCTCTCGCACTCCAGCATCCTCCGCCTCGCCTCGCTCGAACAATGTCGTCCTGGTTCTCCTCTTCCACGCCGGCTGGCCCCAACATTCACCCCGTTCAGACGACCTTCTCGGACCCGAATGCGCTCTTCGGACCCTTGACGGCGAAGGATCTCGAGTGGAACTGCGCCGGCGGCATCAACACGGAGACGCAAGTACGTCGGGCTCGCTCGCTCCGTCTGAGTGATGATGAGGTGTAGCTGTTCAAGGAGAGACGGCCGCTGACCAGGTGTTCCCGCGCAGACATGGTATGCGACCTTGAAGGACGGGTCCATCGTCATGTGCCAGATCATCCACTCCAGCATTGGGTGGGTCGCGTCGTAGACTCTCACACGAGCAAGAACTGACAAATCCGTGCTTGCAGTCTCCTGTGGCCGACGATCCAAGTCCGTTCCTTTCCTCACCCTCGTCTCGTCTCCTCCGCTCACACTTCGCCCCGCAACAGGTCACCTTCCGCCACGCCAACCCGAAGACGGGCAAGAACACGTGGAAATCCGTCACGGTCTCGAACTTCAAGGTGCAGGCCGACAAGCGCTCGATGAAGTCTGACCAGATCACCGTCACGATGGACCCCACCTCTTCCTCCAAGTACACGATCGAGGCCAAGTACGACGACGAGGTTCAGATCTCGCTGCAGTACGAGCGCCTCGCCGAGGGCTTCAAGATCGGCGCCGGTCCTAAGGGCGGTTTCACCTACTTTGGCCAGCTCTCGGGCAAGGCTTCGCCCACCGATGGCTCGCCCGACTACGCCGGCGGCGCCGACGGTTACGCGATCCACCGATTCTGGCCTCGTTGCGCCGTCAGCGGTATTATGCGCGTCGGGAACGATGTGACGGACCTTGAGGGCGCACGAGGAGTCTTCATCCACGCGATCCAGGGCATCCGGCCCAACATCCTCGCCGCGAGCTGGAACTTTGCCAACTTCCAGACGGTCGAGAAGGAGGGCGAGGAGGCCGTCTCGCTCATCATGATGGAGTTCACGACGACCCCTGCGTACGGCTCCAAGGTCATCAACGTCGGCTCGGTTGTGGTTGGCGACAAGCTCGTTGCGGTTACGGCGGGGGGTTCGGGCGTCGGCGGCGGCTCGAACGTCACGCACCAAGATCCGGTCAAGGACGCCGAGACGGGCTACGACGCGCCGAGCGCGCTCAAGTTCTGCTGGGAGGGCGCCAAGCTCGAGGGCGAGGGCTCGAACCTCAAGGCCGTCACCGAGGGCAACAGCAAGGTTCACGCCGTCTTCACCGAGGACCTGCTCGTCGACAAGGAGGGCTACAAGACCAAGGGCCTCGTCGAGAAGGTCGATGTTCTCGGACAGATCCCCTACCTCATCAAGAAGTTTGTCAACTATGCGGCCGGCACCAAGCCTTTCATCTATACCGTGAGTGTCGCTCGCATGGGTCCTCGATGAGCCAGGCAGGAGCTGACGGAACTGCTTCTCGCGCTCGCGCAGTGGCTCAACCCGGTCAAGGCGTCCATCACGCTCGGCACCGGCAGCGAGACCAAGACGCTCGACGTCGACGGCTACGTCTTCACCGAGGCGACCATGATCTCCTAGACTATCTGTACTCCTCTCGCACGCTTTGCCGCTTGTATTATTCCGGTCCCATCGCGTCTATCCATCTCATCAGCCAGCCTTCGCAATCAGCAACTAATCGGTTCTCTCCTGCGGTCTCCCCTCGTTGAGCGAGAAAACCGAGCAGACGTTGTGCGAAGAGTAAAGGTTGCAAAAAGGTCTCGTTCTCTGTTTCATCTGACTACGGCCTTGCGAAAGCGCCCGGCAGCCGTCTAGGCGATGGCTGCGGCAGAGGCGGACGAGCGGACGAGGTAGGCGTTGGCGGACCTCCCGTCGTTGAGGCGGGACTTGCGGTGTCGATGAGAGGCGGCTGGCCGTACTCTTGCGAGTACTGCTGGTGATGGGCCGGTGTAGGTTGATGGTAGGGCGGTGCGATTGGCTGCGCTGGATGCGTCGGAGGTAGATATGTGGCCGAACCCTGAAGTGAAGGCGGAGGAGGGGGAGGGGAGAAGACTGGCGGCGGGGCGAACGAAGGCGGCTGAGGCGGGATGGGTGGCTGAGGCATCTGAGGGAGCGATCCAGAATGCCGCAAGGGCGAGAACGTATTGGCTATGGAAGGGGGAGGAGGGGGATGCGCGAAAGCTGGAGGGGGCGAGAAAGCGGGAGCGGGCGGTTGAGGTGGCTGTGGCGGAGCGCAGATTGTCGTCTGCGAGCTCGAGTGTGGCAGCGATGGATACGAGGAGGAAGTTGGCGGCGCCACGCGTTGCTGTTGCCAGTAAGCCGAGTTGCTGGGAGGGATGGGTGGAACAGGAGGTTGCGGGTAGGGCGTTTGTGCGGGAGGGGGCGCATAGGATGCAGAAGAATACGAATCGTACTGCATAGACGGCGGCGCGGGAGGCGCAGGAGTGGGTTGCGGCAACGGCCGGTGCGAGGAGGTCGAGGCGTAGGGGTAGCCTGCAAGAAGCGACGCGGTCAGTGCACACCGCGACGGGCCGACGCCGGATGTGTACAGACCTTGGCTGGCGTAGTGGTCGTGCGCGAGCTGCTCGAACTCGCCAAGCTGCTGAGGCGGCTGCGGTGCCTGCTGAGGCTGAGCGTACTGCCCAAACTCGCTCGGCGGTGCGCCATACCCAGCGTACGGCTGTTGATAGGTCTGCATCCCTGCATAGCTCGGCGCCGCTGAGTAGCTCGCGTATGAAGCGGCGGGAGGAGCGTGGCTGTAGCTGCCGTAGTGCGTGGGCGGAGGGGCTAGCGGGAACTGCTGGTAGGACTGCGAGGTGTGGATCTGGTGACTGTACGGAGGCGAGGTCACGGAAGCGGGTGGCTGCGGCAGAGGTGGGCGGGAGAGCGACATTGTCGACATGGACGAGGCGAGAGGGGCGACATCGGCGTCCGGATAATCTGCGGAGAGCTCGGCGGGTGCAGAAGCGACCTGGGCATCACGAAGGATGAGCATTGGCGCCACATGCGAGAGCAAGTTTCGCACGCACCGAATTAAGGCTCGCCTGCGAGCCCTTGTGCAGGTTGTTCCCCAAGCCCACCTGGCTACCTACATCCCACTCTTCCGTTCCGGCCTCGCTACCCGAGTGATCCTCGACGCGTGAGCCGGCACCGCCGTATGCACCTCCTGCTCGAGTCGGAGACTCGGCGACGGATGTCTTGCGCGACGTGCGCACCGGGCGAGGTTCCTGCAAAGCACCGAGAGTCAGCGCCATAATCTATAACGCGACACTTGGACTCGCGGTCGGCAAGGTCACGTAGCGAGGGAAACGGGCGTACGTTCGAATACCAGGTCAACTCGAGGTAGACCTCGCCAGCGTACCGACCTTTCCGCTCAAGCTTGACCCAGTCTGTACATCCCCCAGCTCGATCATCAGCATGCCGGCCATCGGAAAATGACTGCCAGTACGGTGACGGAAGCAGACGCACCGTCAAATTTGCCGACCTTGATCGTCTCCTCAATGTCCAGCTCGCCCTCGCCGATCAGCTTAGGGTCCCGCGCGTCGTCTGCCCAACAAGCAATTCGCAAGACGCGCCGACCTGGCGGATAACCCGTCGCGAGAGGCGCAACGACAAGCGAGTTCGAGTCTCGCTTCTCGTGCTTGCTCGCCGCCTCCGTTCCGGTTCCGGCCCCCGACTTCGCTGGCAAAACGCCTCCCTTCTGCGTCACGACCGCCTTCTGCTCCGCTGCAAGTTGTTCCTCGCCGCCAAGACCGTCCTTGAGGATCTCGAAGCGGAACTCGGCGTCCCATTCAGGCTGCTGGCCTCCTCGCTCGATCGTGTCCGTCCGCTTCTTGTGCAGCCCGTATGTAACCGTCGCATAAGGGTTCTGCTTGCCGATTCGGACGCGGTTGGGCAGGTTCTTTGCGCGAAGGACGATGACAACCAGGGTGCCAAGCAGGCGCTCTCCCGATGTCGGCGAGGGAGGCGGCGGGAGCTGGACCATGATGCGGGCTGTACAGAAGAGCGTGTCAGCGCGCTTTGCGGTCCCAGCGAGTCGAAGTCGTGCGCACCTCGAGTTCCCGAAGTCGCTCCTGATGAGGCGCTCAAGCCGGTACGGACGGCTTCTGGTAAGACGAGCGCGTCAGTCTGTCTATCCGTGTCTCTACACCTCAACGAGAGCGCGCACCTGGGACCCTGAAGTCTACGACGGGCAAGGAAGCGTCGTTCGTTGACGAGGCAGCGAGGTGTCGATCAACTTTGGGAGACGGGCGGTTGGGCGGCGTTGGCTGTGATTGGCGAGTGTAAGGGAACTCTCGAAGATCCTGAAGCAAGCAAGAGCTGGCAGGGGCGCGGCGACAGCGAGGAAGCGGAGTGAAAGGAAGACAAGGCGGTGCACGCCTCGTCCAGCGAGCGTACGCACAGTCGTGAGGGATACAGGTGGCTTGCAAGGCGTGTATACGACGAAGAGTGTACAGGGAATGCGGATCTAGGACGAAAGACAGGGTGTGCGGACGGCGTGAAGGAGCGAGGATGGGAGGAATCGCAGGGACTGGCGACGTTCTGTTGCTGGCGCGGACTAGATGTAGGTTGCGCGAGCCGGGCGAGAGTAGTCGAGCATGAGGAAGCAAGAGTTGGGATAGACGGTCTGCAAACGAGGAGGTGAGCGCGGCTGAACCTCTTTGACGGGTCGACCGAGACGCACCTCAAGTTCGACCTCGAGCTCTTCCACCTTGGTCACGTTCGTGTCGTTCGGGTCGAGGTAGGCGATCAAGCTTTGGTGCATGACGCCGGCGTTCGCCTCCTTGCTTGCCTTCATGCTCGCCCTAACCGTCGCAAACGCGAACGGCAGCGCCGTCCAAAACCTGCGAGCCGCCAGCTGCGTTAACTTTCCACACGACGCGCTAAAGAGAGCGTGCTGCTTACCTCGACCAAGTCCATACGCCGCTCGCCATCTACGGCGCCTTGCCCGCCAGCTGTCAATGCTGTGCGGTCTTGGCCGTATAAGGTCGCGAGTCGATGTGGTCGTAGCTGCGTTTTGCTCGTCAGCTCGCGCATGGAGAAAGTGGAGAAGGCGGGGAGGACGCACTCCCAGAAGACGGTCTCCGTCTTGGACGGGATCGAGTTGACGAGTTCAGCGGGGACGACCGTGTTGGGAACCGCAATCGCCCGACAACAGTCAGACACGCTGTGGATTAACTGTGAGTACGTCCTGAAAGCGAGAGAGAGGCGAAGGAAGCGCACCGCGCTCAACTTGCTCGTCCCGCTCAACCTGCTCGTCTTGCAGCGCCACCTTACCCGTCGTACACCAGCCTCCGGCTCTCCGCGCCGCTTGACGGCTGCTTCTGCTCGACTTCCACCACAGCCGCAACACTTCGGTCCTTGCTTCTCCCCCTACTCCCCGAACTCTTTGAGCGTCCCGCATCTTTCGTCTTCGCGGGCGTACGGACCTTCTGCATGTCTTGCGCCCACATCCGCGCGCGCTCATCTGAGAGGGCCATGTCGGCCGGTAAGGCGGGCTCGGCTGGAGCGTCGGTCGGCGCGAAGCGGAAGAGTTGCGAGACGAGTTCGAGGCAGAGAAGGACCGGCTTGAGCGTGGCGGATGATGTGTTGCCCTTGTGAACGAGGAGTTTTGCGGCGGCGTTAAGTGCGAATAGGTAGGGGTTGGGGCGATGGTGCCACGGTTGGGATGGACGAGTGAAAGCTTCGGGTTCGATAATCTCGCCTGAAGAATTGCGGAAGAGGCCGTCGGAATGCTGCGCGCTATAAGGGACCATGCGAACGAAGTCGGAGCCGGGCAAGGGCGGAAGGAACTTGTTGAACGACGTCGGGTACCTCGGGTCGGGCTTGAGGCAGTAGAGAGCGAAGCGGCATGGTCGGCCGAGTTCGACTTCGAGTTGCGGAAGGTTTCCCTGCACAGGGCACGTCAATGACTGGTTGTACTGCAGAGAAGCGCTCAGGCTCACGAAGAGGGGTAGCGGGAAGAGCGTCTCTTTCTTGTCCGCGAGACGCTTCCGCTCCTCGTTCAACTGTCGGACGCGCTTGACGGCGAGGTCCAGCCAGTCAATTTCGGGCGTGATCAGGAGCTCATGGCTGTCCCAGTCGGCGTGAAGATCGCTCTTGACTGTCGTCCGACGGACACCGTCATCGCATGAAAGCTGTAGCCAAAAGACGAAAGACGCACAGTAGAAGAGGTTCGACGGATGATGTATGTGCCAGCGCTCGATATCAACCATCCCGGAGATGAGGATGAGGTAGATCTGCAGGATCCAAGCGTTAACAGCAACTCGTGCGATTTGAAGCTCAAGCGTCGCCGTCGGTTCACCTTAACACGAAAGCGCAGGTTGTTTGTCGTTGGACGATTTGCCACGACGTGCGCTCGTTGAGCTGACTCCTTCGACGGTCGGAGAGACGTAAAGATCTGCGCCTCGTCGCCTTCGAGGGCGGTCGTGGTCGGGTCCGGGATGGTCTCCGAGTACGTGAACCTCTTCATGTTGAAGAGCGTGTTTTCCGGCGCATTGACGTCGACGTTTTCGGTCTCGACGAAGGCGCCGATAGTCGAGAAGAGCGATTCAACCTGTGTTGACCCGTCGAAGCCTGGATCATGGCTCAGACTTGCAGAGCCGGACCCACGGCCGCCAAGAGTAGTGAGCAAGGGTGCGAGGGCGGCAAGATGCGTGCGGTAGTTCGCCTCAGTGACCGGATAAAGCTGGGACAGTCCCGCCAAGTCCCGCGCGATTTGCTCGGCGGGCGAGTCGAGTGGCTGAGTAAACGCGTGTCAGCGCAAACCACACCACGCTCCGATACCGAAAGCGAGGGAGGATGAGAGGCGAAGAAGCACCTGTTTTTGGCGAGCATGCTTCGCCGCGATCCACGCCTTGAGCGCCTGCGAGGGACAGAAACCAGGGTCAACTCCTGCCTCAACGTTCATACACCACACGATCACTGACTTCTACGTCATCGACATCTTGAAGCGCCTCCAAGATGGCGAAAGTCGATTCCTTGCCGGCCAGTTCTTGCCGCGCCCAACTCGGCAACAAGTTATTGTAGAGGTACTCCAGCGTCGGCAGGCTGCACCTCATCTGGCAGAACGGAGCGATTGACCTGGCGAACTGCGAGGATGCCGATGTCAACGCAAGTTTTGTTCGGGAAGGGGGCATGCGAAATGCTTACCGTCTCCATCTGAGCCTGCGCCTGCTTGTCCACGCCCAAGCCAAACCACATTTTCGGGCGTTCCAGCAAGAACTTCAGCCACATTTTCTCCTCCATGCTCCGGTGCTTGAGGTCGAGCGAGAGGTGGTAAGGCACTTTCTCAGAAGTACCGCTCCACGCCGAGAAAACCGCGGCCGTCTGAGGCGACAGCGTAGCATCCTTAGCGCGATGCCTATTCGGTCGACGGGGTCGATCGGAGGTTGTGCCGCGCGCAGGTTCCGTAGCGGTGCGAGTTGACGAAGAAAACTTCGGCAAAGAATCGATAGCGGGCGGAGACAGCATTTGCAGAGCGCGACTTTGACGACGATAGCGGGAGCGTGTTTTCCCTCGAGATGTGGGTGAACGGCCGGGAGGATTGGCGGAAGTTGTCGAGACTTGGGAGGTGAATTTCGGCGATGAGACTGGAAGCGGGAGGTACGAGATGCCCGGGAGGATATGTCAGGGTGGTCAGTAATCCGTTGAGCGCATACGGCTGCTGTGAACGCACTACTGACGTTGCTAGCAGTTTCCTGGTCGGCACGGTCGAATCGCATCAAGAGAGTGGCGAGTTCCGCATCGTCCTTGTTGCCTGTATCGGTGGCAGCAGTGCGTGGGAATCGGTGACATGTTGACAGACCGCATGAATCGGATCGACTTACCCTTCGCCGCCTCCTGCCGAAGCCTGTCGTGAGGATGAGAAAGTCAGCTTGTCCAGAGACGCGCTATGCATGTGGTACCGCAGCAGACTTCTCGAGAGCGACATACCTGCCCAACTGACTGCCCACCTTCTTCTCCAGCTTCTGCTGCTCGGCGTTGACCTGCGCCTCCTTCGAAACGCCTCCCTCTGTCGACGACACGAGAACGAAGAGCTGGTCGGTGATCTGCGACAGCACGCGCTTCTTCGTCGCTTGTTTCTTCCTTCGGCAAGGCCGCGCTGCGCTGGAACAGGACAGATGCTTCGCAGTCGGGAAGTTGGTTGATGAGGTGAAGAAGCCGTTGTCCCCAAGCAGGATTCGCGGACCATGCCAGGCTTGATCCATAGGGGATAGCAAAGCGTAGCAACTCTGGCCGGTCCTCAGACATCGAGCGCGGAAGCCAGAGGAGAGCGTGGTTGAGCAGAAAGGCGGTGCACACCTCGTCCGGCGAGCGTACGCACAATCGTGAGGGATACAAGTGACTTGTAAGGCGTGTATACGACGAAGACTGAACAGGGAATGCGGATCTAGGACGAAAGACAGGGTATGCGGACGGCGTGATGTAAGGAGCAGGGACGGAAGGAGCCGGCGACGTTCTGCTGCTGGCACGGACTAGATGTAGGTTGCGCGAGCCGCGCGAGAGTAGTCGAGCATGAGGAAGCAGGAGTTGGGATAGACGGTCTGCGAAAGAGGAGGTGAGCGCGGCTGAACCTCCCTGACGGGACGACCGAGACTCACCTCAAGTTCGACCTCGAGCTCTTCCACCTTGGTGACGTTCGTGTCGTTCGGGTCGAGGTAGGCAATTAAGCGTTGGTGCATCGTCTCAAGGCGGGCCTCAAGACCGCCGTAGCGGAGGTCGAGCACTTCCCAGCCGAACCTGTCCAGCAACAAGTCAGTCGCGGTCTTCAAGAATGGAGGGCGTTGTAAAGTCAGGCCCACGGCTTGTACATGTCGAACCAGTTCTCGCTGAGGAAAGAAGCGCGTCAGCCGAGGCGACCCCTTGAAGTGCCGCGGCACACGCGACTAACCGGTGCTGGTCATGCAGCTCCTTCGCGAGCGCCCGCAGTCTGTGCATCCGACTCAGCGGCTCCCTCCCTCCGAGCGCCTCGAGCTCCTCCCTATCTCCACTCTTGTACGCCGTGACAAGTCTCTCCCTCAAGTGACACTTGAGGCTGAGGACGCTCGCGAGAAGGTAGGGCAGTCGCAGCCGGCTGTTGAGCGGGAAGTCGTTGATCGAGTGAGGGAGCGAGACACGCGTCATCGTGCTGAAGTCGGTCGAGAGCGCTTGCTCGAGGTACGAGGCGAGGGCGGAGAAGTGGTGCTCGAGATCGAAGCCGCGGTACTGTGGCGAGAGGAACGAGAAGAAAGGTTCTGCAGGTCGTCGAGCAGCGTCAGCAAGGGATTGGGATAAGGGAGAACGAGGAGAAACGGAACTAACCTTCCCACAGCAAGAACTTCGAGATGTTGGGCGTGTAGTGCGTTCGAGCGTCGATGGGCTGACTTTCAGGCTGCGTGTCGCTGGGTAGGCCATCTCTCTGTCAGCTTATCGTCGAAGGCGAAGCGAGGAAGCCAGACGCACTCGAGTTTGCTCGCGTAAACATAGTCGTCCAAGTCCGCCCCGACAATCCCGTCAAACTTGCGCCTGAACAGCGCCGCATCGACTTCGTCGACTTCTCGCGCGGTGTACGCGAGCTCCGAGTGGTAGAGAATGCCGGGGAGGGCCGAGTACAGGTCGAACTCGTTTCCTTCGTCGCCCCAGATTGTGCACATCGTGCTGCGATCGTCCGCAGTGTCAGCATCCAGCGAGAAGGGGGCAAACGACGTTCAACGCACTGCTTGACGCCAGCATTCGCCTCCTTGCTTGCCTTCATACTCGCCCTGACTGTCGCAAACGTGAACGGCAGCGCCGTCCAGAACCTGCGCGTGCCAGCGTCAGCTGCTTTTGCCGTCCGAGAGGACCAGAAGCGCAACCTACCGCGACCAAGTCCACACGCCGCTCGCCATCCACGGCGCCTTGCCCGCCAGCTGCCAATGCTGCGCAATCTTGGCCGTATAAGGTCGCGAGTCGGTATGATAGTAGCTGCGCCGCATCACTCGTCAGCTGGTTTCGTCAGTGAACGCGAAAGGGGAGGACGCACTCCCAGAAGACGGTCTCGATCTCGGACGGGATCGAGTTGGCGAGTTCGGCAGTGACGACCGAGTTGGGGTCGTAGTAGCCCGATAGCTGGTTGTTCTTGGCAGGGAGGCAGAAGAGCACTGCGCGAGAAGGCCGTCAGGAAGCGCCCGAAAGGGCAATTAGGGAGGAAGCGCCCGAAAGAGCAATTAGGGAGGAAGCGACGTACTATCGGACCAGATCATCGGATTGAGGCCTTGCTCGACACAGATCTTGTTGACTCGCCGCAGGTGGTCCGTGAACTGTTAGCGAGACTCGCTCGTCAGTAACGTCAGACCTCACACGTCTCGCCCAGGCAGGACTGCATCACGCTGGACTCGCCTAGCCAGGGAAAGGCAGGACTCACCACCTGCGTCCCGTCCTTGTATCCGAATATCTGCCGGTACCGTCCTTCGCTTACACCATGCGCCTCGTCCATGCCGATGTGGATGCGCTTCGAGCGGAGCGGGCCGGAGATGGAGCGGATCATCTGCGAGCGGGAGATCGGAGCGTCAGCCACTTTGACTCTCTCGCATACCCTCAGGTTGCTCGCACACTTCGCTCGCGAAGGGGATGAGCCGGGATAGCGAGAAGAAAGATAGCTGACCTTCTCGATGAAAGCGTAAGTCTCCTCGCTCTCGGCGAGCAGGACCTCCGCCGTATCGCGCAGGTGTCCGTATTTCGGCCATTGGAGCATTTGACCGCTGCGACGGTAAGGCGTCGCCGGTGAGGATCAGCTTGCTTTCGCTAAGAAGCGAAACAGATGAATCGGAATTGACGAGGACTCACAGATGACCGAGCGTCTGGATGCAGGGGATGACCTCGATGCCGCTGCACGTCCACTCGACATCAGCTACCCGCACCCCCTAGGCGGCTCGAGGCCTTTGCGGGGCAGAGTCTTCGGAAGGATGGAACGCACAGCGTGAAAGCATAGTCGTCGATCTCGCGCAGCTCAGACTCGGTGTAGGGGCCGCGGAAGTAGCCTGTCAAAATGGATAGTCAGTTGCGCGTCGAGTTCGAGGCTATGTAGGCGAGCAAGCGAAGTGTACGCTTGCTCCGCAACAGCTGAGAAACGAGACGCACCGAAGAAGGGTTCGCCGGGGATCTGGTACGTATCCTCGCAGTAGAGCTGTGATGCCGCATCACCGTCAGCTCGTAAGCGAAGCGACGAAGACAGTCTTGCGCGCACCTGCAGCATGTTTGAGCCCATGAGAGCGAGATGCCGGAGGAGCGTCTTGACTCGCTCGACGCGGAGGACGCCGTTCCGCGAGCAGTCGATCATGACTCTGTAGGGAAACAAGTCGTCAGTAGAATGCCCAAACTGCGAGAAGACGCTTCCGTGCGCCCGCAGAGACGTTTGCGAAGATTCGCGTCGTCCTCGGTCCTTCCGCCCGACTCACCCAACAGTCTCGAACAAACACTCCTCTTCCCTTCTCAATTGCGCACCAACGTTCCCCGTCCACTTGATCTCGCCGCCCTTCGAACCGTTCGCTTCGGGCGCAGGAGTGCCGTCCGTGTCCATCGGGGTGTTTGCGCCTGATCCGGGGATGTCGGAGGCGGAAGGGAAGGATGAGGATGTAGGAGAGTGAGGAGAAAAGGTTGCGAGGCCACGGGAAATGCCGAGAATATGTCCAAGGGCACGGAAGGCTGCAAGTCGTTGGTCCGCCAGAGTCAGCTCGTCTCGCTCTCTCGTCGCGACGCAGCTGATAGCACGATGAGCAGATACACACCTTCGATAGGGCGATTGTAGGACACCTTGATGCTGAACTCTTCGCCGTCTGGCAAAGTCGTGAAGTCGTCGTGCGAACACTCAATCACCATCGCTCCTGGCCGCAAGTCGTCGCGCTTCTCGAAGCTGCGACGCAAACAGCACAGTCAGCTTGACTCCTGAAGCGAAAGGATGAGGGAACGCACCGGATTGTCCACACCCACGACCCTTGTCCCGACAGCTGTCCCGCACCCCCTTCAACGACTCTGACGTTCTCCCTGACCGCCTCCCTCGCAATCTCCCTCACTCCCTGCTGTACATCGTCCGGGAGCGCGTCCGAAGGGATGGCGAGGTGGATCCGGGGCAGAGTCGAGCGCGAGTTGCCTGGGATCGTGCGGGACGACGCCGTGCGGACTGGCACCGCTGGCCTGACCTGGATGGGCTCAGGGAGCGTCTGCGTGAGCGAGGCGAGCGGCGACGCCTGCGATGCCATGCTGGACTTAGCGGAATCAAGGCGACGTCGGCGCGGTTTACGAAAGTGGAGAAGAGAAGTGTACAGCCTCAAAGACAGGGGCGTAAAGAACACGTCACTACTCTCCAAAGTAGTCCCGCTCGAAATGTTCACGAGCGGCGCTTCTCTCCCTCATCCTCTTTGCTCTCGCACTCGTCTCGTCTTCTGGCTGGATCCTAGGCTCACAGACGTGCTCGTCTGGTCCCACTCAACGTGACTTGTGCGCTCTCGCCTGGTCCGCGGACTCGCCGAACAGATGCTGTCCTCCTGCTCAGCTCCTCTCTCCTCTCGACGGAATGCTCTGCTGTTCTTTCTCGCCTACTTGCTGGTTTGCGTTCTCCTTCCCGCTCTGACGATGTCGGGCCAGAGCAGCTTCGTGCGTCCCTGCCCCTCCTCCAGCTCCCCGGGTCTGACCTTCCCATTCCTCCTCGTCCTCCAGAATCGCGCAAAATTCGCGACGCAGTCATGGCAGGTCATATCGACCCTCGTCTCCCTGACACCTCTAGCGCCCATCCCATGCGCGATCTACGGCGGGCGGTGGTTGGCCATCATCGACTTGCTCCTCGTTGTGATCGGTTCGTCCCTTTCGACAGCTGGCTACATTCGAGCTAACCCCAACTTCCTGTTGACACAGCCATCATGGGTATCCGCTCGAGCTACATCGACTTCAACGTCGCCAATGCCTCGCTCAACTCGATCAAAGCTTCGCTGGCCAACATGAACACTCAGTTCTGGGTGTCGGTGACTGTGCCCTACTGTCTCTTCGTTGGATGTGAGCTCGACTGCACTGCTTGCTGAATTGGGGACGGCGAACTGACGATTCGGACCGGGCAGTTGCGGTTTGGATCATCTGGGATGTGAGCCCGCCTCTCCCCCTCCTCCTCTTCCAGTCGTCCTTACTAACCCTCCGTGACGCCCTCAGCGCAAACGCTGGAGTCGCAACATGTCCGGCGGCGGCGGCGGCGGAGGGATGGGCGGCCCCTCTGGCGGCGTCGACGACCAGAGTATGATGGAGCTCGGCTCGTCACGCCAGCGTAGCTTCGCGAGGTCCGATCGAGCTGCGTTGCTTGGAAATGAGGAGAGGAGTGTTGGGAAAGAGGAGGATGCGTGGGAGAGGGAGGTCGAGAAGAGGCGGAAGATGGCCGCGAGGAGGATGGTGAGTTCTCTTCTCCGCCTGCTTGTCGAACGAGCGCACTAATGCCTCTTGCGAGCAACAGCGCAAAGCAGCGCAGCGTGTGTAGAATTCGCCGTTTCCCTTTTCCTGGATCTCGCATACACGCTCGTTTCACTCAGCAACCTTCTCCTGTTTTATCCGATCGCCTTTCGCGAAGGCTTCTATTGCGTAACGTTGCTCGTGTCGAGCTACGGAGGTAGAGTGTGGGAGAGAGAGAGAGAGAGTGGGGTGGGTGACTGCGAGCGAATGCAAGGGACCGAGAGAGATGGTGGTACATGGTGACTTGGACGGGCGTGGCCGCTCTTTTGGGACGTCGAGGGATGGGTATAGTGCGATGGAGGAAGAGGAGACGGATTAGGCGGCGCGACGAGCCATCTGCGGAGAGAAGCGGTCAGCGTGACGACCAGGAAAAACGGGACGAACGCAACGCACGTCAATGACCTTCCATCCGCCGGTCTCCTCATTGTCAAGCTCCTCCTCAACACGGGTAAGCACCGCAACGTATCCGACCTGCTGAATCTTGTTCTCGTCGCCGACCGTGACCTCGTTCGTCTTGATGTCGCGGTAAGCGAGCACTTCTTGCGTTCGCCACGCAACGACAAAGACGTGAACGTCGTTCTCGAGAATCTTGGCGGACATGATCTGCGAAACAACATACGTGAGTAGGCGAAGCGGATCAGGGGAGGGGAGGAACGCACGTCAACGTTGCGGATGTCGAGCACCCGAGACTCCGAGACGAGCGAGGGGCCAATAGAGCCTTGCAGGGTAGCAACAAGGACGTTGAAGGTCTGCGAGCGGGGGGAGAGTCAGCTTCGAGCGAGTCAAGCGGGAGAAAGCGCAACGTACCGCCTCGCTGCACCACTGCTTGAGGATGGGCTGGTCGGCGTTGACGTATGCGTCGACAAGCTCCGGCACGATGTACTCCCTCAGCTCCCTCAAGAAACTCTCTTGGGTGAACGACGGATCCATCTCCTTGACCCACTTGGTAACCTTTGCCGTCTCCGTCTCGTCGAACAATCGTCCGATCGTGCCCGTCACCGAGCGAGACATGACGATGAAGGGGTTGTCGGATTCGGCGTAGGTGTGAGACCAGGAGGCGAGAGCGTCGGCGAGAGGCTTGGGCAAGCGGGAGGGCGTGGAAGACTCGGCGTTGGCGGTTGCATGCAAGACGACCGACTCGCCGGCTCTGCGAGACCGCCGTCAGCATTGGTGTTGCCCGCTGACGGATGAATGATGCGCACTCAGGGTTCTCCTCGACCTTTACCTTCCTCGCCGCCATTCCAGCCTCCTTACTCCGCCCAATCTTGGCCAGCCGTGCCTCCCGCCTTCTCCGCCTGGCGTCACGGTCGATGTACCCGCCGTGCTGCATGTCGTTCGCTGCGTTGTCGAGAAGGTCGGTGATCTCGGCTGCGACGGCCTTGTACGCTTCTGTATCGCGGATCGGGGCGGAAGCGGTGTAGGCGGCTGATCCGACGGCGCGAGCAGACCGGGAGAGCTGCGAAGAACATTGTTAGCATTGAATGGAGAGGGACAGAACCGACGAATGCGCTCACCGTCCGGACGAGAGCAGTCTCCTCCATTCCCTTGAGGGCGGTGCTGACGGCGTCGTTGACGTTGTGGCCGGTCTTGCGCAGCTCGGCAGCAGCAGCGGCAAGTCGAGGGTTCTCCTTGATGCTCGACATCATCTGCGAGACAGCGGACGATATTAACCCTCCATCGTGCACTTGCCGAGAGGGAGACGAGGAGAACGCACCCTCGCCCGCTCGTACATCGCCTTTGCGCGCTGCATCGCCTCGCTGTCCTGGACCTTGCTGACCTCTCCGCCGAGCTGCTTGACCGAGTCCTGCCACTCGCGGTTCTTGCGGAGCTCATCGCGGAAAACGTCGATGAACGCCTGGACGGGCGAGCGCCCTTCGACGGTCGTGTCCCGGTGCTCTTCCTTCTTCTTCTTGTCGTCCGCCTCGTCCTTCTTCTCCTCGCGCCGGAACGCTGTCGACGAGAAGGGGCGACCGGCCGAAGTCGAAGCGATGGGCCGCGCGGCGCGCAAGACGGCTGGTCGGGGCGCAGCGGTGCGCACTGCCTGCTGCAGGGTTCGCTGGGCAGCCTGCTTCATCCTGAATAGCACTGGAGGCGGTGTGGTGAGTGGCTGATGGCGACCCCCGGGGTTGTCCTCCTCGACATCTTGCTCGCCGCTACGACTCGCTTCTGGTGGCTCGAGCGGCTCGCAGAAAGTGTTCACAAGGCTTTTGTATTGACCTCGTGCAGCTCCCGCTCTCCCGCATCGTATGCTCGCGCCGGACCGTCCCTCCCGGAGTCAAGTCGCCTATTTATTGCGGACGGATTGTACTGCAGGCGGGGAGGGGCATTCGAGAAACACGAAGAAGCTACAGGCGCTTGCCGCGGAGCAGGCTCGCGCAGCTGGGAGACTTGCGGGACTCGCCTTGCGACGCTCTCCCCTTTAACGTCTCCTTCGTTCGATGCTACTCCGTTCGGTGACCAGCGTACAACGACCACGAGCCAGCTCGCTTAAGCTGACTAGCCTTGCGCGCACGGAGGCGGCCTTAGTCGCTACGCAGGAGTCCGCGACCGCTCTTCACTTCCTCTCGCTCTTCGGCTGCTGTTGCGCTCTTCGCCCGCCGAACTCTCCTTTGATATCCTTCACGCCCTACTGACGGAAGTTTCTGCAGGAGCGATCCCGCTACCTTGCAGACCATCCGTTTGATTCGGCCGAGGATGAAGACGGGTCGCTAGAGGGAAACGGTCGACCTTGCCTACACAGCGACACATCCTCCCCGCTGGCCGACGTCTGCCGCAAGCACTCGATACTCGGCGAGGTATGGGCGACACCGGATCTGCTAAGTGGGCGTGGACATGAGCTGGACAGCAAGTTGTCCTCATGCCTCGACTTCCCTCTTCCTCGACTCTCACCGCCCGCTTGCGGCGAGCGTCCCCGCAATGAAGAGCATGTGCAGATTGCGTCTACACCTGGCAAGCCTGAAAAGAGAGGTGCTTCCGCCGAGTTCGCCTTCACCGCCCGCTCTCGCAACTCTGTTGACCTTCGCTCTGTCACGCTTGATGCTCGCACGCCGCGCTACAACACTCTTCTCGACTCTCGCACGCTCTCCACGCACCGCCGTCCTCGCATCGACCACCGTCCTCGCCTCCGCTCTCCTCATCGCCAACCCTTCGATCCGCGCCAACCTGGGTTCTTTCCACTCATTCCCGCTCCAGATGGCTTCGAAGCAGTACCCAACGCACTTGACGGAGCAGGAATGGCGCATGAAGCTGTCGCCTGAGCAGTTCCGCGTGCGTCGTCGCTTCTCCTTCCCCCAGTTCATCCTCGAGGGTGGCAAGAAGCTGACATCACCCTCGCCTTTACCTCCGATCTCGCCGCCAATGCGCCCTGCGCACTTCATTTGACCTTGCGCCCCCTGCTGCGCATACAGATCTTGCGGGAGAAGGGCACCGAGATGGCAGGGACGGGCGAGTACGACAAGCATTACCCTGGCAAGGTGCGTGCGATAGATTTTGCCGTCCGCCTGTAATGTTTCTCTGACGCTGTACTTATGCGCAGGGCGTCTACGAATGCGCGGGCTGCGGTCAGCCGCTCTACACAGCCGACACCAAGTTCAAGTCCGGCTGCGGCTGTGCGTCTCTCCCTTTCCGCTGCTCTCTCACCTCACAAGCTCACTTGCGTCGTTCCGCAGGGCCCGCCTACTTCGACGCGATCCCAGGGGCCGTTGACGAGCACGTCGACCGTTCTTGGGGCATGGAGCGCATCGAGATCACCTGCAGCGGGTGCGGAGGCCACTTGGGCCATATCTTCAAGGGCGAGGGCTACGGTGCGTCGCTGCACTCACGACTCGACGAGGATCCGAGCTCAGTTGACCAGTTTGTCGGACGCAGATACTCCTACGGACGCCCGTCATTGTGTCAACAGCGTGTCGATCAAGTTCGACCTGAGCAAGGACATGAAGTACGAGGGCCCGACGAAGAAGGCGAAGGCTTGAGCCGGACAGCGTCGGGACGAGAAGGCAAGCTGGCAGGCAATCTTGTAGCATACGGTGACATTTGGAACGGATTTCTATGCACATACGACACAAGCGATGCGAAAGGAAAGCTACAGATGAAGACTACTGACGACCAAGGACCCAAGACAAGCGAGGACAAACCCAGGAAGGCCGACGTCTCCCTATTCGACGAAGCGGACGTCCTTCATCCCCCTGCCCTCCCTGAACCTCGCATGCGGCTTGTACCCCTGGGATCCCTCGGGGACGTTCTCGTTATTGCCGGGCTCGGAAGCGAGCTTGGCGGGCGCGGCGGACATGCGTTCGAGCACGGAGTAGTGGAAGTTGGGGTGGGACGGAAGGATGCGGCCGCGGCCGAAGTTGGGCCTGCAAAGGGAAGCGAAGAGTGAGCGTGTGAGGAAGAAGTAGACGCGGAGGGGTCCAGACGCACCAGAAGGAGACCTTCTTCTTGCCGTGAGCATCCGCCCGCTGCGCAACCTTGATCGTGGGCAGGATCTCGAGCAGCCACCAGAACGAAGTCATCGCCCTCGCGCTGATACGGGCGTAGAAGTCGGCGAGACGAGCGCCGAAGCTGAGCTTGTCCTTGACCTCTTCGGGCTTCTCCTCGATCGCGAAGGAGAGGTGGTCGGCGCGAGGAGCGAGAGCGTCGGCAGTCGACTGTGGCGAGGGACGCGCTGCGAGGTAGACGGTCGCAGCCATAAGCTCGTTCGCCTCGGGGTTGTTCTCCATTGTGCGGTCGAGGTAGGCGTCGAGGTCGGGGTACTTGTCGAGCGAGCGCAATGCCTCCCTTGCCTTGTCGACGAACGGACCGAAAATGGGCGACGTGCTGACGCTGTAGGTGTCAAGCTCGAAGCCGGCCTCGACAGCTTCGCGAACCATCCACTTGAGCGAGAGGTGCGAGAGAGCGGGCGAGTGATCTCCGTCGTAGGGGAACTCGCCGCCGCCGACGTTCGAGTGCGCACCGGCAAAGTAGACCTCCTTGACGGTTGTGACCGGTCGTTCGTCTCCGCCGTGACCGTGCCCAGGCTGCGCGTCAGCAGAGTGGTCGCGGTCCGCTTGCGCCGCAGGGCCGATCCAGTGCTGAGGGGTATAGCGGGCGCGGCGTTCGTCGAGGGCAAAAGCCTGGCGGAAGTGGTGGATCCAGGAGGAGCCGGAAGCGAAGGGAAGTGTACGCGGGATGATGCTGCCGACGGACGAGACGGTGTCCTGCGCAAGTGGTCGAGGTCAGAGCAAGACGAGGTAGAGCGTCAGGAGCGACTCACCCAGACGCCGACAAAGTGGACCTCGATCTCGCGGGAGAACGTACGCTTGAAGCCCTGCGCGACCGTCTCCTTCTGCTCGCCAGACTGGAAGAGAATTGTCTCCGTCTTGCGCTTGTAGATCGAGAAGGCAAGCGGAATTGTCTCCTCATTGCCGGCAGGAAGCAGTCCGACGGCCTCGAGCATGCCAGCGAGGGCGCGGGCGGTGAAGGCGCCGCGGGAGAAACCGAAGAGGAAGACCTCGTCTCCGGGCTGGTAGTCTGCGGTTAAGCGGCACAGTTAGAGGAGTTGATGTTCATTCTCCATTGAGCCGAAATGTTGCAGAGCGGAGGGACGGGGGAGGAAGAGGAAGAGGAGAAGGAGGCCGGAACTCACGCTGCGGGAAGAATGGTCAGTTCTCCGCCTGAAGCGAGTGAAACGACAGCTAAACGTACGTCCATGAGGAACTTGTAGCCCTTGCAGATGTGGTCTCCGAGCGAGTACGCGATTCCCTCGTCGATAATCTGCGAGACCTTCTGGTAGATCTTGCTCGGCATCCATCCGGCCTCATGCGTCGCGATCGTCTCTCCCACGCCGGCCTGGTAGTAGAGGAGGGCTTTGGTCGGGTCTTCGTTCGCGAGGGAGAAGAGAATGGGGAGGTTGGTGATGTTCGAGCCGAACGAGTTGCCCGTTCCGTCCAGGAAGAGGCAGATTCGGCGGCGGGACACGCGCTTCGACCCAGGAGCACAGCGGATGTAGGATGGGGCCGTCTCGAGCGGCGGCGGAGGCGTAGGGAAGGACATCTTGGAAGTTGAGCGACGAGCTTGCGGAAGGTGCGCGGAGGGTGGTGGACGAGCTATGATGGTGCGGCGAGCGTGCGCGACGCTTCTGAGCATGCAAAGAGAGCGAACGAAGCCAACAGCTGAACCGCAGGAGGTCAAGAGCGGGCGTACGGGAGCGCCAACCTTGTCGACGAAAATCCGAACCAACGGGAACGGCGCGTGATCGTTGGTCAAGAGCGTGCCAGTGGCAGCTGACAAGGCTGGGCGACAGGAAAGACGGTCCTTGGAATGCGCGAAGGGGTTCCGGAGTGAGGAAGAGTGAAGTACGAGGGAGAGGGAGGAGTTGCGGACGGAAAGACGAACACTGCCTGTTGTGATCGTGCATGACAGTGATACAGTGTGCATTGCTCCTGCACGATGACCCCAATCTAGCCACGATGCCGCCCTTGGTCATCGTCGACCCGCTCCGCCCCGGTCGCCTTCTCGAACTCGCCAAAGTCGTCGTCCTCCTCCCCTGGCTTGCCCACCGAGCTCCTCACGCTAGGCGCATACCGTCCCAACCCATCAACATCATCCATCTCGAGCTCCTCTGCCCCGCGCTGGCTCGTCCGCTCGCTTGCCAGCACCGAGTCCCCATCGTCGAGCCGCTCAACGCCGGCTTGTTTCCGCCGCGCAGCCTGCGACAGCTCAATATCGGGCGTCGAAGCCGGTGCGGACGTCGCAGCGTCGGCTGGCAACCCGCCGAACAGCTTCGCCCACCAGCCTTGTCCCTTGCGCAGGACAGGCGGTTCGGCTTCGGGCACGGCACCAGCCTCGACATCTCCGCTTGCACCGGTGTACGCGCGCGCGAATCCAGGCTTCGTAGGCGAGTCGAGGGCTGAGGAGTCTGGAGCGGCGGGGTCGTCGAACGGGTTGCGACCGTGAACAGGCGAGGCGGTCGAGCCTGATCGTGCGGGTCGAGTGCGCTTCGGCTGCTTCTTCATGCTGAGCATGACGACGCCGGCGATGAGAATCGCGATCGAGACCCAAATGAGCAGGAAGATCGAGAGGCGGTAGGTTTTCGTCTGGTCGAGGTAGACGAGGGTGTTGAGGAACGCCGAAACGGTGTAGGTTGCAAACATGACGGGGATGACGAAGGTCGAGTCGTAGGCTTTGAGGGCGAGGTTGAGGGCGTAGACTTGGGTGATTGCGCAGACGACGAGAAGGATCACGATGAGCCAAGTGAGGGGCGAGGAGAACTGGTTTGGCTCGTTCGGGTCGCTGTGCTGGATCGCACTTGTGACGAGCTGTGCAATAGGCGTGTCAGTATGCGGTTCAAGCCAGTGTGAGAGGCGAACGCACCTTGACGCCGCTCTTGGCGAGGATGAGCGTCTGACCCGACAACAGCCCGCTGGTGACGGCCCAACAAAACGCCGACAGCTGCCTGATGCTCGCATCCGGCCTCGGCTCGCTCCACCTCTGCACCGCACGCTTGACGACCTTCCTCGCCCTTCCCTGGGCCTTGTGCCATCCGTCTCGCCAGCTCTTCACGCGTCCGACCCATCCTTCCCCTTCGTATGGGTTCGCAACTCGACGCCCGCCTCCACCGCCGACCATCGCATCCAAGTCTGCATCCCGGTCTGCGTCTCCTCGCTCGTCCAGTACGCGCGACTGGCACACCTCGAACACGATGCGGCTCAACCACCACAACGCGATCGTCGCCACCTCGAGCATGACGAGGTACGCGATCCAGTCGCTTCGACCCCAAATCTCCTTGAGCAACGAGAGGGAGAGATTGGACTCGGCGTCTATGGCGGGCGTCTCTTTGCGGATGTTGGAGAAGACAACGACCCCGACGACGCCGAGGATGATGACGACGGTTCCGAGGATGTCGAGGCGCGTGACGGGTGTCGAGACGAGGAGATAGGCAAAGATGAAGTTGAAAATGAGCGAGGTCGAGCCTAGGGGTGCGACGTACTCCGCGCGGAGGTATTCGAGGGCGAGGGTTGAACCGACGACTTGCGAGGCGATGTAGAGCCCTAGCCCTAGCAGCCAGTAGATGCGAAGGAAGTCCGGTCTGCGCTGAGAGGGAGGAAGCGCTTCTTGCCGCGTATAGTCGAGCTTGGTGATGTTCAGTCCAAGGGCGTTGGTGAGACTCGCGGCGAGGGTGATGAACAGGCCGATCACAAAGTCGGTCGCGCTGTGGGCGGAGCAAGAGTCGATCGATTGCGTAGGGTCGGGGCGAGGAGGAGGAAGAGAGGCTCGGGTCAGCGTCGTTCAGCAAGCTAGTCTGGGTGACGCTCGCGCACCTGTACGTCCTGGGCGTATACAGATCCGCCTCATTCTGCATCCTCTGTCTTCGACCGGGTGTCGTCAAGGAGATGAGGCGGTGCGAGGTGGTTGTTGAGGGCGCAGGGGGCGTGAAGCGGTGGGAAGAAGCTCGGTACAGAAACAAAGCAGCTCGAATAGCTCAGCGGGACCGTTAGCGAGGGTCCGGATCGACAGCGGTGAGACGGTCTTGGGTCGAAGAGGGTCGAGCGAATAGGTGCAAATGGCTGTCACTCGCGCTTTCGTTCGTTCAAGGCGTTCACGTCCTTCGCTGGTCTGTCAAAGCCCAGGAGAGACTCGACCGAGGCTGATGCGCGACGTTGCAGCGGTCTACTCGGGTCGTGCTTCGCGCGAAAGAGCCCAGCACGCGGTGGTCCTGCTCTCCTGTCGCAAGACTAGCACGACGACAGCACCACAGCATGCGTCCACCAGTCGAAACGTCGAAGACGAGACGAGGAGAGCGGCGGCGAGAGAGAAGGACGTGCTGGAAGGAAGCGCTGACCCACGCTGACCCAGCGCTGGAGAAATCAGCTTTCGCTAGAAAGCGCGAAGTGGAGCATCATGCGGTTGCTGTAGTTGACGCGGGAGCAGCAGACAGTCGTCCGTCGCTCCGCAGTAAGAAGCGATTCTGGCAAGCTGGAGGAGAGCGCGAGGCGACGAGGGGCCCCTGGCGAAGCGAAGTGGAGACGGAAGCCAGTCCGGGCAGGTACACCAGACCCAATGAACCCAGATCGGGCCCTGCTCGCCGTCAATGAGCTGTTCCGTGAGGGCAACAGGCTGCCAGAGATGCCGACTCGCTTCGGGCGCCGTCCACGGGGCACAAAGGGGCGCGCCGCTCGTTTGGAGTACCACCACACCCTTAAGCATATCCCCTGCGCGCATCCCACCCGCCCTTGTTACCTGCAGCGAGCGTAATGGTCCAGTTGACGAGCGGGAGGAGCGGGTGCCGGGCGCGACGAAGAGGACACCTGGCGCGGCGGGAGCAAGACGGGCGGGTAGCTGTGTGTATGAACAGTAGAGTAAGCCGTCGACAGCCAGCCTTGAGCGATGTGTTCGAGCGTGCGAGCGGGTTGTGGGTGCGAGAGCGAGTGGCCGTCGTCGAGCTCTGTCGCCTTGGTCTCCGCTTCTCGTGTCGGATTGCTCGCCAAGTCTAGCCGCCATGCCGTCCACCCGTGAGCACACACGCACTACCACACTCGCGCACACACGCACGCTGACACACCCGCGCTCGTCCCGTCTCGCCCGCCCGCCTCGTCGCAAACCCTGCACCCGCTCACCACCCACGCCCGTCCTCACGCTCTGGACGCCTTCTGACCGCCTTGCTGAACCCTCGACACCCTCAACGACTACTCCGAACGGCCACCCGATCCCGCCGTGCCTTCGTCGTCGCATACCGACCCCCTTCACCTCCTCGCTTTTCCCGACTCGCCCTCGCCTCCCTCGCTCTCGTCCCGTTCGACCGTGTGAATCGACATGACGGATTCAGGTCTCTACGCCAAGGGCCGCGTCACTGGCTTCCAGCGCGCCAAGAGGAACCAGCGGACCAACACCTCGCTCGTCCAGGTCGAGGGCGTTGCTGACGCCAAGGAGGCCCAGTGGTACCTCGGCAAGGTGAGGCGCACGTTGCTGTTGCGCTTTGAGTGGAGCCTTGGGCTGGATGGGGGCTGGAAGAGGCGATGCGAGGTCGTGAGGATGCTGGGGAGGCGACCGAGCGGTGCTGGAGGTTGGCGCGCGCGATGCTGTCGGGCTGTGTGCTGCGAGGTGGATGGATTGCCGCAGGAACGGGCATCCGCGAAACAGGCGGCCAGCAGGGAGGATGACGGGCACTCCAGCAGCTGAGCACCTCCCGACTCTCCGAACCGTCCATGCTGACCCTCGCTCTCGCCCCGTGATCCAGCGCGTCGCCTACGTCTACACGGCGCAGAAGGCGATCGGCGGCTCCAAGGTCCGCATCATCTGGGGCAAGGTCACCCGCCCCCACGGCAAGTCGGGTATGGTTCGCGCCAAGTTCCGCCAGAACCTCCCGCCCAAGGCCTTCGGCCACTCGGTCCGCATCGTGAGTTGCTGCGCTTGTTCGTGACAGCCGAATCGGGCGAGCTGACTCGTGTCTTTCTCCCGCAGATGCTCTACCCCTCGAACAGTTCGTCTCCCTCACCCTCGCTTCCTCTCGCTACGAAGCTGACCACCCCCTTCTCGCAGTCTAAGCGATCTTCGACCTCTAGCAGCACGACATTTCCCCCGGATTCCGAGCAAGTTGTCACCGATTAACCGCACCCTCCCTTCCTCTTCCTTTCTCGACACCAATTCCCTCGACCTCCCCTCCTTCCTCTCTACTTCGACCCAGGATGCAAAGGGAGGATTTCGTTGTTCTCTCTCGGCGTTGTTGAGTGGCGGTGGAATCATGAGAGTGTTTGGGCGACCTCCCTCTTGTGGGGGGTCGAGGATGAACAACTGGCTTCCCCGTGCGCGAGAGACGGAGAGATACCTTCCTGGCAAGCGAAGGAGGATTCGCAGAGGACGGCTTGACGTATTTGCTTGCCAGGAAGTCGCCTTGCGTGCCTTCGAGCGCCTCGTCCTTCGTCGCCTGCCGCATCTCTCACAATAAGTCACTCTCGCTGGACTCGAACAACTGGAAGAGGAGAAACCCCGCGCAAGCGCCGTAGACAATTACAAGCTAATGACCGCAAGCGTCTCGCCTGTAACGCCTACAACACACTGCCTCGGGGAATCCCCCGTCTTTTGGCCCGTTGCGAACAGAGGATGTCCAAGTCTCGTTGGAAGAGACTATCTACTCGTCGGTCTCGACGACGGTCGTGTTGAGGCCCTGCGCGGATTGCAAGCATGTCAGTCTCGTCGTCCTCATCAGCGTCACTAACGGTCGTGTTCGAACCCACCTTGAAGTTGGTGGTGGGGACAACCGAGACGAGGGTGTAGAGCTTCTCGTCCTCCTTGGCGCTCTCGTCGTCGTTGCGCTTGCGGTGGAGGCGGACGCGGAGGCGGTGGGGGACGTTCTTGATGCCCTTGTCCCAGATGGCGGCGTTGACCGACGGCTCGAGGAGGACCTTCTTGGTGCCCATGGCCTTCTGGGCAAAGGTGCGGACGGCCTTGACCGCCGAGGGAGCGCGCTGTGGTCCCGGATAGTACGGTACGAGGGGAAAGAACGGGGAAGGAGAAGGGAAAGGGGATTCGTCGGAGCTCAGTAACGATGCTCCGACCTCTCGTGCCCTCCAGTTTCCTGGATTTCTTGTGGGATCACGGAACGCTTAAAGCGGGGACGAGGGGAGCGAGACCTACGTGCTTGAAGCCCTTGCCGTGGACCTTGGTGTGGAGGTGGATGGTGTACTCCCTCGCGACGACGTCGGTGAGGGCGGAGCGGGTCTTGCGCTCGGTGTTGGACTGTCCACGGGCCATTGCGACGGCTGTACGCACGGACGAACGAGAGGTGAGCGAGCCTGATCCCCCTCCCAAGTCTCCCTGCGCTAGGACAGCCGCCGTCCCGCCTCGCCCGTCCGCATCCCAGCCAGCCCGCATCCGCTCCAGTGTTCATCCAATCCGCAAGTTACAACCAGTCCCACCAAGCTCATCCCATCGTGCGAGGGGTGTCGAACGAGCGAGCGAGGTCGGCACTTGGTGCAAACCCTGCGGTGATGGAGCAGCGGCGCGACAACACAGCGGGCGGGCACCGGCGTGTCGTAGCGAGCAGAGCAGCAGGCGTATGAGCTGACTGGCCCACTCACAGTGAGGAACGGGGGTGAAGTTCGCTAGGGAAAGACAGAAGGCTGCGAGCCGCCCGTGGTCCTCGAGCTAATCGAGGCGTGTAATCAGTTTGTATTCAGCATTACAAAGTTGCGAGACTACAACCGGGGTATTCAGTTGGAATACAACTCGCTTTTGTATTCATCAAGTCACTCGCCTCTCGCCGCTTCTCACCTCGCTGCAGCTTGCGTGTGCTTGTGCTCCCGCTGCGATGGAGCCAGTCTCGCCACAGGCCAACCAGGGACTCGACGACGGCCCGCCCGTCCCCGCCGCCTTCATCCCGTCCCACACCGCGCCCGAGAACGACGGCGCACTCGGCCAGACGCTGTCGGAGATTGAGGCGCACGCGGACGAGAACGACGTCAAAGACGAGGAGGGCGAGCCGGCGGACGACCAGCCCGAGGAGGTCGGCAAGGATCCGGAGCAGGACCTTGATGAGGAGGAGGAGGGTAGCGAGAACAAGGACGAGGCCAAGGGGGAGGCAGAGGACGACGAGGACGACGAAGAGGTACGTCCAGAGTGCTTTCAGGGCCGGGAAGAGCCCTGCTGACACGACGCCACGCCCGCAGGACGACGATGAAGATGAGGACGAGGACGATGACCGTCCTCGCAAGAAGCGGGTGCGTCCGGGCTTTCTGGGACTCGCTAGCAGTCTCTCTTGAGCTGACTGAACGCCCCCGGCCACTGCAGAGACGCAGGCGCGGCGGGAACCAGTTCCTCGATATCGAGGCCGACGTCGACGAGGACGAGGACGAGGAAGAGGAGGAAGGAGAGGAGGGATTCGTCGCCAATGGTGAGCTACTAGATTTCGAGAGTCCGAACGGTGCGCGCTGACCCGCCGCCTGCACCCAGACAACTTCATCGTCGAACGCCGCGAACCCCGCCGCGAGGCCGACGGCGGCCTGCCTGCAGGGGAGGACGAGGGAGACGATGGAGGCGGAGACTTTGACGGCGACGCGTCGCACAGGCGGTTGGACCGCAGGCGGATGGCGCAGCGCGACAGGGAGGCGGCCGAACTTGCAGAGGCGCTCGACGCGAGGTACAAGCGGAACAAGTACAGCACGTCGGGCGCGGAGGACTGGGCACCGAAGGCGTTGTTGATGCCGAGTGTGAACGACCCGTCCATCTGGGGCATCAAGTGCAAGGTGCGCTTCATCGTCGAGTTTCGCTCCTCCACCAGCTCACCCTCTCCCCGCAGATTGGACGCGAGCGCGACCTCATCCTCTCCATCTCTCGCAAAGCTGCCGCCCTCGCCGCTTCGGACGGCGCGCCCATGCAGATCATCTCGGCCTTCCAGCGCGACTCGCTCAAGGGCTACATCTACGTCGAGGCTCGCTCCGAAGCTCACGTCCGCAACGCCGTCCACGGCCTCATCGGCTTGTACATCAACGGGCCAAACGGAATCTTCCTTGTCGACATCGAGGAGATGCCCGACCTGCTCAAAACGAAGCAGAAGAAGGTCGACCTCCAGGCGGGCGGATGGGTCCGCTTCAAGCGCGGCAAGTACTCGGGTGACCTCGCGCAGGTCATTGCGCCGTCCGAGAACGGAGACGAGATCGCCGTCAAGTTCATCCCTCGCATCGACCTGACGCCGAAGGACGAGGCGCTGCAGACGGGCTCGGACGGCAAGAAGCGCAAGAAGGGCTCGTCCATGCCCATCGCCTTCCGCCCGCCCCAACGCCTCTTCAACGCCGACGAGATCAGCAAAATCTACGGCGCCAAGGAGGTCACGCGGCGCGGTGGAGGGTTGTGCATCTTCCGCGGCGACGACTACGTGAATGGCTTCTGCGAGAAGGACATCCGCCTTTCGGCCCTCACCACCGAGAACGTCCAGCCTACGATCGACGAGCTCACGCGGTTCCAGGGCGATGCGGCGAACGGCGCCGCGGGGGCGGACGGCTCGCTCGACTTGACGCAGATCGCCGACGCGACTCGCACGCTGTCGAAGACGATCCTCCAGCCTGGTGACCATGTCGACATCTTCGAGGGCGACCAGAAGGGCGTTTACGGTACCATCGAGTCGATCCTCGGCGAGTCGGTTGTCGTCGTCCCGCACGCCGACCTCCAGCTCGAGGGCACCAAGATCGAGATCCCCGCTCGCAGCGTCCGCAAGCGCTTCAGCCCCGGTGACCACGTCAAGGTCATGCAGGGCGCGAACGCGGACGAGACGGGTCTGGTCGTCAAGGTCGAGGGCGACGTTGTCACCTTCCTCTCGGATCTCTCGTCGTCCGAAGTCTCCGTCTTTGCCAAGGACGTTCGCGAAGCGGCCGAAGTCGGGTCGGGCGTCAATGTCATTGCCGGCTACGAGCTGCACGACCTTGTCCAGCTCGACCCGCAGACGGCCGGTGTCATCATCAAGATGGAGCGCGACCAGTTCCGCATCCTCGACCAGACGGGCTCGGTTCGTGCGCTCAGGCCGAGCCAGATCAGCGGAAAGGTCGACTCGAGGCACACCGTTGCGACTGACAAAGAGGGCTACGACATCAAGGCCGGCGAGGTCATGAAGGAGACGCTTCCGGTGCGCTTCCTCCCCTTGGTTTTTCTGTTTGCGAATGCTCGTCTGACGCATAGTCTCGCAGAACAACCCTACGAACAGCCGTCGCGGCAAGGTCCTGCACGTCTACCGCTCGCTCTACGCCTTCCTTCACTCTCGCGACGTTCCCGAGAACGGCGGTGTCTTCGTCGCCTACTCCCGCAACCTCGAGTCGACTGCGCCTCGACCAAACAAGCCCAAGATCGGCACCGGGTTCGGCGGCGGGATCGGCAGCGGCATGAACCCTGAGCGCGCGGCGATGTTGGGCATCAACGGAGCGCCTCAGCAGCAGCCGCAGGTCGCGACGGGTGTCAGCTTCCGCCCCGACGGTCGCATCAACCGCCGTGTCGCTGTTACCAAGGGAACCTACAAGGGCAACGCAGGCATCATCAAGGATGTGACGGGCAACCAGGCTCGCGTCGAGCTGCATTCATCGAACAAGGTCATCACGGTCGACCTCGGCAAGCTCAAGGAGCAGAAGGACGATGGCACCCTCGTTGAGCTGGTCGAGTTTGCGGGACGCGGCGGCGGTGGTGGTGGGTACGGCGGCAGGAACGGCTTCGGGAGGGAAGGCTCGTCGTTCTCGACGGCGTCGAATATGGCGCCGCTCGGCGGTGCTGGTTACGGCGGCGGCTACGGAGCTCGCGCGGGCTCGCAGGCGTCGAGCGGGTACGGCGGTGGAACGGGGATGTATTCGGGCGGCAAGACGCCTGCTCCTTACGCTGGTGGCAAGACGCCTGCGCCCCAGTATGGCGGCGCGACGCCCTTTGGTGGCGGTCTGACGCCCTTCGGCGCAGGCGGAGCGGGCGGCGTGACGCCTCATGGTGCTGGCGGCGGAGCCTTCGACCCCTCCGGCCGCACCCCTGCGTACGGCGGTGGCGTCTCAAGCGCTTGGAACGCCAGCTCTCGCACGCCCTTCATCCGCCCCGGAGGCGGCGCCAGCGACGCCTTTAACCCTTCCTCTCGGACGCCCTACCACCCCGGCGCAGCTCCCGCTCCCGGCGCCGGCACGACCCCCAATCCGTACGCCAACGCGGCTGGCTTTGATGGTGGCCGTACGCCCGATCCTCGTCGCCTGGCAGGCGGACGCACGCCTTACGGAGGAGGCAAGACGCCTGCGTACGGAGCGAGCGGTGGCCGCACACCTGCGTACGGCGCGCGGAACGGCTACGGCGCAGCGAGCGCGCCTACTCCCGCCGCGACTGGAGCGCCGACGCCTGCTGCGACAGCTGGAGGGTCAGGCTGGGACGACGACGAGTGGGGATCGGGCGGCGGCGCTGCGAGCGCACCAACTCCTGCGGCGCCCCGAGGCGGCGACTACATGGGCGCGCCGACGCCTGCAGCGGGCGCTCCTACGCCTGGAGCGTTCCTCGGTGCACCTACGCCTGGCTTCACCGGCGCACCGACTCCCGCTGCCTACCCCTCTGGCCCGACACCCGGTCCAAGCGGCTCGTACGGCGCTGCAGCTCAGACGCCCGGGAACGCCGATGGCTACCCGTACCAGACTCCTGGAGCGTACGCCGGTGCGGCGACGACTGCGGCTGAACCCATCGAAGAGCGCGAGATGCAGGGCGGCATTATCATTCCGCACCCAAGCGAGTGGGTCATTCCCGGCGTCAAGATCATTGTCAAGGCGAGCGGATTCCAGGGTGGCAGGTTGACGGGCCAGCACGGTGCGTTGCGTCGTTCTTTCCGCCCGCGAGCGTCTCGCTGACCCAGCTTCTCTCTCCGGCAGGCATCGTCAAGAGTTCGAGCTCGACGACGGTCACGTTCACGCTCGATCCGTACGGCGACTTGATCGAGGACTTCCCGATTGGCGACGTCGAGCCGATGCCACCGTACCAGCCCGACCAGCAGGTCCTCGGTGCGTTCACTCTTCGTCGCTTGACTGGATTGTACGGGCTGACACCGACTTCTCTCGCAGTCATCGCCGGCGACTACCGCGGCGAACGCGGCATCACCCGCTCGCAGGATGGGGAGGACTACTGGGTTGAGCGTCCGGGCGACAAGCGTGCGTCGAGCCTGCCCCTTCCTTCGCGCTGCGGGGCTGACCTCTTCCATCTCCGCGCAGCCTCGATGGTCGTCAACGTCGCCTACCTCGTCGAACTCGCATGAAACAGCAAAAGGGCGGAGGAACGCTTCTTTCTCGCATCGGTTGTGTGTGGTCTCGCTTGTACATTTCTGTTCACGCTCTCTCCCTCGCTTGTCGCACCTCGTGTCTGCTTTACCCCTCCATCATCACCATCGCTTGTGTAGGCTTGAATGGCACGATTGAATACGCAGTTCCCGGCAGCCTGGCGAGCCGAGAGGCGTTTCTCCTCCTCGTTCCCCGGTAGACTTACGCCGCTTCGCCAGGCCCCTTTCTCGCTATGTCACGACAGCCTCGCGCCCTGCACGATCCCTCGAGAACCCTGCGCGTCGAGTTGGTGTCCGCAGCTGATGAGAATCGAGAAGTCGACGAGGAGAGTATGCCCGGGGTTGGGATGAAGTCGAGGCAGTCCAGCAGAGCTTATAGGCCTCAGCATACTCAACTTCGGCCCTTCACAGCGCGCGCAAAGCGAGAGCTTGCGTCGTTCGTGCCGAAGGGGCAGCGTCATCGGAGCGATCCGTCCCTTTGACCTCTCCCGCTCACTCGCTCTCGCTTGCACACGCTCTCGACGCTCTCAGAGACTCTCTAGCACCTCGCCAACCCTACTCAAACCCCTCGCAACAACCCCCGTCTACTCCCATGTCGTACGCCTCTGTTCTCGCGAAGAACGCTCCCCCCGAAGAGCGCCAGGTCCACCCGGATCCCAGCCTCCTCACCAGGCCCGAAGACATCGAGCACAGCCGCCCCATCTCGCCCGGCGCGCCCGCAGACGACCTCGTCGCCGACAAAGTTCACAGTGCGCCCTTTTCACGCCCTTCCCTCCCTCACGATGAGCTGACGCTGTCTCGCATGCCCTGCAGTCGTCGACCGTGACGAGATCGAGAAGCTTCGCGAAGCTGTCGCTCACGCCGACGAGCCCTCCGCGACGACGGACGACCACTTTGCCGAGGCGCAGCAGCACCAGGCCGAGCGCGACCAGCAGCTCGAGCAGCAGCGCTTGAAGGCGCAGGCACAGGCAGAGCTCAAGCGGACGACTGACAAGGTCGAGGCTGTCAGCGAGAACGCTGAGGAGAAGGGCAAGGAGCTGTACGACGAGGCCAAGTCCAAGGGCAAGAAGCTCGAGAAGGAGGCCGAGGACAAGCTCGAGAAGGGCAAGAAGGAGGCTGGGAAGGCTTGGGAGCAGGGCAAGAAGGAGGCCAAGGAGTTTGCCGGCAAGGTCGAGCGCGAGGGCAAGAAGGATGTGCGTCTGCGTCGACTCCCGTCGATCTGTTTATCTCGCTGACCCTTTTACCCTCCACAGGCCGAGAAGCTGAAGCGCAAGGCGTCCGAGGTCGAGCGGGAGGGCCGCGCGCTCGCGAAGAAGTACCCCTACGCCGCGACTGGTCTCGTCGGCCTCAGTTCGTTCCTTTCTCCGCGACCTCCTTGGCATCCACTAACGAGTCGCGTTGCAGCCAACGCCCTCCTGATCGCCATCCCCGGATACCTCGCATGGAAGAACTGGGACCAGCCCCGCTGGGACCGCCGCATCGTCTCGATGGTCACCGTCGGACTCGGCTCGATCTTTGCCGCCGAGGGCGCACTGGGATGGTTCGAGTACGAGAAGGAGCACGGAAGGCGCTAGAGAACCCGTCTTTTCTTCCTGTCCATCTTTTCCGCAGTCGAGCAGTGCATCTGTAACATTACGTTTCTCTCGCTGTGCCCAGGCTTGAGAGGAGAGGCAGGGAAAGCGGTGGCATTCCTTGCATGCGAGATGCGGCTCGAGCGGTCTACGTGCCAAACTGCCCCGACTTGACCCACGCCTCGGGCAAGTCGCGCGCGACGTCGAACCAAGTCCGCTCGACGGCGACGAGCTCGCCCTGTCCGACAAAGTCGAACAAGACGAGAGGTTGGTACCGCCTCGTGACCCGGATGTCAAGCGGCTTCGGCTCGTCCTTCGTCGCGGCTGTCGCAGAGACAAGGTCATCGTCCTCCTCCCTTGCCCGCTTCCGGTCCATCTCGCGCCGCTCCGGCACGCCTTTCTTGTTCTTCCGCTTCGCCTGCCCGTTGACCTCGACCTTGGCATCTCCGCCCCGTCGCAAAGCCTCGATGTCGATCTTGGCGACCCAGTTCGCGCCCCAAACGACCGCGACGTTCGACTCAGCGTTGGCTGTCGCAGCGTTGCGGACTGCTGCTCGGCGACTGGGGTGGATGTGCTGCTGGTCGTCGCCGCCGTTTGCGATAGCGGATGTGTCCGTCCGCCGAGGCTCGAAGGCGATGCCGAGAACCGGCTCGCGGATGTCCATGAGGGTGTTGTATTTGCGGGACGAGAGCGGAAGACCCCAAGGGTGGAAGCGAAGAGAAGTGAGGCCGAAGAAGAGGAGGGCATTCGAAGGAAATGCGATGATGAGAGTCGGTTCGGAGATGGGCGAGGAAGGGGCAAAGCTGAGCCAAGTTGGGACGGCGGGAGGAGTAGGGAGGGTCGTGTGCAGCTTATGCGAGACGAGGTCGAAGATGCGGACTGTCCGGTCTGACTCGGCTGACGCGAGGAACCTGCTGTCGCCCGAAACGGCGAGGCAGACGATTGTCGAAGGAACGCGCTTCGCCGGGGGCGCATCGTCGATGTCGTCCTCGCTGTCGTCTTCCGTGTCACTCGCACCGTTCATAACGACGTCTTCTTCCGCCTTGCCACGGCCGTTGGGCAGCCCATTTGCCTTGGGCTTGCCCGCCGACGAGCTGCCTTCGCCAAAGACCGACACGACCTCGAAATCCTCGTCCTTGCCCTGCGGAAGCTCGACAACAGCAACCGCCGAGCCGAACGCTGACGAGAGGACGAGACGCTGCGAGTCCTTCGTGAAGGTCAAGCACGACGAGCCGGTACCGAGGGACGAATTGGGCAGGCCGGCGACAAGGGCGTCGTTGAAGGACTTTTGCCGACGCGGGACCAGTTCGCCACCTCGCCAGGACAGGCGGAACAGCTTGGTCTCGTAGAGGTCGGAAACCGCGAGCCACTTGCCATCGTGCGAGACGGCCGATGCGACGAGGTTGGTTTGCATCTGCAGGCGCGACAACGTCAGCAGTCATCCTGTTGCACAAAGAGAGCGAAACGCACCTTGAGCTCGAGCTCCGCGACCTTCTCGTACCCGGTCGTCCCGAGATCCTCTTCCTCCTCTTCCACCTCGCCATCCAATCCGAGCGCGAACTTCTTCCTCCCCCACCTCGCCTTCTTGAGCGGCGCAGCGTTCGCACCAAGACCGAGCGTACTGCCAGCCCTCTTCGGGTCCTCAAGCCGCCAGATCCCGACGCTCCTGTCTCGCCTGCAAACGAGCAGTCGAGGCGCATCGGGCGCGCCGGTGCCCGCTGCGACAGCGAATGGTCGTCCGCGTTGTGGGATGTATGCGGCGCGACGGTGAACAGTCGATTCGAATTCAATTGAGGGCACATCGGAGACGGGATTGGGGAGAGCGGCGCGCTTCTTGCTGGTTGCGGAGGTAGTAGACGCGGGAGAGACGGCGGTGAGAATGAGGGAGAGGTCGAGGCCGGCCGAAGTCATGATGGGAACGAGAGCCTTCTTCGGCTGAGCGGAAGGAGCGGGAGAGGGAAGCGGGAAAGAGTAGGGTGGGGAGATGACGATGGCGCGGACGTCGTGCGAGTGGAGTCGTCGGCCAGACGCCTGAATCCATCGACCGGCAGGTACGCCGTGCACGCGCGACGAGGCGACGGTAACGAGGCGGAACTCGACCGTCTTCTGGTCGACGCCGCTCGTGAAGATGGACGTGCCGTCCGAGCCGAGTGCGAGCGCGAGCACGTCCGCCTTGTGCGCGCGGAAGCTCTGCGTCTGCGTGCCCATCTTGCCGTCCCAGAACTTGACGTTGCCCATCGAGTCTCCGCTGACAACCGTACCGTCTTCGAGGATCGCAACGGTCCAGACGACCGTGTGCTCGCCCTTGAGCCGGTCGAGCGTCATGCGCAGGCTGCCACGCCAGACGCCGACGACAGAGCCCGATGTGGGAACGTCGAAGCGGCGGATGGTCGAGTTGGAGCAGCCGGCAACGATGTAGCTTTCGGAGGGCGTGACGAAGTGCGAGGGGAGAGACGAGCCCGAGGGCGACGACTCGCGCTCCTTGCCCTTCGATACGGGGTCGACGGGAGGTCCCCAAGCGAGCGAAAGGGCGCGGACCTTGCCGGGACCGCCAACCTCGATCTTCGAGACGAGCTCGAGCTCGCCATCAAGGATGTTGAGGATGCGGATGGTCGAGTCTTCGCATGCGATGGCGAGCGAGGACGACGAACGTGACGCGGCGACGGCGAAAATGGGAGGAAGAGTCGGCAAAGTCGACTATGAAAGGGAGAATCAGCGAGAGCCGAGTCCATTGTAGCGAGCCAACGCACCTTGACCATGCCCACTGCTCGCCCGCTGCCAGGGCCTCCCCATTCCCACTCGACGAGCTCGCTCCCGACGCCTCCAACACCAAACAACCGGACGCCCTCACGCTTCAACCTGCGAATCTCCTGCTCGGCGCCTTCGACGTCTCCCTCGTACAAGTCCAGGTCGTTCGATGAAAGCGTCGTCTGGTGTGTCCAGACGAGGTGAGAAAGGAGAGAAGTCGGCTTGCGCGAGTTGCGCTGCTTGGGAAGAGGGAAAGACGAAGGGAGAGTCTGTCGATGAAACGGTCGTCAGCTCGACTATCCAGGGAAGAAGTTGCGCTGGACGCACTCTCCACGACATCCAGCCCTGGTGACCACCCCACAGCATCAACTCGACGTCTCCATTCGCCCTGCCAATCGCAAGAACGCCCCTCTCGCCGCTGTTCGCTCCGAAGCCGAGTACGCCGGCGTCGAACGATTCCGGGGTGATCGCCAGCGCCGAGACGCCTGCAGGACTCCAATCAGGGAAGCGGCATCGGTGCACAGGCAGTCCCTTCCGTCGACGCGAGCTGGATCCATTGACGGCAGCGGCGGAGGAAGGCTGCGGCGACGCAGTGGACGGCGAGGGCTGGTCGAAAGACACGTCGTCTCCGTCAAGTTCGAGGTTCATAGCGAGCTAGCAAGCGACCCAGCCAGCGTGGTGGCTCTGTCGTGTGCGAGGCGAAGTCGAAGCCAGCAGCACCTGCGGCCACAGCTCGACGTCGACACTCTCTCGCTGGGCGGGTCAAACTTGTCGTAAACTTGCAGCAAAGCAGCTTCTGAGGGACTTGCAAGTCATCCGGACTCGAACGAACGAGCGAGGCAGCTTTCCGGACAACTTCCTCCTCGACAGTTCCTTGGACAGTTCCTTGCGGACCGGAACGCAGGTCCTCTATTCGCACGACAAGTGTCTGTACTGATGCTGCACTCACACCTTCGTGCCGCCCTGACTCTCGTCCCACATCCGCTTAAAGACGCCGTCCTTCTTCGCAAGCAGCTTGTCCGGCGAGTCGAGTTCGACGATCCGGCCGGCGTCAAGTACGAGGATGCGGTCGTAATCGATGACGGTGCGTCTGCGTGCGTGAAGCGATGAGCAGACACTTTGCTTCAAGCGAGAAGCGGGACTCACAGACGATGCGCAATCGTCAGGACCGCCGCATCTGTGAACTCCTCCCGGATAACCTGCTGCAGCTTCGTGTCGAGAGCGTGGTCGAGAGATGCCGATGACTCGTCGAGGATGACGATGCGCGAGTCGCGGAGGAGGCTGCTCGACAAGAGGCGAACGGGGAGTCAGTCAAGGGAAGCGGAGGAGCTGAGGTGTGGCACGCACGCTCGAGCTATCGCAATCAGCTGCCGCTGTCCCGCAGACCAGTTGGCGCCGCCCGCAGCGACCGCCGAATCCAACGAAATCGTCGATGGTGGCTTGGCTCGTCCTCCCTCACCCCCTTCCTCTGCCGCATCCTCGCCAACATCCGGATCGAGCAGATGCGCCCTCTTGAGCGCAGCGATGCACTCGGCATCGGTATGCTCGCCGAACGGGTCGAGGTTGTCGCGTAGGGTTCCTTCGAACAGGGTCGCTTCTTGAGGGACGAGCGTGATACGTTTGCGTAGCTCTTCGAGAGAGACGTGCGAGATGTCGAGCTGCGCAGTCTCGGCACGTCATTAGAAGCTCAGGAGTCCGCAAGAGACGACACGCACGCCGTCGACAACGATGGAGCCGCTTGCAGGGTTGGTGAAGCGAAGGAGCGACGTTGCAAGTGTGCTCTGTTTGTGAATTTGTCAGCGCGGTAACGCGAGCGGGAGAGAAGTCGCATGCGCACCTTGCCGGAACCGGTGCGCCCGACGACTATCCAGCCAGACGAAGCAAGATCAGCCCCAGCGTTACGAGGGAGGAAGAGCGCAGGACATACTACCGATCCGCTCGCCCGCCTTCACCGAAAACGACACGCCGTGCAGCACTGGCGGAAGGTTCGCGTCGTATCTGTGCGAAGGCTATGTCAGCGACGCATGTGAAGAGGAGATGTCAAGCTACGCACCGCATGACCAGATCCTTCACATCCAAGAGACTCGTCCGTCCGCTCGACGACGGCCAATTTGCAGGCGGCACGACACCTCCTTGCGGTTCCTGCGGTACCTCGAGATACTCCGTGATCCGCTCGAGGCTGTTCATAGAGAGGACGAGGCGACCGTATGCGCTGCAGAGAAAGTCGAGCGCCTGCAAGACGCTTTGGCTCGAGGTGATGGCGATGCCGGCGAGACCGGGCGAGATACGGAAGAAGGTGGCAAAGACGGCGGTCGCAAGAAGGCAGAAGGCCGACAGGAACTGCGTTCGAATGGACAGCCAGATCTGCGGACGGAGAAAGATCAGTGGCGGCCTACGCGATAGCTGCGACTGCTCAGACGCACATCGAGAGTTGCCGAGCAGTACCAGAAGGCCAGCGTCTCGTCGACAATGTTGCACAAGCGCGCTCGGTACTCCTTCTGCTTGCCAAACGCCCGTATTGTCGTGATGCCTCGCAAGGCTTCCGCGAAGGACGCGAAGAGGGGCGAGGCGGTGGTAGCCGCAATTCGGTTCACGTCGCGATTGACGAGAAGGTAGGAGCGGAAGATGGTCGAGTAGATGAGGGCGAAGATGAGCGACGTGCCGAGCGCGGCAGGGAGGACAACGGAAATCACGACGAGAGCTGCGATGAGGAACGCCATCTGTACGGCGAACTCGGCCTGCGGAGGAAGCCATCAGCTCCGCTTCTCGGCAGGAAGGACCGGGCGCTGCCTGACCATGGTGACCGCCAGACCATCGTCGACGACACCAATGTCCTGGGTGAAGCGGTTGACGATTGTGCCGAGAGGGACGAGGTCGAACCATCGAAGCGGGGCGTAGACGACTCGAGAGAGGAGCTGGTGAAAAAGCGAGCGAGAGGCGAGAAGGGAGGCGAGCGAGATGAAGACGGCGGTGAGGACGATCAGGATCGAGGTGCCGGCACCGACAAGGCCGTACAGCAGAAGGTAGTGATTCTTGTCGACCGTGCCGTTCTGCTGAGTCGCCGCTTCGCCCCATTCTGCAGGATACTGACGGGTCAGCTCGTGTGGCTTCCCATGCCGATATTGATGACCTACGGCGCAGCACGAACTGCTCGAGGAACGTAAAGACGGGTCGACCGACGACCGTGAGGAGCACGAGCGCCCATGCGGCGTAGCCCGACGAGCGAAGGTACCTGCAGGAGCGATCGCATCAGGCTGTACTTCGCGGACGACTAGACGACCACGTACGCCTTGTACATCTCGCTCTTCACCGCCCCGCTCGTCCAGCCCTCGGCCTTGCCGGCCGTCACCCGCTCCTTCTTCGCGTCGCCCTCCGTCTCCTCCGCAACTCCTGCCCCTTCGCCTTCGCCGTCAGGCAAGGTCTTTAGCTCCTCCTCGACGGCGTCGACGGCCTGCGTCTGTAGCGACTCGACCGGGCCCTGCGCGATGACCTTGCCATTCTCGAGCTGAACATGATAGGCGGCGAGCGGAAGGACGAGGTCGACGTGGTGGGTGACGAGTATGCAGGTGCGGCCGCGAATGAGCGGACTACCGAAGAGGTGGGTGAGGAGATGACGAGCGACATGCGCATCGACGGCCGCAAAGACGTCGTCGAGGAGGATGGCGGCAGTCGGAGCATAGATGGCTCGAGCGAGGGCGAGTCGAGCTTTCTGGCCGCCTACCGTCGCGCATGAACATCAGCGGAGGTTCGGCTGGAAATGGAGGACTCGGGACGAACCGCTTAGCGAGATGCCCCGCTCACCGACGAAAGTCCTGTCGCCGTCCGGTAGCACTTCGAGATCCTTTTCGAGCGCGCAAACTCGTACGACCGCTCGATACCGCTCTTCGTCAACCGGGTAACCGAAGAGGCTGTGAGGAAAGAGTCAGTTCGAGTCGTTGCAGGAGCCAGCATGAGCCAAAACTCACATGTTCTCCCGTACCGTCAACGACTCAAGCCATGGGTGCTGCGCCGCGTACGAGACCGCGGGAGGAAGGACGACTTTGCCCGACACGACTTTGAGCTCGCCAAGCAAGCCAAACAGGACTGCCGGCGACTCCGTCAGTCACGCATCCTTTGAAGGAGTTTTGGGAGACGCACGCGAGCTCTTGCCGGAACCAGTGGGTCCCGAGACGACCGTCAGCTGTCGCTGGGGAAAGTCGACGTCGAGGTCGATGAGGGCAGGTCTTCCGTCTTTGGCACCGGCGTATCTGAGAGTTGCCTGCTCCAGCTTAACGACGCCGGCAGCTGTCTCGTTCCCGTTCGACACTCGACAATCGACTTCATCCTCGGCAAAGAACGACTCCATGCGAGAGATCGAGACGCGGAGCTGGAGGATGCGGATGCCGAAGCCGGGAATTTGGTTGAGAGGGCCGCGGACGCTGCAATGGTGTGTTTCAGGTCAGCCTTTACAGCCATGATGGCACGGCGGAAAGCTCACAGCGAGAACAGCGACAGCGCGGTGAAGGCGACTGCGACCGTTAGCTCTTCGCCTTGCAGCTTGACGTACGACCAAAAGGCGAGTAGCGGAACGAGGAGCGACAACGACGCCCAGAGAAGCGTGTAGGCGTATCGGATAAACCAGTCCCTGACGAGCCAATCGAGCTCGACCTTGCGCTTCGCCTCGACTCGATGGATGAAAGCGGCCGACCAGCCGAACAGCTTGACGGTCCGGACGTCGTTGATGAGCTCTTGCAGGGCGGTTTGACGGGCGTCTCGTGCGGTCTGCCGCTCGCGAGCGACCTATTACAACCGAAAGTCAGCGCTGGGGACAAGTGTGTCCGCAAGACAGCTACTCGCCTTGACAGCGACCTTGCCGAGCCAGTAGTTGACTGTACGAGGGTCAGATCAGTCGCTTGTATCAGGCGCTGGCTGCTGAATGAGACGAACTGGGCACGCTGAGAGCGAGCAGAGAGAACCCGACGAGAGCGCTCCAGCCCATCAAGCTGCGGCCGGCGGAGTCAGTAACGTGCCTGCGATATGCATGAGCGTATCACTCACTTGTACAGGAAGACAAGGCCCAGCGCAATCTCGAGCGGTGCGCCGTATATGAGGTGCGAGTCACAGCCCATTCGCAGAACCCTGTTCACGTCCTCCGAGATCATCGTGATGACTTTTCCGACCGACGCCGCACCTGGTTCCGGCTCCTCGGCGCTTCCGTCCTCCGCCTTCTTCTCCTCCACTCCGGCCTTTTCGCGCCGCTTCAACGCCTTCTCAAACAGCGCAACCGTCAACTCGCTGCGCAACCGCATCCCGATGCGCCGCGCGTAGTGGAAGTGCCGCTGTTGGGCGAGGGTTTTCAGGAGTGCGGAAAGGAAGGCGAGGAAGGTGTAGAGGTAAGCCTTCTCTCGCGGCGTCCAAGGTGGCGAGTCGGGCGTCATGCTGGAAAGAAGGAGGGAGGAGAAGGTCGGTTCCGGCGCGGGAGAGCCGGTGTAGGCGAGCGTGAGGTTCTCGAGGATCTTTTGAATGAAGTACGGGCGGAGGTACTCCGAAGTCGAGGCGACCAGCTTGAGCGTCGCATCGATGGCAATGTCGCGGGCTGAGGCGCGGAGGAGCTTGCGCGTGAGCGTCTTACTGCGTAGCGAGGCGAATCGGCGGGAGAGGACCTCGGCTCGATTGTTCAGGCTGAGCGACCAGACGTCCTTTGGCCTGAGCGACCGCGCCCTGGCAATCTGCATGATGCCGCTCATCCAGGAGTAGGTGAAGGCGCCGAAGACGGTATTCGAGTCTTCAGGCGAGCGGGGTCGAGACGACTCGGATAGCTCCTTGCCGGCTTCGGCGCGCTCGGCTCGAATGGCGATGTCGAGAGGCGGAGAGAGGGTCATCTGAAAGATGGCGGAGATGAGGAAGCAAATGAGGACGAGATCGGGGAGGCGTTTGAGCTGTGCGAGCGCTGGGAGGTCGGCGGACGGGATCGTGCTGTACATGCGCAAGTCTTGTACGACCGCGAGAAGCGAGTTGAGAAGCAGGACGACGTAGAGCGAAAGCAGGGCGAGTGGCGCGGTTGCGGTCCGTCGCCAAAGTTGGCGGCAGAGTGCGTACGCCTGAACAGACGATGTCAACTCGCCGTACTGTGAAGAGTGCTACTGCGGCAACTCACCCATGCAACGCCATGCGCCACAAGCTGCAGTAGCTCCTGCTTCGGCGAAGATCGCCTGACTGCCGCAGCGAGGAGGATTGTCGCCCACCCGATAACTTCGAGGAGCGGTACGAGGGCCACCATGACAGGCGGTGGAGGCAGGACTGCTTCGGTGGTCGCCTCGAGAATCTCTACATCTTCCACACTTGATTGTCCGACGCCTTCCGCCTCCAAGATGTCCTCATCCTCGACCCATACGGCGAACAGAGGCTTCTGGCGAGGGCCGTACCCCTCGTCCTCGTCGAGCCGGATCCGCTTGGGTCTGTAGCGCTTCTTGAGCCGCTTCGCGACCTGTACGAGGAACAGCAGAGCGGCCCATGCGAGCGGGACCCAGGGAAAGAGGCGGATGAGGGTCGACGAGGAGAAGGGGGTCGACAGCTGCGAGGCGAGCGCCAGCTGCGCCGCAAAGCCGTGAGCGTGCGTCGTGTCTATCATCGTGACATGTCTACGCCCAGCCAGCGCCTTCTAGTGAGTAGCGAGTAGTTCGTTGACCGCCAACGCGCCAACCCTCGCCGAGTCCTCCTCGTCCGCATCCAATCCGCGACTCTCGCGCCACGCCTGTTCCAGTGCTGCTTCAGTGAGTCTGATGGACCGTTCGAAGTCTCTGGAGTCGAGCCGTCTGCCTTTGCGCGAGCCGGCGAGGCTCCTTCCTCCCCTCTCCTCCTCGAGTCGAGGGCGACCCCACACCAGGCGACAGCACAGGCTAACAGGCTCACTTTCACCCGCAGGACCTAGCAGCACATCTTACAGCTCCCCTCTCCCTGCCTCAGCTCCTCTCTCGGTCTCGTCATGCGTTCGTCCACTCTCATCAGTTCCCGACTTCCTCACTCCTCCTGGACTGACGCTCGTACACGCGTAGCCGTCTTCTCGTGGGTCGCCGGTTTCGGTGCGGTGGGCTTCATCACTCGGATGTACGCCCTCGGTATTCAGAAGCGTCCCCTCTTTGACAGTGCGTCCCCTTCGTCTTTCCGGCGGCTCGCTTTGGCTGGCTGCGATGACTGGGCGGTTGTGCAGGCAGTCATTAGAGAGTGGCGCAAGGATAGATGGGTGGAGATCGGCGCCTCTTGCTGACCACCTCGTCATCCTTCCGCTTCCTCTCCTCGCAGACCTCGGCGGTCACGCTCTCTCAACACTGGCTTGGGGCGGCTTCGGCTACTGGGCATACTACGCAAAGTGAGTCTGCCTTCCCCGCTTCCCAGGATCGAACGAAACTCCGCGGCGTGTCCGCTAGACCACCTCGCGCTTTTTACTGATCCCTCCTTCGATCCTACAGCGAGCGCAATGTCGCGCAGATCGAGCAGCGGAAGCAACAGATGGCGCGTATTCGGGCACGGGAGGAGTTGCCGTCGGGCGACAAGGCCGAGGCGGGTCACCACTAGAGGAGTGGGATCTGTCGGCGGGCGGTGGAGTTGGCTCGCATCTGTGTAACTCGGACGTTCTTCTTCTCTTTCGTGTTGTGGACAGGTGAGATTTCGGGCATGTATATCAAGAGACCAAGACTGCTACACAAGTTCACGCTTCGCTCCGCTTCGTCTTGGTCCCCCTTCCATGCTGCGCTTCCGCCGCTCGCACCTCTCCCACTGCTCCTCCTGCACAATTTACCGCACCCTCGACTGCACCGACGCCGGTCCAGGCGCAAGCGTATATCCCGCCGTCACTCCTCGCATCGCCTGTCCCGCCTCGCCCATCCCGTCATTCGCTCCGTCGACGTCCATCTGCACAACAAGCGAAGGACGACGCGATGGACCCGCGAAGGAAGCGAGGGGCGAAGGAGAAGGTGGCGTAGCGGGCGCGCCGTACGTTGCGCGAGGGACGGGGAGGCGGAGAGGGGAGAGCTGGGACGGGTGTGCGCGAGGTTGGCCGACGCCTGGACGCTCGGCGGAAGAAGGGGTCATGGTCATGGAGGGGACGACGGGGTTGGTGGGTGTGGGAGAAAAGAAGAGGCGGAGGGAGCTGGGATGGTGTTCGATAGCTGCTCTCGGAGGTCGGCTGCCAGAGTCAGCGATCCGGTATATGTTAGGTCGAGAAAATCGAACGCACCTGCGCTACCTCGCCTGCTCGAGTCCGTCCTGCCGCCCCGACTCCGCTCCATCCTCCTCTCGACCGCACGAAGCAATTCCTCGACCGCCTGATCCTCGCCCGGTCGTCCCTTTCCTCCCTTGCTCGTCAAAGAGAGCAGAGTCGAGTGGAGCAAGTCAAGCGGCAAGCGAATATGTGTCGGTGCGGGCGCAGGATTCGAGGCGGTGGCGAGCGGCAGCCAGGGGACGAGAAGGGCGTCGTCCGAGTTCGGTCCAGCATGTTCGACGTGCTGGGGAGGTCGCTGCGTCATCGCTGGAGTGTGGCTCGACGCAGCGCGCTGCCCAACGACGCGAGACTCCTCCTCAACCGCGCGCCTTCCTCCGTTCGTCCCAGCCCCTCCCGCCACCGCGCCAATCGTGCTCCGCTGCCCGCTCGTAGGAAAGTACATCTCCCTCCTGACACTCTCCGGCGGGAGCGAACCCCTCCTATCCTCCGGCAACGACGCACACCTCCTCTTCGTAGTACTCGTCGGAAACGCAAACTCGGGTGGTACGCTCGGCAAACTCGCCAAACGACGGTACGGGTGCGTCCGGCTCTCGTGAACGAGAGGTTCGCGAGGTAAGCGAGGACCAACGTAGGCTTCGATGCGGCTGTAAGGTGACGGAAGCGAGGTCGAGGCGAGTTGGCCGTTTCGAGGCGCCGGGACTGGGACGTTCGGGTGGTGCGAGGCTCGGAGGGCTTTCAGAAGAGGGGTTGAATACTGCAGAGGGTCGCGCGAGGGCGGTCCGGGGTCGTGAGCGGGTGGAGGGCGCCCGAGCGTTGAGGAGGCCGACGAGGCTGTCGGGTCTGGCGCGGGCTGAGCGTCGAGTAGTCCGAGGTCTCGCAGCGAGGGTAGCGTGAGTGTGCGAGTCGGCTGGACCATTGAGCGAGGCAGTCCGGCGTGGGAGGAAGATGACGAAGAGCAAGCGGCGAACAGGACGCTGCGAGGACGAGGGCCCAAGCGAGGCGAGCGGCCGCAGCTGTGGCATCGAGGCGGAGCAGACGGAGCGGGCAGGTCTCTCCTGTACTGCTCGACAATCCAGAGCAACAGCGACCAGCTGTGAAAGCGAGAGGCGACAAGGCCTGGTGAGCGAGCGAGGGAGACAGCCGCCTTCCTCGCTTTCGTCGCTCGGCTGGCGTCTCCAGGCCAGCAAGCACTCTCTCCGTTTGTATCCCGCCGATGGCCATCTCGGTAGAAGCGCACGGCGTCCCAGGTGCCGACAACATGCGATTGAGAAGGCCGCTCCCTACTCCCTCTTCTTGCCCAGCCCAAACACCCTCGCCAACCGCCCGTGCTTCTCCTTCCCTCCTCCCGCATCCTCCTCGATCCTTGACGTCGTAGAAGCAAGATCGAGGTTCCCATGACTCGATTTGCGGGCCTTGTGCTCTTTGCGCAACTTGTGCCCTCCTCCTCCACCGCCCGTGCTCGAAGAGGATACTTTGCGCCGCTCGTCTGGTCCTAGCACACCCCCGAACGGCGATGCAGGAAGTGCAAGCGAAGGCGTCGAGCGGCCGGGTGCAAAGTCCGATGACGAACGCGGCGAATCCAGCCCGTTCGCGGGTACTAGCGGCGGTCCCGAGACGCTCCTCTGTCCTGCTGGAGCAGAAGCGAGAAGCGCTTCGCCCGCGCCTGTGAGGGAAGGGTGGTGCGCGTGCGAACGGGACTTGCGGACGAGCTTGTTGTGCGCATGCGACGACGCGACGAGGTGCGGAAGCGGCGGGTGCGGAGGGGATGGGTGCTGCCTGAGCGGTGAGGTTGGCGGAACCGGAGGAGGAGAAGGCGAAGGCGGGTAGGGGGAGTTGGCGGAGAAGGCGTGTGGTGCAGGTGGATGAACCGGGACAGGCGCAGCGAGAGGGTAAGGTAGGCCGTGTCGGGCTTCTTCCTCCGCGTAGAGTACCTCCTGCTGGCCCGGTGGCTGCTGTCTCACGACGCCTGGCGCGACTCGACCTCCAGCAGGTGCCGGCGAAGCCGGCGTAGGCGTTGCCGTCTCGCCAGACTCGGAAACCGTCCCAGCTGCCGATCTCGCAGGCGACGGGCCAACAAGGATAGAAGGAGCTGCGCTCGTCGGCGTCGACTGCTGCGACCCGCCCGAGACGGATCGCTGGACGTGGCGGTAAGTGAGAGGCGAGAGACGTGGAGTCGAAGGTCGGCGGTTGGCTGTGAGCGCAGAGGAGGAGAGCGGAAAAGGCTGAGGAGACGTGGTGTTGTGGTATGCGGACGAAGGCGTGCGTGGGGTCGAAGGCGGTTCGCTGGTCGTGTCGATTGGTGGAAGAGGCGGTTGCGACGCGGGCGTCGAGGCCGGCGAGGTGGGAGCGCTGTCGAGCGGCGTAGGCGGAATCGGCGCGCCAACATGCGGTACGACTATTCCGTTCGCGTATGCGTACTGCTCGCCCAGTCCACCCGCTGACGGCGAAAACCGTCCCGTTGACGGCATCTCACCCTCCTCTCCCCCTCCATCTGGCCCAGTCGGAGGCACCGCAATCGACAGCGCTCCTTCGCGACTTTTCCGCTTCGACCGGATCGTCTGAGGCGAATTTTTCGACCTCCTCCGCTGCTCCCTCGACGCCCTCCTCGCATTCTTGACCTCCTCGCGATGTTGTCTCACGAGCTGCACCATACGCACATCAATACAAGAAGTTTCGAGTGATGGAGAGAACGACTCACGGAGTCAAAGTCTTTCTGCGTGCTGAAACTGTAGGCGTACTCGGCGGGTGAGAAACCCTCGTTGTTGCGGGGCTCTTCGTCGCAGTCGAAGTCGATCAGCAGCTTCATTACCTGCCGATTATATACTCATTCAGCTGGTCGCCGCGGAAGAAGCGATGGAAGGAGGAGACGCACGGGCAAGTGTCCCCAGGCGCACGCGTAGTGAAGAGGCGTGTTGCCGTTCAAGTCGGGCGCGTTGATGTCCGCGCCGTAGTCGAGGAGCATCTGCGGGCTCAGACCGATCAGCAAGACTGTAAGGGAAAGCAGAGCAATGCTTGCGGCACCTGAGCTGCTTCGACCTGTCCCTTCAGAGCAGCCGCATGCAACGGCGTCATCCCTTGCGAGTTGACCCAGTCGAGTACGAATCTGCGCGCACGACGAGAGTCAGCTGGAGAGAAAGACGAAGGACATATTGGTGGACTGGAACGCACGCGAAGCGCGAGAGATAGAGCTCGAGGATGTCGACGAAGCCGTTGGCCGCAGCGATGTGGAGGACGGTCTCGCCGAGTACGTCCTGTCCACACAAGTTCGTAAGCTCTCAGCTTGGGCTTGGAAGCATGCGAACTCACCCTCGAGACCTCGTCATGGTCGACTCCCTCTTCGAGGAGCCATTCGCACAGGTCCGCCCTGCCCTTGTGCGCCGCGAGATGCAAGCTCGTCTCCCTCGTCTGCGGATCCGTGTTCCTGTAGTCCCTGTTACCTGCGTCGTCTGTCGGCAGGCGGTCTGCGAGTCGCGTGAGAAAGGCGAGCGTCGTTCGAAGGGACGAGGCGGCGAGGGCGGTGCGGAAGCGTGTGCTGGGGTCGCGCCCGTTGACAAAGGCCATGCGTAGCAGTCCAGCCTATCCGACCATTGGCCTCACGAGGTGTGCCAGAGCGAGGCGGCGGAGGAAGGGCCAAGCGAGACCGAGGTGGTCGTGCTGGCTAATCTCCGCGGAGTCCGGCGGACGGTGGATGAAAACTCTCACGTGCTCTCAATTCCCGCAAGCGCGATCGAAGCAGAGATCTGACGTTGCCGTGCGACCCCTTCACACTCTAACTCCCTCGTCTTCCTGCTTGTGTGACTGGCTCGAAACGACTGCTGTCACTGCTGTAGAAGCCTCCGACGACGCACACGCCGATCTAGCGACGCACCAGCCTCGTTCTCCGCCGCCCAGCCTTCATTGCTCTCGATCCATCAAACAACCCTTCACACCTCGTCACCGCCCTCTGGCGACCTCGAACACTCCCCAGACGACTAGAAATGTCACTTGCACGACATGGTGACCCGCGAGAGCCCGTACCCGCCAGCGGGGACGGTCCAGCAACCTCCTGCCTCGTACGCGCCCCCTCAGATGTCGCAGGCTCCGAACTACGCCGGCAACGGAGGGTACGGAAACAGCAACGGGTACGGCGGGTACAGCGGAGGACAGCAGTACCAGCCGCCGGACCAGGCGGGCGGCGGATACGGATACGGAGGAGGGAACCAGGCGCAAGAGTATTACCAGCAGAGCCAGGGAGCGGGCGGACAGAAGCCCCCGCCTCAGGCTCCTCCGCCTCAGAATGGTGCCGGCATGGAAGGCAAGTTCGACGACGTCAAGCCCAAGTTCAACGATGTCATCTTCGCCCTCCTCTTCCTCGCCCAGCTGGGCGCCTTTATCGCCATCTCGGTCATCTCCCTCCGCGCCCTGCCCGCTAGCGAGGGCTCAGTCGGTCTCGGCCAGTCCGGCGGGACCGCCACGACACTCAACGCTTCGACGGCCTGGCTCCTCGCAATCATCTCCGGCACCGCACTCGTCCTCTCGATCCTCCTCCTCGTCCTCGTCCGCCTCTTCACCAAGATCATCCTCGAACTCTGCTTGCTCCTCGCAGTCGCGATGAGCATAGGCTATGCCGTCTACATGTGGGTGGAGCGATACTGGAGTGGCGCGATCATCTTCACCATCTTTGCGGTGATTTCGATCCTTGCGTACCCGGGAATGCGTCGCCGTATCCCATTCTCGTGCGTAGCGAGCCGTCCGTCTCAATCGCGTCGTCGGGATCGAGCTGACTCCTCCACTCGAGCAGGAAAGCCCTCCTCCTCTTCGTCATCCGCGTCGCCAAGTTCCATCCCTCAGTCTACGTCATCGCCCTCATCGGCACGACCCTCACAGCCGCCTACTCCGCCTACTGGGCCATCTCGGTCGTCGCGATCTACCAGAAGTGGTCGCCGAACGCTGAGGGAGCAAGCACGGGCGGAGGGACGCCGAGTTCCGGAGCTGTGATTGGGTTGATGGTGTTCGCGGTGTTTAACCTCTACTATACCACGCAGTTCTTGACGTGAGTCGACGGTTTCGGCATAGGTGAAGACTTGAGGACAACGCTGACCTTCCTTCGTCCCGGTTTGCAGCAACTTGTTCCTTACGGTGCGCCCGCTCCGGCCGATGCTTTTCCGAGTAAACGATGAAGCTGATGAGTACTCGCTGTGGGTGACTTGCGATACCGCAGACGGAGGCGGGCATCTTCGGCGCCTTGTGAGTCTCATCCTCTCCCCTTCGCCCCCTTACGCTACGCTTCCCGCCGTCCTCCTTCCGCCGTTCCCAGCGCATCATACTGATGCTCTACATTGCATAGCTACTACGGCGGCCGTGATGCGAAGATGGTCGCATGGGGAGCGTTCAAGCGCGCCTCGACCTACTCCTTCGGCTCCATCGCCTTCGGTTCGCTCATTGTCGCGCTCCTCGACCTCCTCCGCGCGTTCTTCCAGGCTCGTTGACACTTTCTCACTCATCAGAACGCCGTTTGCTGACGTTTCAGCGCGCAGATCCTCCAATCTTACGAGTCGGGTCAAGGAGACGTTATCGGAGCCGCCGTCGCCTGCGTCGCCCAATGCTGTGTCGGGGGCATCGCCTGGGCCGTCGAATACTTCAATAGGTATGCGTATGTGTCCATCTCGCTCTATGGCGAGGCGTACATCCCGGCGGCGAAGCAAACCTGGTCTCTCTTCCGCGACCGTGGTATCACGGCGTTGATAAACGACTGCCTTGTTTCTAATATCTGGACGTTCGGATCTTATGCCGTCGGAGGTCTGGCTTCACTTTTCGCGTATACGTACGTCCGGACGAGTCAGCCGGGGTACACACAAGACAATTCCGGCCTTGTAGCCGTGTTAATCGGCTATGTGCGTGTTTCTCCCTCTCCTACACCCTCTGAAGTCACTAATGAACCCGCCGAACAGGCCTTCGCCATCGGATTCTTCATCTGCCACTCCCTCGGCTACGCCGGCCTCTCCTCCGGCGTCTCGACAGTCTTCGTCGCCCTGGCGCACGACCCCGAGGTTCTCGCCGAACGAGACCCAGAACTCTTCGCCGTCATCCGCCAAACGTATCCGCATGTCGTCAACCCGGTCTGAGGAGGAGCAGGAGTGAGGAGGGAAGATTGGAGGAGCTGGAGGCGTTGCAGACACTCTACTTTCTCGCACCGCGTTGCGCTTAATCTGATATACCCATCTAAACAGCCGGACCGTGTTGCGGGAGCTTGAGAGACGAGAAGGTAGCGAGGATGAGGAGGACTTCTTTCCGGGCGGCTCCATTCCCTCTCGCTTCGTTCCCAGCTCTCAAACAGCTCGAAAGAATTCTATGTACCGTGCTAGGCATTGCAGACATGTAGCCCCGCGAACTTTGCTAGTCTAAGTGAATTCACAACAGTCAATCCGGCCTCCTTCCTCCTCCCTCCTCCCGCTCAACCGCGCAGGTACATCACCAACAAAGCAATCAACCCAAACAACACCGAGAGGAGCGTAAACCCTCCTGCTGCATCGCGGATCGTCTTGTGCGTCGCGAGTTCCGACGAGGAGACGTTCCAACGCGAGGGGATGGGCATCCCGAGGTCGTTGAGGATTTGGGTTGCGACGAGGCGGGCGCCGGCGAGGACGATGGGGACGCTGCGAGGACAATACGAATTAGCAGCCATTCCTTGAACTCGACGCATGCGGTACGCTGGAGAGGCAGCGACAAGCGAGGCGAGCGAAGACCACCACAAATCACCCCGTTCCCGGGTGCGCCGACGCGCCGACAAAGTAAGCGTTCTTGACGCTCGGGTGGCGGGTCTTGGGGCGGAAAGAGAGGACGTTGCTGCGAAGAAGCGAAAGGTTGGGAAGGTCAGCGCAAGCTTCAAGAGCAAGCAGGACAAGACAGGCTGGCGGAACTCACAAGAAGTCGTGACTGAGTCCGAGAATGCTGCCGCGGTGCAAGTTGAACTTCTCGCCCCAAGTGATGGGCGTGTTGATCGTCTCGTGCTCGATGCAGCTCCGGAGGTCCTCGATGTCGAGGCGGCGCTCAATCTCGCCGATGATCTTGTTGCGCGTCTCTTCGACGACTTTGTCCCAGTCGGAAGAGGAGGGGAGGGCGGCGGAGATGTGCCCGACGGGAACGAGGACGATGACGGCGTCTTTGTCGGCGGGTGCGGCGCTGCGAGCGCATGCGGAGTCAGCGATGGCTGGCTGCTAGCGACATGAGTGGGACATACGAAGGGTCGTGACGGCTGGGAACGTTGACGTAGAAGGAAGGCTCATGCGGGATGCGGTGTTCGCGGAAGATCGAGTCGAAGGACCTGGACGGGAGAGGCTTCATCAGCGACCGCTTCGAGAGCGGCGAGTAGCGCAGGTGTGCTCACTCTCGGTACTCCTCTGCGAGGAAAATGGTATGCGAGTCGAGCTGGGGTATCTTGCTGTAGAGCGGTCAAGGGGGAGTCAGTATCCGCCATTCGCGATCGAGGACGAGTGAACATTCACGCACCGGTTCATTGACCAGTAGAGCGAGATGGACGAGCAGCTGACGGGCCGCTCCTCAAGGCGCTTCGAGTAGCTCGTCTCCTCGTACAAGTGCGCCATACTCCACACCAAATCCGCATTGACGAGGACGATGTCGGCGGTCAACTTCTCGCCGCTCTCGAGCTCGACACCCTTAGCCGTGCCGTTCTCGACCGTGACGCGCTTGACGGGACTGTTGAAGCGGAACTTGGCGCCGCTCTTTTCGGCGAGCTGTTGGAGGGTTTGCGGGATGCGGCCGAAGCCGCCGAGAGGGTAGAGGATGCCTTCGCAGTGCTCGGTGTACTGGAGGAGGTTGTAGGCGCCGAGAGCGTCGAAGGGGGACATGCCCTGCGAGATTGGAGGTGCGGGTGAGCGGAGGAGGAACTTGGCCGGCGATTAAAGCCAGAGCTGGCGCTCGAATCGCGACGCTCTCCGACTCACGAGATACATCGAGGCGAAAGTGAACGCTCTCCGCATGCGGTCCGTCTTGAAGTACTTGGTCGCGCGCGAGTACTGAGTCGAGGCGACGCTCATCAGCAATCCTGCGTTCCCAGCGAGTCGTATCAGCACTGATGAGGTGACGTACGACAGAGACAAAGGGATGGAGCTTGCGGAGCTGGATGATGAGAGACGGGCGGACCATCGAGAGGAGCGAGGTGAAGTTGCGGTGCAGGACGTGGACCATCGACAGCTCGTAGTGCGCGTGTCCCTCCTTCAAGAAGCCAAGGAATCTGCATACAACATGAGCGTCAGTAACTGGAAAGGAAGCGGGAAGAGAGCACAAGCGAAAGGGCATCTCCGCTCGTCGTCTCGCTCCGAGGTTCCAAGCCACTCACCCTTCAAAGCCCTTCTCTCCCTCCCACCGCTCGACCTGCTTCTTCATCCTTGTCAAGTCGCTGCTCATCTCGACGACCTCCTTGTCGGGGAAGACGATCCGGTAGTTTGGCTCGCACTTGACGAGCTTGATGCCCTCGTTCTCGAGGCTCGTCCCAAGATCGTTAAAGGTCTCGTCAAACAGTCGCGGGATGAGGAACAGGCTCGGGCCCTGGTCGAAGCGGAAGGACTTGGTCGGATCGGTGAAGAGGGAGCATCGTCCGCCGGCAAAGTCGTTCTTCTCGAGGACTGTCGACGAGGTTGAACTCGTCAGTGCCTCCAACCAGGTTCTACGAGTGCTCCCACGTCCCCCGATCGAGGCAGGACGACGCAGGAGACAGAGTGTGCGCACCTGTCACGTCGAACCCGGACTGGGCGAGGCGAGCGGCGGAGGCAGTCCCTCCGACGCCCGCTCCGACGATGAGCACCGAGGGCTTTCCCTTGCCGTGTCCGTTCGCAGCTGCCATCCTTGCTGTGCTAACGAGTTGGTGGCAGGACAAGAGCAACCCCGTCAAGCATCGCACCGCCCCGCCTGGCATCGGCGATCGAGCGGATGAGTTCCCGGAAGCGATCACCTTCACCTTGCGTTGCTCGGCATCGCATCGAAGCTCCTCTTCACGTGCAAGCGGGCGCATTGTGCAGTACAGTACAGTACAGTACAGCAGCGAGGAACAGGGACCCGGAGGCGAAGGAAGACGCTGCGATGAAGCATCAAACTCCGCTCGATTCCATGCACAATTCGCAGATATATCGACGCTTCACCATCCTACACCTCAACTATGGCTTGCAGTCGAAGCTGCGAGACAGGCGGGAGTCGCAGAGACTCGACGCGCGTGAGGAGAGGCCGGTAAAGCCAAGAGATGCGTAGAGACGGAGACGTCCTTCAAAGGCCCGTCTGCAAGCTTCGTTAGCGATACACAGATGGTACAGGAGCGGGAGAAGCACGCACAGATCCGGCGGTGACCGCTACAAGGGCAGGCTTGTCCTGGATGTCGTTCGGATCGGACGCCGAGGAGAGCGATGGTGCCAATCCTCCTGAATGAACCTGCGTGTCGAACGCCCGTCCAGCGAACTGCTCGACATCGAGAAGGCTGTGATGGCCGCCCGCGACATAATCAATTGAGCCATCGCGCCTTGTCTCGACTCTCATGCCTCATTGCGCCTTCTCATCTTCTCCCGCCAGATCCAGCTTGCGATCCGCCCTCCCGAGCTCCTCCACCCACCTCCCCACTCCTTTCGCCACTCCACTCACTCCCACCACCGCAACCAACCCAATCAACACCAGAACAAACGGCAGCGTCGATTCTGGCACGCCGCCGAAGTGGACCGGTTCGAGGAGGATCGTGAAGGGGACGTTGAGGGTGTGATGTTGGGAGGGAGAGATGCAGGAGGGAGTTGCGGAGATGAGCAGGTGAGGGAGGGAAGGGTGAGGCGAGGATGAGGGAGCGCGGTGGGTTGAGAGGTGGAAGGTGGTCGGATGCTGCGCGATCCCGAGGTCAGTGCGGCGCTCTCGATTGAGTAGAAAGCTGTACGTACCGAAGCAGGCCACGACAGTCTCACAGTCCGCATATCCAGCCCCATTGCCCGTTCGAACCTGTCCAGGAGGCCAAGCAGGCCCGTTCGCACCGTCCCAGCACCATCGAGCGGTATGAATAGCTGTTTTGGAGACTTTTGACCCTCGTTCAGGCGGACAGAGAGCGTCTGCGGCGAGTTGACTTCGAGGATGTGGGGAGAACTGATGAAGAACCTGTGAGCTGCTGAGAGCGCGAGGGCAGATGCGAGCACTGGTACGTACACTTGTGCGCTATAAGTAGCATTTGGGAGATCCGCAAGCTCGAAAGGCAGGCGTGAGACGAGGATTTCGGTGTTTGCGAGTGCGAGGGGTGTGAGGGTTGCGATCAGGACGAGGGAGGCGGCGCGCAGGCGTGCGAGACAATGTAGCATGTCCCAAGTAAGCTAACAAGGCTAAGAACGCAGCGTCGGCCGGAAAAGCGTGAAGTGGGTGAAGAGGTGGAGAGGGAAGGGCAGAAGGAGGAGGGCGTGAGAGCCAAGGCATGGTGCTGCATCTCGCGGCGCTCTGTTTGGTATAGCAAAGGTTGCGCAAGGACAGAACTGTAGTAAGAGAGACGCAGAACGACCGTTGCAACGTCTAGAGGAGGAAGATACAAAGGCGGGAGAAGTACAACAAGCACGATTAGGCGTGGTGGACTGGCTATGGACAATCTATCGACTAGGTAAGAGTAAAGAGAAGGTCTAGGACTTTGGCGGAGGACGCGAGCGAACCGAGGGAGCCCTGCGCTGCTCCTCGATCTCCTCCCTCGAGAACCAATGTCCATGCAGCCCGTACGGCACCCTCTGCGGCAACTTGACCCTGCACACGACGTCCGTCATGTTCCACGCATCGATGACCCACAACTCGCTCGTGGCGCCGTCGACAGCGCGGCCGGTCGAGGGATCGAGTTGGCGTTCGTCAAAGACGTAGGTGAGGAGGTAGCCGTCGTCTTCGGCTCGGGGGTCCTGGCGGGGTACGAACGAGCTCTCCTGTGCACAGTGCAGCGGAGGGAGCTCGAAGATCCGGATCGGCTCGTCGTCGTTCGAAGAGGTGCGGTCCCCTTGTCGCGGCTTTTGCTGGGCAATCACGTCGAGGACGCCTCGCTCGTCGACCGGTCGCTCTGACTGTACCTCGCCCGCCTCGTCGCGCTTCTTGCCCTGCCGGACAAGCAAGTCGACATTGACTTTGACGAGGCAGTCGATCTTTGCCGCCGAGCCAAGCGCCGCGTCGAACGACCCGTGCTTCACCGAGCATCCGTAGACATACTTCGACGGTCCGACAGCGCGGTCCTGCGGTACAGTCGGGAACTCGAACGGGATCGCGGCGAGGGGAAAGGCGTGCGATGGCTCGAGGGTGACGGAGGCGGAGGAGGAAGAGGGGAAGCGGTAGTAGTAGAGCTCGCAGGACTCTTTGGCGCCTGCCGAGAGGGACTGAGACTCGGGTAGGACGAGGTTGCCGGCGGAGTAGATGAGACGGGGAGAATTCAGGCGGCAGCAGACAAGGTTGACTGCCTCGACCTCGTTGTGGGAAGGCGAGGCAGGCTCGTCGTACGCGAACGCCGTGTGGAAGATGATGCAGGCCGGCGCGATGTACCACTTGACGAGCGTCGGTTTGTGGCGAGGCAAGACACCGAAGCGAGCGGGTTTGGACGGGTCGTAGGAGATGACGGGTTTGCCGAGTGCGAGGTTGCGCGGGTCGAGCGAGAGGGGCATGTCGAGGAGGATCGAGTGCGTGCGAGAGGCGGCCATGTCGTGCATCATGCGAGGTGCGGCGATGGGGACGGGAGCAGCGAGGATGCGAGGAGTTGGCGTCGCCTTCTCGGAGCGAGCGGCGGGAGGAGGAGCGTGAGTCGAAGGGATGACGGAGTAGTGAAGATAGGGCGGGAGGAACGACATGTGGAAGAGCATGAGCTCGCCGGTGTGCGGGTCGCGTTTCGGCTGTTAGGCGAAAGGCGTCAATCTTGGGCTTGGCGAGGAGTAGAAGCGAGCGACTCACATGGGCGGTCGTCCATTCCTTCATCCAGCCGAGCATCCCGCCCTCTTCCCGCAGTCCCTTCTCGCCATTGTCCCCCTCAAGACTCCAGAACCCGACCGTGTCGAGTTCCGGCAGCGTGACCCAAGTCAGTGGCCCACTCTCGCAACTCGCCAGCGCTCGTCCGTCGTGCCACAAGACCGACGTGTTGGCGACTGAGAGATGTCGCAGAGGTGATTCGGTGAAGAACGAGCAGAAGGCGAGGAAGACGGCTCGGAAGACGGAGTACAGGATGAGGTGGAGAGACCAGATGGAGCCGAGGAGTGTGGCGATGGAGGGTAGGATGGGACTTGTGACGCCGAGCGCTTGCGAGGCGAGGAAGACGTCGGTGAGGACGTATTTGTTGACGAAGAGAGGGGCGATGCGAGGGTTCGAGTCGAAGGACGAGGAGGACGGGACGGGCTTGAAATACACGCCCGTCAGCATACCGTCACCGTCGAACTGAGAACGCAGAATGTAAGCTCGTTGTTCGGAGCGCGCAGGCGGACGAGGCCGAACACACCCAGTGGTAGGCAGGTCCGTCTGCGGAGTCCTCTCCTCGCAACTCTGCCAGCACAGGCTCGCCGCCGTTCCGCACGTACATGCTGTAGAGCCATTGTCAACGATGGCTGGGAACAGGAAAGAGCGCAAGAACGCACCCGCCGACGAGCTCTTGCGGGAGCTGACCTTCGCAAGCGCATTCCTCGAGCGTGCGCTCCTCGCGCACGGGGAGGTAGTTGCCCTGCTTGTAGGTGTGCCGGGGCTTTGTCTCCATCTCGTTCTGCGAGTCCCCCTCCAGCGGCAGAGGCAGCGATGTCGGCGGCTGGCGCAAGGGGAATCTGAGGCCGAGTCGAGCGCGGTGTGAGTGCGGCGTTCTCAGCGGGTGTGGGAGGGTGCGGGTGTCGTCGAGGGTGGTAGAGTGAGTGAGTCGTCGCTGTCCATGCGCCAGTGAGCCCTGCGAAGCGCGAGTTGGAGAGCGACGCCAGCGCAACCGTCTCGCTCGGACAAGTCGCGGTGCGCTCGACGTCGCTGCGTCCCCAACTTTAGCCTTGGGTCGGCTACGTCAGCCCTCCCGTTTCGGTCTATTACCCTGCCCAATACAAACTGGTTGTAATGCTCGAGTTGTATTCTTTGCGCCGCGATCGAGCGATCTGGCTGGCCTCGTCCTTGGTCGGGCTGTTCTCGCTGGTCTCGAGGGCGTCGTCTTGGGGCTCTTTCTCGTTTGCTAGTGACTGCTAGACTCGCGCTCGCATGGGCGGACTGGACTACTGGCTCGTGTGCGTCCACCTCGCTCCCGTTCACTCGCATCCTCCGCACTCACCCTCGTGTTGCTCGCAACGCCCGACAGCCACCTCCGCTGGACTATCCCGCCAGCGCTAGTCCTCTGGAGCACCTTCAGGAAGCTCAGGACACGCCGCGATGTGTACAAGACGCTCTTCCTCGTCGCCGTGCGTCCACACCGCTTCCTCCGTCGGCTCGATGCTCCAATCGCCAACTGACCTCTGCCCGTCCCACAGATCGCAGTAACCGTTCGTGCAGCTCACAAGAAGCAGGAGACGCGAGGAACTGACCGAATCTCGCGCAGGCGACAATTCCCTGGGACTCGTACCTCATCCGGCACAGGGTGCGCCAAGTCTTGCTTCCTACCCTCGAAAGCGCCGACTAACGCTTGCACCGGACAGATCTGGTCATACCCCGAGTCATCCGTCGTCGGACCGACCCTCTTCGCGATACCCTACGAAGAGATCTTCTTCTTCTTCGTCCAGACCTACATCACCGCGACCGTCTACGCCCTCTTCAGCCGCCCCGTCGTGCACGCCGTCCTCCTCCCTCGGAAACCTAGCGACGGACGAGCGGCGCGGTACATCGGGACGGCGGCGTTCTTGGGCATCTTTGCGCTCGCGTGGGCCAAGTTGGAAGAGGGAGGAGAGGGAACGTACCTCGCGTTGATTGTTGGATGGGTTGCGCCGTTCCTCGCGTTGCTCTGGTGCGTCCAAGCGAGTTCCCGGCGAGAGTGATGACTGACTTGTCCCTTGCAGGTTCATTGCCTCGAACCACTTGCTCGCCATGCCTCGCTGGGCCGTCGGTCTCCCCATCCTCCTCCCGACGCTCTACTTGTGGGAGTGCGACGCTCGAGCATTGCAGCGCGGAACTTGGGTGATCGAGAAGGGCACAAAGCTGGGCTTGGCTTTCCGCGGCCTTGAAATCGAGTGCGCCCGGTCTGCCTATCATCGCCCAGTCGCTTGCTGACGGTCAACGTTCACGCAGAGAGGCCGTCTTCTTCCTCTTGACAAACGTCATGATCGTCTTCGGCCTCGTCGCCTGCGACTACTGCCTTGCAGTTCACGACTTGCGCTCCTACGACACCCGCACCTCGTCCGTCTTCCCACCCTTGCGCGACTTCCTCCCCATCCTCCTCAACTCGCCCGACGCCGCACAGCGTCAACGCATCGAGGACTTGCAGGCGGCTATCGACATCTTGTCGGTCCATTCGAAGAGCTTCTCGACGGCGAGTCAGGTGTTCGAGGGCAGGCTGAGGCTGGACCTTCTCTCCCTGTGAGTGCGGCTCGTATCGAAGCATAGATCAGAGCTGATCTTCAGAATACCGCAGCTACGCCTGGTGCCGAGTTTGCGACGACCTGATCGACAACGCCTCGACGGTCGCGGCGGCCGAATCCAACATCGACATGATCTCGGGCTGCCTCGACCTCCTCTACCCTCCCTCCGCCTCGACTCCGACCTCCCTCCCCGTCCGCGTCTCAAACAAGCAAATCGAGGCGGCCTTGCCCGGCCTGAGCGAGCCCGAACGAGGCGCATTCCACCTCCTCAGGCTCCTTCCTATCGCCCGCCCACCGCTCGACGAGCTCCTCGACGGCTTCCGTACCGACCTCTCCTTCCTCGCTCTCTCCGACTCCAAGGGTGCCAAGACGAACGGCGCCGCGAACGGGAACGGGAACGGCAAGTCCAGCATCTCCGCCGAGTTGCCCATCAAGACCGACTCGGACCTGCTCGTCTACGCCAACAACGTCGCTTCGTCCGTCGCGGACCTCTGCGTCCAACTCGTCTGGGCGCACTGCACGCCTTACTCCCGCACACCCGCTCAATCAGTCCCGCGCGACCCGATTCTGTCAGAAGCGGAGAACGCGCACGTTCTCGCGGCGGCGAGGGAGATGGGACAGGCTCTCCAGCTCGTCAATATCGCGCGGGACGTACCGGCCGACTTGAAGATTGGGCGGATCTACCTCCCAGGTCGCGCGCTCGACACGCCGGTGCCCGAGTTGACGAGCGACAGGCGGGCGTTGCTCGCTCGTGCGAACGAGATGGCTGCGCATAGCAAGGATGCGATAGAGAAGTTGCCGCAAGAGGCGAGAGGAGGGATCAGGGCGGCGTGTTTGGTCTATCTCAGCATCGGGGACGCGGTCGGGAAGGCGTTGGACGAGGGGAGGGTGATGGAGCGCGCGAGGGTGTCCAAGGGTGCGAGGGCGCGCAAAGCGTGGCAGGCGCTGTGACGGGGCAAAAGCTGGATCTTTACAAGTTGTGCATATTGGCTGGAATAGACGGTCTCGCTGGTTCCTCATCTTCGAGGCGCGGGCTTGCGGAGAGGAGAGAGGGAACTGGGTATTGCAGGGTTGCGAAGAGGTACATGAAGTAACGACGAAGGTAGAAGCCGTGCAGGGTGGCAGAAAAGGCGAAAGCAGCGTGCGAGAGAGGCGGAAGAGGGCGACTACTGCTCCCACCTGCCAATTAGACGGGTCAGTCAGGGACCTTGCGCGTGAACAGAAAGGCAGACGCACTTCCTGGCAACCATCGAATCGGGCGGACGAGTCTCGACCTTCCTCTGCGAGAGGAAAACCATGTGAGCGGGCGCTGTCTGAACATGAAATGCGATTTCGCACCTTGCTGACGTCCTTCCAATCCGTGCTAAGAGCCGTTCCGTTGCTCTCCTGGTAGCTCTTGATCATGGCGCGGCGCTGGTCGTCGGTCGCATCGGCGTAGAGCTTCTGGAAGAGCTCGTTGAGGGCCTTGTCGCCGCCGGCGTTCGGGTTCTTGCGCAGCTCCTCGGCGAGAGCCTCGTCTTCCTTGGCCGACTGCTTGACGATGTCGTCCCAGTTGTGGCGCTTACGGGACGAGGAGGGGTAGCTGTGGTCGACCTTTTCCTCAGTCGCTTGACCTGCGCAGGCGATGGGACATCAGCTTTTCCGTCCCAGGCGTACTGCCACTGCCCCTGACGACTTTCGGACGAAGAACAGTACTGGCTGAACGGAACGCACCCATCTTGACGATACTCTCGTCCTCGCCCTCCAGCTTGCTCCACTTGACACCTCCCTCCTTCTTCTTCAGCTTGAGCTCGATCTTGGGCTGCAACACGCGGTGTGACGATGCAGACACGTCGATAGCATGGGCGAGCGGGTCGAGGTCGAAGACGACGTCGGAACCGGTGGGGAGGTGGACGGAGAGCGAGAGCTGCACGACGGCGCAAGCGGTTGAGCGGCGCAACGGGAGCGTGCACAGAGTACCCTAGGACGCACCGAGCGCTCCTGTAGCTCCACCTTGAGGTCCTCCTCCTTGACATTGCGGATGAAGACGCTCACGACGACCTCGCCCTCCGTCTGATACCTGGAAGCGGTGGAAGCAACGTGAGCACAGCGTAGCAGTACGAGAGCCTTCGTAAGCCAGCAACGGACCACTCGTGGCGAATCTTGGACATGGCGAGCGAACTTGCGGAGCGAAAGAAGCGTGAGGAACAGAGCGGGCGACCCTCTCCTCGCAGGCAACGGTGTACAGAGTGCAGTGTGCGCTTGCTTGTGAGCAGAGACAGCTCAAGCAAGCGCCTCAGCCGGCGACGGGGTGTAGCGCGGAAGGACAGGGTGCGAATGCAGGAGAGAGAAGAAGCGCGCGATACAGAACGGCGCCAGCTCTATGAACAGGGCAGAATGAACGAATGTCGGTGGGAAAGGACGGCAGAGGCCGCCATGCAGGAAGAAGGGGGATGCGATACAGAGATGGGTGGAACGAAGGAGGGGACAGGCCAAGTTGCGAAGCAGCGGGTCGATGCTGACGATATGTACGGGCGCGAGAGGCGGTGTATGAAGACGAGTCGAGATCTAGGTGTTGTCCGACGAAAGAGAGTCGAGTGTACGTGACGAGGCGGTATATGAAAAGGTGAGGAAAGAATCGCGCCGCGTAAGGGCCAGCCTAGGCGCTTCGAGTTGGGAGACGATGTGTATCGCTGGAAGGGTATGTAGAAAGGACGTTGGCGGTCGATGATGGACGACTGCCGTCTAGAAGGACGAGAGGTTGGAGCCGCGACGGCGTCCTCCGCCGAGAAGGAGATTGACGACTGCGGCGGAGACGAAGAGGCTGCATGCGAGTAGACGTCAGTGCGATGCCTAGCGTGTGAGCAGGAACAGCAAGCAACGCACCCGACTGTGAGACCGATGGCGACCTCGACGAGCGATTCGGCCGTGGCGAAGCCGCTCGAGTAGGTGTCGGACGAGTTGGCATCGGCGAAGCGAAGAAGACCGCCGTTGCTGAGACCAGATGGCAGCTGGACGAGGACGCCTGCGGGTGGGAGCTATCAGCGAATTGTAGGCGGAGACAAGATGTGGGTAGCTCACCTGGAACAGCGACGACGAAGGCCGAGCCGCGCGTGAACTTGCCGTAGACGTTGCTGAGGAAGCCGACAGCGAACGACCCGATGGCGGACGCGATGTCGGAGCGGTTCTTGAACGCCTTGCCGGAGAAGTAGTTTGAGACGAAGCCTGTGTTGCGTCGGGTCAGCTTGAGGTCCGCTCAACATTGAGAGCGACACATACCGGCACAGCCGATCAGGATCATGACGGGCGTCTCCTTGCGGAAGAGCGGTTGACCGTTGCGGACTGAGAGCGTCAACAAGAACATCGGGATCGTCAGGAAGTCTGCGAGCAATTCCGAGGTCAGCAAGCCGTCCGCAGTGAGCAAGCGGGAGTTCGTCACTCACACCACCAGGCCGGGATCGTGTCCATCCACCAGCCCTTAGCGTTCGTTCCGCGCAAGGAGCTGCAAGTGTAGTCGGTGAGGCCGTAGATTGTGAGGCCGGTCCGGTTGTACAGCTCGCTGCCGATCGACAGGCCGAAGCCGAGGAAGAGCGAGTACAAAATGGCGTAGACGAGGCGGACGGAGCCTGCGTGAAGCGGAGTTCGTCAGGAGGCAGTTCGTCCGGCGAGCCAAACGAAGGGGAAGCGGACCCGAGATGATGGACCGATTCGCAAGCTCGAGCGAACCGCACAGGACGATGTAGCCGGGAAGAATGAGGACGACCGAGCCGGAGACGACGGCGGCGAAGCAGAAGTACTGCGTCGAGGCGAGCGCAGCGGAGATGAACGAGATGATGCAGGCGATGACGATTCTGCGCAAGCAGAATATGTGAGTAGAAGTCTTGCACCGTCCGCAGCGAGGCCAAACTCACTCGAAGAGAGACGAGTAGAGGTCGTTGCGCGAGACAAGGACCTGAACCAAGACGAGAAGCGAGCCGAGCGGCATCGCCATGAGGCAGTCGATGAACGAGCCGTAGAAGGCGGAAGGCTGGATGAAGGCGCTGGCGCACGCTCCAATGATGAGCTGTTGCCACAAGGCGTACTTGGGCGGCGAGACCATCAACTCGTCGAGCTCGCGCGAGGCTTCGGTGACCGAGACGCGGTCGTGGATGACGTTGAAGTAGACGAGGTAAGCTGCCATGAGCTTGCCGAGGTCGAGGCCGTTCGCCTGCTTCAAGAACTGCGGGTTGGAGAGGCGAGTCAGCTTTCGCCTGCGTGGTCGCTCGAACAGGTCTGCGCACCTTGATGTCGGACGTGTGCGTGGCAGCATCGCCGAACGACAGCATCATCACACCCGGAATGTAAATCACTTGGCAGTTGATCTCGAGGACGCGAGCAGTCGCCTGCATCTGCGCTTCGAGACGATGCGAAGGCGCGCCGAACATCATGAAGGCGCGAGCCATCTTCATGATGAACTGCTGGCGCTCGATGATGGCGGCGACATGCTGCGTGATGAAGACCTCCTGGGCCTTGCGCTTCTCGCGGGCCTTGCGACGACGACGCTTCTCCTTCTCCCACGCCTTGCGGTCGGCCTCTTCTTCCGTCTCCTTCGTAAAGTAGTCGCCCAACTCCTTGCGAGGCGAGCCGTGTCCAGGCGAGTGGCCGAACTTGGGCGTGTGCAGCGGCAGGTCCTTGAGGTTGCCGAGGCTGAGCGAGAACGGGTTGCGCTTCTCGTGGCCAGGCGAGAGAGGTGGCGTGCTCAAGGCTGAGCGGGCGACGACGGGCGAACCTTGCGTCGACGAGCCCTCCACGCTGCCCGAGCGAGAACGCCCGCCGTCCTTGGCGAGTTCCCAGCGGCTGATGGTGTGACCGGCCTTGGTCGGGTCTGGCGCGAGAGCGGCGTGCTGCGGGGTCGCGACGCCGGCGAGCGAGCCTGCACCTAGCACGAGACCGCCAAAGACGCCTGCGCCCGACTTGGCTGCCTCGGGTCGCTCATCGAGGCCCATGGCGTTGCGAGTGCGGTCGAGGATGCCCCTGCGCTTCTTCGCCTCGCCCTCCTCGCCAGTCGCGGGCGTGTGCTCGACGGATGGCGTCTTCGAGTGGCTCTTGATGGCGGCGTTGACGCCGAGAGCCGTGCCGGCCGCACCGACAGCCTTGCCCGCTCCTCCGATGACGGCGCCTGCGCCACGTCCGGCGGTACCGATGACTGCTCCTGCTCCACGGCCAGCCGTGCCGATGACGGCGTTTGCACCGCGTCCCGCGCCGACAGCGACGCCCGTCGCGCCGCTAGCGAGACCGCCGGCGAGGTTGTGCAGACGGTTCTTCTGCGCCCGCTTCTCGTGCAACTTGGCGAGGAATCTTAGACGTTCGGCCTCCTCCTCCTCCTCGTCGGTGTCGTCCCCTTCGGCGATCGAGCTAGCGCGCGAAGAAGGGCCGAGGGAAGCGGGCGTCGTCGCGCCCGAAACAGATGCCGAACCGCCACGAGCAGCGGCTTGTTGCTGTTGCTGGAGGGCGATGAGAGCCGAGAGAATGCCGCCGGAGCCGAGGCCGTTCGAGGCGTAGCTGGCGTCAGGCGGAAGGTCCTGGACGTCGGCCCGCCTGAGTCGCTCGCGCAACGTTTCTCCGGTACTCTTCGCCTCCTCCTCGCCCTCGCCCTTCTTGTCGTCCTCCGCATTCGCACCAGTACCGCTCGTGAAGCCACCGGGAGCGGCGGGCGCCTCGCTCTGCTTGCGGCGGCGCAGGCTCGAGTGGAAGTGTCCGCCGTGCGTCAAGCCGCGAACGAGTCCCCAGGCGGCACGCGTGCTCTTCTCGGCCGGATCGCGCTTCGAGGTCGAAGGCAAGCCGTCGCGCTCGCCCGGATCGACGAACACCTCCATGTTGTCCTTGAGAGCCTCGAGGCGCTCTTCGGGGTCGCCGTCCGAGCTGGCTGCGCGCGACGCGCCGCCTTCACCGCCAATGTAGCGGCTACGTCGCTCGATCTCGTCATCGTCGTCCGTACCAGCGTCGGCAGCCGCCTCGAGAGCGCGAACGAGTTCAGTTTGCGCGCCGGGCGAAGTCAAGTTGCGGCCGCTCGGCGAGGTCGGGACCTGCTGAGCCATGTCGATGGCGACGTGCGAGTGACCCTTCTGGTCTGGCAGGTTGGCGGGCCACTGGACGCGCCTGTTCGCGCCCGATGCCTGCGTTCCCTGGCTCGCGTTGAGCATGGTGTGCGACGAGGCCGTCCCTTCATCCGCCGACCCGTTCGAGGTCACAGACTCGTGCAAGTATCCTCCATCGCTGTCGTGAGCCTGGCGAGAGTCTGACGAGGGCGGTGAGTCGTCGGGGATGACCAGGCGAGGAGGGGGTGTAGGCACGACGAGGCCGGGCGGCGGGGTAGGGGCAGAGGGTGTGCCGTTCGAGGGGTAGGGCTGGTCGAACGGGTTGCTGTCGGCGTTTCAGACACGCGCCATCAGTCCCAGGTGTCCCTGCTGGACTGTGCTTCGAGCACACCGAGTCGCGAGTTGATGAAGATGCAACGCACCTGTCTGGCTCTGCCATGGTGTGTGCGCGGGTCTAGCGAGTCGAATCCAGCACCTGCGTCGTCTACAGTCCAGCAAGAGTGGACCAGCCAGTCGTGAGGAGCGGTTGAAGCGTCGACTCCAAGACCGAGCGTCGACGGCGCGGGGAAGTGAATGGCGGGGTCCTGGTGAAAGGGGGAGTGCTGCGTGTGGCGGTGACCGTCGACTCGCACGGTCACAAGGTAGCAGAGCTCAAAGCAAGCGTTGTGTTGTATTGCGAGAGGTCGAAGAGTGAGGAGGACGGGGTGGGCTGGTCCCTCCCCTTTCTCGAGCCCACGCCAGTCCCGCTTGTTCCGTTGAACGCGCCAAGCTGGCTGTACACGCTTGTCGATCTGCTCGAAATGAACGCGCTGCGCTGCGTCTCCCTTCCGTACACCGAACCTGTTCCGTCATTTCTTACCCTTGTCGCCAGCTCCTCCGCTGGTTCGGCAGGTGCAAACGACTGACTTTGCTGCAGAACGTCGAAGAGAGCGGTGGGCACCTCGAGACATTGACAGAGCGTGTCTGTGATGCCAAAGAGAGGAGCCCGCAAGGTTGAGAAGGTCTGCCTCGGAACGTTCGCAGAGAAGCGAGATCCTCTCTATGCGTGTGCTAACTGGCGCAGAATCCAAAATGAGAGTCCGTGCAGCGTGCGAGGGAAGCAGCAAAGAGAGAGTATGGAACGCCAGCAAAAAAGCGAAGTCGCCCAATGTGGGGCTCGAACCCACGACCACCAGATTAAGAGTCTGGTGCTCTACCGACTGAGCTAACCGGGCTTTGCTTGGAAGGGCGGGCCCTTTTATGCATGATCCCTTACAGAGTCTGTATGGTCTTGGACACTTGAAAGCGCCGCGACTAGCCCTGCGGTCGCGCCGGGCGAACTCACGACAATCAGGAAGCGCTCCCACCAGCAAGAAAGGGGATCGGGAGGAGCTCGAGAGACTGCATTGCGAGAAAGGGTCGATAGTGAAGACAAGGCTTTTCGAAGGCCTGAGAGATACAAGCACATCTCGCGCGAAGCGGGTGTACAGCGCAAGGGAGAGAATGGAAGGTGCGAAGGCGAAAGGCGGAGGGGAGGGTCGGAGCCCTCAACCGGTGAGCGTTGCAGCACCCCCGTTCGGGTAGTCTGCTCGCAGATTTGGTCAGCGAGGAACGAAGCTCGAAAGGGAGAAGGGCACGTACACCAGAAGCTGACAGCCAGGATGATGTAGACCTGCGGAAGAGCGGGAGAACGGGGTCAGCGTGAGGTCGGAGGCAAGGGAAGCGACAGCAGGACGCACCGACATGAGGAGGAAGCCCTCGACTGCAGTAATGAGTAACAGTCAGTATCTACTCGAGCGCCGAAGAAGCACGCGAAACTCACGCCAGTTCGACCGGCCGTCCTGGATGGTGTAGTTGACGATGAGGACCGAAAGGAAGAGCACGATCGACTCGAACGGGTCGAAGAGAAGCGAGAGCGGCTGCTTGATGATCCACGCCAAGATCGTGATGAAGGGAACGACGAAAAGGGCGATCTGGATACTCGAGCCGACGGCGACGCCCATCTACAAAGTGAATCGGCGAAAAAGGTCAGCGTCGTGCTCGAGAGGACGCGATGCGCCGCAGAAGCTGCTGTTGACTCGAGTAGAGCATTGGGAGAGTCGGGACACCCACCGAAAGGTCGATCTTGTCGTGCACCGAGACAGTGACGGCCGTAACGTGCTCGGCGACGTTTCCGGCGATGGGAAGCTGTGCGAGGCATTCAGGGAGTTAGTTACTGCTCAGCGAACACTGTGGCGTTTGGATAGTCAGGTAAGAGCATCGGAACGCACCAGGATCAAGCCAACCCATTCGACGCTAATCTCGGGATGTTGCTGCGTCAAGCCGCTGATGCTGTCGACGAGGAACTCGGACGTGACTGCGGAGATGCACGTCAGCCTCGCTCGATCAGAAGGAAGCGGAGGACTTTAGACTCACCGGCGATGAGGACCGTTGCGACGACCAACAACCCCAGCGCAACCCACTTATTAAGCTGCGGCGCCTCCTCCTCAATTTCCTCCTCGTCCTCGAGCCCGGTTTCGATCTGGCGCGGACGGCGCGCGCTCGGAGCGGGTCGGAAGACGCGGTGCTCGCGCCAGACTTGGCGGCCGTCACGGACGATGGGGTCGTCCGGGTCGACGTGGCCTTCGGCGTACAGGTGCTTGTGCGTGAAGAGCTGGAAGAAGACTGTTCAGAAAAGAGGTCCGGTCAGCGACGCTCTCGATTTACGAGCGCATTAAGGCGCAGCTCCAGCAACCGCAACGCACGGTAGGCGAGGTAGACGACAAGCAGGATCACGGCGATACCGCGCGACATCTTGAGGATACGATCGCGCTCGACCTCGGCAGTCTGATTGTCTTTGAACGCAGCGTTGTAACCCGCCGGCAGGAGGATCGCAATGACGGAGATGACGAGAAGCGACGAGTTGAGCTGCGCGGCGGTGTCCTTGAAGCCTTGCTCGCTGAAGCGGATACCGCCGACGAAGAAGACCATGCCGAGGACGAGGAGGAGGTTCGAGAGAATCGAGCCGAGGAGGGAAGACTGGACGAGCTGGAGCTCGCCCTTGATGAGGGCGATGATGGCGACAATCAACTCGGTGGCGTTCCCGAGAGTCGCGTTGAGGAGACCGCCGAGGGTTTGGCCGACGCGGAGGGCGAGTTCTTCGGTGCCGAACGAGAGGAGGCCGGCGAGAGGCAGGATCGCGAGAAAGGTAAAGACGAAGATGATGGTGTCGTTGAGCTTGGCAAAGTGCAGCGCCCAACCGACCTGTGAATGGCAGAGTCAGTACGCGCCAAGGAGGAACGTCGCGAGCAGACTGCGAACTCACCGGAATAAAGACGAGGAGGACGTTGAACCACGAAGCGAATGCGATGGCCTTGAGGGACTGCATGACGGTAGGCTCATTCTTGATGGGGTGCTCGGCAACGAACAACTCCGTCTGCGGGCAAGAGCACCGTCAGTACGGGCGGTCGGTGAGGGGAAGGCCTCCTTCAGAACGTCCAAAGGAGGCTATCGCAACGCACCAATCGCTGGCGCAGGGGCGGCACCTCGAAGCTCGCCTCGCGCGTTCCCTGCCTCGAACTCCGCGACGCCCGTGCAGGAGGGTATGCGCTGCCGCCCGCAGCAGGCGGGACGACCTCGTCCGACATGGTGACGCCCCTTGCGGGTTTGCCCTCCTTTGTGTCCCTGTGCTTCTCGTTCTGTCCTGCGGTCGAACCCGACTGCGTCGTCGAGAGGTCGCCGTCGCGCGAGCTCGACGACGCAGCGCCTCCCCGTCCCGCCTCCATCCTGTCTGGCGAGACGGAGCGGCGTCCATCCATGCGCTCGTCGTGCTCGCCTTGCATCTCGGGATGCAGTGTCGACATCTGACTGTGCTACGTCGCCTGCGACGCGTTGGAAGCCGGCGTTTGTTGACGTCGATGCGAGGGGACCTCTGAACGTGGTGAAGAGCGAGGAAAGCTGAGCGGCGTGATCGAGTGGGTGTGCTCGCGCGTGTGAGTATGTCGTAGCCTGAGCACGTGCAGTCGAGCGAGTCCAGCGATGGTGTGAGCGTGAGGAGGACGACAGGACTTTGCTATTTTCGAAGGCGCCAAGGCCGCGTCGGAGTGAGAGGGGGAAGACGACGACGAGCGAGAGAAGCACTCGTACGGTGTGCTACAGCTTGCAGAGTGAGCCAGAGTACTGAACGAACGAAGGAAGGGTACTGGAAGCGCACGGGGAAAGGAGGACCTCGTTGCACGCTCTCCTTCGCCTCGACCAAGTGCACTCTAATCCCTCCCGCTCAATCCCATCCTCCGCCGCCAAATAGACCCGTACCCGCACCGTTCGAGTCCCAGCCACCGCCCAAGCCCGTCCCAAGCGCTGCGACAGCGTCCTTGCCCGCCTCGTCCGCCCTGTCCTGCTCCTTCGCCGTCGCAAGTCCCAGCAGCGCACCGACGTCGACCTTCTCCGCCTCTTCGCCGTCCTTCTTGTCGCCCTTCTTGCTCTTCTTCTTCTTGCCGCCCTCGCCTGCCCGCCGGACTTCGATGATCTTGGCGACGGAGGTCTTCTGCTTCTCCTCCGGCGCCGCTGGTGCAGGCGCGGCGGGTGCTGGTGCCGATGCCGGCGCAGACGACTTTGCAGACGACTTGGGCGCAACGTCGGTCCCGTCGCCACGTAGCGCGTCCAGCAAGCGACCCTTCTTGCCCTTCTTCCTGCTCAGCGCGTCCGGCGCTGCTGCCGGGGCGGCTGGCTCGTCGTCGTCCTGTATGTCCGCACCACTCGACTGCGCCTGCTCCGTCGGTTCCGCTTCTCCCGCCGCCCGCGCCTTGGCCAAAGCTTTGCGCTCCGCATTCGACCGCTTCTTCGGCTTCTTCGGTTTTGCTGGTTCGGCAGGCGTCGCTGTGGTCGTCGTCTCCGCCTGCTCTGACCGCCCGTCGTCCATCTCCTGCGCGTCGTTGACCTCGGCGCCTTGAGCCGCGCCCTCCGCACCGCCTTGCTCCTCCTCTCTCCGCTTCTTGCTCCTGCCCGCTCCGACCTCCTCCACAATCCCCTTCCTCTTCCTCCTCCTATTCTCCCTCTCCCTCTCCCTTTCCTTCACAGCCTCACTAACCTCAACCGGCTTCTCCTTCATCGCGTTCAGAGCAAGCGCCATGGGTCCGGCGTCGAGGATCTTCTGTTCCTCGGACCGCGCGGCACGTTGGGCTTTCAGGTCGAAGTGTTTGGCGTCGAAGCGGTGGGTGTCGAGGATTCGGAGGGAGGGGAGGAGGATCGTGAGCTGCGCGACGGAGGGAAAGCGTCAGCATGGGCTTCGAGGGGAGTGAAGAGCATCGTGCAGACGCACCTTGGCCTTGAACTCGTCGAACCCAGTCGCCTTGACCGCATCCTCAGCCACCTTATTCCCCTTCAACCCAAGGTTCACGATCCCCTCCTGCTTCGCGAGCTCCTTCAACCCAAACCAGCTCTCGAACCCACAATTCCCGATATCCAGGATCTCCAGCCCGCCCTTACCCATATCGCCCTTTCCCCAGGTACCGAAGTGAGAGGGAAGGGAAGTGAGGGATCGGTTGTCGTTGAGGCGGAGCTCGTGGAGATGCGAGAGAGGGGAGAGATCCGGCAGTCCGGTGGGGGTGAGCTGGTTGTGCGCTGCTGAGATCTTCTTCAGCGAGGGGAGCGTGGCGAGAGAGGCGGGGAGCGAGGTGAGCGAGTTGTTCGAGACGACTGGAAGAGAAAGGCAGTGTCACTGGCGGGAATGGCGAGGGTGAAAGCGAGAGCAAGAGTACGCACCGATAGTGTTGAGGTCAGGGAGGTTGGCGACGTGCTCGAGCTTAGTGAGCGAGTTGTGCGAGAGGACGAGGGCTTTCAAGGTGGAGAGGCGGGCGATGCAAGGAGGTACGGCGGCGAGGTGGCAGTGGCTGGCGTTCAGCACTGTGAGTTGAAGTTAGCAGATTGCTCAGGCGAAAGATAACGAGCGAACGCACCGAACAGCGTCCGCAGCTCCTCGACTCCCTTCCAAGCGTCCGGACCGCTCAAGTCGTTCCCGCTCACGTTCAGCCAGGTCAGCGTCGCCGCCGCCTGCTTGACGAATCCGATGCATTTGAGCCCACAATTGGTCAGATTGAGCCGTGTGAGCGCAGAATAGTCGGCGAGAGAGGGGGGTGCGGAGAGTTGTTGGTTCGAGAGGTCAAGCTGATCAGTCTGCGGCTTCTTCTTCGCCGCTGCCTTGTCCGCACCCTTCTGTCCCGCCATGCCTGGCCCTCGCGGCCCTCTTCGTTCGTCCCTCCCGCCAGCAGGTCGTTCCGAGCGAGGGTGAGGAGACCGGCCGTCCTCTCGCGGTGGTCGCTTGTTCGGGTTGGCTGGTCGGCTGTAGGGCTTCCTCTGCGGCCCGTTTGAGCCTCTGTGAGCGTCTCTGGGCATGTCTGAGCGTGTGAGCGTGAGTTGTTCACTCAAGAGATGAGCTTCGCACCTTTTGTACGGGACCACTCACGCTGTTCGTCGCAATGGCTGCCAGACGAGGCTTGGGACTGCTCGGACTGCTCGCACAGACACGGACGACCGCACACGCCGTTCCCCAGCGACTCGCGCCGTCTCTCGTCGCCCACTCGTCCTCGTCCTCGGCACGCCTCACATCGCCGACCTCGACGACTCCGCCGCGCCCGCAGTCGCCTGCAGGGCTCCAGCGACCGCAGAAACACAAGGCGAAGAAGTCCAAGTCGGGCAAGGAGCAGCCGTGGCGGAAAACTCGGCAATCCTTCGACGCTCCGCTCTTGCCCGTAGGATTGCGCACTCGGTCTACAGGATGGGAGAGGCCGGCGGACGGCAAGGTGATCGCGTTGACGACCGCCGAGTCGTACAACACGACCGAGCTGCTGCGCACCCTCCAGGACCAAGGTCTCCTCGAGGGCGCAGTCAACCTTCTCGGCGAAGCCATCCTCCTTCCACGCTGGTCGCCCGCCTCAGCGACCTTCTTCGACCCGGACAACCTCCTCAGCGACCCGGCGCAGCAAGAGTCGGGCGAGGTGTACATCTTCGAGAGCGGGACGATCGTCCTCTGGGGACTGTCGATGCAGGCGGCCGAGACGTTCTTGCGGAAAGTCATTCGCGGAGGGTCGCAGAAGTTTGGCTTCGTCGAGATCGGACGGTATGGCGAGCCGGAGACGGAGGTGCTGGAGTACTGGGTCGGGAACGGGTGCGCGGCGCTCCCTCTCTTGCTTAGATGGCCTCTCCTGACCCTTGTACTCGCACAGCTCAACCCGCATGGCTGGTGACTCCATCATCCTGTCATCCGCACCCTCGGCCGCCGCGCCCAGCTCCGACTCCTCCTTCCCCTCACTCCAGACCCTGATCTCGACGCAACCCGACGCCTCGCATCCCATACCTCCGAGCAAAGAGCTGCTCGAACGATTGGCTTTTTCGGCGGGTATGGCGAGGGTGACGAAGCTTGGCGTGTACGAGGAGCAGTTTGATGCGTTTGCGGAGGGAGTCGCGAGGATTCCGAAGCTGCTCGAGACGGTGCGCACAGGTCTTCTCCTCCGCCTTCTCTTTCCTTCTGACGGAACTGTCGCTGCAGGGCTCGGAAGCGCCGGTCAAGAAGACAGACATCATCAAGCGATTCGGCACGCTACACTCGTTCCGACAAAAGCTCAACCTGGAGGACGAGAACCTCCTCGACGAGCCAGAATTCCTGTGGGAGGACGGTGACTTGCATGGTGAGCTCGCACTTCTTTCGCTTCGGTTGAGGCGGAGGTGACTGACATTTCCACCTGCAGGTCACTACACGGCTATCTGCAAAGCGCTCGAGTTTGAGAACCGCCTAAGGTGCGTCGTATGGCTTCTCTCTCAGTCGCAGGCATGTCTGACGAGTCGCCGCGCAGAACGCTGAACGACCGAGTCGACTACGCCTTCTCGCTCCAGACGACCCTGATGGAGCTTCTCAACGCGCGGGTATCGCACCGTCTCGAGTGGATCATCATCATTGTGCGTCATCAGCTCCTTTCTCGCGCGTCCACACGGCTGACTCGTGTTGCGCGCGCAGCTCATCGCCTTCGAGATCTCGCTCGTCCTGTATCGCGAAGGCCTGCCCTTCCTGAACTCGCACTCGGAGGAAGACCCCTCTCGCGCTGCGTCCGTCTAGAAGTTTTGACCCACCCCCGCTGTATCGCCGTCCCGCCACTCCCTCCCGTCGCACCCGTAGAAGCTGTCTGTCTTGTTGTAGCGTTCAGAAATTCGCATCCTCGCTCTTGCATCGCGCAGCCCGCTGCTTCACACGTCCAGCGCTGCTGTTTGCGTCTCTACCGGCCGAGCGACTCGATTCTGAGGACAGTGAGAGATGGGAGTGCGACCGACACAGCGGCGCGAATGAGGCGAATGCAAGTGGTCCATCTCTACCCGCTCACAACCTTCCCCACCGGTCCTCCTCGGCCCTTCCCGACCCCTCCCTACTCCTAACCCCAACATTACTCCTGCCGAACGCCCCGCCTCCAATAACCCCCGCCGGACTCGATTCCCTCACCCTCCTCTCGATCCGCTCGAATGACGACTCGCCCCCTCGGTCGTCATTGTTCCGCACGCGAGGGACGTACGACCCGAACCCTCCTCCACCACCACTGTTGGACGAAGGCGAGTCCCCGCGCCCGCTCCCGCCGCGTGACAAACCCCCCAGACTCCTCCTCTCGCTCAACGGCGTTCCAAATGCCTCTCCCTCTCCCAACCCCCCCTCGGCACGCCTCGAAATCCCACTGTGGGACCTTCGTTCGCCGTCTCCCCTTCGTTGGAGGTGGTGAGTCCTCCCTGTGCCGATTGGAGAAGCGGAGGGCGAGTCGAGTGAGAGGTCGGTCAGGCGTTTGGAGGTGGGAGTGGGGTCGCCTCCCGAGCCGACGACGGGGTGCGGCTTGTAGTCGAGTTGGAGGTTGGAGGTCGAGGTCGAGGTGAGCAGCGGGGAGAGGGCGGTACGGAGAGACTCGCTGCGAGCGGGAAAGCGGGTCAGTCGCGAGCCGGGCAGAGAGGCTGCACCTAAGCGCACCGGATGACATCGCGTTCGGTTCGCGAGCTCGGCGCAAGCCAGACGCTGAGGATATCCTCGTCCTTGCGCACACTAAGCACCACCCCATTGACCTTCTCACCCGCGCGCTCGTCCTCACCTCCAATCCTCTCACTCACAAGCGCATACACGACTTCCTCCCAAACACGATCCGCAACGCCCTTGCGCAAACGGACGACCCACCGTCCTCCGCCGACGTTGTTGTCGTCTTCCCATGCGGGCGCGATCGAGGAACGGAAGACGTTGTAGTCGCAGATGACGTGGGAGACGGGAGGGGCGGGGGAGGAAGAGGACGGGGAGAAGAGCGTGTGGGTCGTGTGCAGCGAGCCGGGGAGTTGGGAAGGAGGGACGAGGTGTGCGAGGAAGGGGTGCAAGGACTCGATCTGAGGGAGGAAGCGCGGAGATCAGTACGAAGTACTCGTTATGCTCGAACGCCTCGCACTCACGCTGGAGAACCCGCCAAGCTTGACGACCCCTCCCTCCCAGTCCTCACGGCTCTCCTTCTCCTTCTGCGTCCCATTCGTACCGTTCTTCCCCTGCTCGTCCTTCTTGCCGTTCTTTGCGTTCCCCTGCCGCTGCGAAAACCACACGTCCCAGGTGTACTTGAGCGGGTGGATCTGTTCTCCGTCTGCGGTGGTCGAGTGTCCGCTCGGCGAGGTGTTGGTGCTGAGCGCGAGCGAGAGTGACGGCCCGCCCTTCTTGCGCTGCGGCGTCGAGTACGTTCCGTCTCGAGAGGCAGGCGAGACCTGCGATGCGAGCGAGGATGATCCGCGCGACTGGAAGGGAGGGCGTCGGGACGAGGGAGTCTGCGAGAGGAGCGACGACGAGCGGGCCGACATGGTTCTAAAGGTGTCTAGTGCGGTGTATGCGTGTACTGGCGAGTGTATAGTGGTATCTGTGTAGCTCTGCGAGCTGTGTGTGTGTTGCTGTGCGGGTTCGAAAGGAAGTCGAAGCTGGGTGCGAAGGAAGGCGGGTGGAACGCGACGGCGGCTAAGTCTGGCGGGATGCGGACAAGCTTGGCGTGTGTGTAGGGTCTATTCGAGGTCTAGCGGGGATCAGTCAGGCAGCAGGGCGGCGTGTAGAGTGGATGGAGGGCGGCTGAGCTGGGTGAACGGCTTGTGAACGGCCGAGGTGGAACGCGAAATTCAGCATCGTCCCCAAGTGGTTGCTGGGTGCACTCATCCGCTTTCCGAGAGTGTATCACGACAGTAGAGCAGCCTACCAAAGCACCTGGAGCTGTTTGAAGTCGACCACCTGCGAAAAATCCGCCTCTTCTTTGCTTCGCTGCTTCGGCTGGCATCACGTGTGAGTGTATATCGAGTTGTATTGAGCTGGAGTCCTCAGCGGTGATGGCTAGATTAGTTGCCGTGGCGTGCCGCTGCTCGGCGCGCGCTCGCCGAGACGGAGAGCCACTTTCGGAGTTCGCTCGTCTCGCTGGGACTTGTGCTGTGGCGCGCCTGGACATGGCAGTCGACGCACCGCACGCAGACGACCCGCCAGTCGCAGCGTCCGAGCCTGCAGACACACCGCAGACTCTCTCGGCCCTCGTCCCATCGTCGTCCTCGTCTCGCTCAGATCACGGCTCGTGCGTGCACACTCTCCACGACAATCACGACACGAGCGGGCAGGGCGTCGCAGGGAGGGCGCTGGAGGGCAATCTCGAGGGCAAGGGCGAGTCGAAGAATGTTGTGGCTGGAGACGAGGACGAGGACAGCGGGATGCAGCCTGTCAGGCGGAGAGTGACGACGGGGACGGTCGCACCTCCGCCGTACACGATCCACTCGCACCGCATGCGGTGGTTCGTCGTCTCGCTCGTCGCCCTGGCCGGACTATTTTCGTGCGTCCAGTTCCTCTTTCGCTCCTCTCGCTTTGCCTGCCATGTTTGATTCAGTCGAGGCGAACGCCAAGAGCACGCTCATCCAAACCCAGAGGTTTGCGCCGACTGACTGGCTTCCGTCCGCAGACCTCTGTCCGCCAATATCTACTTTCCCGTCATCCCTGCCGTCGCGCAAGACCTTCGCGTCTCAGTCGAGAACATCAACATCTCCGTGACGGTCTACATGATCCTCCAGGGTGCGTCGGACTCGCTGACGAGCGTGACTCTGTTGCTGACTTCCACTGCGGGACCGACAGGCGTCTCGCCCTCTTTCTTTGGCGCGATTTGCGACGTCCTCGGCCGACGACCCACCTACATCGCCACCTTCCTCATGTGCGCTGCGCTTCCCGAACCCTCACTCAGCGGTCGGACTAACGCACTCGCTTCCTCGCACAGCTACCTCGGCGCCTGCGCCGGCCTCGCCAACACGCACACCTACTGGCTCCTCCTCGTCTTGCGCTGCGTGCAAGCCGCCGGCTCCGCCTCCGTAATCGCCATCGGCTCCGGCTCGATCGGGGACGTCGCGCCCCCTTCTGAGCGCGGACTGTTCATGTCGGTTTTCGGATTGGGTCCGATGGTGGGACCTTGTATTGGGCCTATTATCGGTGGATTGCTCGCGCAGCGATATGGCTGGCAGTGCGTGCCCTCCTTCCCTCTCTCACTCACCCCGTCGCCAGCTCAGCTCACGAGCTACCTCGGGCAGATCCCTCTTTTGGTTCCTCTTCGCCTTTGGCGCCTTCGCCCTCCTTCTCATCATCCTCTTCCTCCCCGAAACGCTTCGCTCCCTCGTAGGAAACGGCTCGATCCCAGCGCGGGGGATCAACCGCTCGCTCGTCTCGGTTTGGCAGCAGCGTCAGCGGAGGAGACAGATGGGCGAGGGGAGCGAGGTGGATGAGGCGAGTTTGAAGGCGAAGCCGGCGAAGAAGGGGTGGAGGGATGTCAGGCCTTGGGCGCCGCTAAAGATGTTCCGGGAGAAGGATGTCTTCCTTACGTGCGTCGGCGTCCCTCTCTTTCGAAGCGCGGAGGACGGCGTTGACGACCTTCCAATACGCAGGCTCACATTCAACTCGATTTGCTACACGTGAGTTTGCACAGTCTCCTTTCGCCCCTCGCATCCCGGCTGACTCGCCTTCTCTCGCTCGCTCCCCTCGCCCAGCCTCTTCTACTGCGTCACCACCTCAACCGGCACCACCTTCAAGTCCACCTACAACTTGAACGAAACCTCTCTCGGGCTATGCTTCATAGCCAACGGCGTCGGCTGTCTCGCAGCGACGTTCGTCAACGGGCCGCGGTTGACACACGATTATAAGGTTGTGCAGAGGCAGGTGGAGAGGAGGAAAGAGGTGGAAGGGAGGGGAGAGGAGCGCGCGAGGAGGAGGCGGAAGGACCAGAATGACTTGTCGGATTTTCCGATCGAGAGGGCGAGGCTGAGGTCGATGCGTGCGTTCCGCTCCGTCGATGCCGTTGTCGAGCGCTGGCTGACGGTTCATTCGTCCTGCAGCCTACTTCTTCGTTGCGCTCATCGCGTCTACGATTGTCTACGGCTGGGTACTCGACAAGGGCGTCCATCTCTCCGCGCCGCTCGTCATGCAGTTCATCAGTGCGCTCCTCCCGCCCCTCACCCTCGCACCACCATCGCTGACGCGTCCACGCGCCCGCAGTCGGTCTCTCAGTGACGAGTATCTTCAACGCCGTCAGCACCCTCCTCGTCGACCTCTACCCGGGCCAATCCGCTTCCGCAACCGCAGCGAACAATCTGTACCGGTGTATCTGCGGCGCAGCAGGGACGGGATTCATTGAGCCGTTGCTGAATCGGTTAGGTGCAGGTGAGCCCTCCCTCTCTCAACTCGCCCGGTCTTTGAGCTGATGAGAGTCTCCGCAGGTTGGGGTTTCACGATGCTCTCGCTCATCAACGTCTGCTTCGTCCCCCTCATGATTCTCGAGTGGCGGTACGGGATGAAGTGGCGCTTGCAGCGGTTCGAGCGTCTCAAGCGGGAGAAAGAGCGGGAGGAGGAGAAGGCGCGCGAGAAGGGGAGGGAGTTGGAGAAGAGGCGCGAGGGGCACTAGAGCGTGCGCATATCCATATCCTATTCGGCTGACCCATCCTGTCGTTGTACATACTCTCCTCGTCTGGCTAGACCCGCAGCGCAGCAGCTAGATCGCACTTATCGCATCTCCTTCTTGTTGTACGTTCCTCGGCATCTCGCATTTGCATTGTTACTGCATCTTTTGGCCCTACGATGCCCTTGGCCTGCGTGGGAGGACTTGACGAGCGAGGGCGAAATGGGGATTTGCGAAGGTCGAGCAGGTGGTCGTGTCCGAGGCTTGTTGCGCCGAATGGCTCGTCTGCATGGGCGAGAGAGACACTTCGAACTTGCGAGAACTAGCTCTGGTCCTGCAGGGGCAGCAGGAAGTCCGAGTTGGCAACATCTACTTGCCCTTCCTCCTCTCGTCCATCCGCAACAATCCAGAAGCACATTGATGAGGAACGAGTAGGAGCATAGGCAAGCAAAGATGCAAGCAGGAGCACAAGAAAGCTGAGCCAGCCCGAAAGCCAGCTCAGCGGTCCGAATTATAGTGTCACTGTGCAGCCCTGTGGACCACACGCGACAGTAGCGCTCCGTAGGTCTGCGAGTCGCCGTGCAATGCGAAGTGCCACTGAAGAACGCCCGTATTCGTGAGACGTGCGCCGCAACCAGGTAAGTATAACTCAAAGGCGAGCATCCGCTTGACGCATATATGAGCGGCTGAAGAGGCGGTGGCGGCGGCGGCAACAGTTGCTCAAACGGAAAGGGGAGCAAGCAAGCAATGCAGATCGTGTCTGCTTGTACGTGCTTGGAAAGCATCGCTATAGATCGGGACGAGATGAGAGAGCGAAGCGCAAGTGAAGAGGAGAATATAAGATCGGTGAAGCGTCCTCGACTTCCGAGAGCTACGCGCGTCCCTCTGAGCGGATTACAGCTCTGTTATCTAGCAAGCAGTATCCCAGCATTCCAAGCGGCGTCGTCCAAGCCGGAAATCGAATCGCAAGCGCAGAGCGCAGAGTCCTGTGCCTCCTCCGCGACGCCCTGCTGAACCTCGTAGCAGCGAGGGCAGCCTGCTCAAGCGTTTACGCCCAGTTCTCGTACCGTTCTTGTCCTGCAAAACTGCCGAGAAGGCTCCTGCGCGAGATGCGGGCGCGATGAGACGAGCGTTGCTGGCGGAGACAGAACGGATGTGTGAGCGGCGGCAGCAGCACCAGGCTTGAGCTGCAGAGGACACGTCGGCTGGTGAGCTGTAGCGGAGGCGAAGCCACAGAGTATGGTGAGAAGACGAGACGGCTGGACAGCACGAGGGGAGGCGCAAAGCGGCAAGGTGTGATAATATTTGCAAAGCTTGACCGGCTGGTCAAGCACAGCCCGGTTAGCTCAGTCGGTAGAGCACCAGACTCTTAATCTGGTGGTCGTGGGTTCGAGCCCCACATTGGGCGACTTCGCTTTTTTGCGCTTGTCCTGGCCGTCCTGCTCGTCTTTTCGCCTCCGCTGCGACTTGGGTGTATTCCAGCAGTGCAGCCACGCTTTTTGCTGCCTCACAAGATCGCGCAGCACCCGCACGACGAAGCGAGGAGACGTTGTATTAGAGTTGTAACCCTTCGTATCGTCCCAATTACAACTCGCGCTTACCCTTTTCCCGGACGCGCGCCCGGAGTGACGTGTCCTTCTGCACGAGCCTAGGTCGAGCCAAACAGAGCAGATCTGCCAACAAAGAGTCGTACTGCGCCGCGCGCTACTCTTAACCTCCTTCATATCTCTCGACTCGCTCGACTTCTGCAAGTCGTCGCACTCAGCAACCACCACCACCACACTCCCAACTCACTCTCCTACTCAAACAGTGAGTCCCACTCCTGCACACGCTCTCTCAGCCACACCACCCGCACGCACCGAGTCACCCAACTCGCTCACCGTCGACCACCTCCCTCGCTCACACGGACTCGGAACTGACTGCGCTCTCTCGCACGCAGTGTCTGGCCGTGGAAAGGGTGGCAAGGGTCTCGGAAAGGGCGGCGCCAAGCGTCATCGCAAGATTGTGCTTCCCTTCTTCTCCTCCTCGGACTCGACTCGCGACTTGACAACTCGAGAGCTGACACTCCCCCTCGTGCAGCTGCGCGACAACATCCAGGGCATCACCAAGCCCGCCATCCGCCGTCTCGCTCGCCGCGGCGGTGTCAAGCGCATCTCGGGCCTCATCTACGAGGAGACTCGCGGCGTCCTCAAGATCTTCCTCGAGAACATCATTCGCGACTCGGTCACGTACACCGAGCACGCCAAGCGCAAGACGGTCACCTCGCTCGACGTCGTCTACGCCCTCAAGCGCGCCGGCAAGACCCTCTACGGTTTCGGGTGCGTTCCCCTCGTCGCTTCTCCCTCGTGCTCTCTCGCTGACTCGCTCTTGCCTCGCCCTGCAGCCAGTAGATATCCTGCTCCGACGCCCCGCTCTCCCCTTCGTCTTTCCCGCTCGCCCGTGTTGTTTGCAGTAGTCCTTTTCGCATCCACTTCGCTTGCAAAGCATCGTCGCTTGTCCGTCACCCTTGCCCCATCCCGCTGTCATGAGCTACGTGCTCTTGCCGCGCCTGCATAGACTGCGCGTGAACCTCGGACTGCAAAGCGCTACGGGAGTGCGGAAGCAGACTCCTCGCTCCTCGCTGTGTGCGCACTGCCGACGGCCAGAACGCATCACGCTTATCCAGTGACAGAAGCCGTCATTGATGAGTAGCTCTACCACTTCTAGCATGTCTCTCGACGGCTGCCGTTCGCTCAAAGTCAGCAATTGACCAAGGAGGGCCAAGAGCCTGAGCAAGTGATCAGCTTGTCCTTCCCCGCTCCTGCCAGATACTCAGCTAGCAGCAAGCAGCTGTGAGCAAGAAGAATGAGCGAGAGGGTCCGCAGTTTCGCAGTTGATGGGTGAGGCCAAGGTGAGGCGAGAGAGTTGCGAGAGAGCGATACCTAGCTCAGCAGTCTTCTTCCAGGCGCACCGTCCGCTACAAATGTCCCATGATGCTCATGTACGCCACGCCGCCATCTCTGGCGGCGCACACAACGGCGGGCGAAAGACTAGCGGTAGCAAGCAAAGGCGCCGTCAAGCAGTTGTCCAACGACCGATTCGAGCGAGTGGGCGTTGCGCTGGGATGACAAGCTTGAAGGCGACTGGACGACCACTTCGCGGTGATCAGGCGGTGTGGTGACGGCAAGGAAAGGCTTCATCAAGTCGGAGAGGAAGAGAGGGTGAGGGCGACGAGCGATGAGCGTGGGCCGGGTAAGCGACGGTCTGAGCATGACGGTGGGCAGCCTGTAGCAGCGACGACGAGCCTCTAAACCGTACAGGGCGGTGTGTGCGGGTGTCGAAGGAAGTCGACCCGAGGGGAAAACGAGCCGTTTCCCCCTTCCCCTGTCTTTTCTCTTCCAGACGCTCATCTTCGCTCGTCTCACTCGCTCGCTGAGAGCTCGTGCAGTCTCGCCAACAGTCGCACACAGCTACAGCAACTCTGCGACGACCCTCCCAGCCGCCCGCTTGCCCTCGTCACCCGTTCTCGCTCCTCCTCCCCCACCTCGTCCCGCTCGACCTGCGAACACTTGTCGCGGCTCGACTGGCGGAGCGACCACGACACAGGGAGAACGTAGTAGTGGTGGGAACGTTGTACGGGAGCAGGCGCAGCCAGCGAGGTGCGGCAGCTCAAGATGGAGGTCCGTCCCCTCCCTTCGACTGATGAGGCGCTTGTTCGCCGTACACAGCCCTTTGAGCTGCATTGACTCGCTCATTGCGCACACAGGACGTGCCGACCCTCCCGCCGCCGCACCACTTACTCAACGCGACCTTTCGCCCCTCCTCGCCGACCAGTCCCCCTCCACCTCCTCCTCCGACGTCCTCGTCCAGCAGCTCGTCACCAAGTGCTCTTCAATCCCGCCAGAGAAGTTGGTCGAGTACCTCGTCAATGCCGGCTCGGCACATGTCGACAAAGCAGCAAAAGCGACCACCGAGGCTGAGACGCACTTGCGCTCCCTCCTTCTCCTCGACCGCCTCGCTCAGTCCGCCCTTCCTCCGCCTTCTCTCAAGCGCTGGAAGGCCTTTCTCAGCGAGCAGTCGACCGTCCCAGACGACAACTTGACGCAGGCCGCGTTGAAGGAGGACTGGAGGGACGAGGCGCAGAAGGGCGAGAACGTGTATGCGGAGTTGCTGGGGCGCGTCAAGGCAATCGTCAAAGATCACACGCCATGGGATAATCTTGAGGACGTGCCGTGGGAGGGAGTGCGCTGGTCGTTGACGGCCAACTTCGCCCGCTCCGTTCTCTCGCTCTTCGCCGTGATCTGCAACCTCGGACCGCAAGACGTTGTCAAGGAGCCTCGCCCGCCGCATCACCTCATCGAGTCGCGGCTGGCCGCGGTCGTCAAGCGTGCCAAGGGGACGTCGAACGGGTACGGCAGGAAGGCCCTCGTCTCGGCCCTGCAGGAGCTCCGACCAGTTTATCGAGCGTACCCTGCTCAGGTGCGCACCTTCCTCCTTTCGAACCTGCCGCTCTCACTGACGATCTCGGTCGCTGCAGGACCCGCCCGCCGCCGCCGAGTGAGTCGCGCTCTTTCTTCTGTCGGAGGATCCCCTGAGCGCTGACCTTGCCTTCGCTGTCACTACAGTGCTGGTGGTGCTCCTCCCGCCGCCAAGCCAAAGAAGAGCCGCCAGAAGAAGCCGCTCCCTCCACCGCGACAGGTCGACACCCTCCGCAACCGCACCAACGTCCACGGCGCCTTCACTGGCATGACAGCGCCGTCAAAGAAACTCGCCGCGCGGGCTGTCAAGGTCAAGAAGGCCGCAAAGGAGGAAGAGGAGGCGGAAGCGGACGAAACGGACGTCGACGAGGACGAGGAAGACGAGGGAGGCGGCCCGATGGAAAAGGGAGCCCCGGGCGGAGCGGGACCAGGCGAGGGTCAGGCGAGGGATGAGGTAGGGGAGGGATCGAGCGCGCACGAATGCGAAGAACATGAGGAGGAGCCTGTCATCGGAGGAGACGGGATCGAGGAGCAGCAGCAGGACAAGGCGGCCTGGTCGCCGCCGCGCTTTGTGACGGCTGCCGAGCTCTCTGATCTCGTCAAAAAGCGCTCGAACCTCGTCCACGAACTCGCCCAACTGTGCAAGACCCAGGAGCAGCTCATCGCCGACCTCGAGTACGTCGATTCACAAATAGCCCACTTCACTCGCGGCTCGGTCGATCGCCTCCTCCCCACCGACCCCGAAGACCCTCTCTCCCTCCGTCAGAACGCCCTCATCGTCCGCTATCAGGTCCAAGAGGCGAAGGAGACGGACAGGCGGCGGAGGAAGGCAGACCTGCGGGGCGAGGGAATCTTCTCTGCGAACCGACAGGACGACTTCTCCTCCCGCACGGCCAATCAGTACATCGATTCAAACACGCCCAACGATGACCAGGATGCCGCCGCTGCGCCGCCGAAGCGCAGGCGACTCGACCTGGCCGTACCGTCCGACGAGCTCGACATGATTGAGGCGTACAACTTTGCGGCTCATCGAGACGCTTTCGTTGACCTGGACGAGCAGAAGGAGGCTGTCGTGCGAGGAACAGCTGGTGGAAGTGCTCGCTCGGTACGTTCCACCTTCTCTTCCCCTGGCGCTCTGGACTGAACTCTCACGTCTTTGTACAGCCCGACGTCTCTCCCGTTCGACACGACGGCTCTCCCGTCTACGCCCCGACGAACACCTCATCGCGCGCGTCCACGCCCGCCCCACCGTCGTCACGCGCCGTCGACCCCTTGTATCCCTTTTCGTCGCCCGGTCGTTCCGTTCATCGCCCGTCGTCGCCCGCTCCCTCCGCTTGCCGCTCTCACTCGCCTGGACCGGCGCACAACCCGTCCCCCTTGCCCGACCACCTCTCGCGCCTCGCCTTCTTCGGCGCCGACAAGCCTCGCCTGAACAACACGGTCGCGGAGGTGTTGTTGGACGTCTTCATGGTGAGCGACTGGATGATGGGGCTACACGGGATGCTGGAGAAGGAGGAGCGCAGCGAGGCAAGCTGGCGCGGCGCCGACGAGGAGGACGAAGAAATGGACGACGGGTGGAATGCGGAAGACGCAGGCTCGGCCATCGACTACTGGATGAACGACTGGTCGTCGTTCTCGAAGGAGGACGTCCTGCGGGCGCGCAACAACCGTTCGTGGACGGACGAAGCCTTCGCCTTCGCGATCGGCCACCTCGAGCAGCGCCTCGAGCGAGTGCGGGAGTCGGACACGCCGGATGAGGTGGAGCGTTGAAGGGGCATCGAGGCATTCATCCTGCGGAACTATGCTGAGGATGCGCTGCGGTCGGACAAGGCCATCTCGAGGGTGCGCGGTGGATGAGAGTGTTCGAGACTGCATCTGTCTACCTTGCACAGTTTTTGTCGTTGTACCTTTACGCTTTGCATCACAACTCGTCGCTGTCTCTATTTCTCACTTGTGCGGATCCATCAAGTATGCGAACGTCAAGACTTCCACAGCTTGCGCTCAGTCAGCCTTCGATCAGTTCGTCAAAATCTCTACATTGTCAAGACTATACCGGAAAGCCCTTCGAGGCGAGAACAACGACCGCACAACGCGCAAGCTGTGTGAAGGATATCAAGCAGTGACCTTCCCAAGTCGAGCGGACGCAGAGCGAGCTTGTACCGCCAGGACGTTGGATTAGCACCTTAAAGAGGTGACTTGAAACGTCAGCTGGCCCAAAGACTCGTCACAAGGAGACAAAGCCCGGCGAAGTGAACAGACGGGGCTTTCCACTCCGTCCGAAGGCCTGTAAACATAAGGCAGCTACTACCGGATGCCCCGCTGTAGCACAGTGTCAGAATCAACGCCGAGACCTCGAGCCCAAGGTAAGAAGGTCTTGATCACATCTGCAAGGTGAAGCAGGCGAAGAAGGGAGCAGCGCGAGGCTGGCTCGCATCGGGCGACTTGATGGGTTTCCGCTGAGACCAAGATGCTCGAAATCTGTGATGGTCGACGTCTACTGTGTCACCAGAGCTTCAAGATCACGACGAGAAGCCGATGCAGCGAGGCCGCTTGTCGCCGCCACCGCCTCTTCAGCCGCTCATATATGCGTCAGGCGGATGCTCGCCTATGAGTTATACTTACCTGGTTGCGGCGCACGTCTCACGAATACGGGCGTCCTTCAGTGGCACTTCGCATTGCACGGCGACTCGCAGACCTACGGAGCGCTACTGTCGCGTGTGGTCCACAGGGCTGCACAGTGACACTATAATTCGGACCGCTGAGCTGGCTTTCGGGCTGGCTCAGCTTTTTGCCGCCGTACCGTTGCTGTTGCTGCTCCCGCCTGTCGTCTTCGCTTGCCAACTGGGACGCCGGGAGCGGGAAAACGACGTCGTCTCCCTCTGGACGAGCACAAATCCTCTCGCTTCGCGTCGTCGCTTCGTCTCCCTCTTCTCGCTTGCAAGAGGTCGTCAGACTTGCTTCCAGCTCGAAGTCAACTCCAGCAACACAGCCGAACCACACCGCCAACCCCCGCCAGCCGGACGCACCAGCTTGGGCCTTGCATCGCCTCGTCGAAACTCCCATCTCCGCCTCTGAAACGAGCTAGAACCGCGGCGGGATGGCCCTGCTCGCGGAGCACGCCCTGCTGTACGCGCTGCGGTCGCCGACGACACCGCTCGCAGACAAGGTCGCCTCCGCCTCGTCCGCACTCGACGCACAGCCAGGCAACGTCTCGCTCGCGGCGACGGTCAGGGACTGGGCGGTCGATGCGCTGCTGAGGGCTACGAGGCAGCAGGCGTCGGTTGCGGGCACGGCGGCGATACTGGACGCAGATTTGTGGGAGTTGGCCGCGCGGACGACGGAAGCGACCCTCTCGACTTCGCCCGTAGCGGCGTCTACCCTGCCCATCTTTGTCGCATTCGTCACGCAGTACTCTCAGGCGGCGTCGGACGTCCAGCTACTGAGAAGCGCGGCCTCGGTGTGGTCGAGGTTGGCGGCGAACGCATTGCGGAAGGCGACGGCGGATGCCTCGCTCGACGCCTACGAGAAGCTGCTCGAGGCGAGCTTGCGGGTATTCTCGAGGGAAGAGGGGGCCGGAACGGTCGACGAGCGGGAGGTCTGGACGGAACTCGCGGTCAACTGGCTCAAGCCGTTCCGTTCGGTCGCTCTCGAGGCTGGAAAGGGCGGGAAGAAGGTGCGCTGCGTTCACTTGAGCGCTCCAAATGAATTGCTAACTTACAAGCACCCGCGCAGATCCCGAGCCACACCCTCAGCCTCCTCCCGACGCTCCTCCCGCTTCTCTCTCGCCTCTCACCGACCTCGCCGCTTCGAACCTCCCTCCTGCAGACTCTCCAGCTCGCCATCTTCAACCTCGAGAACCTGCGACGCGGTCTCGCGCGCGACTCGTACACGGCGGGCGGCGCATCAACCTCTTCCCAACCCGCACCCTCGACCGCCGACTCTGAACTCCTCGCCGCTCTCGCCTCCCTCCCTTCCACCGGCACGGCAGCAGCCTACGATGCTATCCCCTCACTCACCCAGATCTACTTTTCTGCGGTCGCCACTCACGCCGAGACGCTCTTCCCTCTCCCCGCCAAGGCGACTTTCGCAACGCCGAGCGCGCAGAAGAGCGCTCGCGAAGTTCTCGGACTGACGAAGCGCCGCGAGATGGCAGGACGCTGGATTCGCGGAGTCATCGACTACCTCTCGTGGCCGAAGGAGGCAAATGCGATGGAGACGGACGAGGTAGGACTCGAGGAGGTCAAGTCGGCGGCACTTGCGGGCTCGCTCGCGGTTGTCGAGCAGAACGACTTGCACAGGCCGGGTCAGGCGGGGGAGAGCTGGGACAAGGTCCTTCCAGACATCGTTTCGGGCGCCGTCTCGCGACTGGAAGGCAGCGTCAACTCTGCAAACCGTGAGGCGACCTTCACCATTCTTAGGACGATTTCTAACCTTGACCACGACGTCCTCGAGCCCGCTCTTCCTCGCATCCTCGCCGTTCTCGCTGGCACGCCCGACCTCTCCACTCTTCCGACTCCCGAGCTCGACGCCTTCCTCCGTCACCTCATCGAGCACCACTCCCGCTCCGTCACTCTGCCGACACTCCTCACTCGCATCGCGGACGCCCTCGCCTCCGCAGCTTCGTCGACCTCGAACGACAGCGTCCTCACCTCGCACACCTTCCTCAGCCAGCTCGGTACGGCCGTCGCCGGCATCGTAGGTGGACCAAACGCCGTCCGTGCAGCGTGGCAGACCCTCGTCGACCCAGTGCTCGATGCACTCCAACCAAGCGCGACGACCGAAGCGGCGGATGCGACGGACGCGCCCAGCCCAGCAAAGAAGCGCAAGCTTTCCTCCGCCCCGCCCTCTTCGGTTCTTCCCGCCGCCTCTCGCCTCCGAGTCGCCGACGTTCTCATCCGCCACGCTCCCGTCTCGTCGCTTTCCGTCCTCGTCGAGCCGCTGCGAGTCTTCGTCGACGAGGTCATCGACTCGCATCTCAAAGACTTTGCGAAGGCTAGTCTCGCCAGCTCGGCTGCCGAAGAGGTCGACGAGGAGTCCGAGACACCACGGAAGAAGGCGAAGAAGAGCAGTCGGCGGAAGTCGGGCGCAGCTCTCGCGGTCGACGCAGGACAGGTGGACCCGGCGACGAGGCTCGGTGTCGAGCTTTTCCAGCTGCTATACACGGCTGTCTCACGCCTATCGAGCGAAGGGCTGCTTTCGATGGCGGAAGGCGCGGAGGAGACGTCGCGGTGGTGGGAGTTGCGGGCGAAGCGGCGGGAGTTGCTGCGCGAGGTTGTCGAGAAGGGCGTCCCCGAAGCGGCTGTCGTCTCGGTGCGTACTGAGGTTCTTGGAGGCCTCCTGCGTGTTCATGCTGACGCTTCTCCTGCACAGACCAAGGTACTTTTGCAGCAGCTCGAGCTACGCACCGACCTCGACGACGCAGAGGCTGCCGGCATCGTTCAAGCCGTCTTGAGTCGCGTTGAGGACCAAGCCGCGTCCGAAGAAACGTCGTGGTCAGGCCGTTTGAGGGGTTTGCGAGCTGCAGAAGCCGGCATTGCGACATGGGAGCTGTTGTCGCGCAGGTGGCTGCCGTTGATCAAGTGCGTCTCCTCTCGGTTGGTCCCGACGAGTAGCGCTGACGAAGCTGTCTCAAACAGCAATGTCGCCTCGGAGGACCAGCTTCGCCAAGTCGCCTCGATCACCCTCTCCTCTCTTCGCCGCACGAGTCCAGCCGGCTCAGAATGGTCTTTGAGCGCAATAACGGCACGACTGCTTCGACGGGCCGACTTCTGGGAACTACCGCGCGTGCAAGGTGAGTGTGCGAGAAGGGCGACGTTGTCCCGCTAACTCGTTTGCTCCGCAGCTTGCCTTCTGCCTGCCCTCCGCGATCTCGTCTCGCTCCCCTCGCTGTCATCCCCGACGGCGGTGCTCGCCGCCATGGCTACGCCAACCGATAAGGCGTCGAAAGCCCTGCGATCTCTCGCACAGGCAACTCTCCTCGAAACCGTCGACGTCTTCGCTGCCATCTCGACCTGCATTCCCGTCGAGTATCTCAACAAGGAAACCCGACGTCAACTGGCCGATTGTGCACTTGCGCTGGACTTGTGGGTGACGTCGGGCGAAGTGGCGGTTCTCGTCGAGGCGAAGGAGCGGGCGCAGCACGTCCTGCGGTCGTTCGTTGCTTCCTTGGGCGTGCAAGCGGTAAATTGTGTGTCTACACCAGCCCTTCATTGTCGCTCACCCAGCTTCTCGTCACAGAACATCTCGTCGGACGTCACGCAGCGTCTCCTCCACGCAACGCTTCCCGCCGCACTCGATGAGACTCTCGTCTTCTACCGGACATTAGTCGTCGAGTGCGTCCCTCTTCAGTTGTTCAAGCATGCACTGCCGCTGACAAGCGAACTCGCGACGCAGGCCTGCCCTCGCTACCCTCAAGCAGAACCAGCACTCGGGCGAGCTCCAGTCCATCCTGGACTCGTTCGGTGGCCTCTCGGTGGGCGCAACCACTTCCGCTGCTGGACCGAGGGAGGAGGCGTTCTTCGCTCTGCTCGACTCCCTTGTGACCGCCATCCCGGACGCAACAACGTAAGCGGGACTGGACCTGTTCTGATGCCTTCGCTCGACTAACGCGCCTTCTGTAGCCTGCCCGCAGAGCTGCGCAACAGCATCGTCCGCCTCGTCGACCAAGCCAAGCGGCAGCTCGACGAGTCCCTCCCGGCCGCCTCGTCTGTCTTCGGTCAGAAGAGCGCGACGAGCCTGGCGGGCCTCCTCGTGGCGTACCGCTCGCTCTGGGCTGCGCAGCATTGGCTGAGGAACGGTGAAGAACGGACCGAAAGTGAGTTGCCGTCCTGGCTTGTTCAGCCTTCGGCCTACTTACCGAACCTCTCTCCAGTCGCGACCGAGTTCGTTCACGCTGCGGCTGCATCCGTCGTGTCACTCGCTGCGTCGGCGTCTGCTGAGCGACCGCCTCTGCGCATCGTCACGGCCACCCTTCGCCTCCTTGCCCTGCATGCCGAGGTCTTGCGCTCATCCGCCTCACCTGGCAAGGTCGACACGCGGCCTTTCGAGATGCTTCTCGCTTGCCACCTCGTACTGCGCCAAACTGTCGACGATGCCGGTACGTCCCCCAGCGTCATGTGTGCGGAACCCGCTCGCTGATTCCCTCAATTCGCAGATGCTGCCGACCTCGATGCTGAATGCGCCGCAGCGACTGCCTCCACGACCGTCGAAGAGTACTCTGCTGCTCTGCAAGCTGTGGCCGAGGCTCTTGCGACCGACGCGGGCCCATCCTTCGAGCACACGATGCAGGTCGCCAAGATACTTCTCCTTGCCGGTCCCGAAGGTGCGTGCGCAGATCACCGCCGACGTTCGTCTTCGCATCTGACGCCCCACTGCACAGGCTCAAGCCGAGTCGCGGCCAGCTCGTTGTCCGACATCCTGCGACAGCTGCTCCTACTTGTCGAGCGCAAGACTGTCGACGGGAGCGGCAGCCTCGAGCTGTTCCTTCCAGTCGCTTCCTTCGTTGAGAGCATCTGTGGCGAGCGGGTGAGTACCTCCTAGCATGCGCAGCGCAGACCTTGAGCTGACTTCGACTTGCCACAGCCTCTCCTCCTTTCTCGCCTGAACACTAGTTCAGTGCTCTCGCTCGCCTCGCTCATTCTGCGACCGTCACCAAAGTCGCCAAGCACCGGGGAACGGTCGTCGCCCGCTTCGACCGTCTCGGAGGTCTTCCTCACCCTCGCGACGTCGGTCGGCCACATCGTCCGACACCGCAAGGACCACCTCGTCACCCTGTTCCCCTCCCTCATCTCGGTCCTCTCCGCTTTCCTCTCGACTCTCAGGCGTGCCGGAGCTGGGACCCTCGGCTCGGTGCTCGAAGGCGAGGACGAGACCGCATCGGTCGTCGTCGGTCACCGTGCCGAGCGTGAAGCCAAAGCGACTTTCCCCGCCTGGATCTGGGAAGGAGGTCGCGACGCAATCGGGCGGAATGAAGCACGAGCAGTAGGACGACTACTCGGCTCGCTCACGGCCAAGACAACGACCACGACCGCCTCGAAGCGCAAGTCGGCCATCTCGACAGGCCAAGCGGTCGACGCTTCGGCCAACACCTCTCTCGCCGCCCCTCTTTCGAAGCACGCGCCGTTCCTTCTCCTCGATTACCTGCGCGCCTGCGTCCATCCGACCTGCCCGATCCCTTCGGCTCTTCGCGCCGAGTTGCAGGGTGGATGGTCCGAAATCCTCGATGCGATGGGCAAGTGGGAGCGCGAGGCGCTGATGAAGGGTCTGCTGAGCGAGGACGAGGAGGCTGAGCGTGGAGTCTTGCGGAACTTGTGGAAGAGCTGGGAGAAGGAGCGGTACAAGGGTTGAGGGCGCCTTTCGACGATCTGGAATATCGCAACGTTGCAGCATCGCTTCGGTGGCGACAAGAACATCTCACCAGATTGTGGCTCAGCTTTCCGCCGACAGGAGCTTGCGACCGTCCGCGGACCTTGCCGGATCACTCACGCCTCCTCGTTCGCTCCTTCGCCCCTCAACTCGCTCATCTGCTGCACTCACGACTGGCTATTGCATGCTCGAGGCGTCCTTCCACCCCTCTCGACAACGCTGCACCGGCCTTCACGCTTCGCATGAGCGCGAGCTGGCTCAGCGACGACACCCGGGACGTCTTGCTGTGCTGCTTCGCCCCGCCTGTTATCGTCAAGCGCAAGAGGGGCGTCCATTTGGACTTTTGGCTGTGCGTCTACATCCCCTTCACTCGCCTCTCGTCTCGCTGACAGCCACTTCCACAGCTCGCTAGAACTCACTCTCTTCGGGTCCAACTGCTCCCCTCGCTATGCTCCATCGATCGTTACGCTGACGAGTACAATGCGCAGATGGCTACCAGGCGTGATGTTTGCGATCTACATCCTGTTCGCCGACGAAGATCCGCCTCCGAGAAGGGCGAATACGACGTCGCAGGACGACACTCGCCTGGCACAGAGCGAAGAAGACGGTCAAGATGACGCTGCGATAAGGAAGAAGCGCAGGCGGGACAGGTGGAAGCGGTCAGGACGGCGGAGGGAGTCGAGCGAGTGGTCAGGCGGCGAGGAAGCATGAGGACTGTGGGCGTTCCTTCGGTACACTTGGCTCGCAGAACGACGCAATAAAGTGTATCGTTGTACTTTCAGACTCTATACGCTCGAAAAGGAGGCTACAACCCGTCAATTTCTGCTCGACGACCCCTTCGCACTCGACTGTTCACTCTCGCTCGCTATGGCTTCGTCTGAGAAGGCTCCGCTGAATCCGCAGGAGCGAGAAGACCCTGTTTTGCCCACTGCGCTACGTCTGCCCGTCTTCAACAAGCTCAAAGGTGTGTTCATTCGCCTGCACCGCCTCCAGCCTGATGAGGAGGAGGAGGGAGACGACGACAGCGCGGTGAGGCGTGACTGACCGAACGACACCTCGCAGGAAAGCACATCGTCCTCGCCAGCGCCTCGCCGCGCCGCAATGAGATCCTTCGCACCTTTGGCTTGAACCCTCGCATCGTCCCGTCCACCTTCCCCGAAACCCTCTCCCATGCGGAGTTTGACGATCCTGCCCAGTACGCTGTGGCGACAGGGTCAGCCAAAGTGCGGGCGTGACCCGATCGGAGAGCGCGGAACCGCTCTGCTGACCTCTCGCGCTTCTTGAACAGGCCGTAGAGGTGTACCAGCAGCTCGTACGGGATGACCCAGAGGACCCTCCTGATCTCGTCATTGGCGGTAAGCAGAAGGAAGGGCTCGAGCGGAATCTGCTTGCTGAGATTGTCTCTCTCGCAGCCGACACCGTCGTGATTCTTCCCGGCCCCGATCCTACGATTCTCGAGAAGCCGCGGAATAAAGCCGACCAGCTCAACATGCTCGAGAGCTACCAGGGCGCAAAGGTGCAGGTCGTGACGGGCGTGACGATAGGTACGTCGCTCTCGCAACTCTCTCTCGCTGTTCTCGCTCATCCCCCGCTCACTCTCCGCAGTCCAGCCTCAGATCGCTACGCCTGGCTACTCCTGCGCGTCATTGGTGGTCGCGACAAACGTCCGTGAGCGTTTCCAGCCAACCCGCCATTCTCGCAGCTGACTCGCATTCGCAGGTCGTTTTCGCAGATTGTTCATCCGAGCTGCTGCAGGCGTATGTGGAGTGTGGCGAAGGGCTAGACAGGTACGAGCACTCCTTCACCCATCCTGACGAGGCGCTGACTCTGGACGATCAACAGGGCGGGCGGATTTGCGGTTCAAGGGCAGGGCGGCTTGCTGGTCAAGCGCGTCGAGGGCGATTACAACAACGTCGTCGGCTTCCCTGGACAGGTGCGTCACCTTGGCGCGATCTGAGGGGGGGCGAGGCGCTGACTGCCCGCCACTCGCAGGCGTTCATCGAATGGCTCAGCCAGCTGACTGAGGAGGGGACTCTGCTCGAGCTGGACTAGACGGGAGAGCAAGGTGCGAACGTATTGTAGACGACTTGTACTACTCTGAGAAGCAATGCACAACTACTGCGGAACCAGATCACTTCGCCTCCGCCTCCTTCCCGCACTCGGGACAAACCCTCAGCTCAGCCTTGGTCATCCATTCCTGCGAGCGGGATACGCAAATTGAGCACACCAGCCAGGCGCAGAGGGGGACGAGCACGCACGTTGATGAGCGGCTTGAGCTGCGTGCCGAGATCTGAGCAGTGGAACGAGACCTCGCGAATGATGGTTGGCGAAGCATGCTCTGGGTTCTGGCAGTACCATCGCAGCCGGTCTGTCGAGTGTCTCAACGTAAATAATGCTCCTTACGGTCGAGAGGGCGCGACGACGCACCGACAGCAGTTCCAGGTCTTACTCGCTCAATCACGATTCCCACAGTGTCGGCGTATCGGCAGGGGTTGTGAGGCGTGTTCCCTGCACAGGAAATATGTCAGTGAAGCACGGCCGGCATGCGGGAGGAACGACTAACCCGGAAGCAAGAACATCTCGCCCTCGTCAATCGTGATTTCGCGGAACTCGCCTCCCGTTACGGCGACCGCCTCCAAACCCTCTTTCGTTTTGACCCGCTCGCCGACCTTTGCGTTGTCAATGACCTTGAGCGTCATGGCGCCCTTGAGCTGGTAGAACCATTCCTGCCGGAACGAACGGAGGTCAACTCTGCGGCGCGAGTCTTCTAGTCCAACAGAACAGCAGCAAGCGCACCTCTGTCTCATTCAGGTGATAGTCTGTGCGAGAGTGAAAGGTCAGGAGTCGCGGGGAAAAGAGCGAGAAGCAGGTGTGCGCACCGTTCCTCGAGTTAGGCCCGCCGACCAGCATCACCGTGAAGTCGCCGCCGTCATAGCTGCGGAAGCAAACTCTGGGAGTTAGCAGGAGCAGCTGAGTTCAGCAAAGGAAGCGGGACGGACATGCATTTATTGTTCACAGGCGGCTGGAGGAGGTGACCGTTCTCCTTCAGCCACTTGGGGATGTTCAGCGGCGGCGCGAGCATCTGTAGTCGGGATTGACGTCCGTCAGCACTGTCAAGCGGGCGAACGACGGCCTTTTGAAGCGTGAAGAGCGCGTCCTGCACCCGAAGAATTGTACGGCCTCCAACGAGCTCCATCGCGGACCAATCGCCCGCCGACTGGACGCATCTGCGATAAAAGCCCATCGAGCCCTCCTAACGTGTCCGCCCATGCCTGCAGGCCCGTCGTCCTCGACTTCCTTCATCTCCGAGCGAAGTCAAGAGCAACGCGGAGTCTCCTGAAGGACGTGCAGCCTGTGCGACAGCAAGAAGAAAGCTCACAGTGATTGCCTGGCTGGGGCAGAAGCAGAACGAGCCCGAGCGAGTGAGCTGATAGTCGACAAGGGCGAAGTTGGCTATTCCTCGATCTCCACAGGCAGGCATACAAACTCTCGTAACGTTCAGACTGTGCGCCTGGAGCAGCGAGCAAGACGTGACTTTCCGCGACGAAGCCTGCGAAGCGTGCAGAAGAGTCGAAACAAGGGAGGAAGTCTTGCACAACAGCAGGAAACAGGAAAGGACGGTCTACGAGTCTACGCGGCAGCGACTGCGGCCACAACAGGCTGCTCAATGGCAAGCTTGTCCGCCTGTGCGACCGGGGGCGACGCTGAGGTGAGCTGGTCGACCATCGGCGCGACGAGAGCCGAGTCGAAGTTGTCGTGACAATGCTGGATTGCGTCGTGCTGCCAGAGCCACAGCGCAAACTGCAGCTGGACAGCCTCGGGATCGATGGGCTTCGTGTAGTCGACCTTGTGCATCCTGTTGCGGTTATCGACGCCGAGCTGCTGCGCTCGCTTGACCCGCTCGTACCTCAGCGTCTGGTAGACCTTGAGCGCGACGTTCAAGGGCAGGCCCTTCTTCTTGGCGATGGAAAGCGCATGCGCGATGGTGACGCCATCCTCGACGGCCTGTAGCAGACGAGGTTAGCTGAATACTCGCGAGGTGCTCGGCGCGAGGGAACGGACCTGGCTGGCGCCTTGCTGCGAAGTCGGAAGGAACGGGTGCGCTGCGTCGCCAAGACTGCAAGAGAGGCGTAAGTGTATGTCGCGCGAATTCGACGTGGACAGGAAGGGCTCACACGCAAGTTCGCCCGCCTTCGGAGACCCAGCGAGGAAGTGGGTCGCGGAAGACGAGCTTCCAGTCGACCAACGCGCCCTCCGGCGTGGTCTCCATGACTGCGAAGGGCAATGCGTTAGCGCAAGTGTCGATCAGCAAAGCGAGATGAACGCACCAGCCTTGACAACCGGATCCCAGTCCTTGACATATTCCAGCGCGTCCTCGACCTTGCCAGGGTACATCCACGACTCTTCGACGTCCGCCTTGTCCAAGCTGTCGGCATAGCGAGTCAGCATTGAGTTCGAAGGTGGAACGACGAACGCGACAGACTGGGTGAGCAGCCAGTGCATCTCCTTCCCACTTTTCGTCGTGCCGATGATGAAGTGCGCATCGGGGCCGATCCAGATACTCCGTGCGTCTTCGTCGACGGGCGCGAGGTGGGCGCAGATGGGGTTGGCGCGGATGCGGTCGGCCGAGTACGAGGTGCGGAAGATGGCGTAACCGCTTGGTCGAGGAGCGTCGTAGACACCGAGGACGAGCTCGCGAGCCTTCGACTTGACGCCTGATCGGGAGGAACGTCAGCCGGAAGTCGCAAAAAATTGTACTGAGTGGACTCACCATCAGCTCCGAGAACCACATCGCCCTTGTACAGCTTGCCATCGACCTCAACGCCCGCAAAGTCGGTCTCCTCGACGTATTTCGCGACTCGGCTGTTCATCAGGATCTGCAGAGAGCGCGTCAGTGTCCGGTTATAAGCCGACTGAGAAGGGCAGGACGGGCTGACCTGGACGCCAAGCTCCTTCGCCCTCTTGATGAGCAGCTGGTGCAAGTCGTAGCGAGTCGTGTCGTACAGCGGGGCGTCCTTGAACGGGTTGGCGTCGCCCATGTCCTCGCCCTTCTTCTGCTGCCGCTGGTGTGTGATGAACTGGCCATCGTAGCGGTACCAGCGGAGACCGTCGGGGTAGGCACAGGACTTGGAGAGCTCGTAATGGATGCCCCAGCGCTTGACGAACCGGCCAGAGCTGCGAGTGGAAAAGTACGAGTCAGCAAGATTCGAGGTGGTTCGAATGCGAGCGAGACTCACTTGGGGAAGAGACCGATATTGCTGCGAGCACACGATGAGCGTCAGTAAGTCTGATGGTCCGAAGCCGAGTCTCAAGGACTCACTCGCCGAGCGGCTTGAACTCCTTCGTCTGCTCGAAGAGGATGACCTCGTGGCCTTCGAGGCGACTTTCGATGGCGCAGGCGAGACCGCCGATGCCAGCACCGACGATGATGACCTGTATACGTCGTCAAGAAGTCAGTAAAGGGCTTGGTACGCGCCCAGGAGACGAAGTGCACCTTGATGCCGGAGGGGGCGCCAGGCAGAGGACGCGGTTCGTCGGTGAGCGAGGGGTCGGGAGCGCCGCGAGACTGGGAGATGGCCGACATTGCTGGCGTGTGCTGGTCGCAGGAGGATGAGGAAGAAGGAGAAGGAGCGAGTCGCCGAAAGTTGATGCGAGCCGACGAGGCGGCGGTGGGGATGTGGGGCGACGTTGGCTGGCGGGGAGTCGCCGGAACGACCTTCGAGAGCTTAGCATGGCTGGGTCACGGTGGAGCGGGCGCGCGGCGTCGGAACCGGTCTCGCGCTGGCCGAGGAGACGTTCCGGACGAGGTCGGAAGAAGGATGGGTCAGACCCAGCGCTTCAGTCGGACGTGGATGCTGCAACGGGCATGGTGTCGCAGCTCATGCCGAGAGACGCGCAGACCTCGACGAGAACCGAAAAGGCTTGGTCGAATTGCCGGTGGGAAGGGAGGACGACGCGCCGGAGAGACGCCAGCTGCCCCTGTCGCCGCAAGTACAGCAGGGCGCTCGCTAGCTCCAGCGGTGGCAAGCCGCATCTGCTGTCGGACCGGTCGACGAGCTCTTCGAAGGTGGCGCTCGTCCCGCAGCTCGACAGCAGGATGAAAGCGTCGGGATGGCCGGAGGTCGTGAAGGCGAAGCTCGACAGGGTAGGGAAATGCTGAGCCAGCTTCTCGACAGCACGCATGTTGCTTGAAGTCAAGTGCAAGGACCGAACGGGCGTCGCTGCCCATCGCAAGCCGCCGAGACGAGATGGTGGAATCTCGGCGATGTCGAAGTCGAGATGTCGCAGCGAGTCGGCTTGGATAGAAGCCCCGAGCAGCCACTCGAGCTGCTGCGGCGATACGGCGGGCGAAGAGTGCAGCGCGAAGCGCCTCAGGCGGCAAAGTGGACGAGGCGGCGCCTTCAAGGCCGCTGGGGAAGCCTGGATCCGCTTGAGGTCCAGCTCCTCAAGCTGCGGCAAGTCCTGAAGGATCTGTCCGATGGCGTGCAAGTTGAAGCCTGCGCGGCTGCCTGCGATGGAGAGAACGCGAAGGGAGGAAAGGTTCGAGGCGAAGCCAAGTTGGCGCCGTTTCAGTGTCGTGAATGCCGGTCCCTCGAGACGGAGCTCCTCCAGCCCGACGCAGGCCAAGCACAGCCGCAGAAGGTCCTCCTCAGAACAGGACTCGTTCGCTTCGCCTCGTCGTCTCCTCGTCCCTCGACCCGACTGCGCCTCGACATCGCTCTTCCGCAACACCAGTGTTCGCGTGTCGCTCGCTGCGTTTGATCCAGCCTCTACCCTCGCTAAGAATGCCTGCACGCTGCCGGACGTCGAGAAGACGAGGTTGCGGACGAGGAGTTGGTCAACGAGGGTGTGGAGGGAAGGCGTGGCGAGGGCGAGGCGGGCGAATTGGGCTGGCGGGCTAGCGTATTGTACGAAGCTGAGAATGCGCTCGAGCACGTCTCTAGGAAGATCTGTGAGCATTGTTGTCGAGTGGGAGAGGCGAACCCGCTCGCTCAACTTTCTGGCGACAACCGCACCGCGCTCACCCGCTCAACCGTGCTGGACTGGCCTGCGAAGGACGCCGATGAGCTGCGACTGTCCGCCCCGATGACCCTCCGCCGCTACGCGCGCCTATACGGCGTGCTCGCTCTCCTTCGAATCCTCATCGCTTTCACCTCGACATCCGCGATCCACCCCGACGAGCACTTCCAAAACCCTGAGATCGCGGCCAGCACGGTGTTTGAGTACAGCCGGCTGGACGGCAGGCTGCTACGAACATGGGAATGGGAGGGCCCGAATCCGTGTCGAAGCATCGTTCCAGTCTTGGGCTCGACAGGCTGGACGTTCGCGCTCTCGAAGCTGGCGATGGGCGACAGTCAGTCGATTCGATGGCGGACTTGCGCGGCTGCTGGCACTAACGTTGCCATTTGCGCAGAGCCCACTGGCTACGCCCTCTTTCTCGCTCAAAGACTGGCCATGCTGCTGTTCTCGTTCTTCATAGGCGATTTAGGATGCTCAGGGCTTCATCAACACGGCTGACGTCCTATCCCTCGCAGACTACCTCCTCTGTTCGACATCCAAAGGCTCCCCAATCCCCTTTCTCATGTTCGCCAGTTCGCCCGTCCTCTTCACCTTCCTTCTCCGCCCCTTCTCCAACTCGCTGGAGACGCTCCTTCTCGCTGCAGCGTTTTACCTCGCCCCTCGAGGCACGCAGCGGGTTCGTCCATCTCGCCTCATCGCATTCGGCGTCGTCCTCGCACTTGGCGTCTTCACTCGCATCACCTTCGTTGCATTCGCTGCGCCGCTGATTCTGGATGTCGCTCAGCGACTTGCTTCTCAGCCTTCGCGCTCACCGCAGTGCGTACGACTCACCGCCTCGCAAGGCGCGTAAGTCTTACCAGCTCTCTCTCGCAGATCCCCGCTTCTCCGGCTGGCGAAACGAAGCATTCCCATCGTGCTCTCCTTCGCCATCGCGTCGCTCGCATGCGCAATCACCGACACCGTCTACTTCTCTCGGACCGAGTCTGCCCCGCTCTCCCGCCTGATCCTCACCCCGCTCAACCTTCTGCGGTATAACCTCTCCGCCGCAAATCTCGCCGAGCACGGCCTGCATCCTCGTTACATGCATGTCCTAGTCAATTGGCCGATGCTTTTTGGCGCCGCCCTGGCGGTTGTTCCGACTGCCGCCGCGAGTTTGCCACGGGCGAAAGATACGGATTCGCGACGGGCGAAAGACACGGATTCGAAGCCAGAGGACCGACGCCGCATGATACGTGAGTTGTCAAGACCCTATCGCGCTGAACTATACTGAGGTCGGAAGCTCGCAGTCTACCTCGCCTCCTTTCTCGTTCCGACATTCCTCCTCTCGCTCCAGCCGCACCAAGAACCTCGCTTCCTCGTCCCGCTCATCTTTCCGCTCGCGCTCCTCGCACCGTTTTCGTCGCTCTTCCGCTCGGGCACTAAGCGGGCGCGCAAGTGGCGCAAAGCATTCTGGGTGAGTGCTCTTCCCCGAATTCCGCTTCTGCATCAAGCTCACGTCCACGATCTAGGCGCTTTGGCTCGTCCACTCGACAATCTTCACCATTCTCTTCGGCTACCTGCACCAAGGAGGTCTTTTGCCAGCCTTGTTTGCCTTGAACGGCCAGCTGGGCGATCCGTCGACCGCACTTGGCGCGTCGAAAGTGGTCGACATCGTCTTCTGGCGAACATTCATGCCGCCGCGACACCTCCTCTTGCCTATAGTCGATGGTGCGCACCATCCATTTGATAGCACGCTTATCTTGACTGACGCGCTGGCTCCTCTCGGAGGGGGTTCAATCGTCCCGGCAGTCAGGGTGGCCGACCTGGCCGGCGCGTCGTTCGACATATTCGTCTCGACCCTGCTCGACAAGACTCAGCAGCAGAACAGCTTCACCGAAGCCTCCCACACCGCACTCCTCGTCGCGCCAGCCTACACCGTCCACTCGCTCGACCTCCTCTGTTCCGTCCGCCCGGCATCCGCCAAGCCTGACGACTTCTGTCTCGAGCCCCCGCTGGTCGACAATGACGGAGAGGAGCGGACGTTTGGCGTGCACGTCGATATGGACAGGCTGGGGGAGTTGCGGCACGCGACTTGGCGTACTGCTGGAGTTGGCGTGTGGGTTGTGCGGCGGCGGGTGACCCCTCCATTGGGTGCGTAGCAGCAGCAAAAGGTGCAAGATGCTCGCGAGATGTATCGACGGGCGCGTGGGAGAGGACAACGTGGCGAAAGCGACCTTCGCAAGTTTCCGAACGGCTCGCTTCGCTTCCTCTGCGCTCCTCGCCGGCTGCGTCTTGAACCCCGACTACATCCACGTCCTGCCTGACTCTCATAGGCAGCTCAGAGCTGCAGCAGATGCTGTTCTACTCGCGAAGTCCCCAACTTGCGGTCGTCCTCTCCACGAAACGCTTCTCCCTCCCGCTCGACTACCTGCGCACAGATGCCTGGCCCCTTCATGATGGTAATCGAGCGAGCGCATTGCCTGAAAATTATCGCCTTTGGGTCGGCTGGAATGACGTCGCCTCCTCTCCGCTCGCATCGAGGCCGTCCGCTCGCTTCTCTCGCTTCGTAAGCTCTCTTGTTCTCTTCCACACACCTTCAGCGTCTCTTCGCATCCACTCACTCCACCTACAGTGCGTCCAGGACCTCGGCTCTCCGTCCTTGCTCTCGCCATGGCTTCCTTGTCCTCCAAGGGGGTCCACCGTCACTCACACTCGCTCGTGTGACCCGCAGACCACCCTACACACTCACAAACTAGCAACAGTGAGTTGCGCGTGCTCTGCTCCTCCAACGAAGCGCATCGTGCTCACCACTGCTTCCTCCGCGCCCATCCTCGCCGGCCCCTTCCTCCGCTCCCCCCTCACCCTCGCGCTATCCGTGCAGTGTCCACCAAGACTCAGGCTGAGGCTCACGGCGGTGCTGGCGACCTCGGCGAGCAGAAGCCCCAGAAGGGCCCGCAGCCGACTAGCGACGCTCCCCGCTACGAGGAGGGCAAGGAGAACGCGCACGACTTGGCCGACTCGAAGGACGAGCGCAGCATTGCCAACAACGTGCGTTGTCAACGGTCCCTCCCTCGGCGACAGGCAGTGCAGGCGGAGAGTGTCGCCGTCCCTGCTTGAGTCCGTCGTATTGACGCTTCCCTTTCCTCGCGTTCCTCTCCGTCCTTTCCAAATCCCTCCATTGCTCCACTCGTTTTGCCCCTCTCCCGCGACCTGCTCCGTCCTCGATTCGCACCGACAGCTCGCTGCTGCCAAGGCAAAGGAGAAGGCTGAGGACCAGAAGGAGGACTCGACTGGCTACAGCGGTGTCGGCGCGGCCGAGGCGCACGGCAACAAGCCCTCTCGGGGTGCACAGATCGACGCTGAGGTGCGTCGTGACCCTTTGAGTCTTTGGACGCAGGCGCAGCGAACCTGACGACTCTCTCTTCTCTCCCCGCTTCCTCTCTGCCCGCTCGGCTTCCCCTCTCTGCTGCGTCTCCTCCGTCGCTCCCTCGCATTTGCGACACACAGCTGCAGAAGGAGGACGAGGAGCTCCTCAAGAAGAAGTCGTCCTAATGGCCTTTACTTGACACCGGCCCTCCTCGACTCGCCGTCGCCCATGCATGTATAGCATCTTGTCCATGAATCGCAATGCACAAAGAGTACCCTACAAACGCGCTATCCGGGATCCACCCTGGCTGTATGCAGGCTGCTCGACGAGATCGCGGACAGCATCAGCGAGTTTGCTCGTGACACACACTCGCGCTCGCTCGTTCTCCCTGCTGCTGCCATGTCCGAGTCACCTGTCTTTGAAATTGTGCGCTGCACTGCTTGCACGGCTGCTGGCGACGTTGTCGAGCGCGCGAGACTGACCGCCTCGCATCTCGCATCGACGCGGCTCTACAGGTCTGCGGCGCGCAGAGCTACGACTGGGGCAAGCTCGGCAAGGTGCGTACACACCAGTTGCACCATCCCAGATGTTGAGCGCACGCGTTCGAGGCGCGAGAGAGCTGACCTCGCTCGTCCTCGCTGTCAACTCGCTCAACCCACTGCGCAGGATGGATCCAAGTGCTCACACTTCGCCAAGGGCCTCCCCAACTTCGAGTACGACGAGAACAAGCCTTATGCGGAGGTGCGCTCGCTTGGAATCGATCGGTCGCGCTTGCCATGCTAACCTTCGCCTCCCTCGCCGCAGCTTTGGATGGGCACGCACCCGTCGTGCCCCTCGACGCTCATGGCGACCGGACAGGACTTGAAGAAGTACCTCAAGTCCCGGCCGGAGCTGCTCGGCGACAAGGTCGTCAAGAAGTTTGGCGACGACTTGCCGTTCCTCTTCAAGGTGCGCTCGAGTCTGCTGCCGGGCCGTGTACGCGGTTCCCGGGACTAATTGAGCTTCTTGCAGGTCCTTGCTATTCGCAAGGCGTTGTCGATCCAGGCGCACCCCGACAAGCAGCTCGCCCAGAAGCTGCACTCTGAGAAGCCCGACATCTACAAGGGTGAGCTGTTGCCCGCCGTCAGTGATCGCGTTCTACGTCGCTGACCGAAGAACCCGTGCAGACCCGAACCACAAGGTCCGCCATACGGCCACGCTGCTCCGAGAGAATTTTACTGACGCCTTGCCTCGCTCCCTCCAGCCCGAAATGGCTGTTGCGCTGACCGACTTTTCCGGCTTCTGCGGCTTCCGTCCTCCCTCCGAGATTGCCTCCTTCCTCGACTCCGTTCCCGAGTTCGCCGCTGTCGTCGGCGAGTCCGTCGCCTCGTCTTTCAAGTCCAAGTTCGGCTCGTCATCGTCGCCCTCCGAGGAGGACAAGAAGGCTGGCTTGAAGGAGATCTTCACGCCTCTCATGAAGGCGGAGGACAAGCTTGTCCAGGAGCAGGTCGAGAAGCTTGTCAAGCGCGTCGAGAAGGGCGACTCTGGCCTCGACAAGGAGGAGAGCGAGTTGATCAAAACGCTCAACTCGGATTTCCCGGGCGATGTCGGCATCTTCTGCACGTTTGTACTCAACATCGTCAGGCTCAAGCCGGGAGAGGCGGTCTTCCTCAAGGCTAACGAGCCTCACGCATACCTCGATGGCGGTCAGTGGCAATCCTCCTTTCTTGCCAACTGTGCACACTGACAATTTGCTTCGCAGACATCATGGAGTGCATGGCGACGTCTGGTGCGCTGAGAGGTGATTGTAGAAGGCGTGAGCCAGTCGAGCTGACTCCCTTTGTCTCGCAGACAACGTCGTCCGCGCTGGTCTCACCCCCAAGCTCCGCGATGTCCCCACACTCACCTCGATGCTCACCTACACCTCGTCGCCTCCCTCGGAGCAAATCATGAACCCCGTCGGCTTCCGCTCGACAAAGCACACCACCCTCTACGACCCGCCCATCGACGAGTTCTCGGTGCTCCTCACCGAGCTCAAGGACGGCGAGACCGAGAAGTTCGACGCCGTCGAGGGCCCCAGCATCCTCATCTTTACCCAGCTCGACGGTGGCGCCGAGACGGCCCGGCTCAGGTGGAGCAAGGGCGACGAGGCAATCAAGCGCGAGGGCCAGGTCTTCTTTGTCGGCGCGGGCGAGGAGATCAGTATCGAGGCCAAGGGCGGCAGGGTCATTGCGTACCGTGCGTTCGTTGAGGCGTGACTCCCGGACCAGGCGCGCCAGTCGCGACTATAGAAGCAAGGCTTCCCCGAGCCATGCAAAGGACACTCGTGCATTGTCTCTTCCGTCTGGCTGGGAGAGTGGTTGCCCCGATAGCGTGCGTGTAAGGTCGAGCCGCAAAGGCCGTCCTGGCTGTCTGAGCCTCCTCCCTCTTCTTCCTCATGCCAATCGCATGGTGATTACGCTCGCATCGCCGCGCAGCTCCGCTTCTGACTCGCTGTCGCCGCAACAAGCTGCTCACTCGCTCTCTTGGTCTGCTCCGCCCGGCGAGACCGCCGACGAGGAGGACGGGCTCGAGGATGTGGACGAGGAGTCGGAAGGGAGATTGACGCCGGCGCTCATCCGGATCGCGGGTGTAGCGGGCTTGGGAGGTGCGTGGTACCTCTCTTCACATCCCACAAGGGTCCGCTGACCCTGCTATCGCACAGGACTCCTCTTGTTGGTCTCTTTCTCTTCCCCGAACCCCCACATGTTCGCCTAACTCCCTCGCACACTCAGTGGATTCGACACCGGAGTCGTCTCTGGCGCGCTAGTAGCGATAGGAACCGATCTAGGCGGCCGCGCACTCACGCTTGGCGAAGAGACCGGCATCGTTACTTCCGCTTTGTACGGGGCGCTCGCTGGATCGCTCTTCGCGAGTCGCGCAGCCGACTTCTGGGGACGCAAGCCGGTCATTGTGGCGGCAGCGGTCTTGTTCGCGCTCGGAGCGTTGGAACAGGCAGCTGCTCAGGTGTACAAGGAGGTCATCCTGGGCGAGTTCGGTGCTTATTCGCGCCATTCCTGCTGACGCTAACTGATTTTCACGCACAGGACGAGTACTCATCGGCATCGGCGTCGGCCTGTCCTCGATGACGCTCCCCATCTACCTCGCCGAGATCTCGCCCGCCAAGTTTCGCGGACGAATTGTCGCCTCGCTCGTCGTCCTCATCACGGGCGGCCAGGTCCTCGCCTACATCGTCGACGCCATCTTCTACCCCGTCACCAAGGGCTGGAGGTGGATGTTCGGCTTTGGCGCCGTGCCAGCCGTCGTCCAGCTCCTCCTCTCATTCTCTCTTCCCGAGTCGCCACGCTTCCAGCTTAGACACGACCGAGTCGCATCTGCTCGCAAAACCATCCGCCAACTCAATCCAACTCTTTCGCATGCAGCGGTTCAGCGGCGGATCGAGTCCATTCAAGCGGAAGTGCAGGGCGCGAAGGAGAGCGATCGCGCGGACGAAGCGAGGGAAGGAGGAGTACCGCTCAACCTGGCGAGGTGGAAAAAGTGGCTGCAGGAAGTGCGCAACGACATCCAGGAGGGCCGGCTCGGGAGGCTCTGGCGGGATCGAGTAAGCAGGCGGACTTTGCTCGTCGCAGCGGGTCTTCAATTCTTCCAGCAAGCGACGGGGTTCAATACACTCATGTACTAGTACGCATCGTCTGCGCGCTTTACTGTCCCTCAGTCTGATTTCGCTCGCCCGCAGCTCGGCCAAGATCATCCAGCTGTCGGGGCTCGGTCAGCCCGTCGCCTTCGCCATCGTCGTTGCCCTCTCCAACTTCCTCTCGACCATCGTCGCACTCCGTCTCATCGACCGCATGGGCCGCCGCGCCCTCCTCCTTCGTACCTTGATCGGCATGATCTTCGGGATGTCGCTCCTCGCCTTTTCCTTCGTCTTCATCCACCTCAAAGCCGACGACGCCGTACAAGAAGCTGCCGCGGGGCAGAGCGGGCCGTCGCCTTGGGCTTTCGTCGCCATCCTTGCGATGTGTATCTTCTGCGTCTCGTACGCTCTTGGGATCGGCAACTGCGCTTGGGTTGTGCAGAGCGAGGTTAGCGTGACCATCCTCCCGCAGGTCTAGCCCCTAATTGACTGTTTGGCGGACACAGGTTTTCAACCAGGACCAACGCGCTGTCGGCAATGGCATCGCGACCGCGGTTAACTGGTCCGCTAACCTCCTCATCTCCTCGACATTCCTGCATCTCGCCTCAGGTGCGTTCTCACTCGCGGCTCGTTGCTGGTCTGTGTATACTTAGTGATGCTTCTCATAGCCATCACTCCTGCCGGCACTTTTGCGCTTTACTCGCTCATCTCCCTCGCCGGCTGGATCTTCACGTGGCGATACTTACCCGGTACGTTCCATTCCCCTTTGCCCCTCTCAGACTTCCCTCTGACAGTATCTGCCTGCAGAAACGAAGGGACTCTCGCTCGACGAAGTCCGCGAGCTCTTCGAGCGCGAAGTTGGCGTCGATGGCATGGCAGCGGCGCCCAGCGGTCCGACAGACGGCGAGGCGGCGTATCATGTCGTGGGTGAGGAGACGAGTGAAGAGGAGGAGGAAGAGCGTAGGATCTCGGTGGACGTTGCTCAGGAAGGTAGGGAAGAGTCTCGCAAAGGCGGTGAGCGGTCAGGAGGCGGCGGCAGGGACACGCAGCCTGACTAGACGGCCCTTCTGAGCTTGCATCGTCGTTGTATCATCGTACAGCTTGCGCACCGCGTGCATCTGCTTCGCTGCCTCTCCTCGCCTGCCTGCGAAAAAGGTTCAAGTGGTCGCCGCTTTTTCTGGCGCAGCCCAGCCTATTTATCAGCCTGTCAAAAGAGCCTTACTGGCCCGCGCAAAGCCTCGAGCTCGACTCTGAGGGAGGCCATCTTCATCGGTTTTGGCGGAGCGAGAGGTCGTGCTTCCACCGCCCACTCACCACCGCGATGCAGGCCGACAAGCTCACACGGAGCATCACGCAGGCAGAGGCGCTGCTCAGGCGCTTCGTCATCCGCGAAAACAAGGGCGTCAAGGCCGACTCGCCCGACCTCCTCACCACACCTTTCCGCGGCAAGCCCTCCATCTTCACGCCTGTCAAGAAGGAGAACGGCGGCTGGACACCTCCAAAGTACTCGGCACGGCGGCAGAAGCTCCTCCAGCGCGCCGTCGAGATCCTCGGAGTCGACCCCAGCATCCTCCCTCCCTCGCCCGTCAAGAAGCGCGCTTCCGCCGAAGACCTCCCCGCAGGCCGCCGCCATATCGTCGCCTCGCCTCACATACCAGCGACACAGGTCTTGACCGCACTCGCGCTGGAGAAGAAGGGACCGTACGCCGGCAGGAAGGGAGCGGCGTTCAAGGGGCATGCTTGGGAGCGGTTCCGGGAGGAGAAGCTGGCAGAGCGGGCTCAGCTGCTCGAGAAGGCGCCTCAACGGAAGGCGGAGTTCAGGAAGGTGCGTCCAGCCTGTTCGCTGCGACTCGTCCGCGAGGAGAAGCTGACTTCCGTCCTTCCTTGCGCTTGCAGGCCCAGGCAGAGATCCGCCAGAAGTCAAAGCCGGCACTGCCATTCTAGACGACCCACCCACTGTGTCTCCTGCATTGTACACTACGCATCGTTACCCGTCGACCGTCCTCAAGGCATGTCCTGCCTGTGTAGGGAGAGTCCGCCATCCACCTTTCCTCGCGCCACGCATCTCTCGCTGCCACTTTTGCAAGGCACTGCTCGTTCTGCGAGAGTCTCTCAAGGCGAAGCTGGAGCGCAAGAGGCGAGAGTCTGCCTCGTTGAACGTGCGCCAACTTCTTCACCAGCGGACGTTCACTTCCCGCCCCGCCTGCGCTTGCTGCGGTGCCTACTATCGCCTTGGAGACTGCTACAGTGTCAATCTTGGCCGTACCGGCTTTCCCCTCGCCCTTCATCTCTCCCTGCGTCCCCTGCTCCAACTCGCCGTTCCCCAGAGTCGAGGTGCGTCCGTCCACCGCCTTGGGCCCTATGTGGAGACTGCCGGGTGTCTGTTGAGTGATTCTGGACTCGACAAATCCACCGTGGCGCCCCCCGGCTCTTCCTGCGCTCCAAGCCAGAATAGGCCCGCTAACTTGGTCTTCTCGAGCAGATCACCCTCGACGCACGAGCGAGCGACGCTGATCTCTCCCTCTTTTCGCCTCGTACTGAATGGCATAAACGGCTATGGACAGCATGGAGCTTGGCGAGCTGGGCGCGGCAACTCTCGGGTCGCGCCTGAGCGAGGAACGTCGAGCGACGAGGGAGGGCGACGATGCGCGCGAGACGGCCGAACAGCAGGACGTGCGCGATAGTCTCGAGGGCGACATGGGCGTCGGACGGCTCGACGCAGCTTCGCCGGGTATCGCTGCCCGTCCACCTCGACCCGACTTCATCGACCTCGCCCTCCCCGACCTGCACCTCCCCGACCCAGCTCTCGAGGTTCCCGCTGCAGCGTCTGTGCTGGGTCGCTCGGACCTGCGCAAGCGGCCGAGCAACCCTTCGACGGTTCCAGCGTCCTCGCCTCCCCTTCGCACACACTTTCACCTGTCCGGCTCTCCGCCTCTTCCCTCTTCCGTCCCGCTCAGACCCATCCTTCAGAACCCGACGTCGCCATCGACTCGACCTGCGGACCATGTCGGGCCTCGCCCGCATCTGCCTGAGCGTCCCAGTTCTCCAACATTCGCGTCTCGCGAGGACGACGAGCCGCACCCGGAAGGTCTGCCGCACCGCGAGAGGCGCACTCCGCATCCGCTGTATACGCCGGCACCTCGCAAGAGGCGGAGGCGGCGGAGAAAGGCAGAATCTGTGGCGTCGGGCAGGACGGGCAAGTCGAGTCGTTCTGCACGGTCGAAAGTCAAGCATGCGTTGCGGAAGGTTCGGCGGCGCGCACGGCGTACATCGATGGCGACGGGTGCATCCGTCACATCTGGCTCGTCGTCATCGTCATCGTCGACGACCACCACGACCACATCAGGCTCCTCCCGTTCATCCACCGCCGGGTCGACCCGTTCGAGCTCGACTTGGGCAGGGTGGCGGTTCTGGCGGAACTCGTCGTCTGGCTCTTCGTCTTCCGGCGACGACGACTCGGATACGGATTCCGAGTGGGACCCGCCAACGCCGCACTTCACGCTCCTCACGCCAATCCTCTCCCGTCCGACTCTCGCTTACCCCGCGCACCTCTTCTCCGGCGCGACCGGGTCTACGATGCCCACTCCCGCCGCTGCCACGCCTGGCCCAGCTTCTGGCTTCGCCACGCCTGGCCCGAGCGACTCGCCATCCGCACCCGTCTTCGAGCTCTCGACATCTTCCAATCTCGGGCCCGCCCTCGAACGCCTGCAGGCGTTTTGGTCTGAGCGTCAGCAGGAAGACGGGTTAGCGGGCGACATCGGCGCAGGCGTTGCTGGAGCAGCGACGCAGCCGGTGCCAACCGATGAAGCGAGCTACTTCCCCGATAACCCGACTGCCTACGTCGAGGAGGGTCAGGGAAATGGCTACGCGAACGATGCAGCAATGCCGGCGGTTACTCCCGGCGTTTCTGGCGGACCTTCGAACAAGCGATTGCGGGGCCAGCAGCGAACTGCGCGGGCGGAGGAGCGGCGGCTAGGCAAGAACCGTGCGCTGGAGAACGGACCGGCGTGGTGGCTTGATATCATGTGCCCTTCGGTAGCCGACATGCGCGAGTTGCGGAAGGTGCGTTGTCGAATCCTCCCCGCATACTCCTGCACGACGGGCTGACTTCCTACCTACCCGCAGCTCGTCCCGCTTCATCCCCTTACGATTGAGGATATTCTGCACCAGGAGACGCGCGAGAAGATGGAGTCGTTCGCCGGCCTCGGCTACTACTTCATCGTTTTTCGAGCCCTCGACGAATCCTACTTTCGCTACACTTCCCCGTCTGTCTCGGCTACATCATCGCCTAGTACTTCCGCCGCGGACGAGTCCGACGGAACCACCGAGACGGCTGAGAAGGCAGATGCAGCGTCGCTTGCGGCGATGGGCTTTTCGTCGGGTCGCCGAGGACGAGTCGACATTGTCGAGGGCGTTGGCGGCAAGGAGGGAGTCGAGGGTGTCGGTGTCGGCGCTATCAACTTGTATCTGATCGTCTTCGGCGACGGCATCATCTCGGTGCGCTCTCCTTTCGAGACTCGAACATTCTCATCACGCTAACCTCTCCTTTCTCGCAGTTCCACTTCGAGCCGATCGACCAGCACATTGAGCGCGTCCAGGGCAAGCTCCAGCAGTTCGGCATCTCGCGCAACTTCTCGTCGCGGAAGGGCTTGCAGCCTCCCCACCCTCCAACACGATCCGCTCATTCTTTTTCTCGCGCAGACTGGATCGCCTACAGCCTCATGGACTCGATGGTCGACGCGTTCTTTCCGTTGATGGACTTCATCGAGGGCGAATCAAACGAAGTGGACGCCTACCTCGCCGACCCGCGCGACCAGCACAGCGTCAACCCGAAACTCGCCCTTTCCGGTGTCGGCGTCGTCGCCGGCCGCAAGATTTTCGATGAAAGCGTTGTCAGCATCGTCGTTGAGGAGCCGGCGGATGGAGACAAGGACAAGCTGGAAAGCGATGCCTCGGTCGCGTCCATCAAGCGAGCGACTGTGACGAGGCGGGCGCCGACGACCGTCTTTCGTTTTCTCCCCATCGTCCCGCTTCCAGGCGGACTCCTTCGCATCTTGCCGCGCAGCTGGACCCGACAGACGACCCGCAAGTTCGCCTCGACCATGCTCGTCGACCACGAAGGCATCGAGCTCCAGACGCTGTCGCGGCAGACGCCCGTCGATGCCGGCTTTGTTCCGCCCGCCATGAGGGTCTCAGACCACCGCCTCGTCTCGAGCAGCAAATTTGACCGCGCCGTCATGCTTAAGCGCATCACCGACGTGCGCAGACTGGTCGTCGGCCTGAGCAGGCTGCTCGGCCCGAAGACGGACGTCGTGCGGGGCTTGCGCAAACGAACGATGGAGGAGAACCTCGGCTTGTTCAAGGGCGACGTCAAGCACGACATTGCCGTCTACCTCGGCGACTTGCAAGGTCCGCTGCGCTTCCCTTCGCTTCTCCTGCTCGAGAGCTGACCTCATCGCACCGCAGACCACATTGTCGCCATGCAGCAGTCCCTGGTCTTCTACGACGCCATCCTTGCGCACGACCACCCCGCATACCTTTCCGTCCTGCGCCTCTCGCTCGAGCACGCCAAACGAGGAACCGACATGGCCCTCGTCAAGCTCTACATCGTGACCCTCACCTTCCTCCCCATCAACATCGTCACTTCGCTCTTCTCGATCAACCCGCACCGCCCGCAGAACGGCGACGAGAACCACCTTAACCCGGACGGCACGCCCGCCCCGTACACCTGGTTCGGCGGCGTCATTGTCATTGTCTTCGCCGTCGCTGTCCTCATCTGGGCCTTCGTCTGGTTCATCTTCCGCTCTAGCCGCCGCGCACGCAAGAAGCGCGGGTCGCCCATGCGTTAATCCCTCGCTTCGCTTCGCAGCTTAGACTTTATTCGGGTCCCCTCGCCTCTTGTTGTCGCCCGCGCGCTCTTGTTGCCACTTGTAGCTATCTGGAGGAGCATCTCGCAGTCGCACACGCACACGCAAAGATTGTTGGCTTTCGCATCGTTTGACTTCGCGTCGAGGACGCGTGCGACGCTCTGCCGACTTTCCACTCGCTCAACTCGCTCGAGAGGCTCGCCAGGACGCTATGGACCGACCTACACCGCGTGTCAACGGCGCCAAGCTCGCGCAATCCTGTCCGTCGCCGCCGCTCGCTCGTTCTCCCGCCGCTTCATCGCGAAGTCGCTGACCCGGCTCTCTCGCTCGCTACAGCGCCAGGGTCGACTGTGCGCCTGATAGGCAAGGTCATCAGCGTACGTCCTGTCTCTGAACCCGCCCGCAAGCGCAGCTGATCCCTCGTGTCGTCGGCAATCGCAGCTCGACGCGGAGCAGGCTCTCCTCGAGGCGGCAGACGGCGCACAGGTCACCGTCAAGCTCATGCACGTGCGTCGTTACATCCAGATTTGCCTTGGCAACCAGCTGACGTTGTCTGAACGCGCCAGGACTCGGTGTTGTCGTCGACCTTTGTCGAGGTGATTGGCAAGGTGCAGAGCGAGACGTCCATGCAGGAGCTTTCGACGTGCGTTCTCCCCTTCTCTGCGCTTCCGAGCCTCAGGAAACTGACTCGAAGTCGTTGGGTTCGTTGAGATAGGCTTAACTTGGGCGACAACATCGGTTCGTCGCGGCGTCTTCTTCTAGGATCCGCCATGGCGCTTGTACTGACTCTCTTCCCGCTTCCCTTTCTGCCAGACATGGAGGTCGCCAACAAGGTCGTCGAGCTGACACACCAGTACCCGGACGTCTTCCCTCCCGGCGCATAGCCCGTTTTCTCCACTCGCCTCGCCCTCAGCTGTACCTGTACATCTCTCGCCTCAGCCGTATAACCCCGAACAGCTCGACCAGCGTTCTCTGTAACATCAGCCGTTCTCTCGCCTGCTGTACCGGTGGTCACTCAGAGGAAAGGGTTGCGATTGCACGAGAAGGGAGGAGGGAGGGGGATCTCGCGTCGCTCCGTTAGCCGCCTTCCCACACGCGCTCCGAAGAGTGCAAAGGAGGGCGGCAAATAATCGACGCTGGACTGTGCGGAAAGAGGGGGTTGAGCGAGTCGAGCAGGAGAAAGTTGGCGAGGGTCGCTGTGACGGAGCGAGACGACCGTGCGGAGCAGGGCGACTCGTGTTGGTGTGTACTACGAGTGCCAGTGAGCAATCTTAGCTGGTCAGACGGTCTCCCTGAGCGAATTGAACAGAACCGAGTGAGCTGGACAAGGTCAAGCTGTGAGTCCTCGTCGCCCACCCACTCTCCTCTCACAAGCTACAAACATGGCCAGTCTCTTCGGCGGTGGATCTCGCGCACAGCCTACCGGCCAGCCCGACCAGGCGCGCCTCGCCGAGGCCGCGATGGAGCTCGAAGCTGTCTCCGACCTCTTCACCCGCATCGTCGCCAGCTGCCACACAAAGTGCATCTCGACGAGGTACTCTGAGGCGGAACTCAACAAGGGAGAGAGCGTCTGCGTCGACCGGTGAGTCTCGCCTTCCTTTCGTCGAGTTCGAGGCGGGTCAGGCGAGATGAGCGGCGAGGGAGACGACGGTGCTGGGCGGGGGTCCTGGTGGACTGTGAGAGAGCTGAGGTTGCTCGCGAAGGCGCTTTGAGTCCCGCCGAAATGCTCGGACATCGCCGTCTTGTCCTTGCTCCTCCTCACCACCTTCAGAACGAAGTGCTGACTGTCTTCCCGCATCCGCCCAGCTGCGTTGCCAAGTACTTCGCCGTCAACGAGAAGGTCCAGGAGCGACTACAACTCGCCCAGTCCGCCGGCCAGCGTGTCGGCATGTAAATAACCCCTCTTCCTCGACTCTCGCCAACCCTCCCATCCCTCCCTCTTTCGTACATTCGGCTCGGGCGGCGACGACAAGCAACGGACGACAAGAAGACGAAGTGACGACGGAGGCCTGGGCATGAAGGCGTGGCCTAGAATGACAGCAAGGATTCCCCCGCTCCGCACCACTCGTATCTCGCAATCACCCTGTAACATGCTGCTCTCTCTTTCGCATTCACGCCTTCCCTTTCACCCATGCGCACGAGATTACTGTCATCTATTCACAGCGAGAAGATCAAAAGACCGAGTTGTACACCGCTCGACTCCTCTAGCCTCCTCATCCGCACATCGCCAGACATCCGACCATGTCGACGACCTGTCCAACCCCCTCCTCAGCGCTCTGATTGACGGAAACAGGTTGCGTACTGACGAACCCTGATCTTCCTGCGAGGCGAGAGAGACGGGTCAGCGGGGGGATGCGCGAGGAGGAGGAGGAAGATCGACGCACCTCCTGCGGCAGCACAGGCAGGCCATGAGGACACGCTTGCCCGTGTCACCTTTGCTGCCACTGTCGCTGGCAGGCTTGGCGGGCCTCTTGCGGCGCTGCGACTGTGAGTTGGGCGTCCAGGCGGCGGCGTCCATGGGTCCGACCGTGAAAGCGTGGGATTCGACTGATGGAAGGTGCGTGTTCCGCGAGTGTGTGTGGTCTGTGGTGTGTGTGGATGGCACTGTTGTGGTCACTGAGCGAGAATACGACGGCGACGAGGCAGCACGAGGACGAGGAGGACGACGAGAGCGAGGACGAGTGTTCAGTTCGGACGAGCGCTCGTCTCCAGTCGAGTGCGTTGTGCCTGCCAGGAAACCCGCACCGTCGATCGCCCCTTGCTGTGCTTGCAGAAACTTCTCCGCCGTGTCTCGCTCACGACGCCCTGATCTCGCCTTATCGCCTCGTCCAGTGACCACCTCCTGGCGTCCCTCTTCCCTCCTCCTGCTCAGCTGGCGAGTGCGCTCTGTCGCCACAGCGAGAGGTGGACGGAATCTCCGCACCGAGCAAGGCCGCTTCGTCGCCTCCTCGAGCCAAGCGGAGATCGTTTCCTTGGCCGGCACAGGCTCGCAGAACGCGCCAAACCGCAATGGAAGCTTCCCCTTTCCAGCCAGCGATCCTTTCGTGGAACCGGTTCTCCGCCCGCCTCCGCCGCCCCCTTCGCTCGACGGCCTTCCCAGCCGGCTTGGGCGCGCTGGCGGGTTTCCACCGGCCGGCTTCGTCTGCCGCGCAAATGTGAGCTCGCTTGCATGCATCGAAGGGGTCGTTCTCTCGAGCCAAGGGGTGGAGGAGAGGCGAGGTTGTGGAGAATGGGACGTCGCAGCCATTTCGGCGCTTTGCGCATCCTCTGACGACGACGACGAAGCGGTGCAGTGGGCAGCGCGCTCTGCACGCGACGGAGCATGCAATCAGTGGCTCCTTCGCTCCAGCGGAAAAGATCTTCTCTCGCAACTCCTTTCGCCAATCGAGCTTGATTCGTCCGGATTCTCGACCGCGAAGCGTTCTGGCCGTTGCCTCTTCCCTCGCTCGTTCTGCGAGGCAGGCGACGAACGAACCAGAGCTCGCACGAGCGCGCGCATCCTTTTCTCAAAGATTCTCCAGCACCAGGAGCGGAGTCCGCCGCACCAGCAGCCTGCAGCGATCGCGAGCTGAGGACGCGCGCGCGGATCCTCGGCCGCTCGCTGTCAATCAAGGTTGGAGAGGAATGAGGAGGCGGGGGTGGGACGCGGAAGCCGAGTCGCGGAGAGGACGGCTTCCCTGCCTGCTCGCGGAACGTGGTCGGCTCGTGTTTCCTGCGGATCAAACCAGGAGTCGAGGAGACTCGGAACACGAGCGCACGAGCACAGCCCCTTGACGCTCAACAAAATGCCATCAACCAGGCTCAAGTGACATTTGCGTCGCCTCGTGCAAGTCTGACGGGGCCAGGCAAGGGGCGCACAATGGAGCTTCTGCTCGATTGCAGTGCTTGAGAGTAAAGATCAGCACGAGTGGCGCAATTGGAACCGTTCGTGGGACATTCTCTCGCGAGACATGGAAGGACCAGGATTGCCCAGCGCAGCCTCGAAGGTGCGGAACGAGCACGCTCAAGGCGGCGAGGCGCGAAGTTTGCTGCTGCATTCTTCGAAGCGTCGCGGGTGCGCGGGTCGAGAAGCGATGGCGGCGCAAGTTGGAGACGAGGAATATCGCGTCCTGGCGAAGAGCAGCGGCGAGACAGCGAGCAAGAACAGGTCGAGCTTGCGCGAACACTGGGCAAGATGTTCCTTGTCGGCGGAATCGAGAGACTGGCCGTCGCACTGAGGTGGTCGAGAGGAGGAAGAAACGTCAAGCGGCGGGCGTAGCAAGCGCTCAGCGCAGTTCGCAGCGCTCAATGTCCATGGTATAGTGCCGACACGAGTAGATATTGACGAGGCCATCGAGGATGGAAGAGACGTCGAGGCGGAAGGTCCGAGCAAGAGAAGGTCCGCAAAGTCGATAGGCAGGCATCGCGAGAGCCGGCCGAGCGTCGAGCTCCGGCATAGCGCGAGTCATATGACTGCGACCGGTGCGGCGGTGGGCGTCAAGACGACGTCGTAAAGCGCGGGGCAGGCTGGAAAGGAAGCGAAAGCGTGCAGCGAAGTCGCTAACGCGGCCTGCGACGCGAAAGCTCGTCAGCGACAGCGTCGGAGCGGAAGCGAAGGAAATGACACACCAGCACAGGCGCAAGCGAACGCCCGGAGCAGCTCTCGAATCGACGAGACGTGGAGAAGGTGAAGCGAGCAAAGCGGGTTTCAATGCATCTACAGGACATTTGCCTCGTCGTCGTGGCGAGGTCGATCACACAAGCGGATTGGAGAAGGAGAGAAAGAGAGAGCATGCGGGATGGATGGGTCGACCTAGGGGAGGAGGTCAAGGTCAGCGAAGAACCTCGAGAAGGGCGACGTCGGGACTCACGCCTATGAGTAGAGGTCGTCCTCCTCCTGCTCGGCGCCGAACGCCGCACCGCCCGTCGCGCCTGCGCCAGCCTCGCCCGCGGCGCCGCCTTCGGGGAACTTGAAGCTCGAGCCAAACGACCTCGACTGCTGCAGGTTCTGCGCAAACAACTCGTACCTCCTGATGTCTTGATCGCTGACGGAGCGGCGAGCGAAGCGCATGGCCTCCTCAAAGTGCTCGCGCGTGATGTACGGCACCGGGTCCTCGCCCGCCTCGTCGTCGGCGTCCATCTGCTCCTCCTCCTGCTTGACGACGGCCTCCTCGCCGAGCTCCTCGATCTTGGCCTTGCGCTCGCGGTCCTTCTGCATGTCGGCCTCGATCGAGGCGCGGATGGCGAGCTTGGCGGCGCGCTGGCAGACCTCGGTCAAGTCGGCACCCGAGAAGCCGTGCGTGTTCTTGGCGATGAAGCCGAGGTCGACGTCGGCGGCGATGGGCGAGCGCTTGAGCGCAGCCTTGAGGATGGACGTGCGCGACGGCTCGTCGGGAAGGGGGATGTAGATGAGCTGGTCGAGACGGCCGGGACGGAGGAGGGCGGGGTCGATCTGGTCGGGACGGTTGGTCGCGCCGATGACAAAGACGTTCTTCTTCGCGTTCATGCCGTCCATCTCCGTGAGGATCTGGTTGAGGACACGGTCGCCCGCACCGCCGCCGTCGCCGCCCGGTCCACTACCACGCGCCTTCGCGATCGAGTCGAGCTCGTCGAAGAACATGACCACGGGTGCCGCCGCGCGAGCCTTGTCGAAGACGTCGCGGACGTTGGCCTCGGACTCACCGAACCACATCGTGAGGAGCTCGGGACCCTTGATCGAGATGAAGTTGGCCTGGCACTCGTGCGCGATGGCCTTGGCGAGGAGCGTCTTACCCGTACCGGGCGGGCCGTAGAAGAGAACACCCTTCGAGGGCGACATGCCGTACTTGAGGAACTTCTCCGGGTGCTCGACCGGGTACTGAACCGTCTCCTGCAGCTCGATCTTGACCTTGTCGAGACCGCCGATGTCGTCCCAGGTAACCGTCGGGATCTCGACAACCGTCTCGCGGAGGGCGGACGGGTTCGAGGTGCCGAGCGCGAAACGGAAGTTGTCCATCGTCACGCCGAGCGAGTCGAGGACCTCGGCGTCGATGGTGTCTTCCTCCAAGTCGATCAGATCCATCTTCTCGCGGATCTGCTGCATCGCCGCCTCGGAGCACAGCGACGCAATGTCGGCACCGACGTAGCCGTGGGTGTCGGCAGCGATCTTCTCGAGGTCGACGTCGTCGGCGAGCTTCATGTTCTTGCTGTGGATGCGGAGGGTCTCGAGGCGGCCGGTCGCGTCGGGGATGCCGATGTCGACCTCGCGGTCGAAGCGGCCGAAGCGACGGAGTGCAGGGTCGATCGAGTTCGGGCGGTTGGTCGCGGCCATGACGACGATGTTCGAGCGAGCCTTCATGCCGTCCATCAGGGTAAGGAGCTGCGAGACGACACGGCGCTCGACCTCTCCGTTGGTCTGCGGGCCAGCAAGACGGTGAGCACTTCCTTCGAACTGAAGCGAGAGAGACGGGACGCACCTTCTCACGCTTGGGCGCGATAGAGTCAATCTCGTCAATGAAGATGATGGCGGGAGCGTTCTTCTCCGCCTCCTCGAACGCCTTGCGGAGGTTCGACTCGGACTCGCCAGCCATCTTCGACATGATCTCGGGACCGTTGATGAGGAAGAAGAAGGCGCCGGTCTCGTTGGCGACGGCGCGAGCCATGAGCGTCTTTCCGGTACCGGGCGGGCCGTACATGAGGATGCCGCGAGGAGGCTTGATACCGATCGACTTGAAGAGCTGGGGGTGACGGAGGGGGAGTTCGACGAGCTCGCGGATCTGGGCGAGCTGCTTGCGGCAGCCACCGATGTCGTCGTAGCCGACCTCGGAGAGGTTGTTCTCCTCGTCCTCGCGCTTGATCGGCTCGCCCTCGGTGTGGATGACCGTGTCCTGCGCGACGATGCAGTACTCGGCCGGGTCCGTCTCGACGACCTTGAACTCGACGCTTCGCGACGCGCCCTTGGCGAGGAAGATGTCGCCCTTGCGAACGGGGCGGTACGCCTCGAGGAAGTAGGGCTTGAGGAAGACGTTGAAGATGTCGCCCGAGAGACCCTCGATCGAGTCGTCGAAGGGGAGGACGTGGATGCGCTTGCCGTACTTGATGTCGTGGCAGGCGTGGACGGTGCAAAGGTCGCCGAGCTTGACGCGCAAGTTGTTGCGCGCGACTGGAGGCGCGAAGCTGTGTCAGCGAGGGAGTGCCGAAGGAGGTCGAGGTCACAAACTCACCCTTGTTCAGCTGAATCTTGCCCTCGTCAACATCCTCCGACGACAGAACGATCAAGACTGTGCAGAGCGAGGCGCACGCGAGTCAGTTTGAGCCATTGTCTCCTCCACCTCGCTCGAGGTACGCCAGTTGCGATGCGAGCTGAAGCCGTCCGCATGGGCTTGCGCGCTCCCAACACGGACTTGACGAGCTCGAAAAGTGGACGCACCGGTGTCCTTGCGCTTCTTGCCGCGGACGATGATGGTGTCGCCCCGGAAGAGCTGGAGGGTCTCCATCGTCGCCGGGTTGAGCTGCGCAACCGAGTTGTCGTCCGAGGTGCTCTCATCGACAATCAAGCGGTTGGGACTGTATCGCGACAGCACACGGTGAGCGGGCGAGGGAGGAGTGGCGTGTGCGAGCGGTGTCGTCAGCGGAGGGGTCCAGCGATGAGAGAGGGAACGCGGGCAACGCACGACTTCTTCGGGCGGAGGATGGCAGTGGCCGAGTCGTCGACCTTCTGCTCCTTGGACGGGTCGTTGGCCATGGTGGACTGGTGGTGGAGCGGGTTCGAGGGAGAGTGGGAGTGGGAGAGCGGTTCGAGTTGCGGGTTGGAGTGAGTGCGTGTGGCTGTGTGTGGCTGGTCGTGTAGCGCTGCTCTGTGCAGTCTCTGGTCCCAGCTGACAAGCCTGTGAGTGTGAGAGAGCGGAGGAGCTGACGCGGTCGCTGTCCGCCTCTTGACATCGTTCCACACGCTTCCTTCTCGTTATTCAGCTCGTGCGGGACACTAGAGACGCCATTCAATTCGATGAACTCGCACAGAACGGTCGCAGGTCCCGCCACTCGAGGAGGACGCCGTCTCACGCCGCTGGAACCGCTTGACCTTGCCTTGCTCCTCTTGCTTGATACCCTGCGTTCTAAACCGCTTTCAGACTCGTATCGTGACGAAGAGGGTCGCACGGGCGGACTGGCGCTTGCAGGAAATGCCACTGGGATGCTGCCGTCTCGATTTCCGCGATTCTGAACGCCCTCTCCCCCTCACCAGCGTCGAGCGGGTTCTCCGGGCTCTACAGAATTGTCTACACGTCGCTCTATTCTCTCCGAGGCGCCGCTGACGGTTCTCGCTAGAGCGGAGCTTGCCAGCGACCCTTTCGGTGTCCAGTTGATCTGCGATTCGTCGTGCAGCTGCGGTACAGCAGGGGGGTGGCTCGTGAGTGGAACAAGGGACGTCGCTGGAGCATCTGCACGCTGCTCGGCTGGCTTCGCTGCGAGCCGCAGCGTTGTGGGAACTGCTTCTGATCGCCGTCTCGCTATGTACTCGTCGAGCTCCTCTATCTGCAATTGCGCCGCTACCTGGCTTGACAAAGTCGCCTTACTTGCTAGAGGGGTGACATACTGCTCTCCATTCAGCGTACTCGGTACGCCTCTGAGTCGCCGCGACCTTCATGCACGGCAACTGTCCCCTTAGCCAGTGTTACTCGTCAGTTCCCGCATGTCGGACTCTCCTGCACGGCGAGGAATCCCAACGGAGCACGAGGGAATGGCATCGGGCGTGCGAGGGACTTCAGGGCAGGACTCCCCCAGGCTCAAGCGGCTCGCCTAACTCGCCCCTGCTCACACCTCTCCGAACCGCCGACAGCTGTGTGCCAGTCTGCTGAAAGTTGCAACAATAGCTACCGAGAACGAGGCAAGGACCAGAGGCGGGATACATACACGAAACGAGGAGAGATGAATCCAGAGGCAACAACCGAGATGGGGAGGCGAGGAGGCGAGGACGAGACTTATGCGACAAACGGGAAGAGGTCCGAGATGAAGGGAGGGGCAACAGATCGCGAGGAAAGAGAGGGAGGGGGAGTGATACATGCTGGAGAAAGGGAGGAGATACAAAGAGATGAAGGCGAAGGAAAGGGATGCGATGCGTGTTGAGGATGCTTGATGCGGTGCCTGCGAGGAGTGGCGAGACGATCACGCCCATGCGGTCGAAGGAGCAGCTGCCTGAGCCTGCGCCTGCGCCTGAGCCTGCACGTCCCGCACAAGCGCAAAGTCCTCGATCTCGCATGCGCCTGTATGCAATCGCCTGGCGAGGTCATCCAGTTCGCACTGGGAGACGGGCGGGAGGTGCGCCTGCGCCCCGCCGCCGAGTCGAGGCGAGAGGAAGTCGAGCTGGACTTCGAGGTCGTCGTCCTCCTCGTCTTCCGTCTCGCGGTCGTCCTCCTCGTCGCTCGACTCGCGTGCGACATCGTCACTCTCCATGACGACGTTGTCTTCGTCGCCGAAGAGTTCTCGCCGTGCCTCGCGTTCGCGCTCCCACCGCCTCATACGCTCGACGAACCCTTCCTCCTCTTCCCTCGTCGCCGAGCGAAGCTGCTCGAAAGCGACGTGATGCAGGCGCGCTGCTTCGTCAAAAGTCGAAGGGTCGACGGTCGGGACGGGAGGGATGGGGGTCGACGAGTCCAGCGACATGGGAGTCGAAGCGGGAGCGGAGGCGGTACGAGTCCGGAAGGCGGCGGAAGAGAAGAGGAGGGACGAGGAGGGAGAATGAGGGGACGTCGATGCGGATGCGAGGGAGTAGTTGGGCGGGGAAGTCGAAGGCGAATGCGTCGTCGGGGTCGACGAGGCAGACGAGTCGTCGAACGAGAGCTGGTCGGGCGTCGAGGACGAGTCGCTCGACGCGTTGCGGATGCGCATCATCGTCGCTGGGAGTGCAAAGTCGGTCGCGGACGAGGTGAATGCGCCGGCGGCAGCGATAGCGCCATCCGCACTAGCGCGAGCGGGGAGGGCGAAGAGGGAGGGCTGGGAGGGGACGGCGAACGGTGACGGCTCTGTCCAGGCGAGCGGACATGCCTGGTCGTCGGGCGAGGCGGACAGGGACTGGCTGGCCTGCTTCAAAGGCGACGAGAGACCGGCTCGAGTCTGGGTGGGAAAGCGGGGGGCGATGAGCGCGATGTCCAGACGTCAGCTCGCGCTAATGGGCGCATTGAGCCGGTGTGTGACTCACAGCACAGGTCTTTGTCCTCTTGAGGCGCTTCCCGCCGCCGGTCTTGCTGTGTGAGCGGTGAGCGGTCCACTGGAGGGTCGCGGAGGAGCTGAGGTCGGGGGAGGAGAGGCACTCTGAGATGGCGGACAGGGACGACGAGCGTCTGCGAGTGCGGCACAGCGGTCTGATCGGGATGGGCGGGTTGCTGTTCATTGCCAGCAAGGTGAAGAGCGAGACCAAGAGCGACGTCGGCGAGGAGGAGGCGTTCCCACACGAACCGCTTCATTGCGAGTACCGCTTGTCCAGTAAATCTAGTCATGCACTAGTGGAATTACTGGCACAGTCAAAGCGGCATTCTGTCGCTGTTGAAGGGGTTGCTGCTCCTCGCCGGCGGGAATCGCTTTCGCTTAGTCTCCACACGCTCACCCGCTCCGGTCCAGCTCATCTGCCTGCTTGTCCTTGTCTTTAGACTCGCTGCCACCGCTTGTACGCCCGCCATCCCCCAGCAGAGCCGCGTGTGACCAGCCGACCTCAGCCGTCTTCGATCGCTCCGACTCAACTCGCACGAGCATCCCAACCCTCCCCTGATGGACCGATAGCGATGGCAGCCGCATTCGCAACCACAGCGCCTCATCCAGAACACCCTCCCGACATCAGCCAGCGCACAGGCATGCCCGGCTCGCTCTCTCCCCAAACCGCCGTCTCGGCTGTCGCGCGACCCAGCCCTCCGCCGACCTACGTCCTTTCCTGGACGCCAAACGCACCGTGGCGACACATTCCCCTCCCTCCAGCCAGCGCATTCATCGGTGCGCTTCGAGCTGCCCTCGTCGAGTTGCCGGAACGCGCGAGCTGACCATTTCGTACCGGGTCGCGCGGGATGCAGCCGGTGCTCTCGCAGGAGCCGCTTCTCGAACAGTCGTCTCGCCTCTCGAGCGACTAAAGATCCTGCTACAGGGTGCGTTCGAAGCTCTTCTTCCCTGACGGAGCGACGAGAAGTACCCAACTGACTTTCTCGCTCGACTCTCCAGTACAAGGCGCCTCTGCACAGTACAAAGGCGTATGGCACGGTTTGACAAAGATGTGGCGAGAAGAGGGGTTCAAGGGTGCGTCCCGAGTGCTCGAGTCCGAGAAGAAAGAGCGTCCTGATCTTTCTTCCCTCGCAGGCTACATGCGCGGCAACGGCATTAACGTCCTGCGAATAGCGCCCTACTCAGCCGTCCAGTTCTCCTCCTACGAGCTCTTCAAGTCAGCGCTACGAGGTGAAGACGGCTCGATGGACACGCCTCGACGCCTGACAGCCGGCTCGCTCGCGGGTATCTGTAGCGTCGTGAGCACGTACCCGCTGGATTTGGTCAGGTCGAGGTTGTCGGTCGAGTCGGCGAGTTTGGGGATGAAGGAGGGCAGGACGGATGGGCGGAGTACCGGGATCGTGCGGATGACGCTGTGAGTGCCGAAACCTTGCGAAGCGCCGTCGTTCGTGATGACTGACTCGTCTTGTCGGTAACAGGAAGGTGATGCGGGAAGAAGGCGGCGTCAAGGCGTTGTATCGAGGCTTGGTGCCCACATCCGCAGGTCTGTCTCGCTTTCAATGCTCGCTCCATCTTTCATAGGCTCACACTGGCATGCACAGGCGTTGCACCCTACGTCGCCTTCAACTTTGCCTCGTACGAGCTCCTCAAGATCCAGCTCGTGGACCACAACTCGGATCACCACGAGCCGGGCACGTTCGCCAAATTGCTATGTGGTGGAGTTGCGGGCGCGGTGTCGCAGACGGTGAGTGACTCAGGAATTTTGCGCGCGTTTCAAGCTGGCTTCCGTACAACACGCCAAGAAGTGCTCCGCTGACGCCTCGTGGTCGCCCAGCTCACCTACCCTGCGGACCTGCTACGACGGCGGATGCAGATGGTCGGACTGAAGAGTCAAGCATTGGGCTACGAGTACACGGGCGCGTGGAATGGTGCGTTCAGCGGCCCTTTCCTCCCGCTTGTTCGCAAGCGGTACTAATCGAATCTCTGCGCTCGCAGCCGTCTTCTCAATCGTCAGGCAAGATGGTATCAAAGGACTGGTGCGTCCGATCCCTCCGCTAATCTCTCGAGAGCGTACTAACTTTGACTCGCTATGCAGTACCGCGGACTCTGGCCCAACCTCCTCAAGTGCGCACCCTCGATCGGCGTCTCCTTCGCCGTATACGAATGGAGCAAAGAGACGCTCGACGACTACTTCGACGACGACGATCACGACGAGGCGGCGGACTCGTCCGAGGCATAGAGGAGGTGGAGAGGGTTCCGTTCGCTCGTTCGCTAGATGTTGTGTTCCGCTTTCGCAGTCTCTTTTCCGTACTGGTTGTTTAGTCTCTCCTATACACTGTCTTCTCTATCTCGCCTTGTTATACAAAGCCTAGCGTTCTTCGCGGTGGGAAGTTGACCGACTCGAAGAGGGTTTTCGGAGTTCCTTCGCTCCCGCTTCACGTCGGAACTGCTCGCTTCGTGCTTTGATCGCCGCTGCATGAACGCTTAATTCAGCGAGCGACTCCTGCGCTACCCTGCGCTCGCCAACCCTGCCTCTCTCGCTCCTCCCAGCCTGATCGAACGCGACCTCCCTTCCTCGCACAACCTCGCCGTTACTCGCGATGGAGACAGACGACGAGCTACCGCCTCGGAGAGTCAACACGCCGCTAGGCCGGCTAGACGATCAGCGCGCAGGGTGAGTTCTGCCTCCCTTCTCGTCGTTCCCCACCTCGCACTGATGAAGCCGTTTTTCACCGCCGTGCAGCTTCTCGATACATACAGCTTCGTCAACCCTCCCTTCTATGCATACCACGTCCAGCGACGCCCCGCCCGAACCCCGCCCTCGTCGACCGTCGCCTAAATCAGCCGGCTCTGCCATCCTTCCTTCTAAAGCGCGATCCGGGAGCTGGGGGTCTCTAGCAAACGGCGCAGACGCGAACGGGAACAGGACAAGGACCCCGTTGAAGAAGCTGGACGGCCTGGACGGGTTGTCGGTGTCGACTGCGACGCTTGAGGAGGAGGGACCGTTTGCGGATCCGCTTCGGCGCAGCTCGTGGAGTGTGAGCGCGTCCCTTGAACACCTCGATGACTCTTGCTGACGGTTCGAGAACTCCAGGGTCAAAGCGGCTCTAGCTCCTTCCCGCCTTTGACGCCCGACATTGACTACCGCCGGCGAGGCTCCGCCGTGTCCGCCTCATCCGGCCTCTCGTACTCTCCTCACTCTCGCTACCCTCCTCCGCCGAGCAGCAACGGCAACTCTTTGAACCGGCACTCGGTCTCGTCGTTTGGCGGACACACGATCGGGGATGTTAGCATCACCTCCTCCGCTCCGCTTCTGAATCGGCATGCGACGAGGGACGACCAGCACGGCTCGCGCGCTTCCAGTCCTACTCGCCCACCGAATGCAAGACCAAGCTCGTCCGGGAACGGCGTCGCCTCCACCTCTCGCGCACGGTTAGACTCGAGCAGCGCCAGCCTGTACTCTTACTCCGAAACTTCGAGTCTACACTCGTACCCGCCCAAGCCACGACCTCGGACTGGCTCGAACATGGCGGGAAGCGAGAACGGCGAGGCGGGTGGAGGAGGGCTTTTGAGCGGAAGCTGGAAGAATTGGGCGAGGGAGATTGAGGCGACTGGAGCGACTGGGCAGGTCCAGCGGAGAGGGGTGAGTTGAGGCGTTCGTCTCGCCCGGCACTTGACGCTGACAGCTACTCGTACAGAGCGGAGACTCTCGAGCGGATGCCTGGCCGACAGTCGTGACCCAATCGTACATCCACCAGCCCGTCGCCCGCCCCGCCGCAGCCTACCAATCCTCCCTCTCCTCCTACTCCTTCCCAGCGCCTTCACGTACACCAACACACCGCTCACCGCTCGTACCTGTCAACCCGCTCGCGCCGCTTCGGAAACGACTCGCTCGCTCGCTCGCCAGCACGAGCGGGACTCGTCGCCTTCACACGGAGGTGCAGCTTCTTCTGGAGCTCATCGACGCGCTCGAGGCGCTGCTGGCCAGCTTCTCCTCTCCGTCAACGTCGTCAGGCGGAGACCGGTCCTCGGGCGACTCGAACGCTTCGAGCGGCGGTGCAGGCCTCGCGAATGGCACGACCGCCGGGCTATCGGCCTCAACGGCAGTCGGTACGGACGATCCGCTCTCCTCGTCCACTCACTCAGCCTCTGTCCGCTCGACAAGCTCCACCACCTCCGCCCCTCCGCCCTCTCGCGCCACGCTGACCGACGAAGTCCGCCTTCTGATCCGTGAGCTCGTCGAGCTCGTCCCCAACGCCCAAAAGTGCCTCGCAGGTGGTCGGTACGGCCCGCTCTCACAACCCGGGATCTCGACTCGCGCTCTCCTGGCCACACTCGAGCGCTCGACGCGCTCTTCGCCCGAGACGGTCTCGTCGCCCGAGTGGTGGCCGCGCAAGTTGGCGAGGGATTGTAGGACGTTGTTGGAGGAGGCGGGGTTGCCTACTGCGACGGCGGCGGGGAGCTGGGTTTTAGCGACGAGGCTGAGTGAGGAGTTGGGCGGAGAGGACGAGGGTGACGGCGTTGGAGGATCGGGGAAGTACTTGTCGAGGAGCAGCAGGAGCGGGGACGAAGCGGCGGGAGGGAGCGGGAGCGTCTCGGATGCGAGGAGGGAGGAGCTTCTCAAGCAGGGCCAGCAGCGGTGGGAGCAGTACCGCGCGCGGAGCCAGGTCCCTTAGCCGCTCCGGCGTTCCGCGCGCTGCATTCGACCTCGTTGCATCGCTTCATCGTCGGTGGTGACAAGGACGAGGTGGAGGAGGAGGCTCAGCGACGTCGACGGCAAGCCTGGCTGTTTCCGGCGACGAACCGAGCGGATCTGCAGCGCCTTTGATTGCGATGTCCGAGCGGGACGAGACAAGGAACCCTCGAAGATAGAAAAGCCCGAGGCGGGACGACGGGCGAGCATTGCCGTCGCTGTGGGGTAAGTTCAAGCCTGGACAGCTGCAGTACACGCTCTTGCACTCGCACACTTCACTCGCCAGACTCTGGCAGAGCAGCGACAGAGGATGGCCGCCGTTCCCTCCCTCCTCCTGCTGACCCCGCTGTTGGTCCAGGACGCTACCTTCTTGCTCGCCTGTTCTGCGTGGGCTGCACTCGCTCCAACTCGCACGCTCTCGCTCCTCCCGCTCGTCTCGGCGAACCCGCTTCAGAGCCCGTGCCGAGAGCGGCAGCCCCCACTCCCTGCCTGTCGACCGAGGAGGACGCACGCGTCGACCACACAGCCTCGACGAGGTTGAGTGACGGGGCGCACACGAACACCAGGCGGGACACGGGCAGCTCCACCGGGCGCAGGACTGTCGCGCGGCTCGCAGTGAGCGAATCCGTTGCCGACTCGATCGCCCAAACACTTACGCGCCTGACGCTCGCCGACACTTTGCGCGGTTCCAGGCGCAGTTCGGGCCAGCTGGCAGCGCGCTCGGGGGACACGCGGCGCAGGTAGATGTACGCTCAGCAGGCGCAGGGCCAGCAGTACCCGCAGCCCGGCACGAACGGCGGAGCGCTCCCCTCTCAGCAGGTCAACGCATTCGGTACGCAGCAGCCGGGAGTTCACGCGGGCGCGTACGGTCAGCAGCAGCAGGAACAGGGACAGGGACAGGCCGGGAACGCGGGAAACATGTTTGCGGGACAGGCGGGAGGGCAGCCGTACAGCCAGAACGGAGGTCAACCCTTCGCTTCCGCCAACGCCTTCGCGACAGGCGGAACGTCCAGCGCCCCTTATGGCGCCGGCAGCCCCGCCGTGTCGACTTCGAACCTCCTCCAGCAGCAACTCGCCGCTCAACAAGCCGCCTTCTCGCAGAATCCCTCCGCCCAGCAGAACCAGCCCAACCTCGCACAACAGCAGTACATGCAGAGCATGCAGCAACAGCAGATGTATCAACAGGCGCGGAACGCGCAGCAGCAGCAGCAGCAGTCGTCTCCCTTCGCCAACCCTTCCCTTCCCTCCGACTCTCAACCTCCTTCTCAACCGTCACAAGCCTCACCACCTCCGACCGCTCCGCAACGTCCTCCAGGTCAGACGATGACCCAACAAGAGGTGCAGAACGCCCTTCGCGGCGTCAACCTAAACGGCATGACGCAGGAGCGGTTCCAGCAGCTCACGCCCATCCAGCAAGCCGCCATACGCGAAGTCATGATGTCGCGCTCGCGCGCACAACAACAAGCTTCGCTCGGACTTGGCATGCCCGGCGCAGGCGGAGTTGCGACTCCGCCTCGTCCTGCCCCGACTCAGCCGAACGGGCTTCCCACGCCCGCGATTGGCGGGACGCCGTCAGCGCCTGCGCCGCCGCAGACGAACATCTTCCTGAAGACGCTCACCGAGTTCTACGCGAAGCGGGGCGTGCCGTTCGCTGGTCCGCCGACCGTCGAAGGCCGGACGATCGACCTTGCGCGGATGTTTGCGGCCGTTACGCAGGGCGGAGGGTTCAACGGGGTGTGTGGCGAGCTTCTTTTCGTGTGTGAACGAATTAGGCTGACGGCGTTTTGAGCAGGTCACGACGAACCGGAAATGGGGACTTGTCGCTACAGCGCTCAACTTCCCGGCCGCGACGCACGAGCAGCATCCGCCTGAACGGCTGCAAGCGCTGGCTAGCGTGCGTATTAGACAACCAGCACGCATGTCCGATCTTGCTGACCTCGGCTGCTTGCGCTTCTCAGGCATACCAACAAACCCTCCTCCCGTTCGAGATGAACTGGCAGCAGGTGCAGCGCATGCGAGCCGCAGCGAGCGCAGCAGCAAACGCTTCTTCTCCCAACGGCGTAGCGCCCTCTCCTCTCTCCGCCACGACTCCCGCTCCGTCCCTCCCAGCTCCCGGCACGCCTCAGAACCCCGCCATGCCTCCTCCGCCTCGCGCATCCGCCACCCCCGCGCCAGCTGCCGCGCCTTCACCCTTCGCCCTACCGTCTCAACCGCCGACTTCGGCGCCGTCACCCGCCTTGCCAGTCGCGGCCGCCTCGCCGGCCTCTTTCCCCGCCAGCGCTGGTGCGTCACGCCCGACGACCGCTGGTGCAGGTCAGGCGCCGACGAGCGGACTCGCCGAAAGCGTCAAGGTCGAAGGCGCGCCGACTGCCGCTTCGCCTGCTACCGCAGCCGCGTCCACCTCCTCCGCTCCTCCCGCCGCATCAAGCTCCGACTCGGCGACCAAGCCTGCCGAACCCGCCGTTCCGCAGCGCCGTAAACGCCGACGCATCGAGTACCGTCCGCTCGCGCGACCTCTCGACACGCATGGCGGGCAAGACCTGCAACTCGTCGAGCAGGCCTATACTCGCGCGGAGAAGGCTCGACCGGCACGCAAGTTGCCCGACTTGGGACTCGTCGACGTGCACGGCTTGACGATGAGCTTGCGGAGCAGGATGGCGACCGAGGTGGCGTACGCGTTGAACGCCTTGACGCTCATCTCGTTGCAGATGACGACGGAGGAGAAGGGCATGGGATTGAGGTTCCCGTTCGAGAAGTGTCCTGACTTGCTCGAGGAGCTGCTCGACTTGTTGGAGGAGACGGCGTTTGGACTGGATGAGGAGGGCGAGGCGCGCGGAGGGTCGGAGACGGCGAAGGGCAAGGAGGTCGCGCAGGAGCCGCAGACGTATCGCGAGCTCTTTCGGCTCATCGAGGAGCAGGCAAACGAATTCGATCCGCCTCACGCGCGCCCGCACGCCTTGACGGGCGACGACTCGGACTCGGTTCTCCGACCAGGAGAAACGGCGCTGGCGGTGGTCAACGTCCTTCGCAACCTCGCTCTGGCCGAGAACAACGCGCGCTACATCGCCCAGAACCAGCGCATCGCCGAGCTCTTCATCCGAGTCGCCAGTCTCCCGCTCAAGGACCCGTCCGATCCGGCACCTCCTCGTTGGCCGGCTCGCGTCTCAGCAGCGGACTCGATGTCGCTCAAAAAGACGGCGATCGAGCTGCTGAGCCAAGTTGGAGCGGACGTCGAGCTCGACAACCTTTCGCCGTCGACGGCGCAGCAGGCCCTTGACCTCGTCCTCTTCTTCGTCCGCGACGCCGAGCTGCAGCGCGAATCGTTCGCCTTCGACCTGTCTACCACGCCCTCCATGATGTCGCGTATGCACCAGCCTCACGCCGGGCCGACCACCGCAATCCCGCCCTACCTCCACCTCGGCCTCTCGGCTTGCGCTCGCCTCGCCCTCAAGGACCGCAACCGCTCCGTCATCGCCCGCCTCCTGGATCCCGAAGACCTCTACCGCGTCTTCATCTCGCTCGTCGCGCTCCTGCCCATCTCCGAAAAGGACTTCCAGATCATGACCTTCGAGACGGGCCTCCTCTTCGTCCACGGCGCCATCATGAGTCTGTACAACCTCGCCTTTCTCGCCCCCGCATTCGTCAAAGCCCGCCTGCGATCCGACCCGAAGATCCACAAGAGCCTGTTCCGCATCGTCCGCCGACTGGCCGGCACGCAGGTCCAGTCGAACGAGGACGACATCTACCTCTTGCTCGCCAATCGCTCGATCGCGATCCTTCAGCTGCTCGACGACGGCGGCGAGGCTGGCGGCGGGAAGAAGAAGGGTGCGCCAGTCTCGGCTGCGCAGGCGGACTTGCCGTGGTATGGCATGTCCATGTCGGGACTCGACGACGACGAAGGCGGATCCTCAGACCATACTGGCGAAGAGGCGGACGAGGATACGGCGGACAAGGCCATCGATGGCGACTTGGCGTCGAGCGAAGCAACCTCGCGACGAAACGGCCGCGAGGCAAAGACGGCGCCGATCCTCGCTGGCGACTCGCGGCAACTGTACGAGTACTTTGCGTCCTCGTCGATGCCGCTGGTCTTGCCTTCACTCATCGCCATGACGGACGGGACGAGGAGCAGGAAGAGGCGGAAGTGACGGGTCGCTCGCGCCATCGAGTCGGTCGCGCCATCGAATCGGAATGTATCGCATCGAGGTCTCTGTCGGACACGCAACTCTCACTTGCAAAGTAGACACGCACATGAATCCCGTTCTCTTACTTGTGCGGGAGCAATGTTCTGTCCTCCCACATCGCTCCGCTGCGCCGGCTTCGACTTCCTTGTAGTCAGTGCGACTGTAGCAATCACTTCGACTCGCTGGATTGCCCCAGGAGCCAAGTCGGAGAACCCCCTTCTCCTCCTCACCGTCCCCACCACCTCCTCTTCCCGCCCTCAAGACGTCTCTGCCCGGGCCTGCTCCGGCTGAGACTGATTGTCCTCTCTAGTTGGCTACTTGCGGCTGCGCTCTCCCTCTCACGCCCCGACGCGCCAGTCAGCCGTCCGCCCTTGTCTCCTGCCCGCTGCTCACCAAGACACCCTCGGCACTCGTCTAGTACAGCGCGACAGGCGGCTGCCGTGACTCAGCCTTCCCATCTGAGCACACCGTGCTGCGCTGCACGCGACCAGCGCCTTCACCTCCGTCCAATCTCCCGCCCACCACTTCCGGAAACGCACAGCCCAAACAGAAACTGCGGACCTCCCAGCTGGACCAGGTGCGTACAGATGCTGCTCTTCGCCATCATAACTGGCTGCTGACATCCGGTTGCATATCAGATTGTCGCCCTGTCGCCAACAGCGGTCGGTCGGGTGCAGGAATCGGAGATGCAGCTCGACACGAGCTTCACGCGGAGCCTTCGAGCGGCACTTGACGCTTCGCCAGTATCGCCAGCATCACTAGCGGCGGGCGGCACGGTAGCCGAGGCGAAGACGGACGTCCTCCCTCACCTTCCGACGCCGCGGCGCAGTCCTCCACGACTGAACCTCCAGGCGGTGTCGCCATTGTCGACAGCGAGTCAGGCGGAAGTATCTGGACCAGCACTGTACATCCAGCCTGCCTCGCCAGCCGCCTCGATTTCTGCGGCCCTCTCTACCAGTCCAACCTCTCCCGACCCTATCCCTGTCCCGTCGACTTCCACGATCTCGTCCTCGCCTCCGTCGTATACGCCATCCTTTCAACCACTTCCTCCACCGACTGCTTCTGCAGGGGGGTTGGCAGCTCGTCGAGCGGCGCGGCTGGGCAAGAAGCGTCTCTCCCTCGTCGTCCCGCCTAATCCGCATTCGTCGCTTCCTACCGCATCTGGCGCACCCCCACAACTCTTGTCGCCTCTCACGCCCTCCTACCTTCACCCATCCGACAATCTCGATGCAGAGACTCGCTCCCTGCCTCCCTCGCCGGTCTCCCTCACCACCTTTATCGGTCCGGAAGGATCCGAAGCGCCAGACCGTACTATCGGTCGACTGATGTTCAAGCAGCAGGCGGACGAGATGCGTGAGCAGATGCGAGGTGGACGCGGGATGAAGCGGCGAACGTCTATTCCGCGGCTGAACCTCGTCAAGAGCGGTGCGGCTCTCGCTCAGCCTGCGAATCTCGACAACCTGGCGCCGGCGAGCAGCGATGTCGGTACGACCTCCGCCGTCTCGGCCGTTCAGCTCATTCGGGCGAACGGGGTCGAGCGAGAAGGCGGCGACGACACGCTGGAGGAGTTCCCGTACGCTTTCGGGCCGCGCGAAATCCTCCCAGGCGTCTTCCTCGGCAGTGAGCAGAATGCGAAGGACCCTGCGGTGTTGCGGGACTGGAAGATCGGGTTCGTCCTGAACGTCGCGAAGGAGGTCGACTGCCCTTGGACGGCCGAGTCGAGCGATGAGGAGGTCGACCCCGAAATTGAGCAAATGGCAAACATGCGCTTGGACGAGGTCCAGGACGCCACGCCGGTCGCCAAGCCGACACCTCGACCGCCTCCGCCTCGACCGTCCGGATCCAAGCATCGACGCACCAAGACGCAAGCTGTCATCCCGTCCACCGGTGTCTCCCCGACGCCGCCAAACGAGCCTTCTCCATCACGCATCCCCGTCCGCCCAGCCTTCATCCGCCCTACAGCCTCCACGCCAAACTTGCACGCCTCCTTCCAGCCGCTCTCGCCCCCTCCCGTCCCTCCCATTCCAAGTCCCGTCGTTTCTCCCATGCCGACGCCTACAAACGAACCCGATGTACCGCAACGCAGTCTCTCGACATCTCCGCCTCATTCGCGCCGCCCGACACCACGTCCCGTACCCATCCGAGCGCATACGCATCCGCGTACAACAACACGCTCAGTCGACGCCGTTCGCTTCCCTCCGAACCGTCGCTCGGGTCGGCCCGAACTCGAGTACCTCTGGCTGAAGTGGGGTCACGATGAGGCGGATCTAGTGGAAGCCCAGAAGTTCCAGGCGGCTTTCGACTTTCTTGACGAGGCGCGGGAACGCGGCGAACGCACCTTGGTGCACTGCCAGTGCGGTGTGAGCAGGAGTGCGACCGTTATGATCGCTTACTGCATGCGCGAGGCGGCGAAGGCGCTCGAGGAGGGACGGGACGCGAAGGAGCTCGCAGGGTGCACCGGCATGCACGACACCTGTGCGCGCAGAACAGTTCCCTCTATACGCCGGCCTTGCTGACGATCTTCTGCACGCAGACTCGTTCGTCAAGGAGAAGAGCGAATGGGTCGGCCCAAATCTCTCGCTCGTCTTCCAGCTCGTCGCCTACGAGCGGACCTTGCGAGGCGATCACGGCGGGGAAGACGACGCCTTCGCGCAGTCGGCATACCCTCCAGAACCATCGCAGGAGGACGACCAAGGCTTGCCGCCTCCTACGCCGGCCGACTCCTTCCGTCCTTTCGCCTTTCCGCTGCCTTCGCGTCACCAGTCGTCTTTCCCCAGTCCTCGCACTCCCATGTCAGAGGGGTCGTTGGCGGACTCGCAGATGTCGACGCCGGACTTGCACGACCCGCTCATCTCGCCGACGTTCAGCATCGGAACGAGGACGTCCTCAGTCACCTCGACACCTCTCTCTGTCGACCGCCTCTTGCCGCCATCAGTCCGAATCGTTCGGAGCGACGATGGTGCCGAGACAGGCGCGCGGCATCGTCAGAATGGCGTCCGTGATCGGCATAGCTCCCTCGAAACGGTTGTCGCCGACCAGGACGAGGACGAGCAGCGTGCTGAGGGCAAGGCGGAAAGGGGGGCTTTCGTCCTCTCCATTCCGGCGCTCTCAGCTTTCGCGCCGCAGTATGCAGAACTTGCGTCGCCTACGGTCGCCATTCACCCGCATCAGCAGCGACCTGAGGGTGACGCACTTACGCAGTCCGCGACTCTTCCGCCTCGCTCGTCTTCCCTGAAACCAGCTGGCGCCCCTACCATCTCGGTCAGTGGCCTTCCTCCCCTTACCGTACCGCCGCCAGCCGCCGGAGACCCAGCTTCCCTCGGCTTTCCTCCAACATCTCTGCCTCCATCGCGCCGCGAGTCGCTCATCACCCTTACCTCGCCTCTGTCCGCCACTTCGACGACATCTTCGACTACGTCTCTTTCGAGTAGCGGGCTCGCACGCACGAATTCGGGCAGGCGCTTCGGTGCGGGCCAGACGCCCAGCGAGCGGAAGGCGAGCCACCGCCGCGTCTGTTCCGACACGATCCGCGTCCCAAGCCCGCAACTCTTCTCGCCGACAAGCTCGACGGGAGCTGGTGCTAGCCCGCTGTCGGTCTCGACGCCGGAGCTCGGTTCGTCGCCTTCGCGGACAAGATCGACCGAGGAGGAAGACGCCTAACGAGTATACCCCATCCTTTGCTACTTTCTTCACCTTCCCTCAGCCTCTCTTGCATGTTTTCCCGAGTTGCTTCTTACTACCCTGTTCATCGACCTCCCTTGCGTTACTCGCGGTCGCCTTATTCCCCTCCCGTTTGCCGATGCTCGCTGGTCGAGCCCGTCTCTGCAACATGGACGCTCTTGCGCAAGATTCTGGATGGTCTATGCATGGCACAGGAACGGAACCAGAGACTCTTCCACAGCAGGCGGACTCTACTCGTGCTTGACGTGAACAACCACTTTGCCCCTCACCTTGCCCGTATTCAGCTTCTCATACGCCTTCTCCACCTCCTCGAACTCCCACTCCGAGTCGATCTCGACGCGCAACCCCTCATCGTGCACCAGTCGCCCAACCTGGGCGAGCCAGTCTCTCCGCGTCGCATTGAGCATGATGCACGAGTAGCGGTACCCGATGCCTGCCCAGCCCTTGAGCATGCGTACGAGCATGGTCGGGTGCGTGAGGTAGAGAATCGAGCCGCCCATGGCCAGGCGGGAAGTCTTGTCGCCAACGATTGTCTGATACGAGCCTCCTGCTGGATACGCCTTCGTGCGCGGTGAGACAAGCGACGGGATGTGAGGGAGGAAGTCGGTGCCTCCGACGCAGTCGACGATCTGGACGTATCCCTCGGCTGGTCGAAGTTCCTTGACCCGCTGGACGACGTCCTCCACCGTGTAGTCGATGACCTCGTCCGCTCCGAGCTCCTGAACAAAGTCGACGTTGCGCTTCGAGCAAGTCGCGATGACCTTGAAGTGCAGTTGCTTCTTGGCGAGCTGGACGACGTATTGACCGACACTGGACGAGCCGCCAAGGACGACAATCGTAGGCTGGATGCGATGCGACGAGGCGTCTGTCGGATCAGGATTGGCGGAGGGAGGGAGGATGAGGTATGGCGGTGAGAGGAGAGTCTTGGCGGTGAGGTAGACGAGGGGGATGGCTGCGGCTTGGACCCAGGGGAGTGCCGGAGGTTTCGCGACGACGCAGGATCGGCTCATGTCGATGACGGCGATCTCGCTCAACGTGCCGTAGTTGACGCCGCCGAGCTGTTCGCGAATGAGTGAGCTTCAAGTAGAAGGCGGGGGACAGGCGCAGGGCTCACAGGGTTAAAGGTCATACCCATCACTTCCGCTCCGATCTGTAGATCCTTCACCTCCGTTCCCTTGCCCAGTATCCGCCCCGCAAAGTCGCATCCGATGCCTTTCGGGTACTTGAGAGCCGCAAGACGAAAGATGCTGTCCGAGCCAGGCTTGTCAAGGTGAGCGAGCGAGAGCGCGAAAGGGCGGGACTGACGGAAGGTTCTTGACTTGTACATCCACCGGGTTGAGCGCAGCCGTGACGACCTCGACGAGGATCTCGTGCGGCTTCAGGTCGGCTGGTTTTGGCGGACTTTGCTGGATGAGCGAGAGGGTCGAGGGGAACGGCGGAGTCGAGTGGGTCCAGGCGCGGAAGGACGGCGCTGCTTCTGGGGAGGTCATGGCGGTCTAGCAGGTCTAGTCTAGCAAGTCTGTCGAGCTCAAGCAGCCCAGCGAGTGAGGGGTACAAGGTCAAGAGCAGACGAGGGGGGGAGACGAGCGTCATCCTCCTGCACTCGTCGACAGTCTGCTTCTTTGTGCGTCGAAGAGGCCTGCAGGATGATACACGCTGGTGAGCATGCTCTGCGTGCCGCCGCAACCCGTACGACGCGTGCGCTGACCTCGCTCACTCCTCCCCACTCGGACCCGCTCGACACGTCGCAGTCCTCATCTTCAACAACGCTGGCAAGCCGCGACTGACTAAGTTCTACTCGGTGCGTGCTGTATCGGTGCTCGAGCGAAGAACGGGGCCGTCTCAAGCTGATGCCACTGCTTTTGCTCCTCATCAGCCTTCATCGCCAAAGACACGATCCGCCATCCTCCAGCGCATCTATACACTCGTCTCAGCACGCGACGACTCTCTCTGCAACTTTGTCGAGCTCCCGAGCGGGTTCGGATTCTCGTCGGCGGCGGATGCGGGTGTCGAAGCGGACGACGGAGGGTTGGGAGGACCGACTGGCGCAGCGAGCGAGATGGAGGACTTGCGGGTCGTCTATCGGCATTATGCGACGCTCTACTTTGCGTTCGTCGTCGACCAGAGCGAGAGCGAGCTCGGCATCCTCGACCTGATACAGGTGCGCGAGTTCGGATTCGTGCTTTCTCAAGTTCCTGTCCACAGGACTGACGGCAGGTGACAACTTGGTCTTGATGCGCACAGGTCTTTGTCGAGTCACTTGACCGGTGTTTCGAGAATGTTTGCGAGCTGGACCTCATCTTCCACTTTGACGAGGTGTGTTCCCACTCCCGTTGTATCGCCGGTGCTGCCTCCTCAGCTGACAGCTTTTTGAATCATCCCTTGCGTCTACCTAATTCCCATCCGCCTCCCATGCTCCCCTCCTCCCTCGCAGGTCCATACCCTGCTCAACTGCATCATCATCGGCGGCCTCGTCCTCGACACGTCGCTCGAGTCGATCCAACAGACGTTCCGCGCACAACAACAGGCGAAGAAGGCGTCGCAGAACGGGTCAGGGCTGGGGGGAATCAGCGGGCTGAAAGATGCGGCGGGTTTGTTGGGCGGAGAGTGGGATCGGCTAGGCTTTGCGGGACTCGGTCGACGAGGGCGGTGAGGCCGTCAGAAGGTGTTCGTGCGTACCCTTCGCCTTTCACAAGTTGTTGTTATCTTAAGAACGAGTTCGTCCCCCCCTTTTCCAGGACAGCACCGCCTCGATCACCTTGGCACAGCCTCGAGAACGTGATCCAACTCGCTTCCCTCTCCCGCTCTCCGTCCCTTCGCCTCCTTCCACAACATCCGCAAGCCAGTAGCAGCCACAGTACGTCCTCTCGCATGCGTGCTGACTCTCTGGTCCTTCACTCACACCTTTCACCACCTCCTCGCGACGTCACCGCCCGCAGAACACACTTCATCGCTCGAACGACGCAAGATGCCGTTCTCTGTCGCGCACAAGCAGCATTCGTGCGTCTTCCGTCTCTCTCAAGCCAAACAACGCGTGCTGACCCTTTCATCGTTCCTCGACCGCCAGTTACACCATCATCCCAAAAGTCCTCTACGTCCACCGCTTCGGTTTGAAGAGGTGGAGGGTCACGTTCGGGCCGGGTGGCGTGAGTTGTGGTCTCCTCCCAGCGCTCGCGCCCTCGGACAGCCAGCTGATCAGCCCTTGGCTCTGCAGAGGATCGCCTGGACGCCCAACTAAACGCCCGACTTCCCATTCTCTCCCGCTTTCCATGCTGTTGTTCTGTACTGTATTTCTCCGCAACGACGTATCCCTACCGCCTTAGCGCACCAGGTCCTTCCACGGGAGACCCCGTTGCACTCGCTACATCTCCTCGCCGTCCTCGACAAACCCCTTATCGACGTTCCTGATCGCTCCCTCGCACAAGACGCACTCGCTCGCGATCAGATCGTCAAGCTGCCGTCTCAGCGCCTCCTTCTCCTGCTCCTCCTTGACCTCCCTCGCACTCGGCACCTTCTCCCCCCTCCCCTGCTGCAAATCCCTACTTCTTCTCGACGACGTCGGCGCGCCCGCGAACGATGATCGCACCTTCTGCACCGTGCCAGACGGGAGGGGAATCGCGCCTCCGATCGCAGACATGAGCGCATCGGGGAGGACGAGTTTCCGCAGCTGGTCGACGGCTTGAACGGACGCGGCGGCGAGCTTGAGACCTTGTGAGGAGGTGTCGTCGAGGAGGGTGCGTGAGCGAGAGGTGGTGTGCGGTCGGCGGGAGGAAGGGGCGACTTTCGATTGCAGGTCGAGCATGCGCCGCAGCTGAGTCGGCGTGAGCGACTTGGTAACCTGTCGAGGGCGAGCGCGTCAGTTAGAAAAAGCTCAGGAAGCCTGCAAAAGACACGAGTGCACCTCTTGGATGAGGCAGTCGGCGTGGAAGCAGTGCTGGCACGGGAAGACATAGAACTGCCTCGTGAGCAGTTGCTGCGCGCAAGCCCCGCACTTCTCGTTCGCATCGACGACGACAAAGCGATTCTCGAGCTCGGCAATGTCGGCCTTGATCGCCTCGGCCGAGCGCGTCGCCTCGTTCATGTCCTCCTTGAGCTTCTCGATATGCGCCGAGTAGTCCTCGAGCGCCGAGCAGATCTCTTCCTTGAAGTCGTCGATGACGACGAAGTCGGGGAAGAATGGCAGAATGTCCTCGATCTTGAGCAGGCTGGTCGACTCGAGGAACTGCATGGCGCTGCGGGTACAAGAGCAGGTCAGCCTCATGTCCCGATCCCGCAGCGCCTCCAGCAGCCGAAGACGCACGTCTTGATGTCGTTCTTCTTGCCGACGACATGCTTGGCAATCTTGAGACAAAGCTTCTTGCGCAACAAGTCGTCGTCCTCAGGCTTGTCCGCGCAAATCTTGGCCAACTCGAGGTCGTCCCTCTCAAGCGCGAGGTCGACGCTCGATTCGTACATGCGCATCTTGGAGTAGATCAACACGCAGGCTTGGACGCGCTTGTGTGTCCGGCAGAGGCGGAGGGCGTAGTCGAGGTCGTAGTACGGGTCGCCTGTGAGGGGGTTCGTAGGCGACGACTCGAGGAAACTGACAAAGACTGCCTCGTCCGTCGACGGACTCGTCGCGAAGAGCGTGATGAGCGTGTTGTGAACCGCGGGGTCGGTGTTGCGCTGCTCGAGGACGACGTGTTGGAGATAGCGGATGAGATGGTCGTGCGGCTTCTGATCGCTGGATAAGAGACGCGGTGAGGCGAGTGCGGGGATGAGGCGGCGAACGTCGAGACGAGGTTGGCGGAGGAAGGCGTCGACCGTTTCTTTCGGTGCGTGCCGCACGAGGACCGCGGCGAAGCGGTAATACAGGTCTAGCGACTCCTGCTCGGTCTCTTGTCAGCATCGCTGCCCGCCAAAGAGCGAGCTCGAACGCACCTGCTTGCTCAGCGCCTGCAAAGCCTTGACCCACTCCTCCTGCGCAACGTGGTGCTGGACGATCCGGTCGTGGTCGCCGATAACAGAAGCATAGTACAGCGACAAGTCGTCGCGTCCGTGGCGGTCGAGCAAGTCGAACGTCGTCCGGTGGTCGAGGTTGTCCTGCTCGCGAAGCCGTCAACGTCTTGCCTCGCTTCCCTCGGGTAATACGACTGCGACGCACCTTGTACGTGACCAAGAACTGCCTCATATCCTCCTCGACCATTCCTCTCTCCGCAACAAAATTGTCCGCATCCTCGGACGCCCGCTCAGCAGCGGCGAGGTCCTCGAGCTCGTTGATCTTGGCGAGGTAGATCTCGACGAGCCAGGTGGCTAGCATCATCCTTTGAGTCGAGTCCTGTCCCCGATTCGCCCGTCAGTTCCGCGCGAGAACGGGACGCGGGAGAAAGCGCGAGCGCACACTGCGCTTCAATCTCTCCAACTTGGCCACCAAGAAATACCTCAGCGCGTCCCGTTCGTCCTTGTCGACGAAGCGAAGGACGACTTCCTCGAAGGGCTTGGACGACTGCGCGTACGCTTGAGCGGATTGGATGTAGCGACCAGCCGAAAAGTACGAGTCGGCTTCGGCTGCGAGGACCGAGTCGCGCTGGCGCTGAGTCTGCGTCGCGAGCCCCCAAGCTTCGATCAGCTCAACTCCCAGTCGCAAAAAAGAACAAGCCGACGACGAATCTCGTGGGCGGGACGCACCTTCGCAAACCTCTTTGCCATCTCCCAATTCCCCCTCGCGAGATACACCCTCCACACGTCCCTCCCTTCATCACGAATCACGAGCTCGTAGATTGCCGAGTCGGTGTGCATCCAGCATGTTTTGCGGAGCGGGTCGGTGGAGAGACGGATGGGGCGGGAGGAGGGGGGCTGTTTCGGGCGGGCGGGCAAGGGGTTAGTTGAGACGAGGGAAGAGACATGGGGGGACGCACGAGGTCGAGTGCTTCGTTGTACACGATTTTGTCCGTCAACAAATCCACCGCGCATACCCTGTCCTCGTACAACAACACGAAATGCCACTCGGTCAATGCCATACTAATAGGCTGGTCGGGGGGCTCGTGCGCGTCGCTAGAGGAGGGATAGGGGATGAGAGAGGCCGAGTCGATGATTCCGTCGCCTGGGTGAAGGTCGGACGAGGCGGAGGGGAAGACGAGTTGGCCGTGGTAGATGCCCGGGCCTACGCGCGTCCTTCAGCGTCAGCAACTCTCTGCGAGCAAAGGGGAGAGAACGCGCGGGCGCACCAGTCATCCACGCCATACTCTTCGGCAACTGCAACCCGGTCACCACACCCTCGCGATCCGTCCTGCCCGGCGCAAAGAAGTGCAATTCGGACGTCGTCGGTTCGCCCGAAAGCTCGAGCATTTCTGTGATGTCGTGCACTGTGTCAGCGCTTGGCGTAGGAGAGACAAGAGAACGGTCGAGAACGCACTGGGTCGAGCCTCGCCCGTCGCATAAGGGTGCAAGACCCCCTCCAACAACGCACTCACATCCTCCTCCTTCCCACCTTTCCCACTGGCTCCCACCCCGCCAGTCCCAACAAACTGATACACCCTCGTCCTTGTACTCGCAACCACCGCCACTCTCCTTCCATTCCAAACTTCGTACCTCAGGCCTTCTATCGGCTGGCGTTCGGGAAGGGTGAGCAGCTGTTTGACGTACCGCTCGGGGGAGCGGGAAGAGGATGTGCCTGGGACGTGCATCGGGAGGAAGTGGTCGCCTGAAGAAGAGGAGAGGGACGGGTCGAGGAGAGTCGTTCCGAGTATTTGGCCGGTCGATGTCCCGAGGAGGATCTCGCGCGTCGAGAAGGCTGAGACGGAGGACGGTGAAGAGGGAGAGGAAGAGGGCGACCAAGCGATCGAGTCGATGATTGCGCCTTTCAACCGCGTCAAGGGCTTTGCTTTCCTCGTTTGTGGCTGGCCTGAAGAGGGAGTGGGCAAGTCCGCCCCGACAAAGGCATAGAAGTTGTCCCCCGTGGTGGTCGAGACGACGACGTGGCGGCCTGTCGGGTCGACATGGAGTTTGTGTAGGTTCGACGAGGGAGAAGGAGGGGCGGAGGTTGTGCGCGAGGTCGAGGGAGCGGGAAGGGAGACAGGGATGTCGATCGTCTCTACTTCTGTTGGGTGGTCGAGGTCGATCCGGATTAGTTGCGGAGGGGAGGGGCGAGTCGAGGAGGACGAGGTTGAGGAGGAGGTGGGGGGAGAACCGGTGACGGCGAGGACGAGGACGTTGTTCGTGCAGGAGAGGGAGTGAAGTGCGGATGGGAGCGTGAACTGGACCTGCCCGAGCGAGAAGATGGGTGCGTCCGGTTCCTGTTCGCGAGGAGGGTCAGCGAGGAGGACGAGCAGCGGTGTCGACTCGCTCGGCTCGGGCGGGATGGGTGCGCACCTCGCTGTGTCCTGCCTCGTACACTGCGCCGTCCTCGAACCCTTTCGTCGGCAGCTCGAGTCCCGCCGACCCTGATCCGCCGATGAAGTCGTCCATCCCCTCCGTCGCTACTCGTCCGTTTGAGCTGGTTCAAGCGGGTGTGCGCGTACAACGAGCGAGTCCCAAGCAGCTGAGCAGTCCAGTACTAGCCAGATTGAGCCTGAGCGAGCGCGACGAGGCGATCGTTGGCTGCCCCACCTCCCCCTCACAAAGTCGACGCTCGCCTCGTTGTCTCGCGGTGCGTGCGCTCGACTTGGTCTCTCCCGCTCGCAGTGTGAACTCGAGCGTGGTGCACTGTGCGAGTATGCGAGTGTGCAAGGCAAGACAACCCTGTCCCGAGTCGTACGGTGTTGCCAGTCCCTGCGAGTGCTCGTGCTGCTCGTCCTGCTCCGCTTTACGAGGAGTGAGGGTGCGACGGTGCGAGTCGGCTGAGTTGTGCGAAGTTGCCAAGTCGAGCGCGTCAACTTGCCACGCGCGCACTCGCTCACACTGGCTCGCTCTCTCCACCGCACCCACACCGCTCAGAGGAGCACAGTGAGCGAGTCGCTGCTGCTCACGAGCGAGAGCGACCCACACCCGCCCAACTCGCGCGCTCACCCACCCTCTCACCGCTGAGCAAAGCCGACCAACAACCCGACTCATCACCCCCGCCTGCTCTCCTCCAAGTACGCGCAGAAACCAGCCCTCTACGCGCTTGACTTTCCCAGCGGAGCGCGACGCGCGATGACCACGGACCGCCCTCGACGCGCAGCTTCTCAGCGCCGCTCCACCGCCGAAGCCGACCTCTACTCGTCTCACGGTCAGCGGGCTGTTGGGTCGCGAAGGAGCGCGAGGAGGGGGAGCAGGGAGGTCAACTATGCGGGGCTGGACGACGACGAGGAGGACGAGTATGTCGACCACGGGGAAGGCGAGGGGAGCGAAGAGGAGGAGGGTAGTGTGAGGGTCCAGCGCGCGACGAGGGGGAAAGAAATCAAGTATGACGAGGACGAGTTCAAGCAGGAGGAAGGGGAGGAGCACTTCCCCGTCGAAGAAGTGGAGCAGGAGTATCAACAGGACAACCTCCCTCTCCACCCTCAACACCTCCCTCCCCTCCCTCCGCCCAACCAGAACCCTCTCGTCATCAAACTCAACGTCACGCGCACCGCGACGCCCGCTGAAGCTGCCCCCGCCGATGCGGACGCAGACGCGGAGGGCGAGGAGGATGCGGATGCGGCGGGCGAGGACGACCCCGATGCGTATGCGGACCCTCACGCCGGCTACGCAGCGCACGAGGCGTACCAGAACGGGCACGCCGTGGCAGGCGACGACGACGAGGAAGACGAAGAAGGAGTCGGGGGTCGTCGACTCCGTCCTCGTCGCCAAAACGCGATCCACGATTCAGAGGACAGTTCGACCGATGCCAACGGCGCGGAGGGACACTCTCTTCCCCCTCGCGTATTCACGACTACCAGTTCAGGTCGTCAGACGCGCAGGCCGGCGCATTATGGCGAGAGCGCGGACGAGGAGGATTACAAGCCTGATGCGGAAGGCCGGCGCGGCGGGTTGAGGCGCGGACGGAGGGCGGGGTATCATGGAGATGGGATTGAGCCGGATGAGGACTGGGACGGGGAGGACGGGGAGTATGGGGGTGCGAGGAGGGGAGAGCGGAGCAGGCGCAATTCGAGGCGGACGAACGACCGCCAGCAACAAGCTGCGCGTCAACTGCGCTCTCAGCGCGCGGGGCGGAGCGCAGGACGCTCGACGCGCAACTCGCGAAAGGCCGTCGACCAGTCTTACGAGCAGGACGAGGACGAGACGGAGCTCGATACGGACGAGGAGATCTTCGATTTGCCGGACGACGACGACGATTCGCTGGGCAGGGGCGAGGGGTCGGGGAGGAGGAACCTCCGCAACAAGCCGAGGATCAACTACTACGTCCCCCCGCCGAACGAGGTCGCGGGCCTCAGCGCCGGCAAGGACGCGAAGGGCAAGGGCAAGCAGCGTAGAATGGACGAGGATGGGAATCCTTTCGCTGGGTTGCCGGCCAACATGACGGGTGCACAGTGGGCGGCGCTGTATCCCGAGGGAGGACAGCCCGGATCCGACTCGGTGAGTTCGTCCGTCGTTTCAGCCGCTTCGCTCGCTCACTCTTACCCATGCACGCAGTCGGACGACGAGAATCCGAACCTGTCGAGTCCTCGCAAAGCAGCGCTCTTCTCCGGCCCAGGCGCAGCGATGACAGGCGGGATGCTCGCAGGCGGCGGCCTCGACTTTGGCAGCGGCGCCCCCTCGAACCTCGGCAAAGTCAACAATGTCGCTGCATTGGCCGACACAGACCCGCTTGGCGTCCCGACCTCGATCTCGTTCGACTCGGTCGGCGGATTGGGACAGCATATCCAGCAGCTCAAGGAGATGGTCTCGCTTCCGCTTCTCTATCCCGAGGTGTTTGAGAGGTTCAATATCACCCCGCCGAGGGGCGTTTTGTTCCATGGTCCGCCGGGAACGGGAAAGACGCTCCTGGCGAGGGCGTTGGCGGCGAGTTGCAGTACCGAGGGCAGGAAGATCTGTACGTCCGCTCGGTCTTCCTTTCGCTCTGATGATGCTGACGTAGCGTTTGTCTCGCAGCCTTCTTCATGCGCAAGGGTGCCGACTGCTTGTCAAAGTGGGTCGGCGAGGCGGAGAGGCAGCTCAGGTTGCTGTTCGAAGAGGCGAGGGCGTGCCAGCCGTCAATCATCTTCTTCGACGAGATCGACGGTGCGTTCTGTCCGGCCTTCGTCACGGCTATGTCAAGCTGAGCGCTGTCCTCGCCCGCAGGTCTCGCCCCGGTTCGCAGCAGCAAGCAAGAGCAGATCCACGCCTCGATCGTCTCGACCCTCCTCGCGCTGATGGACGGCATGGACGGCCGCGGCCAGGTGATCGTCATCGGCGCGACCAACCGTCCAGACGCGATCGACCCAGCTCTCCGCCGACCAGGCAGGTTCGACCGCGAGTTCTACTTTCCCCTCCCGAACCTCGAGGCGAGGCGAAAGATCATCGACATCCATACTGAGGGGTGGAATCCGCCGCTCGACGACGGATTCAAGGACGAGTTGGCCAAGCTGACCAAGGGTTACGGAGGTGCCGACTTGCGGGTGCGAGCGACATCTCTATCCTCGCGCTTCTTCCGCATTAACGCATCTCGTCGCAGGCTCTGTGCACGGAAGCGGCGCTCAATGCCGTCCAGCGCACGTACCCGCAGATCTACAAAACCAACGACCGCCTCCTCATCAAGCCCGAGCAAATCGAGGTCACCGCTCGCGACTTTACCATCTCTCAGAAGAGTGCGTCACCGTGCTGGTTCTCAAGGGGAAACTGCTGCTGACCCGGATCGCCCAGACCTCATCCCCTCGACCGCCCGCTCAACCTCCTCTCACGCCGCCCCTCTCCCGCCACAAGTCGTCCCCCTCCTCGCCGACTCGCTCGAACACGCCAAGACCGCTCTCGCCAAGGTCCTGCCCGAGGTGAAGAAGGTCAACGTCTTGGAAGAAGCCGAGTTTGTCGATGAGGGTGCTGGGTTCGAGAAGGAGAAGATGCTGCAGGGTGCGTTCGCCCGTTCTATCTCTCGCGATTCGCCTTCCTGACGTCCGACTGCGCAGCCTTTGAGACGCTGCGCGTCTTCCGCCCTCGCCTGATCATCTGCGGCGAGCCCGGCATGGGCCAGTCTTTCGTCGGCGCCGCGATCCTTCAGCACCTCGAAGGCTTCCACGTCCAGACACTCGATCTCGCCACCCTCGTCTCCGACTCGACTCGCACGATGGAAGCCGCCTGCGTCCAACTCTTCGTCGAAGCGAAGCGCCATAAGCCCTCGATCCTCTTCATCCCTTCGCTCGTCACTTGGTGCGCCAGCGTCGGCGAGACCGTTCGCTCGACGATCAAGGGCTTGCTCGACGGGTTGGACCCGTCCGACCCGATCTTGCTGCTCGCGGTTGTCGACGGTCATTTCTCGGAAGTCCCGGCGGACGTTCGCAGCTGGTTCGGGTTCGTTAAGGGCAACCGCGTCATCATCGGCAAGCCCAGCACCGTGAGTCTGCCTCTGCGCCCTCCCTCCTTCGCCTCTGACGCCTTGACGGCCCCGCAGGACCAGCGACGAGCGTTCTTCGAGGATGTCATCGCAGGCATCCAGCGACCTCCGAACGAGTACCCCGATGGCGTTCCTCGCCGCAAGCGTGTCCTCGAAAAGCTCCCTCTCGCCCCGCCTCCGCCACCTCGTGCGCCGACCGCCGCCGAGATCGCTCAGCAACAGCAGAACGACCTCCGCCTGCTCGAGTACCTCAAGTGGCGCCTCGGACCCGTCCTCTCCGAGCTCAAGAAGCGCTATAAGCGTTTCCAGCGCTCGCTGTACAAGGATTGGCAGAGCGACGACCTCGAGTGGCGCCAGGAGCAACTTCGTCGCGGTCAGGAGGTGACGGGTCTCGGCAAGCAGCCGTACCACAATGTCGACCTTGACACGATGGCGTCCGACCTGTACAAGGGCTTCTACTACACGCCGGACGACTTCCTCGACGACATCCTCCGCATCCAGCACAACGCCGAGGTCAACAAGATCATGGAGAACGACGCCGAGGCGCCTATCCGAGCCGGACAGATGGTCAACCACGTCAAGGTCATGCTCGACCAGACCTTTGACGCCAACTTCCGCGCCGAGTGCGGCAAGATGGCCGAGCGGATGCGCGAGAAGGAGAAGGACGCGCCCAGGAAGGGCAGGCGCAGGGGCCGCGGTGGCAGCTTGCCTCCCGAAGACGGCGCCGTTGCGGCTGCCGAGACTGCGGCTGCGGCTGGCGGAGCGTTCAAGGAGCGGTACAACGCGCGGACGGCGAATGGAGCTGAGGACAGCGCGGAGGCAACGGACACGCAGGAGGCGGGAGCTGGCGAGGAGGGAGACGCCGAGCGTCAGCTCAAGCGGGCGAGGACGGAGACTGGCGACCACGCGATGGAAATCGAGCAAGGGGACGAGCATGGCCCGGCGAAGCGGCAGCGGACAGCCGAGGACGGCGACCAGGACGAGCAGATGCGCGCTATTCAGCATCACCAGGCTGCCGTGGACATGGCCAACGGACAAGCTGCCGCCTCGACGAGCTCGGCACCGAACGGATACCCAGCTGGCTTCGTCGCCGCGCACCCGCAGGCAGGCCCTTCAGGCTTCCACGATCTCCTCAACCCGACGACCGCCTCTTCGCTCGCCGCCTTTGCCGACCCCGTCGTCGCCTTCTCCGAACCGCAGCAAAACCCTTTCGCCCCAACAGTCGCTGCCGTCGCTCCTCCCATGCCCGTCGGTGCCGCGCCCTCCGAGGCTTCCGCTGTCGCCGGACTGCCAGCACCAGCAGCCGAAGCCGCAGCCGCTCCGTCGTTCCTCAACGGCACCATCCCTACTGCGGCAACGTCGACCAACCCCTTCGGCGCACCGGCCGTCGTCCAAAAGGCGCTGAACGTCAACGGCGGTTCCGCTCTTCCTTCGCGCGACGGCACGCCCACGCCTATCGGCATGAACGGCTGGCCAGCACCGGCCAGCGAGGCAGGCTCCGCTAGGCAGGCATCGGCAGCGCCGGAGAAGGAGCGCACTCCTACGCCGGAACCGACGCCTCCCCCTCCTCCGCCTTTCGTCGTTCCCGCCCACGCCGTTGACGGCTTCTACAGCTTCCTCGTCGAGAAGACGGACGCGCTCAATATCGACCAGCTCGAGCAGCTCCGTGCGGCTTGCTACGATGCCGTCTGGCGCGGCAGGACCGAGTGGGACCGGACGGCGGTCGTACAGGAGCTTGACGAGCTCGCGAAGGAGTTCGTCGAGGAGGTCGAGGCACTGGCTGCTTGATCCGGTCATTCATCGCTTTTCTCACTCTCTCGCTTTGTTGTAGCCATCTCTTCACGACCCCATGCATCTCGAAAAGCGCATCTACGCCTCACTGCATCGCTGTATCGCCTGTGATGGGGAAGAGCAGCCGCCTGCGCACAAGAGGAGGTCAGCGTCTCAGCATACCAGGTATGGGTCGAGACGCACCAAATGTCGTCGTCTGCAGCCGGGAACAGCATGTCTTCGTGCATCGGAAGGGCGTCGAGAGCGGCAAAGACGCTCGCCTCTGTCTGCTCTTGCTGCGGGAGTGTCGCCGCACTGGTCGAGGCGAACGCTTGCTGTTCTTGCTGCGGAGGAAGAGTGGTGTGTGCATGGTGATGATGGAGGTTGTCTTGTATGATCTGCTGTGCGCTCGAGAGGTACCAGCTCGAGTTGCTGCCGCTCGAAGGGTAGTCCTGCGCATCCTGCGGTATCGTCTGCATCGATGTCGAGGCGTTCTGCGATGCGGCGAGTGACGAGAGTTGCGTTGCGGGTGAAAGCGTGGTGAGAAGGTGGGTGAGGAGACGATGCATGTAAGCCGGCATGTCGTCCGACGAGCGCGACGCCGCTTCAACAGCGACTTGGATGTCGGATAAGGTGCGTACGACGCGCTCGCGGTCGGACTGGCTCATCGTCGCGATGTTCTTTACGAGCCAGATCGAGCAGATGGCGAGCGCGACGTAGGCGAGGTTGAAGCAGAAGGGGAGGTAGCCCGGTCGAACGAAGTGGTTTTGGAAGACGTTAGCGAGTCCGACGGCGGCATCGACGCAACCGCAGAAGGCGATCGTTAAGTCGGACGGCACGTCGACGTTGACGGCCTGGTCCTTCGCACGGTACCGATAGTTGTACAGGAGGCGGTACTCAGTGAGGTGGAAGGCAAAGAGCGCGTCGCAGAGGCGGATGGTCGAAACTTGAGGTGGGAGAAAGTCTGCGTGTCAGCAGGTCAGCGGGCATGCGGCTCGACACAGGTGAGGATGCGCACCAGGTCGATCTAACCACTTGGCTCGCCAGCGATGCCAGTCATGCTCGATCCACTTGAGCGAGCGCAAATTCGACGGGTCGCCGTTCATCGCCGTCAGCAAGTCGGCGTAAAGTCGACACATTCGCGAAAAGGTGATCCAAGGCGGCAGGGAGGACTCGCCGGGTGTCGGGAGATGAGGGTGCTCGGCGAGCCATTCTGCTGGGTCGTCGATGTCTTCCTCCGAGATCATGCGAGGGAGGGAATGGTGTATGGCGAGGTGGTAGTCCGCGATGATCAAGTCTGTACGCCGCAAAGTCAGCTGCAGTCGAGCGCAAAAGCAGGGAACGACGCACTCAGCCATGCCCGTTCCCTATTGAGGATCTCGCGAGCTTGCATCTCGTCCGCGGGAAGCGGTCGAATCACCCGAACGTTCAGCCTCAGCTCCTGCGCCATCCGAATCGCATACCCGACTTTCCGCCAACTTGTCGCGTCGTCCGCCTTCTTCCAATGCGTCAAGAGGTTGATCGCCTGGATGACCTCGACTGAGCACAAACCGTACTCGACCGCTTGTCCGACAAGCTTGTTTGCGATCGCGAGACAGGCGGAGTAGGCGTCTGGTCGGAGGATCTTGGCTGTCACGCAGAGGACGGCGGAGAAGAGGAGGGCGGACTTTTGCTGGCAGTAGTTCGGGGTGTGCAGGCGAGGGTCGAGTATCGCGACGACGAGGTTGAGGTGGTCGAAATAGCTGCGAGGGGCGAAATCAGTACAACGACGCGGAGGAGCTGTGGCAGGGCTTACTAGTTGAAGAGTTCAAATACGTCTAGCTCGTTCAGTACGCCAGCTTGAAGCGGGTCCGGATAGTTGCTGCGAAGCAAGCCAAAGCTACCGCTCCCCGACGGAGGCGGCTGCGCCGTCGAGGGGCCGGCAATGAAGGCTGTCGGCGAGAGCGCAGTGTCAGCAAGGTGTTCGCTCTCGGAGAGCGCCGCGACGCACGGGAAGAGTCGCCTTCTCGGACGACATGCGAGAACTGGATGGTCGATGCGCCTGTACCAGCAGGCGATTGCGAAGCGTGACTTTGGCTCGCCCCCTGGGGCGAGCCGTACGTTGGCGCTTGATTCGCAGGTAGTTGAGGAAGAGGAGGATAGACTGGCGGTTGAAGCGGGACGGCAGGAAGCGAAGAAGGGGAAGCGTCGGGTGGCGCAACTGAGCTCGTCTCCTTCTTCCGTCGGCCGCGCCGGTGCTTCTGGTACTCGCAGACGAGCTCGTGCGTGACGCACCGGCGACAGGTCGTGTGCACGTCGGGAGTGTGGCATTTCCGCTGAGCAGAAGGGTTGAAGGTCAGCTGGATCGTTTGTCCTGCATCCGATTCGAGCGAGACGCACCTTGGCTGATCGACAGGCGAGACAGGATACCTTCCTGCGACGAGGAGAAGCGCGAGATGAGTTGCCGCAATTCTTCGAGGAGGAGGAAGAGAGAGACGCACGCTCCGCCAGCTTTGACGGGACCCGCCACTCCTTCAGTCTGTGCTGGTTCTGCAGCTACATTCGACGGACCAGCGACAGCACCAGCGTCGGTCTGGGCAGCGGCGCCTTGCAGGGTGGGACTCGCCCGGGCGTCCATTCTCCTCTGTTCGTGCGGGACGGCGGGAGCTGAGCGAGCGGTGAAGGCGGCGTCGAGCGGGCTCAGCGAGCGGGGCAGACAGTCTCGGACGCAGCAGGAGGCATGGCTTGGTCACCGCTGCGGGAACCTCGCGACTTCATCGCGCCTGAACGCTTGAACACCGCACCCTCAATCGCCCGCCATGGCCCACGCTTCGAGCAGCCGCGGGCGGTGCTTGCTGTTGTCACAGCCTTCCACACTCTCTGGTCCCGCTGCTCCCACTTGACGACGTTGCCAACCGATGCCTTCTGCTCCGCTCAACTCTGGCTTCGTCCTCCAGGACGACCCTGCGACGCCCCGCACCGAAGCGACCGTCTCCTTCCGCGACATTCTCCCCAAGCCCGACCACCCTCGCATTGCCGGCATCGCAGACCACACCGCGCTCAGCTGGTGCGAGAGCAGAAAGGCTGTCGAGGCTCCCGCCTGGCTGATCAACCGCCTCGACGTTCGCAACATCGGACGACCGTACAGGGGCTTCTCGGCAGACGGGCATCCTGACCCGAGCATCTTCCGCTACGAGGAAGACGAGGGTGCCCCGGTTGAGGCTGCGGTGCATGCCGTCAACAGGCTGCTCGACGCACTTCCGGCGGATCTGAGGAAGGAGGTTGTCAAGGGAGACGTAGCGACGGACGACGAGTTCAGGGCTTGGAGTAACCCGGAACTGTACGTAAACCCAGGTTTGTCCGTCTCTTCTCCTATCTCGTACGACTCGGACACTTACGCGTGCACCACAGGTGGCATTCGCCTCGACGAGACGAGCACCGAGATCAAGGACCGCATCCACGACGTCCTCAAAGCGTCGCTCTCGCCCGAAGGATACAAGAAGGCCCTCGGCTGCACCCTGACGAACCACTTCCTCGGCGAGCTCGTCAACGGCAGCAACGTCCTGAACAAGCACTCGTACAACTTCCGCCTCTTCCTCCCGCCTGCCACTCGTCGTCCCTCGCTTACCGATCCCTGGGGATGGACCTTCTTCGGCCACCACCTCTGCCTCGCCGTCTGCTTCGTCGGCAAGCGGATGGTCATCGGTCCGACGTTCATGGGTGCTGAGCCGGACAGGATCGATGTCGGCCCGCACGCAGGACTGCGGCTCTTCTCGCAGGAGGAGATTCGGGGGCTCAACTTGATGCGGAGCTTGAGCGAGGAGAACCAGAAGAAGGCGCAGATTAGCGTGGGAATGACAATGTCTGAAGGGCTGGCAGAGGACCGATGGAACCCCTTTGACGAGCGGTGAGTTCGCTTCGAGGATCGCTCCTTCAGCTGAACTTGACCATTCCAATCCGCAGACACCTCGGCGGCGCACACCAAGACAACCGCATCGTTCCATACGAAGGCTGTCAGATCTCGCTCTTCACGCCCGAGCAGCGCGACGAGATCTACGCCATCCTGCGGGTTTTCAATATCTACCTCCCGGAAGTCCCGCTCGAGCACCGGATGCGCCGCCTCCGGTCGTTCGAGGACCAGACGTACTTTGCGTGGATTGGCAAGTTTGACCTTGGCTCGCCTTACTACTTCCGCATCCACTCGCCCGCGACGTTTTGCGAGGTGCGTTTCCCTTTCCTCCGTCTTGCCCACTCCCGCCGCTGACGCTTCCTCCTCCGCTCGGATTCACCAGTTCGACTTCCACTGCGGCATCTTCCTGACCAACACCTCGCCCGCCAAATGCCACATCCACACCGTCAATCGCCTGCCGAACTGCGAAGACTACGGCAAGGCGCTCGTCCAGCAGTGGCAGCGCGAGCAGGAGGCCGAGGGCGTCGAGGTGCAGATGAGGGTGGTCCGGCCTAATTGAAACCTTGAAGTGAAGTAGGCAATAGTTCGAAGGAGAGGACGAAGGAATGTTCTCCTCGACTTTCGAAGATTGCCCTCTCGCTCGACGTCTCTCCTCGCGAGGCTGCCTCCTTGGTTTGACGTTGCGCTCCCGCTGCCAGCCTCTCCTTGCCCTACGGTGTGCTTGGAGAGCGCCGCAGAGTCTCCAGGTGCTGGTCGTTGTCGAGGCCCGACCGCACTCTTTGGGAAGGTCGCGCCGCCTGCTCTCGACCTCGTCGCTCGTCGCCCGGCTGGCTGGCTGGCTGGAGAGTTGCATCACCGTCTGGCAGAGCCCTGCACTCGTCTCCTCTTGCACCAGCTGCGAAAGCCGTCGTCTGCCCGTTGCGCTACGAGCACACCCTCTTCCCGACCCCGCATCTCGCCGCTTGTTGTCGCGCGCGTCGCATTTCCGCTCCCTCGCCCTCCTTTTCCCTCACCCGTACACACCCAGCCGGGACGCATTCGACCATGTCAGGAGCACAGGACGTCAAGCTGCCCGTCTACCCCTCCGACAACAACGACCCGCTTAGCTCAAAGGGCCTCTTGAACGAGCGCGATGAGGGACTCCCGACCGCCGTCACCAACGCGACGTCGGCCAAGCCAGCCGCGAGCATGGCCAGCGCGGAGGGGATCAAGAAGATCTGGCCTGGTCCGTCCCTTCGTCCACCCTTCTGGCACTCGAGGAGCGGAGAACGCTGAAACGTGCGGGACTTTCGTCGCGTCCTCGTCGCAGGCTACATCATCATGGTCTGGATCGCTTTGAGCAGTGGTGTCATCCTCCAGAACGCCTACATCCTGCGGACACTCCAGTGAGTCTGCGCGAGAAGGCGGATTCCGAGACTAACTGGACTGAGGTCCCTCAAGCTCCTGCTAACCACGCTCCCTCTGCAGATTCAACTACCCCATCGCATTGACGACTTGGCACTTGGTCTACGCGACCATCGGCACCCGTCTCCTCCTCCGCTTCACACACCTCCTCGACGACCTGCACAAGGTTCAGATGTCCTGGGACCGCTGGCTCCGCAACGTACGCCCGACCATGAGCTTCTGATCGCGCAGAAGAGAATGCTGACGTTGAGGCGAGCAGATTGTCCCCATTGGCGCCCTCTTCTCCGGATCCCTCATCTTCTCCAACTTCGCCTGTGCGTTCAATTCCTCGATATTAACGCGGGAAGTTGTCGCTAACCTGTACCCACTTGCGCAGACCTCAGTCTCTCCGTCTCGTTCATCCAGATGCTGAAGGCGTTCACCTCCGTCGCGGTCTTGGGCATGTCGGTCCTCTTCGGACTCGAGCAGATGCAGCCGCGCAAGTTTGTGATTGTCATCGCAATCTCCTGCGGAGGTGAGCCTGTCGTCTTCTCGCTTGAGCGGACCGTAGCGCTGACAGCCTCCTCCCACAGTCGCCCTCGCCTCGTACGGCGAGATCGCATTCGACATGGGCGGCTTCATCTGCCAGGCGCTCGGTATCGCTTTCGAGTCAGCGCGCCTCGTCTCGATCCAGCTGCTCATGTCGGGCTTGAAGATGGGACCTCTCGTCTCGCTCTACTACGTGAGTTGGGGGCGCCGTCGGCAGAACAGCGGCAGAGCTGACTTCTTCTCCTCGTGCAGTTTGCACCGGTCTGCGCCGGCCTTAACATGATGCTCATCCCCTTCTTCGAGGGCGCCGCGCCATTCCAAGACGCCCTCGAGGTTGTCGGCCTCCCCATCCTCGTCGGCAACGCCACGACCGCCTTTGCGCTCAACGTCGCCGTCGTCTTCCTGATCGGCTGCGCAAGTTCGCTTGTCCTCACGCTCTCGGGCGTCATCAAGGACATCCTTCTCGTCCTCGGGTCGGTCGTCTTGATGGGATCGACCGTGACCTTCACTCAGGTGCGCTCGCTGTCCGTCTGACCGCTCCTTGTGACTGATGTACTCTCCTCCACAGTTCGTCGGCTACGGCATCGCCCTCTTCGGCCTGGTCGTCTTCAAGCTCCCGAAGGAGACGGTCGACAAGTACATGATCCAGGTTCGCGGTGCGCTCGGCCGATGAGCGCGGGATGGAAGGCGCGGAAAGGGATGTGCTCGTCGCTGGCGATGAGGTGTGGACGCCCTTGGAAGAAAGTGAAGTAAGGAAACGCTAGACGGAGGGAAGTTATCTCGTGCAAGGCTTTCATACTCTCCTGACCTTCTTCGTCCCGCCTCGCGGAGACGATGTTGTTTCCCCTGGTGCTAATCACGAAGCCAACAGTCTGCTTCTGCGGTGCTCGAGCTCGTCAATAGTGAGCGAGAGGAGCAAGGCTTTGCGGTAGTCGCCTCCTCGCTCGCACAGCGTCTCCTTTGGTGCGTCGCCCGTCTCGAGAGTGCTTCTCTCAGGCTGCTTGAGCTCCATAGACCGTCCTTTCGACCGCCTTCGACGTTGACATCTCGAAAGTCAAAACGGCGCCTCTCTCGTCGCAACGCGTTGGTGTTTCGGGCGACAGGCTCTGCTTTTCCTCTCACTCCCCCTCGCCTGGCACGCCTGCTGGCTGCACAGACACGCTCACACTGCTCGACAGACCCGTCTACCAGCTCGTCCAGCCGCCCCGCGCTTCCACGTCTGACCCGACCCACCCTCATCGCTCGACGCGGCGAACAAAGGGCAACATGGCCGCCACGACCATGACGGCCCGCGAGCTCCTCACCAAGGTCTTCCAAGGCGAACAGGTGAGTCTCGCGCACGCGTTCAGGCCGGTAGGAGTGCGAGCGCTGACTGTGTCGCCCTCCCGCTCGCCCATGTTGGAGGACAGACCCTCACTCCCGAGCTTCTCTCGTGCGAGAACGACTTCGCCATGCACTTGATGCGCTATCCAAACGACACTAACTTTGTCGCCGCGCGCAAGCCGGGCGTGAACTACGGGTGCGTCCCTTTCCTCGTGAATGTCAACCTGCGTCGCTGACGTCCTCGCTCCCCGTCATCAGCGAGTTGATCTGCATGGAGGAGTCGTGCTACAGCGAAATCGAGCTCAGCCCGAACCCGAACCTGCCTGATGGTGGTATCGGACGCGGCTTCGGATGGCTCTTCAAGTACTGGGTGCGTCTCGCACGCTTTCTTGCCTCGTTCCGACGCGTCCTGACCGCTTCCGCCTCTATAGGAGCACATTGACAGCTCTCCGGAGCACAAGGCTGCCCGCGGCGCGCGTGTCATCAGGGACAAGGTGCGTTCTCTCTCGTCGACGAGCGGAAGTTGGTGGCTGATCAGCTCCTCGCACGTTGTACACGCAGCAAATCAAGAGCGAGATGCCTCCCGATGCCTGGGTACGTACTCGTGCTTCCTGCATCAGTCAAACAAGTAGGCTGACCGAATTTCCCCGTCAAAAGACTCCCAAAGTCAAGAAGACTTCGTCGTCGAGCGGAGCATCCTCGACTGCAGCGTCGGGCTACGCCAGCGGCTCGGGCATCAAGGCGGAGGACAGAGTCTTCGGCGGTTACGACGGAACACCTCGCGCATCGACTTCCGGTTCGTCGTCCAAGAGCAACACCAAGAAGCGCCCGTCAGACCCGCTGTACCGCTCTTCGGTCCGCGGAATGCTCACGGACGACGACGCCGACCTCGCGCGCGACAAGAAGCCGAAACTCGAAGCCACGCCGGGCGTCCTCGCCGAGCGCCGCAACGAGCCTCAGGCCGGCGCCGCACCCGTCATCGTCCCTCTCCAGCCTACGATCGCCGAGCAGAACGCCTACAAGGAGGCCAAGTCCGCGCTCGAGCGCTACGAGCTGCTCGCCGAAGACTTGAGGACTCGCCCGACGGCTCAGCGCGACGCGGGCTTCTACGCCCAGCTCGACCTCCTCAACGGCCACATCGCCAAGCAAAGGCAGATTATCGAGAATAGCAAGAAGCGCTTCGGCGCCGCCATCGAGCCCGTCGTCCAACCTCGCCCCGCTGCCGCAGCTGCCGCCATGCCCGGCGCCTTCCCCGGTGCGGTTGGCGGCTACGCCGCTGCGATGGATCCCGCCGCCGCCGTCCTCGCCCGCTTGTCGGGGTCGCGGAACGCTGCGAACGACGACAGCGACGACGAGGCGATGTGGAACAACTTCGCCCCGGTCACGCACGAGGACTTTGATCACTTCATCAAGGCCGCTCTCGAGGGCGAGGGCTTTGAGGGCAACGAGAACGTCAACGCCGCCGCTGCCGCCATCGGTCTCAAATCGCAGAAGGAGCCGATCCAGCACATGACCGTTGACTTGATGCCTCACCAGGTGCGCTACAAAGTCTTCTATCCTCTCATCGAGACTGGGCTGACTGGAATGTCATCAGATCATCGCTTGCGCCTGGATGAAGGAGAGGGAGGCTGACAAGACGTTTGGCGGCATCCTCGCAGACGAGATGGTTCGTCCTCCCTTTCCCGCTCGTTCAGTCCGATGCTGAGCAGGCAGCTGACGCTTATGGAGGGACGCAGGGTCTCGGCAAAACCATCGAAGCTATCGCCAATTGCCTCATCAACCCGAGCGCCGACCCCGAGGAGAAGACGACTCTCGTGGTTGCCCCGCTCGCGCTTCTCAACCAATGGGAAGCGGAGCTCACCGACAAGGTCGAGAGGGGCCACCTCTCCATCTGCAAGTACCACGGCCCGGAGCGCAGCAAGTACTCCGCAAAGAAGCTCCGCAAGTTCGACTTCGTCCTGACGACCTACGGAACGCTCGTCACGGATGTGCGTACTTCTGCGTCGTTCTGTGCGAATGGGCGCCCGCTAACCCGGATATCGACGTCCTTCCTTGCCCGGCCGCGCGCAGTTCGCCGACGAGGAGAACCTCGAGAAGAAGGCCAAGAAGGCGGCGAAGAAGGCGGACAACCCGGAGGCTTGGGAAGACTTCCTCGCGCCTCACGAGGACGGCCCGCTCTTTAAGATGGGCTTCTACCGGTGAGTCGCGTCTCTCCCCTCTGCATGCACACTTACTGACAACTCCACGCGCAGCGTCATCCTCGACGAAGCTCGTACGTGCCCTGTCGCTGACGCTCTCGTCGCTGGCTGACCTTCTTTTGCTCGCAGAGTACATCCGCAACAAGGCGACGAAAGTCAGCAGGGCTGTCACGAGGATCGACGCGCTGTACAGGTGGGCTCTTACGGGGACCCCCGTCACCAACAGTCTCGCAGACCTGTACCCGCTCTTCCGCTTCCTTCAGCTCAAGCCGTGAGTTCATGTCGCTCGCCCTCCGCATTTCCCCTTCGCGCTCGACTCTCCGGCTCGCTTCGCTCGACTTCCGCTGACTCTGCTCCGCTGATTCAGGTGGTACGACTGGGCGAGGTACCGCGAGAACGTCATCCACTACGAGAAGAAGAACCCCGAGATCGCCGGTCGAAAAGCGCAGGCCATCCTCCGCACGGTGCGTCGGGTTCCCTCCTCTTCTTTCGCCTTTAGCAGACGCCGAACTGATGATCTACGCTTGTATGCGCGCAGTGCATGTTGAGGCGCAAGAAGGACTCGAAGCTCGACGGCAAGAACCTCATCGAACTCCCGCCGAGGAACGTCGAGCTGCACGAGCTCGAGTTCTCCGAGGAAGAGCGTGACATTTGTGCGTACACAGTAATCTAATTGTGCTCATTGACGTCGTCAAAGACCTCGCCGGCCGCCACTGACCTCAGACCTTGCGCACCTCAAAAAGACACGGCGATCGAGGGGAAGGCGCAAGCCAAGTTCAATCGCTTTTTGCGCCAGGGCACAGTCCTCAAGAATTACGCACATATCCTCCTCCTCATCCTGCGTCTTCGCCAGATCTGCTTCCACCCCGCCCTCGTCGCCGACGGTGCGTGTCCCTTGCCTTCGCTGGCCTCAAACGGCTTCGGCTCACCTCTTTCTTGTGTGCAGCTGAGAAGACTGCTGAGCACCAAGAGGAGGCGAAGGAGGCTGTCAAGGACGAGGCGAAGCGCGCGAAGAACGAGGTCGGCAAGGCCTTCGTCGACAAGATCCGCAAGATGCGTCTCGACGCCGCCGTCGAGCGCTGCAACGCCGAGCAGCAGGGTACTGATGCTGCTGGCGACGAGTGTGCTATCTGCATGGTGCGTACGCGTGCTCGTCGATCAGAGAACAACGCTGACCGGCCAACCGCAGGAGGACTTCCACGAGAGCGAGCAGGGCGGCGCCGTCACTCGTTGCGCGCACATCTTCTGCTACACCTGCCTCGTCGACGTCATCAACGCCGAGCAGCGCGGCGACCACGACGAGGAGGGCGCTGACAAGAAGTGCAAGGCCGACCAACGGCCTTGCCCGATGTGCGTCGTCCTCCGCTCCGCATCAGAGCAGGGCTGACCCGTTTCGTATCCTCGCAGCTGTCGCCAGCCTTGCGGTCTCAAGGATGTGCGTTGTTGGGCTTGCGGTGACATGGACGTTCGCTTACCGCTTTCGCTCGCGTAGATCTTCAAGCTCGCCGCGTTCGAGCCGACTGACGAGGAGCTCTGCACGGCCGCCAACATGGAGATTGACCGCGAGGAGGACGACGAGGACGACACGCTTGGCGGCTTCATCGTTCCCGACCACGAGGAGGATGACGACGACTTCGGGAAGTCGGTCTCGAAGAAGAAGCCCAAGCAGCCGAATCGCGCGATCATCCAGGACTCGGACGACGAGGAGCAGGCCGAGCAGAGCGAAGCCGAGGAGGAGCCCGCCCCTCGCAAGGACAAGGGCAAGGGGAAGCAGAAGGAGAAGCCCGTTTACGAGCTCAAGTTCATCAAAGAGGTGCGTGCCGAGCATCTCCTGCCGCCGTTCTTCTCGCTGATGTTGCTGTCGGTGAACAGCAAGAGCCGAGCACGAAGATGATCTGGGCCGAGAAGGAGGTCGAGCGCATGCTGAAGGAGAACCCCGACGGTGCCTTCCCTTCCCATTCCCTTCCTCTTTCCGCTCGCTGACCGCGCTTCCCCTTCGGCTCTACAGACAAAGTCATCATCATCTCGTCCTTCGTCTCCGCTCTCGACATGATGGACATCTACCTCGAGTCGAAGGGCCACAGGACGGTCCGCTACCAAGGCGACATGAGCATCACCGAGCGCGAGGAGTCGATCAGGATCCTGAAGAAGTCAAAGAAATGCCGCATCATGCTACGTGCGTCCTCGTCGTCGCTATCGAACCAAGCTCGCCGCTGACTTGCGCTTGTCGCCCGCACTCAGTCTCGCTCAAGTGCGGAGGCGTCGGCCTCACCCTCACGCGCGCCAATCGCGTCATCTCGCTCGGTACGCTGCACGCGTTCTCGCCAAAGTGAAGTGCGCAAGCTGACGCATCGTCGCCGGCAGACCTCGCCTGGTCGAACGCCGTCGAGAACCAGGCCTTCGACCGCGTCCACCGCATCGGCCAGAAGAAGGATGTCTTTGTGTGCGTCCTCACGTTCCTTTGGCTCCCAGCGCTCGCCACTGATGCCACCTCGTGAGGTAGCAACCGCTTGACGATCAAGGACACGAGTAAGCAGCATCAGCTACCACGCGTCGGACGCCCCGGCTGATTTCCGCGTGCTTCTCCATAGTTGAGCAGCGCATCCTCGAGCTTCAGAAGAAGAAGCAGGGCCTCGCTGATGCTTCGCTCGGCGAAGGCGGCACTTACAGTGCGTTGAACTCGCTTCCGGATGAGCCCAGCTGATACCTTGGCTCACTGCCTCGCAGAGATGGGCAAGCTTACTGTCGCCGACCTCGCTGCGCTCTTCGGCCTCAACGTTCGCGGGCAGCGCGTCTGAGAACGAACGTTTCGCTCGCCTTCGCTTCCTCCTCGCTTGTTGTCCTGTACATCCGCTTTCATACCCCCGCTTGACCGCTAGTACCCTTTCTCTCTCGCATTTCGCAATACCGTGCAATTCGCTTCTACCCGCTTGACACCTCGAGCTCGCGACTCGCGAGGAAGAGAGAGGAGGAAGGGTGCTGGTTCCAGCGGGCGCTCTAGTCCTTCATGATCTCGTCGATCCTCTCCATCAAGTACTTGACGATGCCGTCGGGTCCCACCTGCACCTGCAAGCCTGTCGGGATCGCGTGCGTCTTAATACCGGGAATCGTCTCGCGTGCAATGCGCTGAATCTCCTCCTGCTGCTCCGGCGTCCACTGTGGCGGTCAGAACGGTCAGCATGACCTCGAGAACGTCGAAAGGGAGAGCTCTGCGAACCATCGAAGCGCAGAACTGGTGAGATGGCGAGCAATCGACATCAGCCTGGAAGCCAACGAGGAGCCGAGGAGGAGGAGGAACTGCGCGCAACGCACCAGGATGCCCGGCGGGGGCTGTACAAACTCTAGCAGCGGTTTGACACCCTCAATGGCTGTATGGGTGGGGCGAACGGTGGCGGACCAGGTCAGCGTCGCCCTCTGCGCCTCGCCAACACCTTCAAACCGCTCCTCGACCTCCTTCGCTCCGCTACAGCGACTCACTCTCCGAGTTTCCTGCGTGCACGATGCTGTACCGGTCCTTGACGCCCTCAATGACAGCGCCAATCACCTTCTTCGCTCGCTCCGGCGCAGTGTTCACCGAGACGAGGTTGACGGGCTGGGACGACGCGGGCATGGCTCGAGCAGGTGCGGCGAGGGTGTGGGAGGAGCAGGAGGATGCTGCTGCTGGCTGCTGCTCGGCGGCGTCTTGGACTCGAACTCGCCGCTCCCCATCGCCGCCGGACCGCGGTCCCTCTTCGACGCCGCCAGTCCTCGTCGCTCGCTTCCACACTCTCCTGAGCTGATGCTGCATCGCTTGACTGCTCTCGGCCTTCGTCCATTCCTCGCCGCATCGCCTGCTCGTACCGCTTCTCCCCCTCTCTCGGCACCCTCCACATCGCGCTTCTCCACATCTACTGCCGCCATGTCGACCTACTCCCGCCTCGTGCGCTTCCTCCCAGCATCCTCTTCGACGCCAGTCATCGGCGAGCCGGTCAACGCAGACCAGGACGTCGGACTTGCGACCTATGCCGGAGAGCCGGTCAAGGTTGATGTGTTTTCGGGACAGTCGGTGCTGAATCCTGGCGAAAGAACGGGGCGGAAGGAGACTGTCGGGAAGCTATTGAGCCCATTGTCGCAGGCGGAAGTCGGCACGATCAGGTGTATCGGATTGAACGTGAGTCGCGAGCTGAGGAGAGCGTCTCTTCATGCTTCGTTCGCTAACCCACGCTTTCACGCCGCAGTACCTCAATCACGCTCACGAGGTCAACATGGCTATCCCAACTGTCCCCGTCCTCTTCATGAAGCCGTCTACCGCACTCGCCGACCCTCATCCCGCCCCAACCGTCATCCCGAAGGCTTTCGTCAAGGACGACGCGGCAGACTACGAGTCTGAGGTCGCCGTCGTCATTGGCAAGGCCTGCAAGAACGTCTCGGAGGAAGAGGCTATGGACTACGTCCTCGGGTACGTTCCTTCGCTTTCAACTCGCACGCTCTGGCTGATTTCTCTTACTTCCCCTCTCGCTCTAGCTACACTGCCGCAAACGACGTCTCCTCGCGCGCAACACAATTCGCTCAGTCGCAATGGTGCTACAGCAAGTCCTTCGACGGTGCTTGCCCGCTCGGTCCGGCATTTGTTCACAAGGACGCCGTCAAGAACATTGCCGAGCTCAAGATTCGCGGCTCGCTGAGCGGCAAGACGGTCCAGGAGAGCAACCTCGAGTGCGTAGTGACGTAGCAAGCTTGATAGTCGACCAGACTGACGCTCGTCCGCTGCGCAGCGACCTCATCTTCTCCGTCCCCAAAATCGTCTCCTTCCTCTCGCAAGGCACGACTCTCCCCGCCGGAACCGTCATCCTTACCGGGTAAATCGTTCCTCTCCCATCACGACACGAAGGACGCTGACTCCTCGGTCTCACCAGAACTCCCGCCGGCGTCGGCTGGTCCGCTTCGCCTCGCAAGCTCCTCAAGGACGGTGACGAGTTCCGCGTCTTCGTCTCGCATGGCGTTGGCACGTTGATCAACAAGATCATTGAGGAGAAGTAGTCCGTGTGCAACGGAAAGTGAGAGTGCAACTTCGACGGAATTCACGAACGAGACCGGCTTACGCGCTCGAGGCGAGCTGACGAGGACGCTTTGCTCCTCCATAAGCGGCGATGCAGAAGAGTTGGCTTACGCTCGAGTGAGACTGTACGTTGGAGGTCTATCTATTCCGAAGCCGGCGAAGACAGTGAAGCCTCAGTATCACACACGATCACCGCCTTAGTAGCCCCAGGGCAAGCTCGACGGCGACTAGACAGCCTTGGTAAGACGATATGACGGGCTGCAATGCATGGTGATCCCAGGAACTATACAGGCGAGGCGCAAGAATGTACAAGGTTACGCTACGTCGGCGAAGAGCTTCTCGAAAGCGTTGGCGGCTTCGACCTCACAGTCGTGGGCATACAGGATCTCCTGCGTGATCCTGCGGGTAGGGAGGAGAGGAGCCGGACAGTCAGCGCAAGCATATCGAGCAGGAAAGGCGGAGGCCGACGGACTTGTCGAGCGCCTTGTCCGGGTTCTCGCCACCTTCCTTCTTGGCGGCGCGGAAAGCAGCATCTCGCGCCTTCTGATCCTTTCCGGCGCCAAGGTGGAGACCCTTCCCGTTCGCTGCGGCGGTCACGACGGCCCAGTCTGCGCGGGGCTTGCGAATAGCCTGTTCGTCATGGTTGAAGGCGTCAGCTGGGTGCGAACGCTGCCTATACTGGCTGAAAGACGCACCTGGTAGACCAGGAGGGCCTTGTGGATCTCGTCCTTCGACTTGATCTTGCTCAGGACGACGCCGAGAACCGCCGCGTCCTCGATAGCCTGCGCCGCGCCTTGTGCAAGGTGCGGCAGTGTTGGGTGGCAGGCGTCACCGACGAGCGCGACGTTGTGGTCGACCCAAGTGCTGAGCGGCTCATGCACTCGCAACTTCCACTCGAGGACGTCACCTTCGGGCACAAGGTTGAGGAGCTTCTGGACGCGCGGGCAGAAGTCGTGGAAAGTGTTGAGCATCTCGCTTTTGGAGCCGGTCGTGGTCCAGGTATCGGCTTCGACAAAGCGGCGGTCGGGATGGGCGGTCGACATGTTGAAGAGTTCGCCGGAGGCAATGGGGTAGGCCTGCGAGATGTTCGATCAGCTCTTTGCATTGAACGACTGTGCGAGAGACGTACGATGATGTGCCGCTTCTCACCGATCCACCTGAAGGAGTGCGAAGAGGTGAAGAAGGGGAGAAGGTCCGGATCGTTGTTGATTTGCTCCTTGCGGACCATAATCCGGTAGGCCGCCTGGCCAGTGTCGACGACTAGAGATATGCGTCAGGGTAGTTCGAAGCGGACAGAACAGAGAGGAGACAACGAACCGGTGTCGACTTCTCCTATCCTGCCCAACATCGCCGCTCGCGCCTTCGACTTCACGCCGTCTGCCGCCAGGATCACGTCGGCGTCCACCCATTCTCCAGCCTGCTCTGTCAAAACGTCGGTCTGGCCGTTTGCGCCGATCGTCGGCGCTGAAGAGCGCTCCTTCACGAAGAACCGCGAGCCTTCAAAGTCGTAGTCGGTGACCAGCTTGCTGAGGTGCAGCTGGACGACTCCCGAGCCCATTGCGCCGGTGACGAGGCACTTCTGCAGCGCTGAGCGGTGGACGACCTGGAAAGACCGCGAGGTTAGGAAGGTCGAGGAGGAGGAGGACTTGCGGCGCACGGTAAAGGGGTAGCCAAACTCCCGCTCAATGTAGCCGAAATCGACATTGGTCAAAGTTTCGTCCGAGGCGCAGTCTGCCAGGAGGAAAGGCGGCGTGAGCGAGGGAGGAAGGATTCTGCAAGTGCGAGACGAACGCACTCAGAACGCTGGCGCTCTTCAGCGCGACCGCCTCAGCCCGTGCGATGTCCAGAACTTCCCAACGATCCAGAATCCTGGACAAGTTGGGCGTCAAGTTGATGCCGGCGCCGACTTCTCCCAGACTCCTCGCGCTCTCCCAGACGTGAATGTCTGTGTATCCCGCCCGAGCCAGCGCCAGCGCGGAGCCCATTCCTCCCATCCTAGCGAGTCGCAGAGAGTCAGCGCCGAGTAGAAGCGAAGGATCTCGCCATGAAGGGAGACTCACCCGGCACCGATACTGTGTCGTCGCGAAGAGGAGCGCCTGTCAGCCTGCGGTGGCTTTGCTGCCTTTCAGTGGGACGCACATGTGGATCTTGAGTTGGTTCGCGAGCGTGGGAGCCATGTTGCGTGTGCGAGAGGATGCCGCGGTTGAGCAGGAGCACTCGACGCCGAAGTCGCTCGTCGGGCGTTCGGGACATGCTGGCGTCCGCCCCACCTGCTTGCGCACACGAACAAGTCCCCGCTCAAGGACGCCGCAAGCGGCGCAAGCCAAACTCATCCCCACCATCCGCTTCTTCTGCGGTCTCTTCTTTGCGCACACCGCGCTCGCCACGGGACAGCGCAGGCGTCTCCTGAGCACATGGGACGACTGCGAGGAGAGGGGTAGAGCGGGGAACAGACCGTATCGTGGCTGGAGAGCCGTGGGGTGCGAGGTCCTCCTCCTTCATCTCCCGCTGCGCTTCGAGTCGTCAACACGCTGCCTTTGCTACTTTCAGCGGCTTGCACGACGCCAAAACACTCTTCGCAAACGAAGACGAGTCCTAGCCACTCTCCAGGATGTTTCGCAACGATGTCGACCCGTCTCTCCCGCCCAACCACCCCCTCAACTCCCTCTCTTCGCTTCGCAAATTCTTGATTCTCCTCACACTGTCCTACAGTGGCTTCCTCGCCAACTTCTCGTGAGTCCCTCTTGAAGCGAAGTTCCGAGCGTGCGGAGCACTGACCTCTCCTTCTTCAGCGTCGCTATCATCCAGGTTGCCTTCGTGTGAGCTTTCCTTGCTCGCTGTCATCGACATGCTTCGCCTACTACCCCCGCTGGGCGCTGTCTGTGATCGCCGGCTTCCCAGGAAGAAGTGGCCCGCTGACTTACCCTGCGCATCCTCTACATCTTCGACAGGCCCATGGGCCAAGCTTTTGGGGTCTCGCCTGGGGACATCCCCAACACGATTGGATAGTAAGTCCTCCCCTGGCTTCACCGTGGCAGAACCAGGCTGAAGTTGGCCTTTCCAGCAACCTTCTTGGGTTCGCGGTCGGTCCATTGCTTTGGAACCCGCTTAGCAAGGTGCGCAGACAATGTTTCCTCGTTCAGAGATCGCATACTGATTCGCAGCGACGCTGCAGACGATCGGCCGCCGCCCCGTCTACCTAATCGGCTCCGCGCTTTTCCTTCCCTGCGTCGTCTGGATGGCTTTGTCGCCGTCCTACGCCTGCTTCAGCGCCGCTCGCACGGTGGCCGGAATCGTCTCGTCGTTCTCCCAGACTGTCCCGCCGGCAACAGTCGCTGACATCTTCGTCAAGGAAGGTACGTTTTTCACCTCCTGGCCGCATCCCGTTTGAATGCGCAGTCCAGTGACTTCGTTATTGTACGCAGTCCGCGGCAGCAAGATGAGCATGTACGCCGTCGCGGTTGTCATTGCGCCGGCCGTCGCACCCGTCTTCTCCGGCCTCATCGTCAACACCCAACCCTGGCACGTCCTCTTCTGGTTCATCCTCGGCCTCGCCGGTCTCCAGCTCGCGCTTTTCGCAGCTATTGTGCCCGAGACGCTGTGGACTGAGGAAGCAACATCGGACCGTGCCGGAGCGGACAAGCACAACTCGCTGAACGACAGCATCGCCAACGCCGGCAAGAAGGCGGCTTTTGATGAGCAGCAAATCGAGACGGTCGAGAACAAGCCCTCTGTAAACTCTCGAGCCGGCCGTGTCGGCGCCGCCTGGATGCCTTGGCAGCGTCCTGGCGAATTCTTCCACATCTTCGTCTCGCCCTTCCTCATGGTGCGTCCAATTCGTTGCTTGTCGCTTCCTTTCGCCTTCACGTCTCTACGCACAATTGCTGACCTTGGCTTCGGCATGCTTCTCGATCTACAGGCTCGCTACCTCGCCATCTCCCTCCCCTCGATCTACTACGGCATGGTCTTCGCCTGGAGCGTCTCGATCACCATTGTCGCTCCTCAGATGTTCGAGAAGCCGCCGTACAACTTCAAGACTATCCCCGTCGGCGCCTCATTCCTCGCTTACGGTATCGGAGGCGTCCTCGGCAAATGGTCCGGCGGAATCGTCGGCGACAAGGTCGTTGCTCTCTTTGAGCGCAAGAAGGGCACCCGCCAGCCTGAAGACCGACTTTGGGCACTCGTGAGTAGCCCTCGCTCTGTCTCCTGCGACGGGTCTGACCCGCTTCACCCTTCGCAGCTTCCGATTCTGCCGTTCATGATGGTCGCCTGCGCTATTGTCGCCGTCGTCATTCGGGACAAGCTCGCCTGGATTGCCTACCTCATCGGCGGCGCTCTCTTCTTCTTCTGCCTCTCCGCCGCAACCGGCATCTTGCAGACCGTGAGTACCCTCTCCTCCTGCCTTTCGCTTTCCTGCAAGCTGACGACGTCCACTCGCCCGCAGTACGTCCTCGAATCGTTCCTCCCTCGCTCAACAGACGGCCAGGCAGTCTTCATCTTCTTCAAGTCGATCTGGGGCTTCGCGATCCCCTTCATCCTCACCTCGCTCGAGACCTCGACGGGCTACTTCAAGGGCTACATGATGATGGGCGCTCTCGCAACGGGCGTCGGGTTCATTCTCTGCGGAGGACTGATCTGGAAGGGCTACGAGGTGAGGAAGGGGCAGGGAACGCCAGTTGTTGCGAGGTGAGGAGGCGAAAAAGGGTGTTCTTCCGGGGTTTCCGTCCCGCTGTTGTCTGCTAGAGGTCAAAGAGGGTCCTGATGTACTGTCTCCGTGTCTGTAATCCCGCTATTTGTGCCTATCGAGGGAGGAGAGGCGTGCGAACTCAGGACCTTGGCCTTCCCAACCTCACAACTTCCCTCTCACGCGGCAATGTAGAGGAAGAGAGTCCGCTCGACGATGCAAAAGAAAACGAAGAGAATCGCTAGGGTATACGAGAGAGAGTGTGTAAGGACGAGGAAAGTGAGGGGGTTCGTGGGAACGAGTGACAAGAGGTAATGGTGAGAGTGTGTACGTGTGCGAGGCGTAAAGAGAGAGGGAAAGGGAGGCTGGAAAGTGTCTATGTCTAGGAGCCTAAAGAGCGGTTGAGAGGATGAGAGAAGAGAAGGGCCTACTTCTTCGAGAGCTTGGCGGCGCCGCCGGCCTTCTTGACGACGTTCCCGCCCTTGCGGAAGCCTTCGCCGTTCCAGTTCTCCATCAGCTCGGCAAAGACCTCGCCCATCATCTTGCTCGGGAGCTCGACGGCAAAGTGGAACGCGATGGCGAGCGCAAAGACGATGCCGAACATGGCGACCCAGCAGACGCCGAGGACGCTCGACGCCGACGAGCCGTTGTTGTGCATGTTGAGCGCGATGTCGGGGACGAGGGTGTAGGTGATGACGGGCGCGAGGAGGACCATGCCCGCCGAGAGCTTGCCGAGGTTGCGCATGACGATGTTGCCAAAGACGGTCTGGGCGATGCCGGACGTCTCGATGCAGAAGAGCCAGCACGCGGCAAAGATGGCGTCGCAGAAGGTGAGCTCGGGGTGGTCGGTCACGTTGATCTTTGCGAGGCCCGAGTTGACGTTGTCGCGGATGACGGGCACCCACTGGAAGACGAGCGCGATCGCGATGAGGACGGCGTGGAGCGACAGGCGCTGCCAGGCGGGCCACTTGGTGCGGATCTTGTGCAGGTGGCCGTGCGCGTGCATGTCGGCGATGACGAGACCGAGGAGCGCCGCAAAGATGTAGTTGTACGTCGTCCAGCTGAAGAAGCCGATGAGGGCGTAGACCCAGTACCGGTTCGACGAGAGGTTGCCGAGCATGAGGTGGATGACGTAGACGGCGTACGATGCCTGGAAGAACCACGGGTTCGTCCACAGGTTGCCCGCGAACGTCTGGCCGGCGATCGTCGAAGTCTCGTAGGTCGTGAACTGCGGGCAAGACGTGTCAGCGCTCGCGAGGGGCCGCTACAGGTGTCGTCGAGACTCACGAGGTCAAAGACGAGGGTGCAGTAGCCGGCAAAGTTCGAGACGAGGCGCCAGTACGGCTCGTCCATTCCGACGTTGTTGCAGTTGGCCGTGTCACCGTTGGCAGCGACGCCCCACTGAACGGCGACGACAGCGAGGACGGGGAGGATGAAGCGGAAGGGTCGGACGAGCATGGCGCGCGTGAGGCGAGCCCACGAGATGAGCGCTGATTTGGGCTGGGCGCCGGCGGCGGCGGGCGCGGACGGGGAGGGGACGTCCCACAAGGGGGTGATGAGCGAGCGTCCCATGAGGACGAGGAGGAAGGTCCAGCCGAGGTTGGTCGATCTGCGCGAGAGGAGCGTGAGAAGGAGGCGCGAGCGAAGGAAGGCAAGGTCGCACGCACCGAACGATGTAAAGCGGGCTGCTGCGCTGGATGGCGGTGTAGTCGTTGTCGGAGATGGTGGCAGCAAAGTAAGTGCCATTGAGGACGACCCATGCGGCGATAAACTTCATTCCGTCGAGGTAACCCAGGTGCGGCAGCTTGACGTGCCGGTCGTCCTTTCCGCTATCGGCGAGGTTGGCGCCGCTCCATGCGCGGTAAAGCGCCTTGAGACCGGTAGGCTTGGGGCCACGGCGGTACGGCGCGCTGTTGCCAGACGACGAGCTCGTCGTCGGGGCGATGTACTCGCCGAGCTGGTCTCCGGCGCCGAGGCGCATCTTCTCGTCCTGGTGCTTCTCGACGTTGGGGCTCATCATGTCGGAGCCAGCGAGGGTCGGGCTGCTCTCCATGTACATGGCGTTCGAGAGCGGGTGCGCGCCCTGACCGGGCGCGCCCTGCTGGCCCTGGTACCCGCCGTACGCCGAGTAGCGGACGTTGGGCGGGTTGGGCGAGTAGCCCTGGGCGGACGAGCGCGTCGCTGCGGGGTTCAGGGGCGACGGGTTGGCGAGCGAGGTGGCAGAGCCGGCGTGCGACTGGTAGCGCGGGAGCGAGGGCTGCGAGCCGTAGTTGACGTACGGGAGCTGGCCGGTCTGCTCGTCGATGCTGTTGGTGCTCGAGTTGGCTGACGAGCCCTGCCTGAAGGGTCGCGGGGCAGCCATGCCTGCGTCGTGGTCGTGCGAGTACGGCGAGGTGACGGGTGGGTAGGCGTGAGGGTCGGCGTGAGCGCGATGGGGGTCAAACGCCATGGCGCGCGGGTTGTCCTACGGTGGTCTGCGTGACCTGTGCGAGTGTCCTGGTCAGCCCAACACGACACGCGGGCCGTGCAGCGCGAGAGGGAGCGCACCTGGGTGAGATGGATCGCGTCTGGGGGTGCGATCGAGCGAGGGAGTGAGCGCGGACGGGACAAGCGGGTGGGTGGGCAGCACGCGAGTCTCTGAGCACAGTCCAGTACGCGCGAGTCCAGGCAGCAGCACGGTGAGCGCGGCGGGTGCGAGGTGAGCGAGGGGGACTCCGTCGAGCTCGCAGGCCAGAAGAGTGACACGCAACTCGACTTTCGCACAGAACAAAACAACCCGCAGCAAGTGTGAAATGGCTACCAGTGCATTGCCAAGGCTATGGGTATACGCACAGCGAGAGAACGAAGGGTATCCTGCGAGCGAGCGAGCGAACCGCCTACATCACCGCGCACTTGTCGCCGCCGCCGCCGCCGCCTCCCGCATGTCGAGCCTGGCTTCCTCGAGTCTCCCCGGCTCGTCGTGCAGTGATAGAGACGCGGGCGGCCTGTAGAGGCAGGGGTCAGCCAGACAGGTCGAGGCGAGGCGGCAGGGTGAACGAGGGAAAGGAAGCGGACTCACCTCCTCAAACGTCTCCTGTACACCTCGGTTGTGCTTGGCGGAGCATTCTGCGGGAGCAGCAGAGCTGTGAGCTTGGTACAGCGACGGAGAGAGCAGCGGCGGGGCTCACCAAGATACCGAGACGCTCGTATCCGCTTCGCGACCGCAAGACCCTGCTCGTTCTCCCGTCAGTTCTGCCACGTCCTGAGCGACGAGGTCGAGCGGAGAACGTAGAGAGCGGAGCGCACCTCCTCGTACTCGACCGGCTGCAGTCCCGCGCTCGCCAGCTTGTCCCGCACGACCGGATCGGACCTCAGGTCGCACTTGAGCGCGACGAGGGCGAGCTTGACGCCTGGACAGTAGTGGCGAATTTCGTCGACCCACTAATTGCGTGTTAGGCTCCGTCAGCACCTCTGGAGGACAAAGTGCGATAGAAACGGGAAAGTCGCTTGAAGCGGTGTTCGTCCGAGACGCAACGCACCTTGCTCTCGATGTTCTCGAGGGACGTCGGCTGGTCCACCGAGAAGCACAGCAAGACAACGTTCGAGTCGGCGTAGCTGAGCGAGCGGAGGCGGTCAAAGTCTTCTTGACCGGCGGTGTCCCAGAGAGCGAGTTCGATGGGGGTGCCGTCGACGACTGTGGGAGAACAAGATCAGCTCTGGAAAGTTGAGGAGTAGACAGGTCTTGGGTGAAGCTGTAGCGCAACTCACCGATGTCGACGCAGTGGTTCTCGAACACTGTCGGCTCGTACAGCTGCAGGCGAACAATCGGAGGTTGTCAGCACTCATGCACACAACAGCTTTCGCCCTGGACATGCAGATCAGCCTGCTTGCGCACCTCTGGAAACTCGCCCTTGACATAGACATTCAGGAGGCTCGTCTTGCCGCACGCTCCGTCTCCGACGACGACAACCTGACGAGTCAGTCAAAGATCAGCGACCAGTAGGAAGGGCAAGGAAGCTACTGGCGCACCTTTCGACTCAGCTAGCGTGACCGCACGACCAGGACGAACAAAGGTCGTCAGCTCGCCCGCCCATTTCTCTGGCTAGCAAGAGCGCGAGCTCACCGGCCTTCCATCCTTCGTGCTCGTCCCGCTCAACCCGTACCCGTTCCCTGCGTGGTCGTGTGCGCCTGATGAGCCAGGAAGAGGCAAGCCGCACAGCGCGGGCATCGCTTGGCGTGTTCAGCAGAGTCGGGCGGTCGCTTGAGTGGTCGTCTCGGGAGCTCAGCGAGTGGTCAGACAAGCGAACTGAGCTGGGTGAGCGAGGTCGAGTTGGCCAGCCCTCCGCGAAGTGAACGCATGCGATGCACCTCATCTCGACTCCGCTCACAACCCGCCGGACAGCTCCTACGCACGCTAGATCTGCTCACACACTTGCTAAAAGCAATGCCCTACGTCGACTCGCACGGGCGGGTGCACGCGACCCCTCCACTGCTCTCGCGGATGTTCCTCGCTCTCCGCAACCTCTGGCTCGCGCTGTGCTTGTTCGTAGCGACTCTGCTGAACGTGAGTCTGCTCAAGTCTCTACATACTACGACTGAGCTGACCCTGAACCCCGCCGAACAGCCCACCGCGACGCACGCCGACCGCCCATCTTCATCACTTGCGGAGCGAGACCGGCGAAGACGGGACGAAGGGGCGAGTAGAGGCGGTGGCGGTGGGTCGGGAAGGACGACTGGAGCGCGGATAGGGGGGTTAGGAGGCGGTGCGTTCGCTTCTCGCGCTTCGACATGCTCGGAACTGACCGCATCCCTCTTCCTGTTGGTGCAGGTCCGATGGTGAACGTCAATACAGGCGGAGGATGTTGCGGAGGACTAGGGGGAGTGCAGATGTAGACGGAGGAGCAGGCAGAGGCTTTCAGCGTGTTGCAGTCAGTATCGAGTCGTAAACCTGTTGTCTCCTCGAGCCGCTTTCCACAGCATTTAATCTCGCTGAGCGGCATTGCGTCTGCACTGCTGGTCTGTGCGAGAAAGAGCAGCGCTGCCGAGTCCGCCAGTGCTTGACGACGTTGCGGTCCATCGTACCGTCCGTCCGTCCGCCTCTCTCCCTTCCTGCTTTCCGATATCGACGAGCAACTAGTGAACGAATGCAACGAGTTTAAACCTTGCAAATCAACCAATAAACGACCATACGCGAGAGGGGAGTCGAGGGATATAGCAACAGGATGTGTCGGGCGGAGGGAGGGAGGGAGGAAGTCAAACGTCCGTCCGCCTCGCGCCTTTCGTCGGGCACGAGCGCGACGAGGAAGCAATAAAGGGGAACATGCGAAAGAGGGAATCTAGAGGGGAGCTGCGTAGCGGTCGGAGAGGGACCGCGTTTTGTATCCGGATCGAGCGCGAGAGGGGTGGAGGCGCTTTACCAGACGTCGCCCTGGGCCTTGGCGGCCTCGACGACCTTTAGGAAGCCAGCAACGTTCGATCCCATAACCCTGTGTGCCCAAGCGTCAGCAGAGGTAGAGATAGAGAGCCAGAGCTGGAGGAGGAGGAAGAACGCTCAACGTACAGAGAAGGCCCTGCTCGACGTGTGAGGCGTCAGCGAAGCCCGAGAAGAGGAAGGAAAGGCTGGACGTACACTCGCCGCCCTCGGTGAACTCCTTGGCCGTCTCGAGGCCGATCTCGAAGGCGTTCTTCATGATGTCCTTCAACTTTGCGTCGACGACCTCGTCGGTCCACTGGAGACGAGCCGAGTTCTGCGCCATCTCGAGTCCAGAGACCGCGACACCTCCGCAGTTGGCGGCCTTGCCCGGGCCGTACCAGACGCCCTTGTTGCCCTTCTCGCGACGCGACGATTCGAAGACGTTGATGGCCTCGAGGGTGCAGGGCATGTTGGCGCCCTCAGCGACGAATCCGAGGCCGGCGGCAACGAGCGCCTTGGCATCCTCCTCGTCGAGCTCGTTCTGCGTCGCCGAGGGGAGGGCGACGTCGACGTTCTTGACGAGCTTCCAGGGGCGCGCGCCCTCGACGTACTTGAAGCCGGAAGGAGCCGAGAGGTCCTTGAGGTAACCGCCCTTGAGCTTGAGGTCGGCAACCTGGTTGATGAAGTCGGCCGAGAGGCCCTCGTTACCCTCGGCGACGAGCGCGCCCTTCGAGTCGGAGAGCGAGAGGACGTGGCCGCCGAGCTCGATGACCTTGAGCGCAGCGAACTGGGCGACGTTGCCGGCTCCCGAGATGAGCACGCGCTTGCCCTTGAAGTCCTCGCCGCGCGCGACGCGGATCATCTCCTCGGCGTAGTAGACGCAGCCGTAGCCAGTCGCCTCGGGGCGGATCTTCGAGCCACCAAAGTCGTAGCCCTTGCCCGTGAGGACACCAACCCACTCGTTGCGCATCTGCTTGTACGCGCCGAAGAGGAAGCCGACCTCGCGACCGCCGACGCCAATGTCACCGGCGGGAACGTCGGTGTCGGCACTGCGTCGAGAAAGTCAGAAAGGGGATTGAAATGGAAGAAGGAGGGCGAACTCACCCAATGTGGCGGGAGAGCTCGCGCATGAAGGCAACGCAGAAGCGGCGGATCTCGTTGTCCGACTTGCCCTTGGGGTCAAAGTCGGAGCCACCCTTACCACCGCCCATGTGCAGGCCGGTGAGAGCGTTCTTGAAGATCTGCTCGAAACCGAGGAACTTGAGGATGGAGAGGTTGACCGACGGGTGGAGACGGAGGCCGCCCTTGTACGGGCCGAGAACCGACGAGAACTGGACACGGAAGCCGTTGTTGACCTGGCACTGACCCTGTTTCGAGGAAGATAACGCGAGATAGTCAGCGAGACGCTTCTCGGATGATACCAGAGCGGATTCGACTCGCCTTGTCGTCCTCCCAGGTGACACGGAACTGGATGATCCTCTCGGGGATCATGAGAACCTTGAAGGCATTCTCCAACTCGGGGCGCTTCTTGAAGAGAGGCGCAAGAGTCGAACGGATCTCGGCGACTGCAGCGTCGGAAGTCAGTCAACCTGCGCCGTCTGGTGGCCTGCACAGGCTCGTGTAGTGCCCAACGTACCAGCCTCTGCAATCGATAGGAAGGGCGAGCGGTGTCAGGACGAGCGATAGGCAGGACGACGACAGCGGCTCGGGAGGACGCACGCTCGAATTCGGGCTCAGAGACCTTGGACGCGGTGTAGGACGACATCGTAGCTGGGAGATCGAGCTGGCGTGCGGGTGTGCGAGCAAGGAAGAGGCGGGGAGGAGGGGGGATAGAGAGAGAGAGGGAGGAGGAGCGGCGGGTTCCGCGGTCGTGATTTCGCCGAAAGGGCGCCGAGCCGTCGGACATGAGCGGACACAGATTTTCATCGATTTGAACGAGGTTTGGCGCGAGATAAGCAGACGGGTCGACACGTCTGGCGCCTGTCCTCAGCTGAGTTATGCAGCGGTGTGACCAGAATGTCGCAGCTGGTACCGCTAGCTCCTGAACGACACCCGCGAGCACAGGAAAAAGCGACTCGGGCGAGTTGACGGGGGTCGGGCGGGTTGTCGACGAATCTGCCCTTACAACGTCGAGTTGTAATGCCGTGTAGTCGGCCGCGTATCGTATTCCGTCGGCGGGTCAAGAAAGTCCAGCAGCACAAGTCCAGCCGCAAGCGCCGTTCGCAATCGTCCCTGTATCCGTCCTTGTCATTCAACGACCCTCCGCTCGTCCCGCCGCTCCGCCCACGCTTCTTGAGGCAGAAGGACGTCAACCGCCAGCCAGTGGCCGTTGCAGCGTCGCAGTGTGTTCTGCCGCACGAGAAAAGCGACGTCCAGCTCGGCGGAACGGACGGATAGGCGGTCGTTGGCGTCGATAGAGGCAGTCGAGACGAGCGGGCGAGCGAGGGGAGGGCGGGCAGGAAGGCAGCGTCAGTGCGTCGACGGCAGGTCTGGAGCATTGCCAGCGTCCAGGTGCACCCAGCATGCGAGTATGAGGGTATTTGCAGAAGGAAGAGGGAGGGAGAGGAGAGGCCGGCCGAATGCGTCCCTCGGGAAGGAGGCCCGACCGCTCGTCGCCTCCTTTCCATCGCATGCGTAGAGCTTGAGTAAGCCGGTCCAGCGCGTTGTCGAGGGTACGGGCGAGATGAGCGAGGCGAGAGAGACGAGAGAGATGGCGCCTGACCTTCCCAACCGTGTAGTCGACATCTGGAGAGCGACGAAAGGATGCGATGCAGAGAGAACCTGAGGCGCTACGCTCCTCGTCAAGAAGCCAGCTTGACGAGAGCAAAGTCCCCGTAGAGCTACAGATGGTGGAAGCAAGGGCGATAAGGGAAAGAATGATATCCGGGTATCCGAGGCTGGCGCAACCGCAAGCCGCTCGTCGCAGACGAGCGCTCGGTCGTCACCTGCCTCTCTAGTGGTGCTCGAAGCCGTCGCTTGACCGCAGAGCGCTGTCCGTCCTAGCCCGCTCCCGCTCCTCCTCAGCCTCCCGCTTTTCCTGCTTCTCCTCAACCTCCCCGTCCGTCCCGTACTCCTTCTCGCTCTCGTCGACCGTCTCAACGTCCGAGATGCTGCTGCCCCTCAGCCTCGACGGTGCACGGATCGGGATATCCAGACTCGAAGCCCGCCTCGAGCCTGCCTGGAGTGAGGGCGAGTAGCCGAGCGGCATCGGAACGGGAGGGTTGTCGATACTTGCGCGACGCTCCCACGGCTCGATGCGGTCGTACAAGGCGGAGGAGCGAGACGGCTTCTTGGTCGGCGAAGTGTTGGGCGTCGAGTGAGCGGAGGCCGTCTTCTCGGGCGAGACGAGCGACGAAGCGGACGCCTCGCCTGCGGTGACGGCGGCGTAGGAAGGAGGGACCATGACGGTCACCGAGTCGGACGGGAGAGCGGGCATTTCCTTTGTCTGGAGGTGCGTGTTGTGGTGGTTCGTCGGGAGCGGGATGGCGGAGCGGTAGGGCTGTTCGGCAGGGCGGCGGGTAGGTTGAGTAGTGTACAGGCTGATGCCGTAGCAAGCCGGAAGGGGAACTGCAGGTGAGCGATCTCAGCTCGAGTGACGTAGGGAAGGAACGAGGCGGGACAAACGCCAGAAGGCCCAGTCGATCAAGGACCACATGGCGTGCTCGGTCACGACGACAGTGACGGAGAGAGCTGTCGCGAGGAAAACGTGAGCTACGGACGATGGGGAGGCTGCGATTGGGCGCACCTCCAGCGAATGCCAGCACCGCGGTAATGCTCGCCGTATGCATCAAAGCCGATATAGAGGCCTTGATGCGTGATGTAGTCGTCTCGTCGTAAGCAGTACGGCGTTGACTGAGCGTGAGTGCGAGAGAGATAGTCAAGGCGAGGTTGACGACGGTGGTCGACCAGAGCCAGACGGCCGTGACGATGTCGTGCTCGCGAGGGTTGATCTTGAGACTAGCGGTGTCGCGAGCCTGGCAGAGGAAGCGTTAGGCGATACCTCACTTCCTTTAGACCCGTTCACCCACTGTGAAACCTGCGACGGTCGTTGCGATAGACGCGGCGAAAGCGACAAGGATCCAAAGCGCCATCGCGAACACGAACATCTTGCGACTCTTGCGCTCCTCAATGCCCTGCGCGTTGTGGAAGTTAGCCCCGTTTGACCTCCGCCAGCCTGCCTGACGCACCGCAGCGGCTCGCACTGCCAGAACCGCCTGGACTGGCAGCGCTACGAATCCTGCAAAGAGGGGAAGAAGCCAATCGACGGGCCAGCCGTGGAGAATGTCGTCCGGTGAGCGTTTGAGGGTTGCTGCAAGTCCGACTAAATTAGCCGAAAGCTCTGGGCAGGAAGGAAAGCGGGATTTACTCGTCCAGTGCACAACGTCGCAGAATACGAGGGCCGAGTAGGCCGTGAGAAGCGCAAAGACTGCCCACAGGACAGTCTTGACGCGGAGGGCGAGGCGGGTGTACGGTTCCGAGGCGATGTAACGAGTGTGGGTTGCGGCGTAGATGCCGTAGAGGACAAGGGCGACGAGAGATCCTGCGACAGTCGAGCCTAGCAAGGCGGAGGTGGCCTTGCGGACGTCGCCTTCTGCGACGAGCTGGTCGCCCATGCGAGGCGAGTTGGAGGGAGCGACGAAGAGAGCCTGAAAGGAGCGACAAGGGTGGGTCGGCACGACGGCCGGGGTATCGAGCGAGCCAGCGACGAGGAGACGAAGGACAAGCCGCACAGCAGCTCAGGCAGCAGAACGCCCCCCCGCCAATCCGCCTTCCGCTTCGAGCGGTGATCAAGGGCTCTAAGCCTGGCCTGTCGGAAATGAATGGCCAGCCACAGCGTCGACTCGAAGAACAGCGCACGGGCGCTGAAACACGGCTCCAGTCAGCCCGCCGCCTACGAGACAAGGTCTTGCCAGGCCTGCGAAGAGCGAATGAGGAGGGGGACGGGTGGAGACGCCTCAGCTTGCCCAAACTTCGTACGCCTGTCCTGCCACTGCTGCGTACGAGCTGCATCCTCTCGTCCTCCATCGACCACCAAGAGCTGATGCGTGTGCTGGAGGCCGTGTCTTGATTTCGAGAGCGATGAGGTTGCGGTGCGGGTGTGCGGGGGCTCCCGGTCGTGAGAGGCGGGCAGCATGGATCTCATCGTACAGTGCGCAGCTCTAGCACAACAGCCCAGTCAGCTCGAGGCCAACAGTGTGGGCTGTCACGACCCGAGGAGAACACGCGGTTCGCCCTCTCGACACTCGCTCGCACCGTCTTTAACTCGCTAGAGATGCTGAGATGACTGCGAGCTATTCTTACGCGCCGCTAGGAGGGCTGCCAACCCGCTCCTTACGCGATTCGCGCCTGTTCGACCTCGACGCACCTCCCCCACCTCTCTCTCGATTTCGTATCCTCACGCGACCCAAAGCGTTGTTGGCGACGATATCGGTCGCTCTCCTCATCGTCTACTTCGTCTACAATCCGCCCGTGCGACGATCTGAGCGGGACAATCGCCTCATCGAAGCTGGCTTCGACCCAGACGCTCGTTTCGAGGCGCTGTATAAGGCAGGACAGGCCGGTTGGAGGCCGTACGACGGAGCGGAAGACTGTGAGGAGGAGGAGGTCAACGAGCAGATATGGGTGGACAAGCTCACCGCGACTTGTCTGGAGGATCTCGGGGCGAAAGGCGTTCTTTGCGAGGAAGCGGCGGGCTTGTTCAGGCAGCCCGCCGTCGACCTCGTGTGGACGTGGACGAACGGCAGCGATCCGTTGCTGTACCGTTGGCGAGCAGACGTGACCGCGACCCTGTCGGACAGGGTCAGACCCGCCATTGCCGCCGTTCGCGAGCGCAAGACGGCCAATCACTTTCGGTTTGTCCTGCCAAGCTGTCCTTCAGCAGTCACAGTGCTCACACAATCTGTAGACAGCATGACGAGCTGCGCTATTCGGTTCGCTCGGCTGTTCACGCATTTTCTCCGTCGTCACTTCGCCAGCTCCGCATCCTCACGACCGACTTGCCGGCAAATGTCATGCTCGGCGACCTCATCGATCCTTTGTTCTCGACCGCCAACGCTAGCGGCCAGCTCGTCACCTCCGCGCGCATCGGCCAAGTCCCGACCTGGCTAGACCGGAACTCCTCCGCTGAAAATCCGCCGCTCATCGTCTCGCATCATACCTCCTTCTTCGAAGACGGCGTCGCGTTGCCAACGTTCAACTCGCTCAGCATCGAAGCGCAAATGAGCAATCTTGCGGATCTCAGCGAGTTCTGGCTGTACTTGAACGTAAGCTTTTCTGGTCTACGGAGAAGCGTGCTGATCCTCTTGGACTGCGCAGGACGACGCTTTCCTCTTCTCCGACTCGCACTTGACCGCTGGCGACGTCGGCGCACCTCTCGTCGGTCCAGTCTTCCGTATTCAAGCGGACATGCTTGTCAACGCGCTTCCTCCGTCTGCATCCAGTACGTCCAACGCCATATTGCCCCGAACTTCGCTCACAGGGTCTGTTGTAGTCAAGGATGATGAAGGCGAATGGGCGAGTTTGCAGCGCGCAAACTGGCTGCTCGGTGCGCTTCCTGCCTCCCGCTCGATAGACGGTGTGCTGACTCATCGAGATCAGACCAGCGATTCGGCAGACGGCGCCGAGGATACCTCGCTCACATTCCCAAGGCGTTGTCGGCACCGCTCTTGCGAGAAGTCGGTCGCGTCTTCCATGATGAGCTTCGAGAGGTAGGCCTCGTGTCTTTCGTCGTACAGCGCGATCTGACACCCTCCTGTCGTCCAGACCGCTTCGTCTCGCTTTCGAGGCAAGGCTACCGAGTATCAAGTCGCCTTTCTCGCCACGCACTACATTATCGAAGCACATCGAGAAGCTCTTTTGCACGCCTTCTTCATTGGCAAGGGCGACTCGAATGCCGACGGCTCGCTCTCAGTTGACGCACGACGGCGCATGCTTTTCGACCTCGGCTTCCGAATTGTTGAAACCGACGTCTCGCCCCCGCTCGTCGAGGTCCCGCTTCCTCGCCGCTCGACAACCGCCGACCTGCCAGGCCAGCTCGCGCAGGCAGGCATCCCACTGCCAGGCGGAACTTCGTATGCCTTTTCGTCGCACGACGGGTTTGGCATGTTCCGCGTCGAGAACGCCGCGTACAACGAGAAGTTCGACCCCTCGAAACCCCTTCGCCCCGCCTTGCCACTCGACACGCAAGTACCCCGCCATCCCGCATGCGCTATCACCTTGAAAGCTTGCTTCGGCGAGGACTTCTTGGCGGCGACCAGGTCGGTCAAGGCGGAGGACGTGATGCGTCGCGTCGCTTACGAGCAGCCGCAGTGCGGCGATTGCGCTATTCTCCAGCTCGTTGGTGGAAGCGGAGCAGCTGGCCTGTCCGCTTTCCTGCCCACATGTGACGCGCCTCACACTTCCGCGCCTTCGCCACCGCCGACCTACAGTACAGCGAAGCGTTTCGACAAGGTCTCGCTCTCCCTCCCTTCCTCCTGCCCGTCTCGCCGGCTTGCCTCCATCTCTCGCATCCTCCGATACACTTACACGCTCGGCGACTCGTCCTCGCGCTTCATCAGCATGCGACAAGCGCGGTTGACGGAGCAGGTTCTTCGGAAGATGGATGAGGCGGCAGCAGCGGGCGAGGAGGGTTTGCCGACCTTCCTCACTCTCAGTGCGTGTTCCGTCCACTACTCTTCGCGTTGCATGCGCTGACGGCGATCCTGACACAGACGACGACTTCGTCCTCGCCGAGGCGTCGCAAGCCGCGAACAAGATCCTTCACAACTGGTTCGAGCAGCATTGGCCGAGTCCCTCTCCGTACGAGACTCGGACGCACGCATAGACGCAAGGCAATGACATAGATGACTGATCGAGACTAGGGCTACAAGGGTGGGATAATGCTGGAGATGAGATGCTGGCTACAAGGGAGGACGGAAGCGATACAGGCTGTCGATGGTCTGGACGAGACGGCGCATCTAGCTGAAGAAGGGGTTCGAGGAGGAAGCGAAAGCGCCTTGTCCGAGCGGCGAAGCTGGCATAGGCGAGCGGCGAAGGGTGCGGTCGGATCCAGGGGTAGGCAGGTACGACGAGTGCGCCGAGGGCGAGGCGGGCGCGAGGTCGGTGAAGTAGCATGTTCGCTCGGCGACAGGAATGCCAGGAGGAGGAACGGGGCAGCCGGGCGAGTCTGGCATCGAGTAGGAGAACCAGGAGAAGGCAGGTCCGCCTGCCCCGAGCGAGGGAGCGCCGGGCAGATGCGAAGGCGTAAGGGGCGTCCGGGGTCCGGTGTTGGTGAAGTGGAAGGCGGAAGACCGGGTGAGAGGCGAGGAGGGGGCGCGGTCGAGCGAGGGCGAGCTGGAGCGGCTGGGAACGTCCAGGCGGAGATTGTCATTCCGCAACGACGGCTTGAAGGCGCTGACGCTCGAGAGAGCCGGCGAGCCGCCAGGGCTGCGCGGCATTCCCAGCTTCGACGATGGCGAGCGGCGGAGAGTTGGGCTGTCCCCGACCGCGACGTTCTCGATGCCAGGCGAAGGAAGCGGACTCGACGGCCGGCTTCGGCGTCCTGCCTTATCGCCATCGAACTCCATGTTGAGGCGGAAGGTGTAGCCTGGTCCGCCAGGAGAGACGCCCTCCATGCCTTCGAAGCCGGCCGAACCAGGACCAACGCCGAGACCCATGCCCGCATCGCGCGACGCCTCGAAGCGCATCTGCTGCAGGCTCAGGAGCGCCTTGTTCGGCAACTTGCCCGATGCCGCACGCCGAGCTGCGAGGGTCGGCGTCTCGGTGGGCGTAGGGAGGAGACCGTCGAGCTTGAGAGCGAGGGGAGTCGACGGCCGCTCCATGGTGAAGAAGGGGGAGTGTGGGAGCGCAATGTTTGTCGCGAGATCGGAAGAGGCTGCCGACGGCGTCTTCGAACGGTCGTGGAAGAAGGCGCGCGAATCTAGCTGGTCGAAGTCGACGGCGCCGCTGTCGTCGTCCAGCGAGTACGTAGCGCCGGGCGGACTGACGTGGACGACGGGATGTTGCGAAGGCGATTGAGGCGGAGTCGGATTCTCGTCTGTCGTACGCATCGTATGAAGTCAGTTTCAGGACCTGAGTCGAGTAGCAGAAGTGCACGCACCCAGCGAGACCAACGAGTCGATAGTGCCGTCACTGGAGACGCTCAGGTTGCGAACGCCCGCCAGCTGCGGCTCGTCGTCGTAGTACAGCACAGGCGAGTCCGGCTCGACAGGTGGAGTGACCATGATGGGAAGCGGGGAGGGCGAGATGCTGAAAGGAGAGACGGAGAGGGCGCGGTGAATGGGTCGACAGCGCTGATTCGAGTGGATGTGCCCGAGACTGCCAGGTATCGGAGACGAGCGATGCGAGGGACGAGGGACTGGGAGAGAAGGCCTGTCGAAACGTGGTGCGGCGGCCGAAGCGGAGGCTGAGAACCAGTCGGAGCACAAGGGTCGCTGACGGAAGCAGACGGGTCGCTAGCTCGAGCGCACGGCGCTGGAAGCAGGGAGGGGGCGAGAAGGAGAAGCGAGGCGAGAGACGGGCGACGGATGAACCTGTAGGTCCGCAGGCTAAGACGAGCGAGGCTGCCAGAGCCAGCCGCACAGCTGCTCGATGCGGGACGCAGAGCCCGTGAGAGAAGGTCGTGAGAACACCCGCCCGAGGAGCGCCCGGTCGCGCTAGAAGCGATGAGAGGCGCCTCCAAACGCATTCGCGCGCGCCGGCACTTTCCCTTCGCGTCGACCGCGACGAGGCTTGACCTTCCCGAGTCGGTTAATTGCGCCTCTGCGAACCGTTCTGTTATCGAGGCGCAACTGTTCTCTGGCCCAGGACAATCACCTCGACGTCCTAGCCTTATCCAAGGTCGTCTGCTTGGAGCGAGGCGAGCGACGAGGAGAGGCAAGCCTCGAGAGTCGGAAAGCGATTCTGCGAGTCCGTCATTCTTCACCAGCTGCAAACTCTGTCCTCCAGTACTTCCGAACGACGCCAAGCGTCCCACGAGAACCCGTCGAGGCAAGACGGCCCGCTTGGCTCGCTCCGCCGCAAAGCCGCCCGTCTTCCTCCTCATTGTGCATGCGATTCCATCCGGAGAGCTGGGGTTTGTGTACGCGTCGAGGTCGTTGCACGCGAGAGGTACGGACGGCACAAGCCCGCGAGAGAAGGGCCGGGGACTCCATCGGCCGGCGAAGCAGGAAGAGAGGGAGGTCGGCGACGGGTACCTCGCGAACTGACAAGCGTGGCTTCGCAGGGAGTCCGCAAGGCAATCTCGAGGCGAAGGGGATGGCGCTGGCATTGGCAGGCGCGATAATCGGGCCGGGCATCAATCGTCCAAGTCCGAGTTGTCTCCGCGCGCACCTGTGCGGATGCGTCGCCGGCCGCCTTCGTCTCGTCTTGCGCCCTGCACAGACGGGAAAGGCGATGCAGAACCTGGATACTTGGAGAGCACTTCTGCTCGCGCGGGTAATGAAGGGAAGAGGTCAGCCGTGCCGGGTTGCTGCCCTGCGAACGAAGACCACGCACCGCACTGCTGCATGCCGAGCTCAAGCGAGGCGGTAGTGAAGGCGTCTCCGCCAGGTAGATCCTCAAAGCCGACGAGCCTGCGGGATCAGCGCAACGTCAGCCGGCGAAGTTGAGGAGACTCGAGCCTACGCACTTCATCTTGGTAACACCGTCCACGAAGCCAATCACGCAGGGCAGCACCTTGACGTCGAGCTTGGTGACGAGAAAAGGAACGTTGGCAACGTCCGCCTTTAGGAACAGCGTGTCGAGGTGCTTTGCCGCGAGTTTCTGCGAGCGAGACGAGGTAAGCGGCGGTCGAGGTTGAACGGGCGGTGCGGGCGCACCTCGAGATGGGCGTCCATGATCTTGCATCGTCGAAAGTCGCGGTGGAAGAAGTGCACGACGGAGCGCTTCTCCTTTCTGCGAGAACGAGCTTTTTGACATCGGATCAAAGTCAACGAGAGGGGAGGAGCGTCGCGACACGCACGCTGTCCGGGCGATGAGGTCCTTTTCCACCCTGATTTCCGTCAGCTTGCCATAGTCCGACTCTTGCACTCGTCGCGCAGCATCCACCCTGTGCGCCAGGAAGCGAGCCGTGAGCCTCGAGAGGGGTGAGGGAGGCGAAGGCGGACGCACTGTGCCTTCAACTCGAGCATCCGCTTCTCCCTGAATCCGCCCAGATCAAAGTCATCATCCAGCTCCGCCTCGAGCTCCTCTAGCAGCGCGTCCAAGTCGTCCGAGTCGCGGTCGACAGCTCGTGGTTTCCGGTGGATCGAGGAGGAGGTGGAAGCGCTCGCTCTGTTCGCGGGCGGTTCAGGTTAGCCTAACAGATCAGCGCACGTCTAGAGACACCGCTTACCCTGTTCTTGAGCTCATCGTCGGGCGTTGGCGGGTGTGGTCGAGCGAGAGAGGCGATCCGAGCAAGGGTTGTGCTCATGTCCCTCACTCGCTAGTTCAGGAGGACTTGCTGGGCCGCCTGAGCGCCCCTTCTATCTGCTTCGAGGCCTCGGCAACAGTCTGCAGCATCCTCAGCGCTTGAGCCACTCTCTCAGTGACTGCCGACCTCTCCCCACCTCGTACGCCTCACTCCTCCCTCGAAGCGTTCCAAACCCTAGCCGACACATCGAGACCGCACCGACATGAGCCTCTTCTCGCTGAGCGCCTCCAAGCTGGCCGACGTCGAGATCGCCAACCCTCCCTCCGACTCGATCTCCGCCCTCGCCTGGTCTCCCACCGCCGACTTGCTGGCTGCGGCAAGCTGGAGCAACGAAGTGAGGGTATATGAGGTCGGGCTGAACGGGGCGAACCAAGGGAAGGCGATGTATAGCCATGAGGGTCCCGCTTTGTGCGCGAAGTGGTCGAAGGTGCATCCTCCCGGTTCCAGGCTGTGCCCGTACACCGTACTGACTATTCGTTGACACGCAGGATGGTACGAAGATTGTGTCGGGGTGCGTGGCGCCGTTCTGTGCCACTGGTCCTCGCTTCTTAACGAACTTATGCTCGAAATCAGAGGCGCCGACAACGCCGCTCGCATGTTCGACGCCGGAAGCGGCCAGTCGACGCAAATAGGCGCCCACGACGCTCCCATCAAGTGCATCGACTGGATCGACGTGGGCGGAGGACTTGTCGTGACTGGCTCGTGGGACAAGGTGAGTTAGCTTCGCTCCTCTCACCTTGTGCAGCCTCACTGACTTGTACTACTCCCTTTCGTGCAGACCCTGCGCTACTGGGATCTGCGGCAGCAAGCGCCTGTCGTCCAGGTCACGCTACCAGAACGCTGCTACGGTTCGTCTCGGGGCGAATTGCGCTTGCGCTCCCGGCTCAAGCTGACTCGCCTTCTCCTGCAGCGATGGACTGCGTCTACCCTCTGCTCGTCGTCGGTACCGCCGAGCGCCACATGCAGATCTTTAACTTGAGTCAGTCTCGCCCCCCCTCTCTTCCGCCGCAACCCTCTCCTCGATGACTAACACGATTTCGCGCAGATAACCCCGGCACAGCTTTCAAGACGATCACCTCCCCCCTTCGCATGCAAACCCGCACACTCGCGTGCCTCCCCGACGCATCAGGCTACGTCCTCGCCTCGATCGAAGGGCGCTGCGCGATCCAGTATGTCGAGGACTCGAAGACGTCGCTCAACTTTTCGTTCAAGTGTCATCGGAAGGTGTGTTGCGAGTTTCTCGTCTCCAGGACGGAGGTTGGCTGACTAGAAATGACGGACGGCAGGACATGGCGAAGGGATCGCAGACGTTCGGCAGCCAGTTCAAGACTGGTAGTCAGCAGGTGCGCCCGACTCGTCTGCCGTTTCGCGTACGTGGCGGCACGAAATGAGCGTGAGCTGATGTCGTCGCCCTCGACCAGGTCTTCGCCGTGAACGACCTCGCGTTCAACTCGATGGGGACGTTTGTGACTGCCGGCAGCGACGGGACGCTCAAGTGGGTCTACAACCTCTCTCCATACGCTTCGCGAGCTGACCCCAGCGGTGCGCAGCATTTGGGATCATAACTCGAGGACTCGGTTGAAGACGATTGTCGACGTTGGCGGTCGTGCGTCTCGTCTCTTGTCTCGCTTCTCCTTTCTGTGCTCGAGCTTATTTCGCATGTTCCGCAGCGGTCGTCGCCGCTCGCTTCAACCACTCGAGCCAGTACCTCGCCTGTGAGTTGCCTTCCTCACGCTCAGTCAAGCAATTGCTGACACATCCAACCCAACGTCCGCTGCTCGCAGATGCCATCAGCTACGACTGGTGCGCCCCCTTCGCATCGTTCGCTTGATCGCGGCGGCTGACAGGCGTGTTTGTCCAGGTCGCAAGGGTACCAAGGTAACTCGGCGGCGCAGAAGACCAAAATCATGCTGCACCCTTGCCAGGTGCGTCCGCAACCATCCGTCTCCTTTCTTCAGACCCAGTGCCGACCTCGTGTCGACGTTGCAGGAGGACGAGGTCAAACCGAAAGTCAAGAAGTGACGCTCCTATCCTCGCTTTTTCTCGCCAAGTCCGTCCTTCAACGCCGTTCTTCCGCTACAATGCCAACTGCATTACTCGCACCGCACATGCACGATACCTTCGCCTGTTACGATTCACGGCTTACTGTTCCTCTCGCAACGATAGATACCCTTTCGCTCGCTGGCTGCGCTGATCGCCCCCCCTCGCGCGCCGTCTTTTCTGTTCGGTGTATCATACGCAATTGCAGTCCGTTCATGAGCAGAGTGGTCGGGGAAGAGCGAGAGAGGAGAGGGATGAGGGTGACTAGGTCAGTTTGTGATTGAATAGGAGTTGCGTTTGTAATCGGGTTGGTTGTAATCGGGGTGTGCTGCGGATCTCGGCGCGGTGACGAGTTGGGCGGAACGATCTCGCCTGCTCGACATCATCGCCCGCTCTCGCTCACCTCGCACCGCACTCAGGCTTGCGCGCCATGCCCATCGCCAACGTGCTCAAGGGCCTGCTCCACAAGCACGACAACCAGCGAGCGCGCGACAACCCCGCGTCCACCCACTCCCCATCCTCGTCGTCCTCGCAGGCGTCATCGCGCCAACAACCCCAGCAGGCTGCCCTCCCGTCCCAGCCAGAGCCCGCACACCTCCCCGCAGACTCGTCCAGGTCCAGGTCCCCGCCCCAGTCTTCGTCCGCCGCCGCCGCCATGAACCAGCAGCCGATCACGGCTGGCTCGGCCTCGGGAGGTCAGCACACCCAGCAGCAGCAGCAGATGTCGCAGGCGACGCAGGCAAAGGCAGAGGACCTCGTGCGCAAGGACGCAGAGGCAAAGGCCAAGCGCGACCAGAGCGTCTTTGAGGGTCTCCCCGAGGGACTCTTGCTCGGGAGGAAGATGGGCGACGGCGCGTTCTCCAACGTCTTCGAGGCGACGCTCCGACCAACACCCGCACAGCTCGCCATCGACCCGTCCCTCGGCAAGTCCGCCAAGGTCGCCGTCAAGTGTGTCCGCAAGTTTGAACTCAACTCGTCCCAGGTGAGGCGACCCTTTCCCTCGCGCTCTGCGTCTCGCTCGGGTCTCCCAGCTCGCCAGCCAGACTCTCTTCGACACGGACGACTTGGCCAGCGCTTTCTCGGCGGCGACGAGTCTCTGACGGAGCAAAGTCGCGCCGCGCCGCCCGCTCGGTCTCGCCAAGCGGAACAGCTCCGGGCGCTCGTCCTCGCCCAGGCCAACCGTCCCTCGCGCCGCGTACTGACTGGTCGTCTCCTCTCTTTCCTATCTTCTCTCTCTCCGCCGCCTCTCGTCCAACTTTCCGACTTTCGCTCCGCGTCACGCCTATTCTCCTATGCTGGCTTCGTCTCGGTCTCGTTTGCCTCGGGCTCTGTTGGATTGTTCTGTCCTGTCCTGGCCTGCGCAAACCCCTCGAACCAACCCCATGAACTACCTTGTCGCTTCGCGTGCTGCCTTCGACGGGACTGATCACCCCGTCGAGCAGCAAGCGCAAGGCAAGCATGTGGGCGAGGCGGTCAAGAAGAAGCCGAGGGCGACAGAGGTTCGTCCCTGCCCTTCTCGCTTGCGGCGTTGCGCGGGCAGGACCCACCGCGCCTCGTGACTTGGTTCCCGCACCCGTCACTGTACATAGGTCTTGAGTCGTGTTTTTCTGACCTTCGCGACCCCGCACTTCGCCCTGCGGCTGCTTCTCTTTCTGCTCTTCTCGACACCTACCTACCCTCGACGTCGCCATCCCGCGAACCTCCGCCTCGCCTCGCACCTCCCCTCCCTCTCCTCTCCGTGAAACAGCGCGCCAACATCCTCAAGGAAGTGCAGATCATGCGCGGCCTGAACCACCCTTCCATCGTCCGACTCCTCAACTTTACCGAATCCCGCGAACACTACTACCTCACCCTCGAGTGCGCAGCGTCCCTCGGCCTTCCTTGCGCTTTCAGCTGACCCTCGCTCTTCTTCGCAGGTTGATGGGCGGCGGCGAGCTTTTCCACCAGATCGTCAAGCTCACCTACTTTTCCGAAGAGCTCTCGCGACATGTCATCCTCCAAGTCGCGCAGGGCATCCGCTACCTCCACGAAGAAAAGGGCGTCGTTCACCGGTGCGCTGGCCTTCCTTCGATCTTCGCTCACCCTCGCTGACGCTTGCCCGCTCGCCGCAGTGACATCAAGCCCGAAAACATCCTCTTCGAATCGATCCCGATCATCCCCTCGAAAGTGCCCAAGCACCGACCGTACGACGAGGAGAAGGAGGACGAGGGCGAGTTCATCCCCGGCGTCGGTGGCGGCGGGATCGGTCGCGTCAAGATTGCCGACTTTGGCTTGTCCAAGATCGTCTGGAACGAGGAGACGATGACGCCGTGCGGGACGGTCGGGTACACCGCGCCCGAGATCGTCAAGGACGAGCGGTACTCCAAGTCGGTCGACATGTGGGCTCTCGGTTGCGTCCTCTACACGCTCCTGTGTGGCTTCCCGCCGTTCTACGACGAGTCCATCCACGTTTTGACGGAGAAGGTCGCCAAGGGCTACTACACCTTCCTCAGCCCGTGGTGGGACGACATCTCGGCTTCCTGTGCGTTCCGAGTCCCATTCTTCGCCGATGGGAGCCGTGCTGACCCTGACTTTGCCTCGACCGCAGCCAAAGACCTTATCACCCACCTCCTCGACACCGACCCGGAGAAGCGGTATACCATCGACGAATTCCTCGCACATCCGTGGTGCAAGGCCAAGCCCGCTCCTCCCGCCGTCACGCCCGGCACGCTCGACTCGCTCAACCTCAAGCCCGTCCCGCGGTACATGCCGATGGACTCGCCCCTCCTCGCGCCTGGCGGCATGCGCGCGATGCCCTCGCCTGGCGTCGCGCACCTCAAGGAGGCGTTCGACGTCACGTACGCCGTGCACCGCATGGAGGAGGAAGGACGGAATCGGCAGAAGGGCCGCGGAGGGTTCCTCCAGGGGTTGAACGAGGTCGACGAGGACGAGGCGGACGAGCAGGACCTCGAGGCGACCAAGAGGCGGTACGGCGCAGAGGTCTCGCGCGCGATCGAGCAGAAGCGGCGCGACCTCCAGGACTTGTCCAAGCAGCGCGGTCCGACCCAGTCGGCAGCCGAGGCGCAACGAGCGGCGCAGAACTACGCGGGCTACGGTGGCGCAGATCGCAAGCAGGCCGAGGCGGCGCTGTACGACGGACGAGCGGGTGCGCGAGATCGCGGCAATGCCAACGCGGCACGACGAGGACGCAACGGCGGCTTCGAGCTGGCCCTCGACCGCGCGACCCTCCTCGGGCGCCGCAAGCACGACGTCGCGATGCCTTCTCCCATGCGTATAGACTGAGTTTCCCTTTCCCTTCCGCAACGACCGCATACACCACCAGCAACTCTCCTTCCCCTGAACTCTACTTCTTGGGTCGACTTCCCTGTATATAGCTCGTCCACCCTAGTGTCCGACCTCCTCTCCCTCGCCTGTACCCACTTCCACTCCTCCTCTAGCCGTTCTCCGCCGCTGTTGTAGCCCTCCTCCCTCTCGTAGGCGCTCTCCCTCCCCTACTACACAGTCACGCAGTGCAGCGCATACCAGACAAGCACGTCGCATCGAGGGGCGCAGAGGAACGGATAGTATGGCAACAGGGAACGACGCAAGAACTTCAAACCGACATAACTCCCATCACCCTGAACGCCGACCGTCCCGAGCTGCCGTCCGCCGCGAGTGTCCGACAACGCACTTGGTGCCGTCCTGGCGGGACCTTGTCCGCAACAATGGTCGTTTGAGCGAGAGACGCCGAGTTTTCCCAGTGCCCGTCGATGTCGGCACCTCGTTCGCCGACCATGCAGCGCGCTCGACCGAGGTTGTACTGCCGAGAGCGCAGGTACGAGATGGCGACGAGTCCTTGCGCTCCTTCGCGAACGTCGACGTCGAAGACGATCTCATCCGAGTTGGGTACGGCTGCCTCGTAGTAGAACTCTGCTCGGTAGGCAAGTCAGTTACGACACGAGCTCGAGACGCATAAGAGAACGCACTGCTGTACTTCCAGTCGACGAGTTTCCAGTCCTGCGGCTCGTTGGCGGGAACGAGACCTGCGCCGGCCGTCACGCAAGTCGGCGGCTTCGTCGCGTGCGTCTCCGTCGAGTTCCAGCGTTCTCGCATCGTAACCTGCGAATCGAGCAGTGAGTTCAAGCAGAGCTCGAAGCGGAAGACTGATTCGCACCTGCGGAACTGTCCCGAGAGCTGCTCGACTAGGCCAATCTCCTCCCTCGCCTGCTGCGAGTGCGAGCTCCTCAACGCGACACCGCTCCTCCATCAAGTAGCCGATGACCATACTGCCCAAGAAGCGATGTAGGCTAGTCGACCCGTGTCGCTCGTCGCCCAAGAACCAGGGCTCCTTCAGGCTATGGTCGCGAATCAGGGCGGGTAGAAGTGCGGGACGTGCAGAAATTTGAGGGACATCGTAGAAGGGCGAGAGGGTCGACTGGATGTCCTGGGCGGAAAGAAGGGTCTGCTGCTTGCCGGCGAAGGTGTTGTACAGCGAGAAGGTGTCGACGTAGACGGCGGCCGGCTGCGAGTCGAGCTGCAAGAGGGATCGAAGGAGGTTTTCAGAGCTGCTGAAGCTCGTGTTCGGGTCGTCGTTGACGGCGAGCTCGATGAAGACGAGGTCGACGTCGGTGCCGCTGCGAAGGGTCGTCGTCAGATTCGCTGCAGAGCTCTAGGACGGCGCGACGTACATCAAGCTCGTCCAACACCATTCAAAGAAGCTTGAGTCGGTCGCAGCCTTTGCGCCATTCCGGAAGTGAAACTCGGCCGTCGGGAACGCCTCCTCGAGGTACCGCATCACGATTTGGTGCCACTGCTCCTGCACGGGCACGGCGCCGTATTTGTTTCGCTGACCGGTGACGGGGTCTGTGCCATGCCCAAGCGACACTGCGGCGTAGTGAGGATGAGCGGGAGAAACGAGGAGGAGAAGGTAGGTTGACGCACCGCTCCCGCCGATGAGCCCCACTCGCAGCGTCTTTCCCTTCTGCGCTTTCTCGAGGAACCGCTGCGTTCGATAACCCGAGCCAACGTGGACTTGCGAGAGGCGGAAGTTGTGAAGGCCAAACTCGTCGAGCATCGAGGGCGAGATGCCGCACGTCGCGCGTGAAGAGCCTGCTGACAGGCTTCGTCAGCCGATCGTCCGCGCAATATGTTATCAGCCCTGGGAGGATGGCGAGACGCACCGAAGAACTGCTTCCAGCGTCCCTCTCCCGCAGTCCGTCGAAGCTGAGCTAGCGGGTCATCGTAGTCGCGCAACAGTCTAAAACGACACGAGAACGTCAGCGTCTGCATGCAGACTGCAGGGACGGTGCGAGAGGGAACGTACGATCCGCTAAAGAGAAGGACAAAACAGATCGTGAAAGCAAGGACGGCGTAGCCTCTCCGGCCAGCAGAGGGCGAGTCCGGCGGCATCGGGAGACGTCAACGGAGCAGCAATGACAGTGCAGCAAGCAGGTTGAGGAGAAGGATATCAAGCAAGGTCGAATGCCAAGGTGGAGCACCGTAACAACACGCGGAACGCGTCAAGTCGCGTTGTGCCGATCTGCGGCCCGGTTGTCTTCCGTCGGAGTCTTGCAGAAAGATGCGAATGCAAGGCAAGGCCGCCGAGTGTCGACTGTAGGCTACGGAATGAAGAGGATGCGAGTCGGGACCTTGCGGCGGTAGTCCTCGTAGTCCTTGCCGAAGAACTTCACGAGGTAGGCTTCCTCGACTGCGGGCAGAGTGTGAGCGGGTCGACGGGAGCTACGATCCACGAGCCGAACGCACTCCTGATGCGGTTGGCGAAGAAGCCCTGGAGGACGGCGACGAAAGCGATCGTACACAGCGGGTTGCCCAAGACGATCTGTTGCGCTTCTGCAGTCAGCTTTGTTCGTCTCCGAGAGCGCAGTCCGACACACCTGAGTACCAACAGCCCACCAGTAGAAGCCGGCGTAGGAAGGGTGGCGAGACCAGCTGTAGATGCCCGTCTTGACGAGTTGGTGTCCAGGACGCTTGCTGTAAGCCAGGCTGCGTTGACGAGTCAGCGCGGACCTTCAAGCGAGTTTGACAATGGTCTCACAGGTGCGAGAAGTTGCTGCTCGCGCTGATCATGGCGAACGAGCGGAGGACCTGGCCAATCCACACCACGACGAGACCTGGAGGAGCAGCTCATCAGTCAGGCCTCTCGTAAAGAGCTTACTATGGACGCACCGAAGACGAAGATCCCTCCAGTATGCTTCCACCGCCGCCATTCCTCAGGCAAGTAAGCTTCCTCGAGGATGTGTTCGACGATTCCGGCGATGTGTGCGGCGTGGTAGCCTCGCCCGTTGTCGAGCAGGAAAGCTGTCGAAGCAGGCACGTCAGCATACTTGCTGTGCATTCAAGATCAAGGCACTTACAGGAGACGGAGAGCTTGCCCGGGTTGTACATGCTCGTGACGACGAACTCGAGGAGGTGGAAGGCCGCCCAGCTCGTCAAGTACGCTCCAAGCTGCGGACTGCCCAGCACAGCCGTCTTCAAACTCTTCTCTCCCAGCTTCGCCGAGCCAGCCGCCCCCTTGACCGCGTCGAGAGACCACAAGAACCAGGTTGAGGCATTCGAAGCGACGACGACGAGTCCAATGGCCCAGCACGCGCCGAGGAGGAAGGCGAAGCAAGCGACGTTGTGCGGTGTCGACGAGAAGGAAGTCAAGGGGAACTCGACCGGCAGCGGCTTTGCGTGCGTCGGTCCGCTCGACGAGGAAGACTGGGTCGAGGAGGGGTCGCTCGAGGGAGACGGGCGCGGCGGGAAGGGCGATTCGGGTGCGGCGAGGGGTTCAGTCATGGTCGAGGATATCGCACAGGAGCAAGAGCAGGTCCAGCAGGCATCGGGAACTCTGTCCAGACAAAAGGTCAACGACAACCCTTCCCCTGGACGTTTCATCGTGTGTTGGTTTCGCAGAACAAAGCTGGTGCGAGGCAAGTTGTCCGAAAACAACCTTCGAAGCCGTCTGAAAGAGCTGAGCAGGGCAAGCAGGCGGAGGAAAAGGGGAGACGAGGAAGCGGAAGGGAGGGTAAGTCGAGGAGGCGAGAACTGGCTTGTACTCGTATTTGTTGCAGTTCCTCCTGAGATCGTGATGAGTCGTATACAGTGCCCTTACGCGCGCCTGAAGCGCCGCCGCCCCTAGCCCGCAACCCTGGCGGTCCTTACAAGGTCGCCCGCAACCTTGCCTTCTCGATAACGTCTACAATCAGCCCTGCATGCGCGAACAAGGTCAGCTGTTGGACGCATAGAGTGACTGAGCAGAGCGAGACCCACCTTGCGCTTCGTCGAGAAGAGCCTCTTCAGCCCGCCCTTTTCCTTCTTGCCAGTCGTCGGGCTCGCCGTGACCGACCCATCATCCGTCGCCGTCCGACTCATAGGCGCCGACAGCCCATTCTCGTCAAACTTGATCGCCGCAGTGCGCGCCTCGAGCTGCTCGACTCCGCCGTCCATCCCAGCCGAAGGCCCTCTCGACCCGTTGAGCGACATGGGCGAGCTGGCTGGCCAGTCGCGGTACGGTCGTCGTTCCTCAAGAGGACTGACAGGCACGCTGTGCGCCTGAGCCGCCTCGCGCCCGTCCTCGGCGCAAGTGACGACCGTCGTATCGTCCGTGAGCGGGTTGTTCGGGTTCTTGCGACCGGCGCGGAAGCGCGCTGCGAGCGACTTGCTTCGCTTCGGCTTGTTCGAGGGCGACACGTCGGATGCGTTCCAGTCGGCGGGGATGACGGGGACGGGGGGAGGTGCAGTTGCTCCGACGGGCTTGCCGGCTTTGAGCGTGGCCTGTTGACGGAGGTGTCAGCAAGCCGACAAGCGAACAGGACAGATACGAGCGCACCTCGATGTCCCAGATACTCTGCGTCCGCTGCATCCTGTCCTCCTTGCTCCGCTTCGCCGTCTCGCCCGTCTCGCCATTCGGCACAACGCTCTCCCTACTCGCAGTCGCACTACCTCCCGGCTCATACCGCGCCTGTCCATACTCCTCCCACGCCTCTGCGTCCCTCATCCCATAGATCTCCAGCAGCTGCTGGTTCTTCGCGCTCCCCTTGCGACCGCCAGGATAGCCCAGGGTGATATCGCGGTTCTCGTCCATCGCTGCCAGAGTCGCTTGCGCTCGTTCCGACAAGCCATTCGAGACTTTGCGACGCATGGAGGAGGCGGAGGGAGGGGGCGGAGTGCGTGAAGGAGAGGGACCGAGGCTGAAGGCGGATGGGTCGAATGCGGCGATGGGCGCGTGGTTGCCTTGGTTTCGCGACGTCGAGGCGGCGGCGTAAGGTCCCTCATGTCGCATTAAGCCTGTGAGAGCTCTGTCAGTTACAGAAGTCGAAAAGAAGACCGCTTGACGCACCTCCTCCGCCATACAGACCCGAGATGTCGAGCCGGTCGATCAAGTCAAGGTCCGTGTTACTCCTACTCCGAGTCTGCGGTCCTCCAGGCCTGTTCCTCGCACTCCTCTGGCTACTCCTCAGCGCGCCATTCGTCGCCGTCGCAACATCGTCCCGCCTGTCAAGGACAGGAACCATCTCTGCAATCTCGTCCCGCGAGGTCGAGGCCGACACAGACGACGAGGTGGTGTAGCTGCTGTCGAAGCGTTCTGGGAAAGATGGCTGGCGCGCCTTGGTGGGCGAGTCTCCGTAGGCACCGAGGATATCGTCGACCGTCCCGGAGCGGACGAACGAGGTGTCGAGCGTTGGTGGAGCCTGGCGCGAGTGGCTCGGGGAAGTCTGCCGGGTAGAATGCACTCTTTCTGTCAGTACAATGCTGTCGTTGTCCTCCAAAGTCTTCCCCTCCGCCAAGGTTCGCTGGCATGCCAAGAGCCCTCGCTCGGTTGCGATGCGCGGGGCGAAGACGCGTCCGGCAGCGGCGCAGGGCGTATGGGAGGGATATAGAGTGACAGTAGATGCGCTGGAACTCACGGATGCATCGCTGAACGGGTCCCGTCGAGAATACGCGTCTGTGTCGGCGGTGGATGCGGGTGCGGGGCGAGGAGGGGCAGCGGGAGCAGGCGACGGCGAGCGGGATGGGCGGAAGAAGTCAGCGAGCGATTTCGAGCGCTTGAGCATCGCGCCAGTCCGTCCAGCGTCACTCCCGCGAGCACGGCGAGGCGCGGCGACCGTGTTGCTGCCGCCTCCTCATCGCGGCGGAGTTCTCGTCGCCGGCGCAGACACCAGGACCGTGCGAGACTAGCGCAGCACGAAAGCAGTCGTGTGGACTCACCGGGGCGGGAGAAGTTGGTGCTCATCGCGAGCTCAGTCATCGACGAGGGTCGAGGGAGCAAGCAGAGAGCGAGCGAGGAGGAGGAGCAAGGCGGAGGACCCGCAACGTCCGTGGGCACAGCTGATAGGATTGCACAGACCAAGAGGCACACAGCGAGAGTCAGGAACATGGTACACGGGGCGGGCAGGCGAATAACGACGATGGGATGGAGTCCAGGGAGAACAGCGACGGGAGAAGGAGGACCGGCCTCAGCACGCGCACGCATCCTTCTTGTCCGCCTCGTTCTCGCTCAGGTTGACGCTCGAGTTGGCACCGGCGCCGCCGCGACCGGCACCACGGTTGGCGCCACCAGGACCGCGCGACTGGGCAATCAAGGCGTCGAGCGGGATCTTCTTGGCTGCGAGCGGGAGAACGTCAGCTGGTCGCTTTAGCACGCGCAGAAGCACACGCACCAATCTCAGTAAAGACCTCGACGACACCCTCGCCCGTCTTGGCACTCGTCTCGAAGAACAGCAAGCCGCACTCCTTTGCGTACTCCTCCGCCTCCTCGCGCGAGACCTGCCTCCTGCTCTCGCTCGGCTTACCACCGTCCGGTCCTTCGTCGTCGCCCGCCGCCGAGCCAGCCTCGTCCTCGGGCGTTGCCGTCGCGTCGTCCGCTTCTTCCGAGTCCTCCGGGTTGACGGCAGCGTCCGAGGCAGAGTCGTCGCCGTCAGACGACGGGCGGACGAGGTCGACCTTGTTGCCGGCGAGAGCAATGACAATACTGTGGACGAATAGGTCAGCAACGGGTCGGATTAAGAAGAGAAGCGGCGGACGTACTTGGGGTTGGCCTGCCTCTGCAACTCCTTGACCCACGTCTTGGCCTGCTCGAGCGACGCCTGCGTTTGGAGAATGCTAAGTACAGCTCGTAGAGGGAGAGTGGAACGTGCGCACCGACTTGGTCACGTCGTAGACAACCACGGCCGCCTGAGCGTTGCGGTAGTACATCGGCGAGAGCGAGCGGAACCGCTCCTGCCCAGCCGTGTCCCAGATCTCAAACTTGATAACCTTGTCCTCTGTTTCCGCACGACCCCATCAGCTCTGCGCCCGTCTACGAGAGCGACTGCGCACGGGGTCTCGATGTGGAGCGGGACGAGGAGGCGAACGACTCACCGAGCCTGCATCGCTGGGTCAGGAACGCCGCGCCGATAGTGGGCTCCTTGTTGGGCTGGAAGTCGTTCTGGCAGAAGCGCAGGACCACCGACGACTTGCCGACAGCCGACTCGCCTGAAGCGTCACCGTACGAGCGTCGGGAGGAGGGAGGAGGCGAGCGGAAGGGTCAGCGCTTCGTGTGCCGTGAGTCATAGGCTCCCTTGATCGACCAAGACGTCTTCCAGCCCGACCGCGCGCCTGCTTCCGCCGCAATGTCCTCCGAAGCCACCGCCGAACTGATGAAGATGGTCGTCCACCGCTGGAGACAACTGGTCGGCTGGACTCACCGAGTAGCACGAGCTTGACCTGTACAGGCCGCGCGGGAGGTTGTTCAGCAGCAGCAGCGGGTGTAGCCATTGTGGTCGTGGACAAAGAACGGTCTGCCTCTTGCCACGACCACCGAGTCGGCGCCTCTCACACAGGCAAAGCTGGGATTCACTGGATGCGCTACTAGACTGCTGCACTTGCTATTGTGCGGCGCTCGAGGTCCCGCACTCCGCCTTCACCGACTTCTACCCCTCCTCATCCTGGACACTCGGTTTGCCTTGATGAAGCCGCTGTGCCATCCGGACGGATTGTACGCGCGCCAAGAACGATAGCCGAGACGGTGGAACAATTTGGCGCACGCCGCAGAGCTGGATTACATGCGCTAGACTTGCCGGCACTCTTCTCTCTCTCTCTCACGCTTCCTCCACGGTCCCCTCGACTTTGCATGCATTCTCTGTCGCGTCTATGGCAGAGTCGGACAGTCTCAAGGTGACTGGCAACAGTGGATGGTCCTGGTGCAGCATGTCGTTGGACGCCGACTGCATCTTCCAGCAAATGTCCTGATAAGCGTTATATTCCGCTCGTATCCTGAGCACAGCCTACGAGCATTCGTTCCGAATTTGAAGCACATTGTGGTTTTGCTGCAAGGACTGGGCGTTCGCGGTGCATCCAGTGATCAGATATGCTCGACTTCCTCGCCCCTTCCCGGCTTTCTACGCTTCGCTACATCCCGTTCCCGCCTTTGAGTCGCTCTTCCGCTTCACTAGATCTGCCGGTCAGTCTGCTCACGCGCTGCCTTGGACCGCAAGAGCTGAATGGCAGGCGCGGGCGCAGGCTTCTGGATTCCCAGCTCCACCTTGGCTGTCCCAGCTCTAGTGTAGACGGTGCGGCTCCTCGCAGCGACGAAGGTGCGTTTAGCCGTGTCACCGCTGGAAACAGCGAGATGTGACGCAATCCTAGGCAACTTCTCTCACGCAGGACTGTCCTGTTGGTGCGGGAGGACCAACGGGCCCATCTCCCGCACCAGGCGAAGGGGGAGCATCCGCTCACGCTTCCAGGGCTTCTAACAGACCTTACAATCGGTGTACTTTGAGCCATACAAGCTTGCGGAAAGAGCTTGTCGTTCAAGGGTTCTCACTTGCCCAGGCTGGGATAGCGATTGTGCTGAAATTGCACGCATCGACAGAGGGCGCCAGAAAGCGGAAACCTGGCGAGTGAAGGGAGAGAAGTCCTGGGAGCGGCGCGGGACTCGAAGCGTTGGACTGCTCGGATGAGGCGAGTCGGAGGAGGCTGCGACTGGGACGGTGCGTGCTGATGTGAGTGACTGCCTGGAGAGCAAGCCAGTCTCGCAAACACCGTCCCGACCTTGCTCCACCCATCTCACCGCCCGCATCTCGCAACCCGCCAAGAGTGCCTTCTTACAGAGGCGAAATGCGGTCCCAATATGTCCGAGCTAGATGCTTGCAAAGAGAGTCGGAATGTACAACTGAATCTGCCCGTTGCCATCGCGCTACTTCCGCCCCCGCTTCTTCGTCCTCCCCCAACCAAACACACCCTCAACCCAATCCGAGAACACCTGCACCTTCAAGCCGCTGAACGCCGCGCTCACAATACCGACGATACCGATGTTGATAGCGCCGAGCCAGTCGCGGTTGAAGACGCGCTTGCAGTGGCCGCACTGGAGGACCCGGAAGACGTCGAAGCCGGTTGTGAGGTCGGCGGCGTAGGCGATCCTGTCAATACGGTATCGCATCAGCCTGTGCAAGCGCTGCAGAGACCTCGCAACGCACTTCTCCTTCTTGTGCTGATCGAAACGCTCGATTCGGCACGACGGGCAGGTGAACGATGTCCTGAACTCACTCGCTTCGAGGACTGCGACTCGAAGGTTGTCGTCCGTCCCGCGAAGCGCGCGAAGCGCAGTGATGAGCGAGCCGCTGACCTGCTCGCGCCGGTCGGCTCCGCTCGCTGACGACGAGCGCTGGCCGAGCTTTGGTCCGATGAAGACGACAATGTTGCGCTCTTCAATCTCGGGTTTCGCGGCGTCGCGGCTGATAAGGTCGACGAGGGCGGCGATGGCGTGCGTGAGGCGTCGGACGCGGTCATTGAATTTCTGGCGCTGCTCCCAGTTGAGCGCGAGCGTCTTGGGATTGCAGTCGGAGAGCGTGTCGAGGAGCGAGAGGAGGTCGTTGTCGGTTCCTGCGCAAGCAAGGCTGTCAGTTCTGTCCAGCACTCGCCATGTGATTGCAACACACCGTCTCCTCCGTTCGCGCGAATGGCATCCCGCACAGCTGCTAGACCAGACTCGCGCAAGATCCGCGCCGAGGTCTCGGCCTGCTGCTTGTTCGCGGCCTTGAATTGGTGGTTCCCGATCTCGACGTGGAAGATCTCCTCAAAGGCGGCGCTGATGATGGCGGCGCTGACGGTGTTGCGTTCGCCGACGTCGATGGGTACGAAGATGGTGTTCTCCGCAATCTTGAACATTTCCGGCCGAGACTCGGACTGGTCGTTGCCATCGGAGTCCGTCGAGGCGTTGGCAGGCGCCGTGAGCGAGAATCGTGACGGGAAGAACGTGTCGAGGGCGGACGAGATGTGCGAAGTTGCCGAGGGTGTGCTCTTGGCGTCAGTTCGCCCTCGCCCTCGAGGCGCGTCCACCTTGCGCTTGCCGAAGACGCCGCCGTGCGCGTCGTCGTCCGCGCGGTCGTCCGCGCCCCCGTCCTCGCCGTCGTCCGTGAGGACGACCTTCGTCCCCTTGAGCCGGATGGGGAGGATACCGTCGACGAGAGTCGTGCACGGTGACCAGATCGCGTCCCTGGCGTAGACGCAGGGCTGGATGGGCGAAGCCGCGGATGCTTCGAGGAATGCCCGGCAGGCACCAGTTTCTGCCCAATTCGAGAGGAGCTTAGAGTGCTTGCCTCCTCCTCTCCATGTAGACTCGAGCATCGCTCGCGGGCTCTGGCTGACCTGCCAGGGCGTAGCGTCCTTGATCTCGTTCGGGTTGAGCATGAGGAAGCTGACGGCGTGGCGTGTCACCGTTGTCTGGCTGTGGACGAGGAGGCCGGACTTGCTTGGCGAGGGAGCGGCGTAGAGGAAGGGGACGGCGGCGAGGGGGCACTTGTCCCAGATCGAGGCTGCCCACTTCGTTTTTGGCCCGATGGCGAGGGCGGACTTGCAGAAGACCTCGAGCGCGCGCATGCGCTCGGTGTCGAGGACGAGGCGAGGGATCTTGCAGTCGCCCGTCGACCTTGTGTCGACCTGGAAAAGATGGAGCGAGTGGGCGTGCTCGAGGAGGAGCTGGTTGGGATAGTCGCGTGCGCGAGCGTGAAGGATCGTCATGGCAGAAGGCGCAGCCTTGTGCGACGGTCGCTGCTTGTTGTCTGCCAAGGGTGCCGCTGACAGAGGATCTTTGCGCGGCGGCTGAGCCGACTCTCTCACCTCGAGTCCGTGGACCGCCTCGTTGCAGCGGGCAACGAGCGAGTTGACATTGCCGAGGGTGGTCGTGACGATTGTGTCGTGCTTGATGAGGTGGTAGGCGAGCATCGTCGGCGGGAGAACTAGCGATGTTCCGCGGTATCGCTGGTGAGTACGGCGATGGCGAGAGTCAGTCGAGCGAGCCACACAGTTTGCTAGGATGACGTGGACGCACAATCTTCGGGGTCTGGCCCAACTGTTGCTCCCACGCAACCTGAACGAGTGTGAGGTCGGTAATGCTCAGTCCACCGCCGGCTCGCCCTCCTGCCAGACTGGCGAGCGTTGCCGTCGGGTTCGCTTTGGCTGTCGAGTTGACGAGCGCGAGGTACTTCGTGATGAGCGATGAGAAACGGCCGAGCTCGGTAACGATTGACGAGGCGAGGTCGATTGCCGTGTCCGTCGCAACGAGCGGCTGGCCCTTCCTCGGCGGACGGAAGTTCTGGTCGACTGGCGAGAGAGCCTTTGCGAGCATCTCAATTGTGCCTCTCGACCATGAGGACTTGGCGTCGAACTTGAGCGGGAGCGTCGAGATGAGCGTCTCGAGGCGGAGCCGCAGGATGTTGCGCGCCCTCATCGCCTGCTTCGAGGAGATGTCTCGGGCCAGCGCCTGGACAGGTGCATCAAAGGACTCGGCGTGGAGCGAGGTCGTGCCCACGTCGATGCCGATTTTCGTGGCGAGACCGTCGACGAAAGCCGGCAGTCTGGCGATGATGTCCTCGCTCAGGAAAGCCGCAACGTTTGCGACAACCGTAGGCACTCGTTTGCGTGAGCGTGTCGCAAAGTTGACCGCGATCGTTTTCGCGGTCTGCTCGTAGAAGAGGATCGTTATGCCGGGGGCGAGCTTGATCTGTAGGTGCGAGTCGACGTCGCGAATCACGTCGATGGCGAAGAGCGGGAGCTGTACACTGATTGTCAGCACAAGTTTGACTGCGGAACGGTCTGTGGCCTACCTTCTCCTTCGCGCATGCTTGGACGTCGTGAGCCGAGAGGTCGCCATACTTGGTCTTGAGGCGGTCGAGGTCGTCCGGCGACGGCTTGGTCGAGCTACCGGTCGTCGTTTGCCACAGCTCCGTCCACGTTGCGTCTGCAATGTCGTCGGCATCGCAAGCGCTGGGCGTGGCCGACCGACCCTCCTGCAGTTTGACGATGAGACGGGCGAGTTGCCCAAACGTCTGACGCCAGTTGTCAGAGGCGTTTGTGGCGTAGAATCGGCGGACGAAGGAGTGCAAGGGAGAGAGGCTGGTGGCGCGTTCGAGGAGGCCGTTCAGCACGTCGACTAGTACGAGCCATTCGAGTTGGTGGTGGAGCAGGCGGACTTCGATGAGGTCGCGCCAAGGAGAGCCGATGTAGAGGAACGCTGTGCGGATAAGCCGTCAGTTTCCTGCAGATTGCGAGTTCCAGTATTGTGAAAGACGCACAGTCGTCTGAGCCAGAACCGTCTGTCGCCTCGTCCGACTCTTCATCTGCGAGCCCGCTTTCCTCGACGGCCGAAGCTGTCGAGTGTCCGTCATGTCAGCACGCAGAGAGCGGATAGTGACGGTGTGAGAGACGCGCACCTCGAACCGCGAAAGTGTTGAACGCGCTGTCGAACGGCTTTTGGATGGTCGAGAGGCGGCCACTGTGCTTCAGACCTGACTTCTTCGACGACGATCCGCCGCCGCCCTCGTCATCTTCCTCGCCTTCGAGCTTCGCCGCCTCCTGCCGGGCGACCCACCGAAGCTCCTTGATCCCCTTGACCTGGATCTGCTCGACGACCTCGCCCGCTTTCCCCTTTCCCTTCTTCTTCTTCGTCGTGTCTGCCGTCTCGCCTTTGTCGTCGCCCTTCAGACTGGCCTTCTGAGGAATGAGGGACGGGTCGCGGGAGAGGCGGGCGTGCAGCTCGGTGGCAATATTGATAGCGTCCGCGACGATGTTCGACGGAGGCGGCCCCGGCCGGGTGATTTGGATGCGCGGGCGGAAGGGCAGACGCGAGAGGCGCAGATCTGGCTTGTCCAATTCGGGATCAGGCGTGCCGCCAGTCGTTGCTTTGAGGCGTGCCCAGGTCTCCTCGGAGAGCCAAGGAACGTCCTCGAGGCGAGGCGGGCGCTCCTTCTTGCCGGGTCGACGTCGCGCCGGCATCCAGTCAGGCCTCTTTGGAGGTTCGCCGAACGGGAGATGAAGGTTGGGGCGCCCGACCTTGGCATCGGCCTTCGCCTGCTTCATGTTGCCCTTGAGCTCGTCGACTAGCTGGCGGTACGCCTCCTTCTTGCTCCCGAGCGGGACGTCGTCGTCGCCGCGGCTGATCTTCATGACCTTGACGAGCTGGTCAATGCTGAAGATGTCGTTGAACCAGCGCAGCCGCTGTTCTTTCGGCGTAGGTCGACGCTGGTCGGGCGCCGGAGGAGGTGCGTTCTGCTCGTCGCCATCCTGCGCTCCGTCCGCCTCGGATGCTGGCCCGCCCTGGTCGACTGCTCCTCCCGCTGCGTCGCCCTCCTCCATCACGACGTCGCCTGCTTCGTCCTCGGGTCCTTCTCCTGCTGCTCCGCCTCCGTCCCCAGATCCCTCGGCGTCGAGCATTGCGACGTCGGCGCCATCGTCTGCTCGAGGTGCTGGACCTTCAAGATCGTTGTCGGTCAATGCGCCAATCGCCACCGCCATCTCCACCATCAACTCCTCGATCGCATCTGCGTCGCCCGCCATGACCGCATCCCAGTCCGTCTCGTTCGCCATGCTCATGAACGCCTCTGAGCGGACGAACGAGGTGAAGCCGACCCAGGGGATCTTGGGCATGTATTCGTCCGACGTCACAGCACTCATGAAAAGCTGAGCTTCGAGGGACGTGAAGGACCAGTCGGAATGGGCGCCGAGGCGGGACCGGTCGATGATGGAGAGGGTCTCGCCGCCGCTGGTCCGGATGAGCCAGTGCGAGCCGTCCGGTCGGATGTTCGCGAGGTAGTCGGCGTCTGGACCCCAGACATACGTGTCGGGAGCGGCGGCTGAAGCGGACGCGGAGGCGCTTCTCTCTCGCAAGGTTCGGGCGAGGTGCGGGTCCGCTTCGTGCGGGCAGGCGATGACGCGGAGGTGGCTTGGAGGGTTCTGTCAAGGGGAGAGAGAGAGAGTCAGCATCGACCGAGTGTAAGCGTAGTTCAAGCGGGACGCGCCTTGATCTCGATGGGCGCCATTGGAAGATCCGCGTCTGTCCAGCGACCGAGTTGCCTCGCCTGCTTCGCCGTCGGCTCTTGGCCCATCTCCTTCCGCTCCCCAATCTCCAGCTCGAGGCGTGCCTGACGAGTTGCGAGCTTGTGGAAAGGCGCCATGCTCTTGTTCAGCTTGAGGTCGGTTCGTGCGTCCTCGTGATCGAAGAAGCAGTCGACGCTGGCCTCCCCGCCAAAGACGAGGGTGATGCGCGCCGCAAAGACGAGGAGTGCGACCTCGACGCTCTTGTCGCAGCGGATCCTGGCCTCGTCGAGCTCGATGTACTCTTGCTTGCATGCTGAGCGCTCGCCGGAGAGCAGACTGTCAGATGGGGTTCTTTGCGCTGTTTGGACTCGGGACTCACCATCGAGAGGGTCGCCCTGTTGGCGGCGGTACTGGGCGAACTCCTCGAGCGAGTGGAGTACCATGACGAAGTGCGGCTCCTCATCGTCTCCCTCCGCGCCACCGTCGTCCTCTGCGTCCGGCTCAGCCTCAGCCATGTCGCCGTCGAAAGCCCGCACGTCGACTTCAACGACAGCGCCGCTCCGCCTCGCCGCCTGGTTCCGCACCCACGTGTTGAGAGTTGGGTGGCCCATGACGGGGTGGTCGTCGCCTTTGCGCTATTCCGGGGCGTGGCCTTGTGCGGCGAGTCGGGGTTTCGGCTGATGAGGACGAAGGTTGAGAGGTGAGGGGCTGGGGAGGCAGTCGCGAGGGTGCGAGCGTAGACTGGTGGATCCGGCAAGTAGTGCGGCGCAGCTACAACCTACGTCAGGTCGTGAGACTGTGAGCGAGCGAGTGAGGAGGAGAGGAGAGGAGCTGGGGGCGGGAAGTCCGCGGTCGACGGCAGCAGCCAGTGAGAGCGTCGAGAGCGTCTCGAGCCTGCAGAGCTAGCTGCAGACACAGTGTACTCTGTATCACAGGCGACGAGTCTACTCCCATGCCTGAGCAACACCTACCCTCCGTCGTCTCTGTTCGCGACGCCATTGGAGTCCGACGTTACAGTGCATACGCAGCCCTGCATTGCTGTACGGGTGTGAGGTCAGCGGGACTGTTGCTCGAGCCTCGAGGAGACAGGCAGCCCAACTCGCCTCGAAGTCGCTCCCGCCCTTCCTCAGCCTGCTCCGTCGGTGTGTCGTTCCTGCGTCCGACACTCGCATCACAGGCATAGCGACTCGTCCGACGCCTCGTTGCTGTAGATCTTGAGACGTGTCAGCCAGCGTTACACCGGAGTAGGAGGCGGAAGGACTTGCTGGATTATCCGCCAAGATAACGACCGGCGTTCCCGTCCTAGCGTCCCCAGCCGAGAGCTGCACTCGAGAAGAGCAGTGACATTGCGTCCCCGTATCAGAAAATGAGAGCGAGTAAGCGAATCGGCACTCGCCGCTGCCCGTAAACAGAACCGGACGCCGCATTGATTGACCTCCGTTCGACTTTTCCGCTTGTGTTGAGATCTTCTGCCAATGTGGAAGCAGATGTCAGGCGGACAAGCGAGTGCGCCGGTGGAGAGAAAGCGAGAGAGAGAGGTCGTGCTCGAGAGCGCGTAAGCGGCGCGAGCCGAGCAGGCTTCTGCTGCGAGATGGGGCTCGTTGCGGGAAGCACAGCGTGTAGAGCCAGAGGGGCAAGCAAGATTGCGTGCGCTCGTGTTGCAGGTGAGCGGAGCTGAGAGCCTGGGAGAGGAGGAAGTCAGTCACTTCCCAGCGAGGACCGGAGGGAGACCTTGCGCACAAGAGAAGCAAGCCTGGACGGCTGACACACGATCTGCGCGAGCCAGTAGGTTAGCTAGTCCGTCGTGAGCGAGAACGGCCTTGAGTCGGGTGTTGTCCCTCGCTGGCTCGCGAGCCAGGAAGGCCCGCCCCCTCGTTTTGTTCCCATCTCGTCTCCCACGCGTCCTGCTGCCTCGAGACAAAGCTTGGCTTACTCCGAAGACTCTGCAGAGTATATCGAGGACCCGGGCGTCCCTCCTCGACTCCCACATCTTGACCTGCACCCTGCGAGCCGCCCGCCTCGTCCTCGGTCTGCCAAAGCGCGCGCCTCGTAGACACACCCCACCTCGTTCTCCCGCTACAGACACTGCTGGGAGGATGGAGCAGCGCACCTCGAACCTCAATCTCCTTCTCTTGCGGGTGAAGCCAAGCTTGAGCCCTGGAGCGGGTCGAAGGAGGCGGACGAGTGCCCGGCAGAAACCGATGTTGAGCGAAATACAATGGCGAAACTCGGTTGACGTGGTCGACACCCTGGCCACGGCTGTCGGCGCCGACGGTCGTGGCGAGGAAGTCGAGGTTCTGACGCAGCAAACCACGGCAGCTCTGCGGGCTTGAAATTCGGTCAGCATACTCAGATAAGCTGAGTAAAGGGATCGGACGCACTGCTAGCCCAGCACGCTGCCTGCGAGTTGAGCGAGAACCATCGAAGTCTGGACGGCTTTGGCGGTCTGCTCGACGGCGTGGCGCGGTGCGGCTGGCGCGGGATCGGGGCATTTGCAGCGGTGGAAGTAGCTGGACAAACAAGCGAGGCCACACAGCGTGAGTTGAGCGAGTTGCGAACACCCGGTCGCCGTGGCTCGCGGCCAAAGTGGGATCGCAACCCGGCCTTCGCTCCCAGTTTGGCCGCGCACCACGGCGTTCGCTCGTCTCCCTGCTGCGAACCACACCGTTAGCACTCTCAGACTGCTGCCCACCGCCATCAGACCATCTCCATCGCCCTCCACGCCCGCTCACCCACCGTCGCTTGCTCTCCTCGTCCCGCACTCGCCACCTCACCTCGGACCCGCCTACCGCTCGTCCCACAGCTCCTGGAGATCCAGCTATTCTCGCGAGCCCAATAGGAGGAGGATGGAGACTCACGTGCGTCCTGCTCCTATCCCGCTGGCGTTCTCAGACAGTGCGGTGAAGGAGGTCAACAAGTCGCTGACACTTGGCCTGAACTTGCGCATAGTCTGTGTGGGCATGTGTGAGCACTGACGAGGCGGCAGAGATGGCTCTCGGCGGGTCAGGAGCTACGGCGCTCCCAACTGCAGCAGCTCCGGCGCTTTGCGAGCAAGGCACATCCACGACCCTTCCTGCTCCGGCGAGTGTGCTACGGTGAAGCGCATCGCCAGAAGATGCCTCAGAAGTTGGCGCCAACGAGCTAATAGTTAAGACCCAACGCTTCGACCGACATCTCCTCCTCGACCCGCAACTCGCTCTTCTCCCTTCTTCCGATCTTCTCTTCGGCTTGTCCTGCGCGACGAGTGACACACTTTCAGCAACCCTCCAACGACATGCTACACACGCGCACGAGCCACTTGGGCTTGTCAAACCTCAGCCTGCACGACTGTTCCGACCATACGAGTCTCAAGGTACTCGAGCTCGTCGCGTCTCCTGCGGCGCTTTCCCTCAACACGCTCCGCTCGTGCCTAGCAAGCTGTAACACTCTCTCACTAATCAGTCTCGGGTGCGCACGATGTTGTTGCTCCCCTCGCTTGTCCCCCCGTCCGCCCCTCTCTAGTGAAAGCGTTGTACTGATCCGTTTCCCCCCTCTCTGCCACGCACTAGGGCCATTCCCCTTGCAAACCCATGCCTACGCACGCCTCGGCACCCTCCTCGCCGACCCTCGCCTGCCTCTCGTCCTTCTCAACCTCCGCTCCCTCCGAAAACCATCGTCCAACCTCCCGAGTTGCGCAGCTACAACACGAGCTCACCACCGGAGCGCACTTAACCAAGAGCGTCGCCTTACGGAGGACTCACCGCCTCTACAACTTCGACAGTCGCTCGCGCGGAGTTCAGGGCGGGTGAGTTCGTCGAGAGGGGCCCGACGTAGCGCCTTCGCTCAAACGCAATGGAGCTCGTCACCGCCTCTCCTACCAGTACAGCCCGCGAAAAGACCAGCTCGCTCATTCGATGGCCGGCGATCCAGTCGAGCGGATCGAGGAGGAGGTGCGAGGAAAAGTCGCTCCTTCTGCGCTGGACGAAGCCACCTCTGGTACTTTCCACCCTTACGAGTGCGACGAGCTGCAAGGGAGCTCTCCTCGTCACCTCCTTCGCCCGCAAACTGATCCGCCCCTCGACGCTGACCTTCGCAGCGCTCGTGCCCTCTCGCCTCCTTTCGCCGTTGGTAACGAGAGCCACGGGATCGCAACAGACGCGTCGCAGCTGTACGCACTCGTCGAAAGGAGGTCGGCGCCACGTCACCCTCGAGGCGAGTGACCTCGCGCGCCTCCCGCTGTCCCTCTCTCTCGCTCCTTCTCCTCACTCCGACTCGTCACTTCTCCTCTTTTCGCCCTCCTTCGAGTCGAAGGTGAGTCTCCCGCACCCTCTGACTACCGCTACACGCGCGCTGACCCACTCCGGACCGCTCCCTCGCCCGTACCACCCACCCTCCCCTCCTCACCCTCGATGCCACCCAGTCACTCCTTCCCTCTTCTACCTCGCCTCGACCCTCGACGCGACCAGCGACTCCTCCCCGACACCGCAAGTGAGTTCACGCCCCTCTCCGAGCGCGACGTCGAGCTGACCCTTCCCTCCTCTTCTCCGCTCGCAGCTCAACTGTCCTCAAGGACTTGGTGGAGGAAGCGCTGGTCCGCTGTGGGTCGAGGGCGACGTGTGAGCTGGCTGCTCGTCTGCTCCGGCTCTCGTTCGACGGTGTGAGGACGGACCGAGGGGGACTTTGGGCGACTGCTGACCTTCCTCGCTCGCTCCCTCGCAGCCTTCGTCGTCCACCATCGACTTGCAGCTCGAGGGCCAACATCAACACGTTATTAGGGTCAACAACTCCGCCTAATGTGAGCTGCTGCTGCTTCTCCGACATTCTCTCCGCCGTCGCTGACTCCCGCCCTCACTCTGCAGCCACTCTACCTTTTCTCTCGTACATCTCGAGGTGCGCTTCCTTCCGTCACGCTTCACGAGTCTCGCAAGGCTGACACACGCACACGCAGTCTTGGTATTTATGGACGACCTAGCGTGCGTTGACTTGCAGGTCTTTCGCCAATGCACCGTTGACTGACGCCTCGCCCGCACGCAGGCGAATCCTTCGCTGCCATGCACCCACTGCGGTGCACTGGCGCTCTCACCGCACGCTCAGCTACTCCGTGAGGGCTGTCGTCGACGCTTTCGAGTGCGTCCTCCTGTCATCCTACTGCATGAACCGAACTGACTCGCCTCTCTCACACACGCAGACAAGGCAGGTGACTGAGAAGGAGGAATGCAGGTTATCCGGTGCTCGAGCTTGGCGTAGCTTTGGAGGGGCGGGACAGTCCTCGTCGCCTCGGGCTCTATACGCCGGCTGTATTGCGACGTCGACTTTCGCAACTCTCCCTCGTCGCCCGCATACCCTCTCTTTGCCCTCCAGGTCTCACCGCCTGCCCTATACCCAGCGCCGCATCGTTCGGCGCCTTCCAAGCCTCCAACTTTACCTCCTTCCGTTCACCCGCCGCCTCGTCGCCATCGCTCGACGGTGGGTTCGAATGCATCGACATTCAGTACGAGTACGAGTCGTGCGGCGGGTGCACGAGCATGGGCGAAGGTCGGAACTGCGGAGAAGGAATAGCGCACGCTCGAGGAACCGGATGCCAGGAGGGAAGATGCGTCGTATTTTCCTGTGAGAAGGGGTGGAAGCCGGACAGGGACGCGAAGCGGTGCGTGAGACTGTGGGAAGGCGGGAGGAAGAAGTCGAGCGGGCACGGAGAGGGGAGGCGGAGGCTGCACTAATCGTCCTTTGTAGCGATACTGCATGAGCTCGTTATTGGTTCCCCTCAATCTCGCACTGAAGGAGTGATCAGCTAGTCATGACAGAAAGACGAAAGGCGACGGGGGGACGGCGGGCGCTTCTGGCGGGAGAGAGGCCGACTCGTCCGCCCGCCGCAAGAGAGCCCGATAAAACAGATGTGATGCGCAGTGCGCGGGGGGAAAGAAAGAATACGAAGGCGAAGAGGAGTTCGAGGGGTGAATGGAGGGTGCGGGAGAAGGGTGACGTTTACTCCTGGGCGTACTCCTCGCCGCCGTTCTCCTCGTACTCGCCCTCGTATTCGTCGTCCGCGCCTTGGCTCTCGTACTGCTGGTACTCCGCAACGAGGTCCTGCAGCAGGGAGAAGCCCGGGGAAAGGCGAGGAGAAGCGAGGGAGAGGCGGGCAAGGGTCAGCGGCGGTTCTGGAGCAAGGTCGCCTGTTAGAGCGCACCTGCATGTTCGACTCGGCTTCGGTGAACCTGCACAATCAGCAGAGAGCCGTCAGCAATCAGTTGAACACGATGAAAGGCTCGAGACGCACTCCATCTCGTCCATACCCTCGCCGGTGTACCAGTGAAGGAAGGCGCGGCGACGGAACATTGCCGAGAACTGGGTGTGGACGCGAGAGAAGAGCTCCTACAGTCCGTACAGGCTTGTCAGCGAAAAGTGAACGGAGCTCGAGCAGAGTCGACGGGCAAAACGGACCTGGATCGAGGTCGAGTTGCCGATGAAGGTGACCGACATCTTGAGGCCCTTGGGCGGGATGTCGCAGTGCGCGGTCTGGATGTTGTTGGGGATCCACTCTGTTTGCGCACGTCGTCAGCCAGACGAACGGCGGAGAAGAGACAGGCGACGCACCGACAAAGTGGTCGGCGTTCTTTGTCTGCACCTGGAGCATGCTGTCGTCGACCTCGCGCATCGAGACCTTGCCGCGGTAGAACGCAGCGACGGTGAGGTAGCGACCGTGGCGCGGATCGCTTGCGGCCATCATATTCTTGGCGTCGAACATTTGCTGCGTGAGCTCGGGGACCGAGACGGCGCGGAACGACTGCGAGCCCTTGGCAGTGAGGGGAGCGAAGCCGACCATGAAGAAGTGGAGACGCGGGAAGGGGACCATGTTGACGGCGAGCTTGCGCAAGTCCGAGTTGAGCTGGCCGGGGAAACGGAGGCAGGTCGTGATGCCGCTCATGACGACCGAGACGAGTTGGTTGAGGTCTCCGTGCGTAGGCGAGGTGAGCTTGAGCGTGCGGAAGCAGATGTCGTCTGCGGGAGATGCCAAGTCAGCGAGCTAGGCGAGAAAGGTTGCGGAGCTCATGCTCACAAAGGGCCTCGTTGTCAATGCAGAACGTCTCGTCCGAATTCTCGACGAGCTGGTGCACCGAGAGCGTCGCGTTGTAAGGCTCGGTGACCGTGTCGGAGACCTTGGGCGACGGGACGACCGAGAACGTCGCCATCATACGGTCGGGGTACTCCTCGCGGATCTTGGAGATGAGGAGCGTTCCCATTCCCGATCCCGTGCCTCCTCCGAGCGAGTGCGTGAGCTGGAAGCCCTGAAGGCAATCGCAGCCCTCGGCCTCCTTGCGCACGACGTCGAGAACCGAGTCGACGAGCTCGGCACCCTCCGTGTAGTGACCCTGTATAGACGCACAGGTGAGCCTGGGGACGCCTGAACCGTCCGGAAGCCCAAGTCGGCTCTGAACGCCCGGATTCGCCTCGCAGCGTCCCGTGGCGTCCCAAAACCGCTTCCTACGCCCTGTAGCGTCCCGAATCACTCACTTTCGCCCAGTTGTTGCCCGCACCGCTGAATACCACCCAGAATGAAGTCAGTACGGTCGAAAAGAGGCCCGGGAAAGGCTCGCACAAGGGCGCAAACGTTTCCACTCACTTCTGCGCCGAAACCATGTTGTCCGGGCGGAAGAGGCCACCCAAAGGACCAGCACGGATCACCTATGATGGCGGACGGCGGTCAGTCGACCCACGAAGGAGTAGAGCGAGTAGGCGGACTCACATCCATCGTTCCCGGCTCGAGATCGACGAGCACGGCGCGCGGGACATACTTGCGGTCGGAAGCCTCGTTGAAATAAACGTCCAGTCGTTCGAGCTGAAGGTCGTTGTCGCCGCGGTAGCTGTGAGCGAGAGAACGAAAGTGAGGACGAGGTCGCGGGTGCGGGTCTACCGGACGCGAGACTCACACGCCCTGTCCGTCGATGCCGTGCTCCTCGGTGATAGTCTCCCTGCAATAAGACATGAGTCAGCGCGCGCCTGAACAAGCTGCCGCAACGGGACGCACCAGAACTTGGTACCGATCTTGCGATGGGGAGAAGAGGTCAGCGAAAGGGTCCTGAGGAGTCGCGCTTCATCGTGGACGCAGCCACAAAGATCTACACCTCTCAGCATCCCGCAGCATGCCCAACGAAGCGCTGCCGCGACGCCCACACCTCGTCCAACAACTCGCTCAACTCGCGCCAATCCTCCCTCGACACGCAACGAAGGGGTTGCTCACCTGGTTGCCGCACTGTGGGAAGGTTGCAGGTACAAGTCAGCTCATGTATCGACCTCAGGGAGATTGAGCTGGCGAGGTAGCACTGAGGGGGGCGTGTTTGGCGATGTCGAGATGAGGACGAGCAGCACGCACCTGGCCCGTCTGAAGGTGCACAATCTCGCGCATTGTAGCTGTACGAGTAACTGAAAGAGCAAGGAGGGGGAGAAGCGAGTGGGAGGACGAGGAGAAGGTCAGGCGAGCGTGAAGCGACGCGACAAAAGAGAGCGAGGACCTCTCGCAAGACTGGCTGAGTGGATGTGGGCAAAGTCCGTGTATACAGGTTGCAACAACGCAAGACTGCGAGCTACGGCAGAACGGCGAGACGCGGAAAAGGAGGCGACGGAAGGGGTATCGAGGGAAAGGAAGGAGTAAGTCGGGATTAGGCGGTCGAGTCGAGGATATATACAGGCTTAGGGAAGCGTGAAGGCGAAGGAGGCAGAGACAGGCGAGCGTGCGGTCGCATTTGCGGCGTCTGCGATCTGGCGCCCCTCAGATCAGGCTCAGCTCGAGCGTCCACACCCGCCGCGCCCACACCTTGACGTTCTTGCCGCGCACCGTGACGTCCGTCGAGTCCCACCACGCCTTCCTCGCCGGCTTGCGCCAGAACAGGAGCAGCTTCTGCGCCGTCGCGAGCTGCTGCGTGTTGACCTGCACGCCGCCGCCTTCTTCGCTCGAGGCCATCGCGTCGGGGCCGCTCTCGTCCGAGGGAGAGACGGGAGGAGAGCCGCTGAGGGGAGGGTGGACGATGCCGGTCTTGAGGAGGACGAGGGCGATCGAGGCGATACAGCAGCGGTTCGGCTCGATGGACCGGTAGCCCCAGACGTCGTCGCGCTCAAAGCCGCTGCGGAGACGGATCAGGTCAGTGTCGAGAGCACGAGTCTCAGTGAGCGCCCTCGGATGCACCTCATGCAAAGCATGTCGATGAGGTGCTGCTCCGCCACGTTGTTATCCCGGCTGACGTTTCGCTGCAACGCCGTAAAGATGCTCCGCTGGTCGAGGAGAGAGTTGCCGCAGTCGATCTTTAGCTGCGTCAGAGCCGCATTGGGCTTGCCGTTCTCGTCCATGCCAGCTCGCTCGCCATCCTTTGTGCCGACCTCGTTCTTGCCGGGCGGGATTGCAAAGTACTCGAGTTCCTCGCGCAGGACGATGATGGCCTGCTTGAGGAAGAGCGGGTTCGACATGTTGGACTGGGCGACAGGAGAGGTGATGGAGAGGTCGCGGCGAGGACCGTCTGGCGGGCCGTAAAACGCCTCGCGCGCCGTCGCGAAAAAGTCGAGCACAAACTCGAGGCATCGTGCGTCGAACTGCGGGCATAGATAGGCCAGGTGTCAGGGTTCTTTGCCCAGTGCTGGTCGCTAAACCTCGAGGAGTCGGGGAGTCGTCGCTCGTTTAGCTTGCGGACAGTGTAGGGCCCACTCACGTCGACGTAGTACACATCCGCCTCCTCGTCCTCCTCTTCGCCCTCTCCTCGCGGCTGCCGCTGCGGGCTGAGCACCACACCGTTCGGGAAGAGGCAGAGGAGGACCGACTCGGGCAGCTCCATCAGCGCCTCGCGCTCGAGCGAGAGCCGTGCGCCCCTGAGGTCAAGTGCGACCTTGGTCGAGTTGGCGAAGCTCATCGTGGCGAGCTGGCAGGGTGAGTTGGACGATCGGGGTGATGAGGGCGAGGAGGGGGTTGGCCGCGTCTTCCAGGTGGTGCGGGTGGTACGAGGGGAACTAGAGGTCGTCAAGAAGAAGGAGCCAACTCAAGCGAGACTTCAAGTGAGCAAACGAGCGAGGCGTGCGTCGTGGTCGGGGTCGAAGCGGGGCGACGACTCTCTGCAAGCGACCACGCACTCGACGCGCTCGAGACGGCTCAGTGAGAGGTGGAGTGCGCTCAAAGTGTCTACCACGATAAACAGCGCCGCCAGCAGCCCTCCCCGCTCTCGCATCCCGACGTTCTCTCCTGCTTCTTCTCGCTCAACTCGACTTCCTCCACCGCTTCTTCCGGGCGATGGATATGGTGGAAGAGACGACGAGGCTAGGCGTAGTGCGTGGAGAGGCCAGTGCGGCCATATAGGTGTCGTGCGCCTACTGCAGCACCCTTGTCCCTCCTCCGGGATCTCTGCACAGAGCAGCGTCTTCTCCTCCCAGCTCGCGGCTATCGTGCTCTCCTCGGACGTGCCCAAGAAGCGGGAGTGCGGACGCTACACCAGCGAGTCGAATGCAGGCGGGGTGAAGAGGCTCTGGGCTTGTACGGAGCGTTCCCCTCGCCCAGGCTGCATCTCTTCTCCTCTCTCCAACTCCGCCATTTCTCCGACTCCCGACGTTCCGATCGGCGGATCGCAACAAGTCCCGACGATACCTTACCCTGTCGTCAAAGAACAGCAGGCGTCACCGGCTCAACCTTGTCAACCAGACCGCGGACTCGGGTCCCTGACAAGATGCGACGTCGTTGACTTGAGCTGCAGTCGACGACTCTTTCCTCCGTTGCTTGCTTGTTGTACCGTTCCTGTACAACTGAGCGTCCCTCTGTTGCCTGCTACGACGCACGCGGACCTTCGTCGAGCCGCTCCGCCCGCACAACGTCCTCCGCTTCCTTCGCACATCCCAACATCGCCGAACTTGCCAGCTCTGTCGGTCGACCCCTTCGTACGCTCGTAGGAATATCCAGCGATACGCACAGCTCGTGACGACGCACGAGGAACCGGATTCAAGACCGCCGTGCGTTCTCCTCTCCTTATCAGTGCGGGGTGAGGCCGATAGAAGAGGAGCTGATCTTGGACTTTGCTTCGACAGGACCTGCACTTCTTCCACACCTCTGTGATTCTGTACGATCCAACGATCCACCCGAGACTGCGCCATGGACCCCGCGCCCGACCACGTCTGCGAAGACCTCCTCCTCGCCATTCTCGACGAACTCCCTTCTCGCACGCTTGTCAAGTCCCGCGGCGTCTCGTGCGTTCTCCAGCAAAATGAGCGTTGAGTGATGTCTGACGTTGTGGTCGCGCAGCCGCTGCTTCGCCATCCTTGCTGACGAGATCCTCCGCCGTCGGTTCCTCGCGATCACGAAGGACGATACGAACGAGCTCATTGTGGGTTCAGGGCTGCCGGCTCACCTTGTCAACGTCGACTGACGAGCTCGCTCCACAGCTCGAATCGTGCGCGCCGTACGAGACCCGCTCGACACACCGCCAGGCTCTCGACTTTTCCCACTTCGGTCCCTCCGCCGACATCGCCTGCCCGGGCGACGTAGCGCACTTCGTGGTTAAGGCTCCCTCGCCCACGACCCAGTTCCTCCCGCTCGACGACGGCGAGTTGTTCGGCAACAACCTCCTTGCCGTGCACCTGCGCAACTCGCCCAGACCGTCCATGCAGCCGCAGCGACTGAGCGCAGACGACGAGGACGTTTTCTCTCTCGCACCGAGCGCACCCCGTCCTCCGCGCTTCATCAACTACGCCTTCTCACTGAACCTCGCGTCCTCGCTCGACCGCTTCTTCCGCTCGTGGTTCCTCGAGTCGGCGCTGGAAGAAGCCCAGTCCGAGTGCTCCTCTCCCGCTTCATCCGAGCTCTCCTCGCCCTCCTCGTCACGCGAATCAAGTCCACCCCTTCCCTTCGCACTCGACTCGCCAGCCTCTCCCCCTCGCCCTCCCTCTCCTCTTCCCACCTCCCCGCGCCTCACACGCCCAAAACGCATAGCCTCGCCCTACAACCCCCGCTCCTCCTCCGCGCTCTTCGCAGCCGAGATCGAATGCGTTCAAGTCCCGCGCTCCGTCGACGATGGAGACCCACTCGACGTCCTCGCTCCCTCCCCTCCCTCCTCCTATTCCTCCACCCCACCAAGGTTGTTCGAGTACTTCTTTAGCCGGATAGAGATGGATGTCGCGAGGGTTGTTGTGGCAGCGGAGGAGAATCTGCCGAGATGTGGGAGAGGATGGGCGGGAGGGGGGAAGGGGAGGGGGAGGGTGGTGAGTGCTGGACCGGTGGTGATTGTCATATAGAGTGTACGAGTATTGCTTTTGTGTCTGGACAGCTCTCGAGCGCCTTGTTGTCGTAGACTCTCCTCCTCCTCCTCCTCCTCCTCC